AGAATGAAATAAATAATTAGTTAGAAGTTAGTCAAAACTGTAGTAATGACAGCCATAGATAGGCAATAAAGTTTAGCTACATTTAACTCAATTACTGTACATGAATGAATGATTCAAGACTTTAAGTCCATTTATATTGCGCAAGCCATGTATGTTTGCATAGTCAAAAAAATATATATTGCAGTTCAATGAATGCACAGCTTTGACTTTATATGAAACTGTGTTGTTTAAAACAGAGCGTGTTAAGATAATACTCAACTTAAAGCTATTAAACATTTTCTTGTAGTGTTATGTACAAGAAGAAAAAGCTAAGATTTTATATCTATTTGCCTACAAACAAATAAGTTTCATGATATAAGATTTATTTGAATAGCATAAACGAACAACAAATTAAGAAAAGGAATTTACTCTTAGCATTTTGAGGGTACTTTAAATGAAAATCACGACTTTGCACACGATATTGACATCCTATATTCATTTCTATTTTGAAAATTTAAACTCTCGCACAAATATACGATGTTAATTACTTTACATATAAAACGGTGTAATTCCGACAAGTAACAGAAAAACCGATTTTGAATTATTTTTGAACGGCAACTGCTAAATTAGCTAAATTCTTAATCCAACAGTCCAACCAATGCTGCAAAATAATGTTGTTCCTTTTCCTCCTCTGGATGGTTTATTATTATTTTTGTATTTCCGGTGCTCCCTTATTAAATGTTCCTGGTTATATTAAACCTCAAAAAGGCATCGAAAAAGTTGTCAATTGCAGCTGCTGAGTGCTACCGTGAGCAGCTTTGTCTGGGAATCACAGATGATAGAGTAGGTTGTGTTTTCAATTTTCACGATTAAGTGATTCTAAAAAATGGTTTCACTTTCAATGTCATATAGAAATACATGTCATTACATAACACTACAGCACGAAGTCTGCATAAGACAGAATTGGTATAATTATAAAACATTCTTGAAATAATAGCATAAGTTGGTATTCAAAGAAAATGGCTATAAAATTACTGTACATATACATGCAAACTCTAAGGATATGTATTGATTGATGAATAACAAAAATTCTTAAGTTGACTTACAACTTCCTGCCAATTCCTGTTGATATCCACCCAACTCAGTTCTACATTGTGTTACCGCTTGCACAGCCATGTTAAAACATTAATGACATTTCACAGCAACCATGTCCAGTTTTCGCACTCAGTTTCGCACTCAGTTAGTGCAGTTGGCCAGCATTTCTCTGAGTGCGAAAACGCTGAATTCCTGGCGACTCTACAAAACCAGTTCTCACAACTCAATGATCTCCCTCCATCTCCCAGAACTCCCACTCTTATAGAAAACCTTGTATTCAACAACTATAAAATACTTCACTCAACCAATTCTAACAACTACCACATTCTTGCTTTTCTTGAAGCACTACTAATTAAACATAACAAACCTTTTCTCAACACGGGACTTATGGCTAGCAAAGAATTACAACTCTTTTCTTAATTTATAACACACTCATTCTACCAGTCGGGTCGCCAGTTTCAATTCATCCTTTTGAAATACTACACCTCTTCCAACTCATTGTAAATATCACACTATTTAATTTCTATTGCTCATTTCCGTTTACTTATTTCATGCGTTGTAAATATATATGTGTATGTATGGTTTTAAATATCATTCTGTCTGAGGATGACTTTGAAATAAAGTCGAAAATTCACAGTTTACTTCTCGTCTTGTTTTGATTCATATTTTGCAATCTCAAGATGTCTTGCTTCTTCGGAATTTGTTTTATATTATACTTCTTTAAATTGTCGGCTGGTCATGGTTTTTGGTCTATAGTCAGTATATTAAAGTAAATGGTTTGAACCCGGGAGTATCGCTACATGTTTGTAAATGTCGATCGTCAGGTTGGTATAGTCCTGAGAAGGACTGTTTTTGTTGTTGTTGACTGACGTTTCGACAACCTTAGCGGTAGTCATCTTCAGAGTCAAATGAGGAGTAAACGTCAGGTTAGCCGTATCTGTTATCTGGTTCTTACGCACAGATCTGTGTTCTTACGTCATTGTATTGTGTGTACAGGAAATGTGTATTGTCATTGTGAATTAGTGTGAAGTGAAATATTTTATTTTTAGTTGTGATGTGTGATTTAGGTGTGATGTTTTTAGTTGTAATGTGTGGGTGTCAATTGTGAATTGTCATTGTGATTTGTGAATCAGTGTGAAATGTAATGTTTTTAGTTGATCGTTTGTTTGTATTGTGAATAAGTCGTTTGTAAGGTGCCGGTAATTGCTGTGATCTGTTCAGGGGGGTTTGTTCCAAGTTGGTATACCAACTTTCTAATGTAAGCCGTTGTCTATAGTCAGTACTGTAAGTAATGCATTTTGCCGAGTCCCAGTCAATGTTGTGCTTTGAGATTCGGTGATGTTCGGCAATGTGATTAGTTTTGTCTTGTTTCTTAGTAGCTCGTTTGTGTTCAGTAAGTCTTATGTTTAAGTTCCTGCCAGTTTCCCCGATATAGGAGGCGTGGCAGTCGGAGCAGTTTATTTTGTATGGACATACGTGTCGCACATACAGATTTAAAATCGCAGATTTAAAATCACTGAAACAAGGTCTTTCAATTTAGCTAATAAAAAAGGAGGGCTAAAATTCTTAATATAAACGCTTTAACAGAAAGCAAGTTATTGACATATTTCGAAGTTGCTTTTATTTCACTTCCTCCTTCAATCTCAAAATTGGTCTTTGGAATAAATGGGGGGGGGGAGGGTGCGTCCCCCTCAATTCCCTCCCTGGCGACCACACTGCTCGTAGCATGAAAACAAAGATTGTAGAGAGCTAGTATACCTAAATACCGAGGTAATGAGCTCTGTTGTTTTGATCGGGTGAACTATACAAGGCTGATGCACTTGTATTTAGTCCAGTCGAGTTATCAGTAATTATTTGCATTGTAATTATTTATTTATTACTCAGTTTATTCTGATTACCGTAGTTTGTTTGTAAATTAAATGAAAGCTGAAAATGAATGGCATTATTTTTCTCTCAAGTCTTTTCGGTTACAAATATTATTATGTGGTTTATTTACAACCCAAACGGCAAAAATATTTCTGGGATGCTTACCGATAAAAAAAACCAAAAAATAGCTCTAATTACATTATTACTGTAGTAGCTTCGCTTTTAAAAAACGCCGTTGTCAAAAAAAATTGTTTTTGTTTGACCAAAAAATTCATCATGAAGATTCGTTTGATCGTTGCATTTTTGCTCCTGTACGACCATTTGCATGTTTTTATTTGCACAAAAAGACAGGCCCCAGCTGGAAAAAACTTGAAACTCATCTACCGGAAATTTAATGCCAATATAGCCATCTATTGCAATTATATGCTCTGTAATTAGATTACTCTTTCATACCAAATATGATTGGTATTATTTTAGCTACTATCAATCTTTGCTAATTCACGTGATATGCACCGATGTCGAAACGTCATGCACGCTCTGAAGACTTTTTGTAGTTGAATGGTGATTTTATTAAAAGACCAAAGCACAAGAACAATGTATCAACGCCAAGAGTAAGCAGGTTACGGGTCATGTAACAGCACAAAAAACAATACTCAAACTACGTTTAATTTAACGTCTACCATTCTACCTTAATTCATTTTCATCACGACTATCAACAGAACGACCAAAGTTGCATTTGATTTTATAAAGACTGAATTTTGGAAAACTCTATTATTAGCAAGATTTGAAAATAGGAAGCGGTTTTTATGTTTGTCAACTATTTCAACATTCAACTTTATATTGAGCCACATTTTAATTAAAAATACGAGATAGGCAAAAAAATCGACAAGCAATAAGTCAATAACCGATATTTAATCAGAATATAAAACCTGAGATTGAGCTGTGGTATAGAAATATGACACCACAGACATGACATATATCCACATTTCATCCGTAAGTTATGTTAACAGCTCTAAAGAGGTTTTTAGGCCCGGTTCAAACGTCGCATTTTACATGCGCCGAATCAAATGCGAGAATTATGTGCATGTAAAATGCGACGTTTGAATCAATTAAATTCGACGGATTTTAATTTAATGCGACTTTAGTCGCATATTCGACTGAGTTAGTCGAATATTCGACGGAAATTCGATGTTGATTCAAACGTCGCATTTTACATGAGCCGAATTTAATGCATAATTTATTTTAAGATATTTCTGAGCAAAAATCAATTATTTCCATGCTAAATGCCATGCGCAAAGTTGTAAAAACATGGCGGCGGCGAGTGATGGTAATGGCCCTTGTATTTCGTGCACAAGTTTAACAAAATACACTTGTTTAAAGTGCAAAAAATTTATATGTACAAGGAAAGTTTCCTCGAGATACACGAAATGTTTTTGAATCAGAATAAATACTCCAAACTTTCTTCCACCAGCCGGAATTTCTATCTTGTCTTCGACATGATCGATAAGGAGGGCTACGTATGAAGGCTTTTTGACCAATTAACGGTAGAAAACATGGGAAATTTGCATAAGCTGCCGTCTCGTTTCTAATAGTTTATTTGCTGTAACATGCATCAATATTCGTCTTTTCCTATTAACACGAATCATATTTGAAATGCATAAACTCAACATTTTCTGTTCGCCATTTTAGGAAATTAGTACAAGAAAATGAATAAACTATGAAAAAGTGGAAGCATAACTATAATAAATGCGACTATTAAATTCGACGTCTGAATCAAACTACGCATAAAACTATTTTAGTCGACTAAAACTCAGATTTGATTCGGCGCATGTAAAATGCGACGTTTGAACCGGGCCTTAGTTTCATCATCAACATGAGTCAAAACGGAACGAAAGAAACACAGCACTGACATTTAAAACAAATAAACAGTGAAATAAAACATTTTAGTCATTTATAAGAAGTTGTCAACAGTCTGGGAGAAAATAGTTTCATGTAGTCTGTTTTGCAAAAAAAGTACAAGATTTTTCTATGATACACGTAATAAAACAACATTACAATCTCGGCATAAATGATGCATTAACCTTGAGGTTCGACACAGGAATTGCATCACAATTAATGACGTCACTTAAAGTAACTTTTAATTGGCCAATCGAAAAATTAGGTTTTTTGTTAGCATCAACACGGTCTGCTGATGCGGGGGACAACATGAAATAGTGGTGGTCCAGTAGAGGTTAGAACACAAACATCACCTCCCTTCACCTGGTTGGATCCAATGTCAAGGCCAAGGGCAAATTGACTGAGAAGACAGTCACAGTCAGCTTTTAACAACGAACACTATGGGTTCAAAAATATGCATTAAACGACACAACAAGGAAAAGAATAGTTTAAAAGAAAGCACACCACCAGATGGAGGCTGGGGTTGGTTTGTTTGTGTGGCAGCATTTCTCATTCAATTTACCGTTCTGGGAACCATGAACAATTTTGGCATTTTATATGTTCATCTTTACGAAGATTTTGGAAGAAAGGCTTTTCAAACATGTGAGCTTTACATTGTTTTTACTGTATTTTTTTCCGCGTCCGTTGCAGCAACATCGATAGCAAAAACAACCTATGAGTCTATTCATTTTCAACAAAATTTTAACGAGCGCATATTTTCAAGAAACGATGACTTAGATTTCAAAATATTTTTCATACACAATTATATAACTCACGTCGTGTCGCATCATTTGCATCAATTTGAATTTTTTTTACATTTTGATTGTATGCTTTTTTTTTGGAGAATAGCGATTTGTTTTGATCCTATTTTGATCGGTATTAAATAAGCAGTTCTCTTGGAACATTTATCTTGCCAATTTGCAATAAAATCTGCAGAGATCAGCCCGAAATATTATAGCAATAGTGTGTTCACTGTAATTGCCGGCATTATTCAGATGCAGATGCGAAATATGATCGTACACATCTGGTGAATAGTTTTATAGCACATGAATATCATATTTGTATGTCCTAATTATATTACACTCGCCTTCTTATTTTGAATAATAATCAACTCTGGGTTAATTCATGTTAAGATGTGAAGGAAGGATTTTCGTTTGCCATGGCTGATCGTTGCTAACATAAAGCTTTAGAAAAGCAGCTGTTAATTAACTTTCGCTGTAATTATTTTTCAGCTTTCTGTTTTGGGTAATTTTACTTGAAGTGTTATTAAATCCTACAAATTGTTTTAGTGCTATCAAGTGCAAAAGTTTTAATTTGTTGCTACAAGTTTCGCCTTGGGCTGTTTTTAAGTCTACATCACGTTTACACGCAACTTAAAGTGTACTATAATTGTTGAATACTGCTTTGCATAAGAAAAACTACAAGTGAAAAAACAAATTAAGAAAATTTTTTCGGCGTGTAAAGAAGATTGTTTGAAATAATCTAAATCAAACAGCATTTGAAATCACAAGATAGTCATAAGGTTTTTGTGATATTGTTTGTCTTCCTAGATAATTGATATGTAAATTTCAAAACGAGAATCCAAACAAACTGTCACATGACTTTCACAACTGCTATTCAATGTAAATTATGCCTTATAGAAAAAATATAGATAGCAATCGTGAAAGACAAGTCATAGCTATCAAAACTTTGATTAAAATACACTTTTTGGTGATTTTTTTCTTTTCGAGCGTTTTTCCGACGCCGCTAAAACATCATAGGTAACATAAAACGCCAAGGCAATTTTTTTTAAGGCACGTTTTTGACAACGTTTGGTCACAACAATCACATGGCTATCACTTGACACCATGGATTTCCTGTCGCTCAATAATGGTTGAAACAATCTTTGAGTGACGTTAAAAGTCTTAAAAGTCCACCTTACTTTGTTTTCTACGATTGATTTATGTTGGGCTATCTTTTAACTAACTATTTACCACGTTTAACCTGAAGTGGCATAATATAATGTGGCACAATATAATGTTTTCTTATGATAATGATGTAAAATTACTAAAATTTTGTTGAAAAGACGACATCTTTTACGCTAAATTTGCTTATCTTACTCCTAGTAGCCAGCAATCTTCTATTTTTCTCTCTGTTTTAACTGAAACATCTGCTTTTTCTCTCAGTAGGGGTTGCTAGAGAAAATTGTTAGGTTAAAGCAAACATTTCTTTCTATTGATTTGTGTTTTTCACCTATTTATTATTTGATTACATTTTATCAAACTTTTGAACATTTCTACCCTATGGATCGATATTTTGAAAGTTTCGTAAGTAGCTATATTTGAATTTATAACAAATTCATTATTCATACCAACTTTTTGCTTCAAAATCAATGCTATAAAATATTCTAAATGGTTACGACTTACGAGTGCATAAACAGTTCAAAATATTATTCGTTCTCTACTATTCATAGAAGATCCGTTCAATTTTTATTACGTAATTCACAGTAAGACTTAATACTTCTTTAGCTCTGATTGGTTCAATAAACTACGGTATGATGTTCCTGAACGGTCCAATAGCCGCAGCTTTGGCAGCAAAATACGGATGTCGATTAGTCTCAATGATTGGAAGTGTTATATTTTCGATGGGATTTTTACTGTCATCGTTTGGTGGACATATTATTATTTTATTCTTCACTTATGGAGTAATGATGGGTTTGGGTGCAAGTTTATGCTACTTTTCATCGCTAGTTGCAGTGGGTCAATATTTCTACAAAAAGCTTTCGCTAGCAAATGGTATTATATCGTCTGGTAGTGGTTTCGGTTCCTTAGCCATGGGTCCAATAATGAATACCCTTCTGAAGACGTTTGGATGGAGACGCACGCTGCAAGTTATTGCAGGAATTTCAGGTGTGATTTTTATCAGTGCAATCCTCTATCGTCCCTTCAATACCATTGTTATTACAAAAAGACAGAAGTCAAATAACGCACAAACAAAATCAACTTGCATTGATTTCACAATCTTCAAAAACAAAGCCTACATTATCTGGTGTTCAGCTCTGGCTATTTTCATCTTGGGTTATTTTCTTCCTTTCGTTCACTTGGTAAGTTTTTTATGAAATGTGTTATGATATTTCTCATTATGTGACGTTGACCAAGGCATCGTTATTTTTACTTGTCTTTATTGCAGGTAAAATACGCACAAAACAATGGAGTTTCGCAGGACGAGTCTGCATTTTTAATTGGAATTGCGTCTGTTGGCTCTACAGTAGGACGATTATTTTTTGGACCTATTTCAGATCATCCAAAAGTCGACAGACTAATGGTTTATCAACTCTCAATTATGTGTATGGGTGTAAGTAACACTTTGTTACCATTGATGAAGAGTCATGCTACGATTATCATATATTGTGTTGTATGGGGGATGTTTGAAGGATGTTATGTAGCCTTGTGTGCTGTATTGACGGCTGACATTGTTGGTCGTGATAAGTTATCTTCTGGAGTTGGTTTTCTTTTTGCAATCAAATCAATTCCACTTACTGGAGGACCAGCTTTAGCGGGTACTTGACGAAATATATTCAACTCAACTTTTTTTCACTGCTTGATTATTTATTTAACTAAAATAGTACTTACGATGTAAGCGACGATTTTTTTTACAGGTTGGATCTACGAAACATCCAAATCGTACGACGTTGCATTTTACGTTGCAGGTGCTGCATGTATACTCTGTTGTTGCATCATGTTTTTAATTCCCGCCAATTTGCCTGAAGGTGAAGAAGTCGACGCAAACAATGGTAAAGAGATTACTGGAAATCATTCAATACGCTATACAAAAAAACCAGACTCGCTTGAAAATAATGGAAACAGTGAAGATTCGGCGTACATCAGCCTCGTTCCTTCAACTAATAATAATAAAGGTACACTTGAAAATATCCAGACGAATTCAAACTCAAATCTACAGCAAAGGTCTCGAACATCAATCAACAAATCAACAACTTCCCTCTCATCCAGATTCCTGCAACTCAGCATGCTAAAAAGGGCCAAAAGTTCAGAGTTTGGAAGTATGATGTCAATTCCTATAATCCCAAACTCGGGATCTTACCGTTCATTACAACTCAAGAATCCTGTTGAAAAAACAAGTGTAGATCATTCTTTGACAACAAACCTTCACCATAATGAACATGGATGTCATCACAGCAGCGCATCGAACATTGTCAAGCCAACTTTAGTTATAAGTGATTATGAACAAAATCATTTATTACCGAGTTCAGAGCTTGAAGACATGAATTTTGTTTCTCAACTGCCTGGCAACGAGACTTAATTATAAGCGGAGAAAAAGCCTAAATGTCAAGCGTCCATTCATAAAGCTCTTCTATTCTTGAAGTTTCTCGAAATAAAAACAAATCGAGATCCCAAAAAGTCGAGCTTGTCGATAAACTTCCATACAATTCGACACCTGATTTTACTTCTCAAGTTGAAATATAATTCAAAATACGGCCACAAACACAATACAAGATGGCTACTAATGAAAACACAAAATACTCATAGTCAACAAATTCCACACCTTTGTACGCGTTGATGAAATTAAACTGTTGTTTGATACTAATTACACAACGACAGGATTTCTTAATTCAAAACTTAAAGCACTATTTCATCAAACATTTTGTGGAAATTTATGACTGTTAAATAACCCTGCAAATCAAAGCTTCGTGTCAATATTACTATGAAGCAGAACAATCAAATAGGCTGGCATTTATATTGCTGAAAGCGAAAGTTAAAATTTAGAATGTGCATGTGTTATTGTGGACATCAATGGTTCACGTGTAGTCACGAGAAAGACAGTGGTGTTAGTGTTGGTCCTGAGAAAAACTGTAGTGTTAGTGTTTGTCCTGAGAAAGACTGTGTAGTGTTAGTGTTTGTCCTGAGAAAAACTGTAGGGTTAATGTTGATATCAGTGTTGGTCTTGAGAGAGACTGAAGTGTTAGTGTTGGTTCTGAGAAAGACTGTAGTGTAAGTGTTGGTGTTTATGTTGTTCCAGAGAACAAGTGTAGTGCTAGTGTTGGTCCTGAGAAAAACTGTAGGGTTAATGTTGATATCAGTGTTGGTCTTGAGAGAGACTGAAGTGTTAGTGTTGGTTCTGATAAAGACTGTAGTGTAAGTGTTGGTGTTTATGTTGTTCCAGAGAACAAGTGTAGTGCTAGTATTGGTCCTGAGAAAAACTGTAGGGTTAATGTTGATGTTGATGTTGGTCCAGAGAACAAGTGTAGTGTTAGTGTTGGTCCTGACAAAGACTGTAGGGTTAATGTTGATATTAGTGTTGGTCTTGAGAGAGACTGAAGTGTTTGTTCTGAGAAAGACTGTAGTGTTAGTGTTGGTGTTTGTGTTGGTCCAGAGAACAAGTGTAGTGTTAGTGTTGGTGTTGACTGACGTTTCGATGTTCTTAGCAGTAGTTATCTTCAAAGTGGACAAGGACGATTAAAATTTACAAATTAATATTTACAAACATGTTAAATTGTGTTGTTAATTATCTCACCTCCAACATGTTACAAACCAGTTTTCACAAAGAAGTAAACACGAGTTTAAGAGTTCTTCCGAAAATGACGACCTCAAATCAAAATCTGTCAAGATACACAGAACCTTCTGAAAAACTCTTCTACGAAGATCATCTTCAATTGGATTAAGCTAAAAATTACAATTAAGCTTGTGATCGGATCGGCAGGCAAGATAATCTTAATTTAATTTTGTACTTTAGTCAAAGTTGCCATTTAGAATTCAATAAGTCATCAAGTGTTTATATTTAATGCAAAAAGATATAAAAGCGTTGCTGTACTCTGTACCTTGAAGACAGTGATCATTAGACATTCCACTGTGCCTCGTTGATACTATAGATAAAAATGAGACCAGTTACATGGCTGCTGAAATAAATTATCTATAAATATGGACCGATAACGCAAAAATAAAACTTTGTTGGGTATCCAGCCGGTCTATTTACTCATATACCATGTATTGCAAATTTTTCTGTAACATGCAAGGACAAAATATATTTCTAAAGAAATTTCCACAGCATGACTTAAATCTTAAAACTGGTCAACCAATGACACTAACGGGCGAACTGCATAAATCGCTAGAAGTGGCAACTCCTGTTGAGGCTTCAAAATCATGTGTATCACGGAATCTTATCTATATTCGAGCTTATTAAAAACACCATCATGAAATAGAAAACATACTTCTTTGAGAGTGAGTAGTTGATCTTTTGCTGATTTTCCCTTGGTATTAAGGAATGCTTCAACATCACTGCAACTCAATACAGGATACTAGATGAAAGAAATGATCTACTCATAAAAATGAAAGACTGAAATTAAAGAATGTTAAAAAGATAACGTTTCATGTAGGTGTACAGCTAGATATCTGTTCCATGGCTTTAAATGATAAAAAAATTCATAGAAATAACAAAAGATAAAGAAGAAACACAGATCGCGAAGATAGGAAATAAAACGAAATGATAGTAAAAAAATAACCAACAAAATACTATAAAAAAGACTTTCACTGGTTCTCAATCCTTCCTTGTACTATCGATGTATATCAACTTGAAATAAAAGGCAAAAAAATGGTGACTAGCCATAGAAGGGAAAACAAGGAAATACATAGTTCATATAGAAATATATAGTTATAGTTTTGAATAGTTAGAAAATGTATACGGTGTTCACATGAAAAATGAAAAGCGTTGAAAAATTATCTACGACATCATCAGAAATACCGTACGTTAGGGTACATGGTTACAAAGCTTTATTTCTTCTTAAAGGGAAAATATCAAAAGAGGGAAAATATTCATCTCTACAGCCAGTATTAGAGAACCAGAATATGAATGTGAATTTATATTCTGCAGACAAATTCCTTTTTTCTACTTCAAGTAAAACAATAAAAGTAAATAAAAACAAATATTGCTTATTGACTTGCGTTAACCATAATAACTAGAAAAGACAATAAGCAAAGAATGAGATAGTTTCTTTGCCCCAACTTACTTTCAATCCCTGTAGCCATGACAACAACAACGTCACGAGAACAGCAATATTAGTTTCATTTTCGACAAATTTGAAACCATCGCTTCGATCATTAATAATAATCTAAAAAAAGTTGAAGGAAGTAATAATTTCTGCAAATCATCAACATTGTTTTTGTTTGCTTTAATATATTATTCACGACAAGACTTAAAGAACATCACATCTATTTTATTACGCAACTTTTTCCCACTACACTTCATCAACAAATGACAAAACTAATACTAACTGCAAAGCAAACACTAAAACATTCGATATAACAATCACGACCAACAACAACGAACAATCCATAAAAACTCTTTACTTTAAACTACCGTATATCGGATATCATTCGCGACACACAATACGAAGACTTACAAACATCAAACGCTTCTGCAAAGACATAAACATCCGACTAAATTTCACTTTTCAGTCAAATAATTTTTTAAATTACTATTACACCAAACAATTACTTTTCACTCAAAGATCCTATCCCTGATTGTATTAAGTCTATGGTGGTGTACCAAGTTGAATGTGCAGGATGTAATTCCCGATACATTGGCAAAACTTCCCCTCACTTATCCACCAGCATCTGGGAACAAAAACTCACAAATCTATCGTAACCTTTTAAAATACCTTCATGCAAAACTAACTATTCACCTTCTTGTTTTAAAATGCTGCAGATACTACATTGTCACTTAAAATTAAAGAAGCACTTCACAAAATTAACTCTCTCAACGTTCAAGTTTTTAGTTTTAACACTTCAATCTGTAAATACACTGATCATTAATTCTAACCAATATTTCAATCACTGTATCATATTACTCTTATATATTTATCATTTACATAATATTCTTTATTATACTGAAGATGGCATCATGAGATGTTGATACATTTTTATTTTAAAAAAACTTGGTCGTATTTATTAGATGAGCATTATCAATAGTGCTTTTACGCAGTTACAGTAATAATAAATTTTACTGCCATCATTAACTACTTCATTATAGATATAAGTTGTACGATTCTGGATACTAAAAAAACAGACTCTCAAAGTAAATTATTTATAAGTTTTAAGATTATACCTTTAGTTTTTCAACTTGGGAAAAAGTTTCATCATTTATTTGATCATACAAAGCAAAGAACATTGCCAGCTCTCTCACATTAACAGATTCGTGATTTTTCAATTCTTCTGATTCTGATGGTACATCGTTGTCCAAACATTGTACTTTATCATCAATATTATCAAATGTTTCATCACATTGAGATAAATTTGAGGACTGTTTATAAGATACAGTTTCATCAATAAATTTTGAGTTGTTTATATCAACATTTAACATAGATGAATATGATTCATTTAATGATACACCAAATAATTTATCATCTTCATTCACTGGAGGAAAGGAATTTGGTAAATCATTCTCTTCACTAGAACAGTTGTCAATGCAAGAAATATTTTCCGCATCAAATTCTCCTTTAATATCTTCTGAACTTGCTGATATTTCACACGCACTAATGGGCTTATCATTGTTGATGTTATCATTTATTAAATCCTTTTCACTGTCAATCTCATCAACATGCTTCTCTTTCCAGGAATGCTTTGTGATTTCCAGATCACTGCTATCCAAGTTACATAATTGCAAAAGACGTTTACAAACCACATAAACAATCTGTCAACGTAAGGAACAGGACGTATAGTAGTATATTATTACCCGTTGTATACCATATACTATTTACATGGTTGCAATTAAAGTGGTAGCTTGAACTTAATATGAAACAACACTAACTTCAAGGAAGGTGCTCTTTACATAACACACATGGATAGACAATCTCTGATATTTAATGAACCTTACCCACCCCTACAACACTCATCCCTAACAATGAGTGCATACCAGTTTAAACATATCCACTATTAAAAGTTTATAAAAGTACTATAAAATACAGCCATTAGCAAATAAAATACAAAAAATACATGCGTAGTAAATATACCTTAGGAATGAATTTGAGTTCTCTTGCTTCATATCCATGTAAAATATATTTTTGACGACTGAGGTGTATTTTTAATGTGATTGGTTCAGATGAAATGCTAAAAACATCGTTTATGAACACATAAAACAACAAACTTTACAAACCAATGCATCATACATATGTATAGTACAAAAATCATTAACAATAACCTTACCACTCAGGGAAGATAATCCAGCAGGGTTTTAAAAATTTGGCAAAATCTTGAACACAAGCAATCTGCGCTCTTGTTTGCACTGATTTTGGTCTAAATGTTTTAATTTTCATTGTCATAGATTATACACGGCGTTGTCGCAAAATTACTGGTTTATGCTTGATGCAAGCGTTGAAAAACTTCAAAGAAACAGATTCATTCATGATCGACGAGTAATCAAGTTTATTACACAAAAGACTCTCGTTCTGAAGTTTTCAGACTATTTTTTGGTGCACTGAAATACAAGCTTACACCTGCACAATTCTAATACGTTATGTAGATGAGTAAGTTTATGTACTTGTACGTTTGAATGTATATAGTATAATTTAATGTAGGTGATAACTAAGGTGATAGCAAAAAGAGTGCATGATTATCAAACATGCAGATTTTTAAAAGATTTACCTTTGTATTCGAACAACATGAATGGCCTGAAAACAGTAAAATTACAAAAACTAAATCTAAATAAAAAACTGATTGATTTTCATCTTATTTCATTAAGTAAGAACATTTTTGCGATAAATTTTAATACTTTTCGAAAACTCAAAATATTTAAATTCATTCTAGAGCAAATTACAAAGATATTATTGATCTCACATATAACTAAAGCAACCAGGAACCGTCGTTATAGTCAATACATCACGTGTTTGTTGTACGTATTCATTTCAACATGGTAAAAAATACCTCTTCAGCAGACAAACGTTTCGAATACACGAGATATGAAGCAATGAGAACACCTGTTCGACCTAGAATGACGTGATAAAAATTTAAAGAAATACTTGATCTGTTTACAAGGTGGACGGCTAAATATATTTCTATAATTACAACATAGCATATTATTAACAACTTTAAGTGTCATCAATCTTTTAAATTAATTGATTAATTACCGTATAACTGCGTAAACGTAATATTGATAATGCGCATTTAATAAATATGACAAGTTTTTTAAAAATAAACAAGTTTCAACATCTCAGTATAAATGAGAATATTATGTATATGATAATTATAAATAGTAATAATATGATAAAATGATAGTTTATACAATTATGAGTAGACTATTAAATGTTGGTTTGAACTAATGATGAGTGTATTTGCACATCAGTTGTGGTGTGTTGTAATGACAGGGATGTTTCGCCAATGTATGGGGAATTACATCCCGCCCAATAATTAATTAATTAATAATTAATTGTTTAAATGGACAGTAAAACGAAAATTTTGCTCACTTGAATTACAATTTCTTTAAAGAAAAGTCCTAAAATGACTTGCAAAAACATTTTGTTCATATCTCCACTCATTCTCAAGATAACGAAGTTTTAAATGTCTCATTTACACAATCAACGACGCCACATTGCATAATGTAAGTTGAATAATAAGAAATATTTGCCTTTATGATACATTAACGGTTCAACCGGACTGAGTTTCTGTCGTTGTGAAGTATGAACACTATAGAAGTATAAAATTTTTTTGATCCAAAAGTTATCATGAAACTGAAGGATATTTATAAATTTGCAATGACTCATTATGCAATGTGAAGTCACTGGTTCCGTCAATCAGATAATACAAAAACTTCAATAATTAAAAAAAAAAAAGACATAAATAAACTGTTTTAGAAAGTCCATTGTCATTTCAAAAGTTCTCTTCAAAGAAAATGTAATTTAACTGGCAAAAGTTTGTTTTACTGGCCCTTTAAATGCAACAAAAACAGTGGTATAGCCAGTCCCATTAAGTTAGTCCTGCTACATATGTCTATAATATTTAATTTTACAACATATTACCTAAGCCAGCATGACAATGAACAGCAACCTTTGAAGTAAAATAAGATCAACAAAATTTTATCTTTCTCATCTTTATTTAACACACAATCTGCCTAAAGGGTATGTTCACCTTTCCATTTTGTAGAGCGAAATCCATTACTTTTACAATATCCAGAACTGAATCCAGAGAACGAACACCGTAATCCTTCCTGAAAATCAGATCATCAATTTGATGTTGAGTTACGTATTGGTGATTATTTGTTGTTATAGAGTATGGAAGTGGAATTTAGAGATATCCAAATGAGTTTTTGGCATTCAGAATAAAGCTTCCTCTGAAAGTCACAGTCGATTAAAATCAAAATACGTCAGTTGAATATCAATAAAGTTGAGTTATCTCACAAATTGCTGCTGCTACAATGTTTAAAGAAGAATAGAATGAAAAGATAATGATTTTTGAACTTTAAATATACACGACAAGTTTTTTCAGAATAGACGTATTTCGGTATCTCATGATGCCATCTTCATGGACACAGAAACTGCTGATACGACGATCACGATCAACACAAATAAAAATTCCAAAATAACAACTCTATACTTTAAACTACCATACATCGGACATTACTCACGACACACACAGAGCAGACTTACGAACATTATGAAACGCTTCTGTACAGATATTGACATTCGACTAATTTTCACATCATTCAAAATCAAAAACCTTTTCTCATTCAAAGACCCAATCCCTGATTCAATTAAATTCATGGTGGTATATGAATTCGATTGCGCGGGATGTAATTCCCGATACATTGGCGAAACTTCGCGCCATTTATCCACCAGAATCAGGGAACATACCACAACAGAAAAAAACTCTCAAATACTTCGCTTTCATTATGAATTACGGGATTGTAACAAGATCTCTTTTGAAAACTGTTCTCATTGATATATTGTGGGGTGGGGGTGGGGGTGGGGGGCTGTGCATCGTGCACCTTCCCATGGAATTAGGTACCAAAATAAATTTATGATACTTAGTATGAAAGTTGATAAGAGTGAACTTTTTATTCTTTTTAGATGAGATAATTAATGTTATCAACCTACATGTCAATATGTTTTCAAAATAAAAATCCACTTACCAAATGAAGTTGTAGAAAAATACTGAAAAGAAATACAAAAAGACCTTATAAGACAATAGCTATAAATATTTTACTTTAACAATGTACTATATGACTACAAAATTCAGGTGCATATTCATAGTCAAGTCAGTCAAACATTTTTTTCAAACAATTAATACAAAGCCAACAGTGCTTGGCTTCTAACAAAGGCGGATCCAGTTATAGGCAAAATAAATTCCTTCAAAACATTGATTGGCTAATTTTTATTCTTTAGAAATTCATAACCAATGCCTTTGTTGTAAAGATGTTTTAAATTTAAAATTAGTGGTTATAATTTATTTTGCCTTGAGCTGGATCTGCTACTGGCTTCTAACTTCATCATTAAAATGGTTCAAATGGCATTGTTAAAAAATATACAAAAACAATATGCAAAACTCATCTCTACTCCATTATTTTAATATTATAGTATAGTAATCAATTTTCCATCCTTGTAGAACAGAAAATTACTACTTTTGACATTCTGAAAATGATCTGGAATTTACATAGCGACCAAATTTGTGGGTTGGCTATACAAATGGTTGTATTGTCATGCAAGAATAATATCTTTTTTCTTCAAACTAGAAAATAATAATGACATTCATTTCCATGCTTGAAAACCACTAAAAACAACTTCAATGCTAGAATTGCAACAACATACTTCCATTGCTCATAAAGTCTTCCGGATTATATGTAAAACCACTTTCTTCCAATCCATAACCACAATTTGCATGTTCACCAGGATGTTGCAGGTTTATAATTGTTGATATATCGCACCTGCAGTCAATGAGTAGATAGTATTGTTAGTTTATGGCAGCTGAATTTGAAATTAGAAATTTACATAGTATTATCAAACTTGCAAATGTCTATCCCAGTTATTTTATTTACAGTTGAAACTTCTTTTTGACAGAAGACATACCTCTGAAATTGTTCTATAACATTGAATTTTTTGATGATATACGTTGATGGTCTTGCCATTGCTAAAATTTTATCGGTTGCCCTTAAAAAATAAACAAAGAAAAATATGACATTGATTATAAAATATGCTTACAATACGACAATGTGTTGAGAAGCATTCACAGACAACAACAATCCATATACCATGAGCAACTAGTCTACAAGAAACACAACATATTTTCTTCGTTAAGTCCCTTTCTGGGCATTGAAACTTTTAAGACTAAAACTCGCGTTGTGAGATTGACGAAGAAACATTTTTCATATTGTGCATGACCTCAACTTCAACCCAAAGACTTCAAAGCAATTAAATTCAAAAATACTAACCAAGAAGAGTATAAGCCTTTGATAGCCATTTCATTCTCTGTCCATTTCGCCGGTCCTTCGTATTTACATTGCTTTCCCCCACAAAATATGGAGCACTGAATAGAACCAGACGTGACATAACGAAGTGTTTCTGAAACTTTTGAATACTTTGGTCTGCAGTCCATCATCTGAGATTTATCATCCATACCAGGCATTTTTTGAGAGTTTTGTTAAAGAGTTTATCCATATTGTAAAGTATTCATCTATACAAAAGATAAATTGTACTAAAAACATAATGACAGACAAGCAAAACAACAGCGCCATCAGCCCATAGCAACAAGCTATGCGTTCGTAATTCGTTGTTATCATTACAAATCTTATCACATTTGGTAAATTTTATAGCATTTACAAAATTTCTGTAAAATTGCTTGAAATTTACAACGTCGGTAAACAAAATCATGAATAAAGTGTAGTCGATGCAAAATTGAAATTCACAACTTTCCTAAAGGGTCAGTGAGCCAGTGGGGCAGACGGCAAAGCTCATGGTCAGTGCTATGCATTGGTGCAACGTCAGTGAGTCTACCTATCATAATTCCTCACGTTTCTTCCAAATTAAATTATCATTACAATTTAAAAGATAATAAGTTTTTTTCATCACAAATTGATCCGACACTAACCTACTCTGTTCTAAAAATGCAAAAAATAGTTACATTTGCGTGAAATTTTCAAAACATTGCAAAATAAGAATGCCAAATAAACGCACATGGATAAAAGAAACAGAGTTTTTGGTAATGCATTAAATATCAAGAAATTAATCTTATAATATTGATTGTACAAATTGATTTTAAATAATGACTAATTACTACAAATAAATTGTTTAGAAATTTCATATTGCCGTGTGTTCTGAAAAGATTTTATGGATTACAGTTCAGAATCAGGGAACATTCCATGAAATCAGCACGTTTTATTCACCAAATCTAATCGCGAGCTTGTCTCTTTTCGTAGGCAGCTTTAGCCAGTCTATGTAACTGTAATGATGATTCTTTTCCAGTCTGTTTTACCATCAAACTGAGCAAAGATTGAGGTTGATTTAAAAGTTCAAGTGGTTCATCAAATTCAATTATTTCTCCAGCATCTAAAACCTTTAAAATTTACGAAATCATTATATTGACTCATTTAATTCTGTTGGATTTCTGTTGGATTGTGTATATAGTTTTCGTGGATTATAAAACTGCAGTGACTATCAAGATCTCAAGGCCGTAACAAGAAAGTTTGAGGGGGTGGGGTGTACATTCGAGAAAATCGGACTCGTATAACTCAACTATATTTTCGGAATTTAGCATAACATCAGTTAATTTAAATGCAACAAATAGCTTTTCATTAAATTTAAAAAATTTTAAAATAAAGTAAATCAAACTATGTTGGAAAAGCGGACCTTTTTTAACTTTGGGGGGGGGGGGCACGTGCAACCAGTGCACTCCCCTGGTTACGGGCCTGGGTCTGCACATAATAATACAACCACACTCAGTTTTGACTTTCAACAAGACACGATTCTTTCAAGCAACAGATGACAGACATGAATTATATTTATTTAACCTACCATTATCCTATCAGTATCCATTATAGTATTCAACCGATGAGCTATAGTAAGAACTGTGCAATCTCGAAATTTTTCACGAATAGTTTGCTGTATAAGATTATCTGTTCTAAATAAATACAAACAAGGCATTGGGCAGTTAAGTTATTTAGCGAAACAAATCAGTCAAAAGCATATATACTTGTGATCAACATTCGCAGTTGCTTCATCAATGATAAGTATTTTGTTATGTTTGATGATAGCTCTAGCCAGGCAGATCAGTTGACGCTGTCCAACACTTAAATTATTCCCTGATTCACTGATACGAAATTCTAATTTGCTTGGAAAATTATTGACGAATTCTTTCAGTTGTACCTAAGGTTTGAAACAATATGTTATACAGCTGTATTGTTGTAATTCCTATGGATGATAAAAGGTTTTACATAAATATAGAAGCAATGTGTACATTAAGTAATGTTGGTCTGACTTTAATTCTACTTTGGGTTAATTTATGTTTACCATTGCTGTAGGTTTAAGTACGATTTCTGTATCTGTACTGTTTTACCTCTTCAAGGGCATTCCATAAGACGACATCTTCATGATTTGAGAATGGATCTAAATTATAGCGAATCGACCCAACAAAAATCACAGGATCCTGTAAAATATATTCATGAAAAAATGTGAAAAATGTTTCGTTTCGTGTGAATTTTTCAAGCAAAACATTTTACTAATATTCAAATATTTCGTGTTCCATAAATGTTGCCGTTATGAAAATTTATAAAACATAGTTTTTCATATAGAACAACGCATATTATATAATACTAGGTCAGTAATATCATTATTTCTTCAACATTCTTACTAGTGAGGTGTGTGGTTGATCAATATATATATCAAAAATAGATCTGCAACTACCAGGCTCCACAAATCCTCATCCAAGGAATAATTGATGATTTTTATTCATGCAATTTTACAAACAGACATATATAGAACAATTAATATGCAACCACTGTGCTTCATATAATCCTAACCTGAGGTATAATTGACAGTTTTTCTCTGAGATTATGTAATCCCATTTTATCAATAGCTATACCATCAATAGAAATACAACCACCAGGCTCCGCTAAACGAAACAATGCACATATTAACGATGACTTTCCAGCACCAGTTCGACCAACTATACCAATCTAAATTGATTAAAATGACGAAAGTTATAAACAGATATAACAATTTCATTGTTTTGAACGATAAACTTCGTCAACCTTTTCTTTTGCTTTGATATGAAAGTTTATCCCTTTTAAAACAAGTGGCAAAGATGAATGATAACGAAATGTAACATCTTCACCAACAATTTCTCCAGACTCAGGCCAGCTTTCTCTTGGTAGAACATCTCGTTGTTCCAATTCTGCTTCAGATTCGATTTGTGTATACTGAAGAATTCGTTCTACAGACACCATCTGAAATTTATGCAGTAGAAAAATGTCACGACGGATTGTTGGAAAAATTACATTAAAACACTACATGACACCGTCTTTATTTGAAAGTTAACCAATTGAACAAGAGATATTAAAAAAATCGTGCTTTGATGTAATGCCGTTTTCATCTTCACCTGTATAATCGTTTTAACAAACATTTTTTTTCTCTAAAATTATTTCTATTCTGATGGCAGGAAAGTATAGCTGTTTACTATAAATGAATTAAACTATAGAAAACACACATAAAAAAGAGCTAAGCAATCACACAGGTCCATGCAACGTCGAAATAGCTACTGAAAGAACCTCTACCATAAATCATTTATTATCTTGAGATAATGCTATCCATACGTAGATCACCGACATCCAGTAAACTATAGATCACCGATATCCAGTAAACTATAGATCACCGATATCCAGCAAACTATAGATCATTGATATCCAGTAAACTATAGATCACCGATATCCAGTAAACTATAGATCACCGATATCCAGTAAACTATAGATCACCGATATCCAGTAGACTATAGATCACCGATATCCAGTAAACTATAGATCACCGACATCCAGTAAACTATAGATCACCGATATCCAGTAAACTATAGATCACCGATATCCAGTAAACTATAGATCACCGATATCCAGTAAACTATAGATCACCGATATCCAGTAAACTATAGATCACCGATATCCAGTAAACTATAGATCACCGATATCCAGTAAACTATAGATCACCAATATCCAGTAAACTATAGATCACCGATATCCAGTAAACTATAGATCACCGATATCCAATAAACTATAGATCACCGATATCCAGTAAACTATAGATCACCGATATCCAGTAAATTATAGATCACCGATATCCAGTAAACTATAGATCACCGATATCCAGTAAACTATAGATCACCGATATCCAGTAAACTATAGATCACCGATATCCAGTAAACTATAGATCACCGATATCCAGTAAACTATAGATCACCGATATCCAGTAAACTATAGATCACCGATATCCAGTAAACTATAGATCACCGACATCCAGTAAACTATAGATCACCGACATCCAGTAAACTATAGATCACCGATATCCAGTAAACTATAGATCACCGATATCCAGTAAACTATAGATCACCGATATCCAGTAAACTATAGATCACCGATATCCAGTAAACTATAGATCACCGATATCCAGTAAACTATAGATCACCGATACCCAGTAAACTATAGATCACCGATATCCAGTAAACTATAGATCACCGATATCCAGTAAACTATAGATCACCGATATCCAATAAACTATAGATCACCGATATCCAGTAAACTATAGATCACCGATATCCAGTAAACTATAGATCACCGATATCCAATAAACTATAGATCACCGATATCCAGTAAACTATAGATCACCGATATCCAGTAAATTATAGATCACCGATATCCAGTAAACTATAGATCACCGATATCCAGTAAACTATAGATCACCGATATCCAGTAAACTATAGATCACCGATATCGAGTAAACTATAGATCACCGATATCCAATAAACTATAGATCACCGATATCCAGTAAACTATAGATCACCGATATCCAGTAAACTATAGATCACCGATATCCAGTAAACTATAGATCACCGATATCCAGTAAAAGTTTCTAGTTCAGCTCTCATTCTTAGTTTCTCAATTAGTTGAAAAAATGCTATTCCACTCACTCAATTTTCCAAGTGAAAGGTATACATACGTCGTGTTAATTTTCAAATGTCGTATTTATTTTCCAATGCATCATTCGCACAAAAGTTAAAGAAAAGTTTTTTCTCCCATAATATATTTATCATTAATATTACCTGATTTTCGACCTCAGCAGTTTGCCTTACGCAGTACTGAAACATTCCTGTCAGGCGTTTTGTATAAACAAGAGATAAACCAACTAGAACCGGATTTACTTCTACATAAAAAATAAGGAAAGCAGATTAAATGCGTCCATTTGCTCTGTAGAGAACCAATATGCGTTAATTTCCACGTACTATTTTAATGCAATAACGAGTAATTAGGCAAAGAATATGAAAAATTATATCTTTTTAAATGTTTTTGAATCGACTTCCATAGAATACACCTAGATGTCATCATAAAAATTCAAAATACTGTGATTAAATGCGTTGATTTTTGTTTAATTTAATGCTCATTTGCTCTAAGTACATCAGAATGAATGAATTTTCAAAACCAAAAATTGAAAACTTTGTTGGCAACCAAAATATCATAAAAATTTTAACTCACCAAAACCGAATTCATTGACCAATAAAGGTGTAAAACATACAATGGTCATTAAAGTGGCACAGATCATGTCAAGTCTATAACCCAACCATCGATTTGCAGCAATGCAGAAAAAATTAGCCGCTGTGTCGGAATCTTGATAGGAATTGTACATATCAGTAAATTGATTTTGCTCTTCGGACGCGCGAATTATAGCCAATCCTTGAAGTGTCGCAGAAATATGCGAGTATAAAGGGCTTCGTCCTGAAATAAAAGATTAAAATACTTTTTCTCGTGATAAAACTCACTGTAAATGTGTTACGTTGAAATAAGATAAGCAACAGTGTTGATATTAAAGCAAAAATAAAAGAACCATTTCAAATGTACTTTTTCACATCTAATAACTAATATTGTAATATATTGTGCATGCAATCCTCAGAAATTCGCCTTGCATTTTTATGAAGTCTTTTTAGTGGAGTTATATGCAAACTGTGGACAGCTCTTGTTTAAAGTTTGGAGCTACTATCATAACAAAACAATATTATTGATCATCTTTTTTATCAAGTCGACAAAGAATTGTCTTCCTTTGATGGCTACCACCTTTAGTAATGTATGACAACGAAGAATTTTGAAACCACGATGAAGTAGCTACTTACTCAAAGCTTCCATTCTTTTTATTTCCCTCGATGATTTAAGATAATATTGTCTTAACCAAACAAAGATACCAATAATTGGTAAAACAAATACTGCGATATAAGGTAGAGAAATGACGCTCATCACAAGAACTGCCAAAGCAAATAATCCAAGCTAAAACATAAAATGTACACAATTGTAAGTTGTAACTATTTAAAGTGAATGACTATTGATTATAGGTCAATTTACCGAAGAAGAATCAAAAAATGTCAAGGGCAACATATCATCTGTTAAGCCAATATCTTTGGAAAAGCGGTTGAGAACTGGACCTAAATCAGTTATTTATAATTTAGTAGTTTTAATATAATATTGGATATCATTGGATGATAAAATATCCAAAAGACTGAACGTTTTATTGTATCGTCTCTAACATGATAAATGCGCAAGCAAGCCTCGCCTAACACGCATATTTTGAAATATGAAGATTACATACCGACAGGATTTGTGTCGAAGAAATAGATAGGAGCTCTGAGCACGGTGTTAAACATTCTGTCATGTAAATGTCTTGATGCACTGATTAAAATCTGAAGCCATAAAACAGCTCGTGTAAATGCAAACAAAACAACAACAAGAACAGAACCAATGTAAATCATAAGATTCTCTTCTCGCTTTTCCTCGATTATTGCTCTGGAAATATTTTTTTCAACTTGACTTTCTTCCCAATTGGACCTGAATAAAGGTAAACACGTCAAAAAAATCTTTTAAAAACTTCAATGACGACTTAAAATGGATTTTTTATTGAAGTACAGCAAATTTGATTCGTGAAATTGTAAAGCATGTTAAAAGTTGAGCTATAGAGTAGAGATTTTTAAAGTATGTTAAATGTTGAGCTATAGAGTAGAGATTGTAAAGTATGTTAAATGTTCAGTTATAGAGTATATTTACCATTGAGCAAGCCACCATTCAGATATCATCAAAGAACACTAAAATCATAATCATCAATAAATAAAACATTTTCTATTGAACACGTTGTAACACGTTTATTTTATCTATACCTGACCCAATAGAAACACGACGAACGAGTTGTAACACGTTTATTTTATCTATACCTGACCCAATAGAAACACGACGAACGAGAAACATAAAAACAAAGGTTTTGCCCCAGCAAGAAAGTATTCTTTATAAATTTGAAAGGTGACACGACCAGTTATGCGACCATCTGAAATATCACCATCATCTTCCTTCAAAAAAAAGTCTCCTTCAAGTACAAAGACACAAAGTTGTTACTACAATGAGAAAGTTGCTATTGCACAAAACTTAAACTCTAAAGATCGCTTACCTGACTGAATAATTGATCTTTCTCACCACACTCAAGTTCATAAAAACTTGTCGAAGCGTTCAAACGGTGATTATGACCAGAACTAACAACGGCAAGACTTAGATCATGCGCAGAATGAGCACGAAGCACAACATCAGAGTCAGATAATAATTTTTCACTGAGTTCATGTTCACTAAGTGAAGTATGTTTCTTTCTCACTCTTTGCGGTGATTGTAAAATTTGACGTTTTGGTTTTGGTCTAAACGTGATTTGCTGTTCGTAATGATTTGAAGCATTAGCAAATGAATGTTCTTCATCTTGGTTTTCATCAACACGAATCATTGATAAAATATCAACACCTTCTTTTTTAAGTTGTTTTATATTTCCATAACCGACAACATTTCCCTAGTGAAGAACAGAATATTTCCATACAACACAAAGCACAGTTTTTGAAAAGTATCCACATTCATTCAGACACGTGACATGCAGTTTCTGGAAAGTATCCACGTTTATTCACGCACGTGACATACAGTTTTTGAAAAGTATCCACATTCATTCACACACGTGACATACAGTTTTTGAAAAGTATTCACATTCATTCACACACGTGACATACAGTTTTTGAAAAGTATTCACATTCATTCACACACGTGACATACAGTTTTTAAAAAGTATCCACATTCATTCACACACGTGACATACAGTTTTTGAAAAGTATCCACATTCATTCACACACGTGACATGCAGTTTCTGGAAAGTATCCACGTTCATTCACGCACGTGACATACAGTTTTGAAAAGTATCCACATTCATTCACACACGTGACATACAGTTTTTGAAAAGTATTCACATTCATTCACACACGTGACATACAGTTTCTGAAAAGTATCAAAATTTATTCAGACATGTGACGTACATATGAAAACTTTCCATATTCATTCAGACAAAAACAACAAAGAAATATTTCATGTTAATAATTGAGTAATGCTAGTCATTATTTTCCATTTTTGATATGACTTTTACCTACTTGTGCTAGCCAGTCATCGCAATTACTCTGCCTCCACATTTAAAAAAACCTTGTTTGAAACTCACCTCATTCAAACAGAGAATTCGATCTGCGTCAGCAAGAAATTGCAATTGATGAGTGACAAGAACACATAGTTTTGTCTTCAAAATACCACGAATACAACTAAAAAAATGGACGGTTTGGATAAGAATGTAGACGTGATCGTCCAAAAAGAACAAAAAAAAACTGACTAGTTTCTTCTCATTACTTCATCAAAACAATTACTCTCGTTTAGTAAGGTAAATTACAATCATAAATATACCATTAATTGTTTCAATTTAAATTAATATCTTATTATCTTAATATGTTATTAAAACTTTTCTGACTTAACAAAAACTTGAATTATAACACTCCTTTTTAAAAATATGATTAATTCCAAGGCAAATTACTGCAAAGGTAAAGAGTATCTCTTAAAGTGCTAAATATGTAATGTCATATGCTTAACTTGTTATCAATGACAGATCTTTGCTAGGTTAGAATACAATATACCTACACAGCTTATTTTGAATTCAAAATACTTTAAAAACAACACCATCAGTCAAAAAATCTACAGAATATTCAAGAATTAAATTATTACCACTAAGATTTGTTTTAAAGTATTTTGAATTGGAAATATATTCATATAATACTGCTAGTTATAGCTATTTTTGGCTTGATAATCAGCTGTTTGAAAAACTCAGGCTCTAGCGTGGTCAGCCCACAAATTTGGTCCTGTTATGTAAATGTTTCTGTGATCTGACTTATAAAATATGATAGATCTATCGCGCAGATTTTGGAAAAAGACGTTATAAAAATTCTTCATGCATAAATTTTATGAAAGCAAAGATTGTAAATTCTTACTTGCTAAAGATATGTCTAGAAACATGTGCGTCAACAGCACTAAGAGGATCGTCCATTAGGTAAACATCTGCATCCATATAAATGGCTCTATAAATAAATTAATAAACGTACATGCAATTGCTTGTGATGTCATTTTATATTGAAATCAAATGAACAAATGCAAAATATATCTTGAATGATAACTCAGACAATATTATGATCAGTGATCACAGTTACGTTCATCATAAAAACTTCAATTTCACAACTATCTTTGAGATAAAATTGTTTTAAGTAATTAATCAAAACGTTCAATTCTAAAACTTATACTCCACATAAATAAAATATAGATGACTGCAAAGTGAACGAGTCGCGCTGACATATAAAGATTGGCTCTGTACCTCGCTAAATTCACTCTTGCTCTCTGTCCACCACTTAATGATACACCACGCTCTCCAACTAAAGTGTCATCACCATCAGAAAGAGCTTCAATATCCTTCAAGCAAAAAATAAATTAATTGGAGGGGAAAAGGTTGAAAATCAATCACTTTATTCTTCTTTACTGCTCTGTATCGTAATAAATGAAATTTTGAAATGTAACACAAGACAAACGGGTGAAAATGGATTGAATGTTGTATAAAAGTGTTTATAAAGATGTAACCTTTTCAAGAGCACAACCATGAATGACTTCAAAATATCTGTTTTTATCAAAATTTCTTCCAAACAGAATATTTTCTCGAAGAGTTCCTGAGAAAACCCAAGGTTGTTGTGATACATATGCAACACGGCCATTGATACAAATGACACCATTGGTTACTGGAAGTTCACGTAGTAACGTCATTAGCAGCGATGACTAGAATACAAATATAAAATTCAATTTCTCTTAAAGCAAAACAAAGTAAATTCAGGCTTATAGCTTGAAAATAATTTTATGGTAAATTTATTTGGAAGGCAATACATAATGTTTTGTTATTGAATATAATTTCATTGATGTGTTTATAAGACATAAATTAACATCAAAGCAAAAAGACGTCAATTCAGAACTTTTCACCTTTCCACATCCAACTGGACCAACAATCATCAAAAGTTCTCCCTGTGAATAGAAAACAACGAATTTGTAACCAGAAAAGAAATTACGAAATATTTCTCAGAATTCGGGATACGTACAGGTGATACTTTGAAAGTAACATTTGATAAAACATTCTCATTGCTTTCCTAAAACATCAAAGTAACATGATGAAAGACACGAATGATCAAACATGAATCAATGTTGAAAACTACAGTATTATTTAAAAAGTTCAATAACCTTGTTCCAAGAAGAACAGACATTATCAAATGTAACACCATGTGTTTCATCTCTGGCTCTATTGGCAGAGAGAGTTTTTCCTTCATCCAAAAGTAAGAATTTCTGAATGGACAAAGAATATAAAACAGACAAATCAAAATGCGAGAAACTTCAGCAAGCATACAACAATAATAAGTCAAAAAAATTTAACTATCAAATATGATAATGAAGAGTTGATTAAATTGTTAGTGACATCACTTTAATCAACAGACAAGAAAGTAGCTGTATTAAAATCGTTCAAGCAAGTTGTATGAAACTTGATCTACTTTTTTTACTGCATGAATATAAATATAACAAGTACTATGTTTTAATGTCCGCGTTAGCGAACAAGTTCAATGGCAGACTACTACATGACGTGGCACCAACAAACAGACCACTGACGTATTCATAGAAGACCTCCCCACACACACACAAAGAGACCTGCATACCGCAATTCTACGAAGAGATACACCAGATTCTTTAAAGCCTGTGATGAACCTCGGTATAAAAACAGAGGTCAAAGAATGAATAGCAGAGATAATGGCAACAATCGTAAATACTTTCTCATTTGTGAGAGTATGTCCATTTAACACGTATGGTATAAACATTGCAGTAGACACCAATGGAATCGTCGAAAGATAAAGCATTGCGTTTAGAGCGTTCAAACGTAATGTGTTGGCCACTTTTTTGATTTCCTTTCTAAAATTTTAATGATTTGATTTAATAGACATAAACTACCATAACAACAATGGACAAAAACAAAATTTAGATAAAAATGCAATACATTTTATCGTAATGTTACGAAGATTTTTAATGTGAAAACAGACATTTCTTCTCAAAAAATTTTTAAAACATAACACTATTGTGATCACATGGTACGTAGCTATGACAACAGTTCTTACGTACATCGGTTTGTCTAGGAATGTTCTACAAAAATTTCCGTTGTGTAATTTTTGTAAATGTAACAAGGGACAAGAACTTTGTGTAAGAGAATAGACTTTCATTCATATCCATTTATATAAACCCTTACATTATTACAACAACTCAATATTAGTATCATTCACACTCGCATCAGTGAGATCGTAAGAAAGACTATGAACATTACAACTGTTTCATTATAAAATATGTACCTTCTGACATTGCAGACAAGTTTAGAAAATGGATATTCCCAAGCATACATTTTAATGACACGCATGCCACAAATAACTTCATTCATTATTTTTATTCGCTCATCACGAAGTATGGCTGTTTTTGCTCTAAAAAAGGAAAGATGATCCCTGTTGGTTGATTGGTCCAGAGGGTTATAAGTCATGTAATAAATTGAAAACGTTAAAAAATGAAGTACGAAACCAATGCAAAAGAAACATTTCATTTTTTTTTGACGTGGATTGCCATGTACAAGACTTGAGTTCATGTACTTACAAACTAACTTCAAACCATTCTATTGACCTACCGCAGAGAAGCAAAGTACTTTCCAAGCCAAGATTGAAACGCCGGTAAAATAAAAAGAAGTGCCATCCCAGGAAGAAATGAAAACCCAATCTCCGTCCAGCATAAATAAGATGCAATAAGGAGTACCACTGGAGCGGGAATAACAAGAAGGCCAAAGAGCAAAGCCTATAAAACGTTCAGTTGAAATAATTTGAGAGAAAAAAACGCACCATAGGTAACAGGTATATGTACGTTCCAAAACAATTCCTTTTCAAACAACACGATCAAAATAATCCATTTATAAACTCAGTATTTTTAATTTGCTGTTTCCTATCATTTTCCTCGTTTTTGTGACTTATCAATATATCGTGTTGCTGATACAGAATCAAAAACTTGGTACCGAACAACGAGAGATCTATATTATTTCTCCAACTATACTATTGTACCTCTTCTGTTTTTTGAACATCATTTGTGACAAGGTTGACTATTTGTCCAGTGTCAGTGAAACCCAAGGAGGCCTGGCTCATGCGCAATGCCTATGTACGTACAAATCAGCTAATCAGTAAAATATGTACTTTATTTTTATACGTGAAATACAAACATCACCTTGTTGTAGATAACAGCTGATAACGCTATTCTTATATCCATTCCCGTTCTCAATGATTCTAGAAACAATGGATGGTGAACAATAGCCTCAACAAAGGTACAAATGGTGATAACAGCAGCAAATAAATAACCACTCTCTTTATCAACACCATCAACAGTATTGAATGATGCCACAATCTTTCCAATATAAATGGATACGATTACACGCATTGACATCTAAACAAAAGAAAATATTTAAATAATTTCACAGATGAATAGTAAAAATCATTTATCCCTCCATTAAATCTTTAACTCTTCAATGCTTGCGTTGTGGCACAATCAACGATTGAAAGACTAACTGTAAAATGCAGATAAAAAATATAAAATGTACCTCTAAAATAGCAAACACCAGAGAAGAGAAATACTTGTATCCAGCGACTTTCATCAATGGAATTAAGAGACTTGGTTTTTTCGACACTTTAACCTCATGCTGCCAAGCTCTAAAACGTTATACTTAATCATGAGAATGACAATTCTCGCAATGAAAGCAATCATAACGATAATACATTATGCAACTAATAAAAATATACGTATAATAGTATAATATTTTGTATTTGAAAGATACAACGGTTTTAAGTGGCTAAGGATTGTCGTATTAGTAAAATTAATCAAATTATTTTACAATACAACTATATTCAAAACTTTTAACATATCATGTAAACATTCAATAATTGTGTCGTTTATCAGACAAAATAAACGTGATTTAGTGCGTTTCCTTTCTCAAAATCACCTACTTTTCTAATTTTTCTGAAAGGTACGTCGTCGAATCTCTTTCAAGAACTTCACATATGTCAGATTCTGTTAAAGGTGTTTTGCTTCCCTTCCTCAACGTTTTGCCAAGCCAACTAAAAAATGAATAAAAAATATAAGATTTTAAAACAGTGTAGTGGAGAAAGTTTTCTTTGACAAGCGTTCATCATAAGATAGTCCATTTTCTAGTAAACTATGAAAAATAACGGTGCTCGCGTTTTAAAGTATGGTTGAAAAAATTTAACTTGCCTCTAACCATGTCAGCTTTAAAAATCCGTCGTACAAATACCGTATACTATGTACGCGGTGGTGATTGTGAGCTCTCAAGGAAATTTCATGTTGTGTGCATTGGAAAATAAATGGAGGACAATTTTTAATCAAACTTTTTAGCTGGCATGCAACGTTTGACACGTAAAAATTTAAGAGAAAATTCACGTAAAGATGGTGTCACAAATCAAAAACACACTAGTTAATAATTGTGCACATGATGGAGGTTTATTTCTTCATCGAGTTGACATAGGATAAGAAAACAACCACCAATTAAGACGTTCATTAAAACTTCTTTGGGATAAGTTCCCAAGTAAATTGTATGCCACTTTTATATAAGATGATCAAGAGTTGATTTCCATGAGAGCTAAAATTCAGTTTTCAATGAAAATTTATTTCTTGTAATCAATTTTTCATTTCCTCATTTTCAAACACTTTCTCTATTATCATATTCAAGGCAAAGGCACGTTGGTTGATCAGTGTCATTATTTCAGCCTATCTATTATATTAAGATTGAGTGTTTGAACCTAATATACTTGGCCTCATCACATTTATAACAATGTTTAACTATCAACAAATGAGAAAGTTAAAATAATAGAGATTTTCATTTGGGCACTCATGCAAAATAGGACTTGGCTAACAGCTTTACTGTCTATTTGAACTGTACTGAACTTTTAAAACACTCTTGCTGTGGCATGATTGAGAAAACGTTGCTTATAGCCTACTTTGTTTGCATTCATAAAGCTACTAAGATGCATTTCTATTCCTGAGAGAAGCAAATAGTTAAAGCCATACATATTACCTATTTCAAGATTCCATAACAGAGAACTTTTGTTGAGTGGATTGACTGTGATCACTAATTGACATCCATTTCTACAATCTTAACTACTTTGCCATTTTATTTTTAGAATTTTTATCATGCTTGAAACAATTGTACATATAAATGGAAAGTGAATGTGGGCTAAAAATTCACATTCAAATGATTTTGATCATTTAAACATAGTAAATTCACAACAGCTTTTTGCCTATATGCATTTAGAGTGAACTATATGCCAAAGATAAGCATTATTAACAAAGAAACACATGACAAAATGGAAAGTCCACACTGACTATCTTTGGGATATGCAACAGGAATGCAATCTGGGCTTTTTGTAACGATCAGTAGCACAGTAATTTTACCCATGCTATGCAAATAATTGATTGTTAACTGACTGAAAAAAAATTTTCTATAAAATGGATAATGCTTGTGATTTATATTTACGTAATGTGCGTAATTTTGAATGGCAACCGATAAAGTCAACCTCAAACTATTTTAACAATTTAATGCATTTCTGTTTCTTTGAATAATTTTCAAGATAAACATCGTTACTATCAGTTGTTTTTCATTAATATCAATATTTTTCAAAGTCAAAAACTAAGAGTTCTTTTAAAAGCAATATTGAGAGTCTGCACAAACCTTTGTGAAACGTGTGATGAGAAAAAATTTGCCTTAGCAGCAGGATTTTCATTACAGCGGGGATTTTTTTCCCTCTTCATTTCCCGCAAGAGCTGAATCGGTTGCTTGCTCAGCTTTTTTCCGCAGTAATTTTTGTTCAAGTGAATCTTTCCTCGTGGTTAATATTGAAAGTTGAGACTCTAAGTACATTGAAATGACATCATAATGAAACAGCGATTACAACACCAAGTTGAATCGTACAATAAATATTTTTAACTAGTAAGAAAGGCATCAAATTTAAAAACATCCAGCCATAAAGACAATCACTTTTTCTACAGCCAATACTTGAATAAACTCGCTGATTGATCATCAGTCATTCGAACGACTTCTAAAGGCTAATTTATAGTTCATGCGACACGTGTCGCGCGCCATGTCGCATGAGGAATATGACGTCATATCACCAAAACGGAAGTAACATTTGACGTAATTTCACCAATTGTCGCACACGTGCGCCTCGCAAAGTTGTAACGTCGCAGACATATGCTAGCCATATGCAGACATATGCTAGACATATGTAACGGCGCTAAAATGCTAGACAACCACGACAGGCTAATGACAATAGCAGGTATAAGTTTTCCGCCAGGATTACCACTCTTCGATTTCAAACGCTTTTTGGCTTTCGTAAATCGGTCCCGTATTTTCTTCCATTTTTGTCTGCAAACAGCATCATTTGTTTCGAGCTTTTCGGCGATTTCCTTCCATGAATTCGTAGTATTTTGTAGGTCTTTATAATCCCTTCTAGACGAGTCTTACATATGAGGGTATTTCTTAACTTCTTCCGCTAATCTTTCTTCGAATCCATCCATGATTTAATATTTTTCATATTTGTGATAAACATATGCTGAGACAAACACAAATGACTAACTCACGTGTTATTAGATAGCCAATTATCTTGCGCGACAATCCGACAAAATGCAAACCATGGTTGTCGCACATAATGTAAACCATGGTTGTCGCATGGGTTGTCGCGTTTACTATAAATGCTTTATTTGATTGTTGGATGGCGCGTGCCCATAGATTGCACAAGCCAGAGTGTCGCGCGACACATGTCGTAAGAAGTATAAATTGGCCTTAAGTTATTTTAAATCTTGAATCAACTTTAATTGAATTACATAAAGTAAAGCTTCATTTTCAAAATATGTATTCGTTGGATCTTCCTATCAAACATAGGGGCATTACAGCTTATGATCTTATCATAATTACTTTAAAGTCGTAAAAAGTGAGCATTTTTTTAACGGAATGACTCGGGCATACGATTCCTTTAAATCTCTTTTTTTCTCTGCGTGTAAATATGGAAAAAATATTCGCCGAAACACAAAACAAAGTTTGACATTCACCTTAAGCGTCATTGTTATTGGATCTGGCTTCTCACTTTTCAATTATTTTAGTCTAAACATTATCCCATCATCAATACTTCTGGCTTCAGATAAACGAGAAAAGAAAAAAGTTGTTATTCTTGGCACTGGTTGGGGTGCTGTCAATTTTTTAAGGTGCGTACTTCTGCGAAAATTGACCAATACAATTGATTCATAAATTATTAAAAAATTATGTAGTTGATTATTAAAGTAAATGGTTTGAGCTTGGGAGTATCGTTATATGTTTGTAAATGATGATCGTCCAGGTTAATAAAGTCCTGAGAAGGACTGTTTTTGTTCTTGTTGACTGACGTTTCGACAACCTTAGCGGTAGTCATCTTCAGAGTCAAAAATTTGTCATTTTTGACTCTGAAGATGACCTAATTGTCGAAACGTCAGTCAACAAGAACAAAAACAGTCCTTCTCAGGACTTTATTAACCTGGACGATCATCATTTACAAACATATAGTTGATTATTGATATATGATGGCACTGATGTCCTTGTGTGAACATTCTTTCGTTGTTGTTTATGTTGAGGGAAAAATTGCTTTCAGAAAGATTAAAGCCATTCCAAATTAATGTTCAAATTATGTTCTTATTAAAAACATGTCGTCTCTACTTACATTACAATTACAAGTTTTATCTTTGATAACAACTTTAGACAACAATCATCGCCTTGCTCTGATGGTCTTGGGCTTGTATTTATCAGCTCTCGAGTTCCCCCAAAGTTCTCTGTTTGCATAAGCCTGTGCATAACACAGTAAACATCTTTTATTTCTTGATTTAAGAGACAAAACTATTGAATCACATGTGTGATACCTCATGACACTGGGCATAATCAAACAATGACATTCTAGGAACTGCAGAACAGTTTTATCTTAGGGAGGGTTTAAATCATCTATTAATTGGTTCCAACCTCTGTTTATTCTTGTAACACACACATTTGCTATGTTTGAAAGCTAAAACAATGCCCTCCCTCCCTTGCTCTTTGTTCCCTCCCTGCTTTATTGTACTGTCTTCTCTGTATTATTCTACTATCAATGTCTTTGACACAAATTTTTGCTTCAAACATATCTTCACATGTTGGAGATTGGTTTATAAAACTAATAAGAATTGTCATGACTTTGTTTCACACAATTATTTGATGATAAGTTTATTTCATTATTGTGAAATCATGTGTAAACTGCACTGAATCTTATTAAAAACCAGCAATATTGCAATTCTTATTTATTTTTAGAAATTTGGATCCTGATTTGTACGAGATTGAGATTGTCTCACCAAGAAACTATTTCTTGATGACCCCCCTTCTTCCTAGTGTTACCGTGGGAACATTGGAAGCTCGTAGTTTAGTTGAGCCAATCAGGAAGCTATACAGTAAATGGCACAAGACTGACATATATTTTCACGAGGCTGAGTGTGTAGACGTTGATGTTGAAAATCATGTAGTGAAGTGTCAAGATATTTCAGGTTGTTTCTACTCTGTCTCAGAATACTTTATGACTAAATTATCAGCAAGCAATGAAAACTATCAGTTTAGTAAGCAATCCATTTATGCTAAATATTTCTTGGTCTATCAGTGTGTAGCCCAGAGGTTTTGCTTACATAAACCTACGAATGACTTTCGCACAAATTCCCTCTAGTTATAGTCTCGTTATAGTTTAATACTTTAAATTGATAATGAAATATGTTTGGTTTGCCCTAATTATATTTTTATATATAATGAGGTATCTTTGTTTTATTTTAAAGGAATAGCAGGTGAAAATCCTGAGTTCACTTTAAATTACGATCTTCTCATCGTTGCTGTTGGTGCTCAAAATAATACTTTTAATACACCTGGAGTAGAAGAAAACTGTCATTTTTTAAAATCCATCAACGATGTTAACGCTATCAGAAATAATATTCTTGACTGTTTTGAAACTGCTGCAATGAAAGGACGGTCGGACGATGAAATCAAACAGTTGTTGCATTTCGTTGTAGTCGGAGGAGGACCGACTGGTTAGTGGAATATTTTCCAGCTTAGTTTTGTAGTTCTACCACCTCCTGGTTTGTTAACCAATTAAAGTCAATGTGATGGCATATGTCAAATTTTGGCTCTGAATGTGTGTAGCTACCATGGCAGAAAAATGTTCACATGTAAATTTCTTAATGTATTAGGTGTAGAATTTGCTGCAGAACTTTGTGACTTTGTGAAAGAAGATTTGATAAAGCAGTATGGAAAACTTTCAGAAATTGCTCAAATAACATTGGTACACAGTCGAGATCATATTTTGAATAATTATGATGAACAGGTAAAAGTTATCATTTTCTTTCTAAAGTTGCCATTTTATTGATTAGCGTTCTTGTTTAGATCAGTGACTACACTGAAAAGCGTTTTAAGTCAGATATTGTTAACTGTGTGACAAATTCCCGTGTCACGGAGGTCATTGATCATTCTCTTGTTATCATGGACAAAATGTCAAAACAAAAACGTAACGAAAGATTTGGTGTGTGTGTATGGGCTACTGGTATAGCTCCTTGTCCTCTTACTAAGAAAATTGCTCAGAAATTACCTCAGCAAAACAACAGGTTTTGTCTATTTCTTTATTTGATATAGTTTAATGGTTATTATCAATAATTTTTAATCTGACAAATTTTTATGATTTTGGCCTCAGGAACACCACCCATTCTTCCCTTTTGTCAGTCTCAAACCCATAGAAATGCCGGAAGGACATTAATTTTTAAAATCTGACCAAATTAATTATGCGAATCAGTTCTTCTTCAATACAGGATCGATAGAAGCCTGAGTAACAACGAGCGCCATCAGTACTGTTGACCCGCAGAGTGTTGATGGAAATTAAACAACCTTAGGTTGATAGAGGAGAGGAAGAAGACGTATGCATAGACTTTTACAGTTTATGAGTTACAGAAGGGGCTTAGAATGTTGGGGCTTTAGAAAAAAAGCAAAATAGTTGGTGGACATTAAACTTAGGAGAAAGATAGACATCCAAAGACCAAAAGGAAAGGTCTTACAGCTAAACGTTTACTAGCAGGACTCAAACTGTTTTATTTTGATGTTGATCAGCTCTGAGTTCTTTCTTGTTTGTGATGGTGATGAACAGGTTATCAAGCGAGGTTAGACAGACGTCCATATGGACCATGATGTCTAATGATATTGTGACAGGTAGTGAAAATAAGTAGCAGGTAGGGGCTACTCTAGAGAGATGGAAATATACACTTGAAATTGAAGATCAGCCGAAAGAAGACAAAACACGCATATGTGTGTAAGTAAGAGATACCCAAGAGGAACAAGGTTACAAGAAGTAGAGATAAAGAAGGTAGAACATTTTAGTTAGTCAAGATCAACAGTCCAAAGCCATAAAAATTATGGAAATGGAATGAAGTGTGTTTAGTGTGTGTTCCGATAACATATAATTGGTAAAACGGCAGTGAGACAAACAATGTTTAATGGATATAAGAGAGAGGCATTGAAAAAAAGGCAATAGTTAAAGTTGAAGGTTGCAGAGGTCTGCTTTAGGGGAGAAAAGGAATGGTGTAGCCAGCCAATAAAAAATTTACACGATCTGTCGCTGTCACTGGGGAGAAGGAAGTCTTTTTACTTTTTGAACATTGTTTTAATGTCAATAGGCATGGTCTTGTTACGGATAAATTTCTAAGAGTGAAGGGCAGTAATGGGACTATTTATGCAATTGGTGACTGCGCTGTTGTTGAACAAGAAAAAATTACAGAGTCCATTGATGAATGGTTTAAAAAAGCAGACAAAGATTTCGATGGCTCCCTTGACATTGACGAATTTACAGGTAAATCGAAAATTTTTTGAAAGGATACAAGTAAACTAACGCAGACATATTTTTTTATACTTAAATTAATTAGTATTATTTCGTATATACATTGGTGTTGAAAGTTATACTTGCAATTTTCAGCTATAATGGAACAAGCCAAAGAGAAATATCCTCAAGTGTCGTCTTACTTCACATCTGCATGGAAAACGTCGATAAAAAAGTAGGTTTTGCAAATATATTTTAAACTTTAGAAGGTTAAGTCATTATGTGCACATTTTATGACTTTCAGTCTTGCCGTCTTTTTTAAATTGATCGCCTGGTGCATTATAAAGAACGAATCCCTTTGATTTTGTTAGGGCCTTTAATGAGGTGGATGAAGATGGCAACAAGAAATTAAATGTAAACGAATTTCGAGACGTTTTGAAGAAGGTGGACAGTAAACTACGAAGTTATCCTGCAACTGCACAAGTTGCATCTCAACAAGGTCGTTATCTTGCCAAATTGTTTACCAAAATTCATTCGTCAGAAAATGAGGACTTTAAAGATTTGGATTTACAACCATTCTCATATCGCCATCTTGGATCCTTTGCCTATGTTGGAGATGATAAAGCCGTCTTAAAAGTACCTATTTTAGGTACTTTGTCTGGCTGGTGGGTGATGTGGTTGTGGAGAGCGACGTATCTTAATGAATGTGTTGGATGGCGAACGAGGATCTTGGTTGCGTTTGATTGGATAAAAACGAAGATAAATGGACGTGATACTTCAAGAATTTAATGGACATCCCATGATTTGGATAAATCTTCTCACATCATGCACCTGTATTTTGTTGAGATTCTAGAATGTTTTTTATTCAATAATTTTGCAGTTATTATAATATTGCTTTGGGCTCAGGTTTTTTTAAAGATTTGGTGACAACGACCCAAAATGAAGTATTTTGATTAGTAGTTGTAATATTCTATTATATTGTTCATTATTAGATTTTCTTTTAAATTTTCTTATGTAAATCAAGTTTTTTCGTCCTCAGAATAGACTAGCATGTAAATAATACTGTACGTTTTCTATCTAGATAACTGGAAAGTCCAGCCCGCTATTTTTTGTCTAGCATTTCAGCAGAACGCTATCATTATTCATTTGTCTGGAATATCACAGACTTTACAATATGTGAGTTAACATAATTCTCTCAAAATAGCCCTTCGGTGTGTGAACACATTCATAGAAAATAAAAAATATTTTGCACCTTTGAACGTTTTATATGTTTAAACTTTTAAAAGTGAGAAAAATTGTACAATGAGAGGGAGTTGGGAGAAGTTAGTGAAATAAACGATATCCTTTTAGAATTTTAGTGGCAATCAATTGTTCGCGACAAACATGAAATAGGGATTGTTGATGTTTTACTTTTATGCAAAGTCACTTTAACAATTACTTTCTTGTTTTTGGGCATATTTTCAGCTTAAATTTACGAGTAAGTCAAATCATAAAACTTTGGGAAAGTTTGCAGAGCAGCGCAGCATTTCATGATCACCCAGACTCTGGATGAGCAACGAAGATCAGCGGCACACGTCACCATTTTCCGCAATGACACAAATTCAGTGATATTACAGTTTATATTACAGTTCACTGCACAGAATAGATAATGTGTCTGGAATAATAATAATAATAATAACAACAAATAGATAATGCGCATCCGTCATGGTGTCGTCCCGACAAATCGTTGTGTGTAAACTGCTGTAAACGCATATGTGAAAGCGTCACTCGGCAGCCAGAAATCGTCGGAAAAAGTTTCCGATTGCGCCTACTTTTGGTGGATGTTTGTTTGCGTCATTCGTTGTTGTGGTGTTTAGAAATTAGAAAAGCACAACTTCATTAAAAATAATTTGACTATGTCAGATTCAGATAACGAGAAAAGTGACTCAGGATCTGAATATTCTGAAGCAGAAACCCCTCCTACGCCAGGCAACTATGTTAATGAAGACAGCAAACGAACGATTCCCAAGGAAAATCAAGATGAAAAAATTGACGAGGAAGAAAAGTTGGAAGAAGCGATTTTAAACGAAGGTAGCTGACAAACTATTTTTAAAGTTTTTATTTTTAAATCATCATGTTTCGATTCTTTTATGTTTTTTTTAAATTTAATCAATGGTATAATAATCGTTTTGCTGCGTCTTGATAGGATCCAGTCTCCCAGACTTTATGAGTTCAATTTTAATGTTTTTCTTTAAAATTCCTATATCATATAGTAGTTCTTTTAAAGTTTTTCGTTACCGCTTGGTTTTGGAAAAATAATTAATATCTCCTCTTTGCTTGTTATATTTTTATCATTTAACCATTTGGATCCCCTAAATTTATATGTATGATTCTCTTATTTTTTTAGCTAAGAAACTTTATTAATGTAAGGTATAAATGATTAATTTTATTCATTTACACTCAAGATAATGGCCAAATTCCTGAGAATGATCATAAGGACACCACCTGTACAGTAGGACTATCTGACTTATCTCATGATGAAATTAGAGATGAGAGATCTGAAGATGAAATGGAAAATAAAAAAGTTCAAATAGATCTGGAACAAACTGCAGCAAAGATTTCTGATGATGAAGACAACATGCAAAAATCATTTGCTAGTGATAATAATGACATCAATGATAATGTAAAAGACATACAGAATGACAAGTGTGAAGGTGAAGAAGCACCAAGTATAGCAAAAGAAAATCAGCTTGATGATGATAATCAAAGCTTAAAGGATGTTATTGAACCACAAAGCAAAATGAAAAAAACCATTGAAAATACAAATTCTTCATCTCTTGATGTAACCGAAGATCCAAAATCACTAGACTTAGAAATTGATGAAGCTAATACAACCAAGCTTCAAGACCATGAGAAGGAAGAACAAGTTTTGAAGAATGATACTTTGGAGGAAAATGATTTGTTGAATCTCACCGAGATTAGTGATTTTTCTATGCAATTGACTGGTGATGAAGAAGCAATTGTGGAGGATATTTTGCAAAATGCTGGCGATGACATTCTTCTTCCTGAAGGTAGCAAACAAGGTAAAACAAAATATAAGAGACTTTATTGAGTGTTACTGTAGATGTCCAATGTTAAAAATGAATAAACCAAAATTGAAATTTTTCATTTTTCTTACCTAATATATTGACCTAAAAATTTTACAGGAAATGTATCTCACAAAACGCCTAAAGATGATAATGACATTGAAGAGTAAGTTTGTTATGTGTGTACTATGTGTAGTTTACCCCAACTCACTTTCAATATTGTTAAGAAAGGCTTGAGTCCGTTTCATTACCATGAATTATTTGTAACTATTTTAATACAACATTTAGATCAACTGGTGTTGCCGGGGAACTTATTAATGATATTTTTGGATCAAGTGATGAAGATGATGAAGATTTTCAGGTAATGGTTGTGAATTTATAAGCAAAAATAAAAATGTTATTTTGCATATTGTTTTTTATACTTTTCACTATAACAATTGTTTATTACAATGATGTAGTATGTACTTGAGTAAGGAATTATGAATCTCGATTTTAGGGGTTTGAAGATGATGAACTTCGTGGTTCCACTAAAATGAAGAAAAAATCTAAAACGAAACCTGAGAAAAAAGGAGGTTTTGATTTTAGTTTCATATCATGCAGTGTTAATTAGTTTAAATTGGTTGTAAAATAACAAATTTGACTCAATTTCATTATGTTGTAGATGTAATGTCTGACGAGGAAGATGACGAGAAAAAACAAAAGCCTGAAGAAGAAATAAAAGCAGTTGAAGAACCTATGACTGTACCTCCACCTGAAGACAGTGATGATGATGTACTAGAAGAGTCAAGTCAAGCGTACGTAAGCATTTCATTTGAGAGAAAGATACATTTTGAAATATATGACATGCAGGCGTACATAAGTAGATAAATGTACACGTACACCAGTGTGCGAATTAACGGTGTGCAATGTGCACATCGTTTTAGCTAAAATGAAAACAATTGCACATCACTTTTTCAAACGATGTGCAAAAATCAGCAGTTTTAACGAAAAACACTGTCGTAAATCATATGAATGTGTTCACGTTTAAAAATATTAATTTAGCAATTAGCGCTATATAATAATTAACGTAATATCGATTTGATTATGCCTCTAAAGGAACACTTTGTCAAAAAATTGCACACCGTTTTTCTGAACTAATTCGCACACTGACGTACACCCATTCAAAATCATGTTTTAAGGTATGGCTACTGTTTTAACATGCATTTATAAATGTTTTTGTTATGTTTCACTTATTAGATTTGTCTCAGATTTTGATTTGATGATGGAAAAAAAACGAGAGGTAGATATAACATTATAAATTTTATTGATGATTGTTTCTTGCATTGTCATGGTTACCGTACATAACTAAAACATAACGCAATGACACAGGTGAAGGATGACTACTCGACTTAATAGGCATCGCAAGATTCCAAAGTGATATACATTTATTACTTGTATGTTTAAGGGGAATTTTTAGCATGGCTATGACACAAGAAAAATATCTTTATCCCTAATATAGATCTTTTAGGTTCATTCTCACATAAACACTTAATTCACGACCTTTGAAAAACAAGAGCAGTGCAAAGATGCATTAGAGCAGAATTTTTCAATAACAAATCACGTGTTTCTGCTAAAAGTAACACTGACCTGAGCGGAAATTCCAAGCAATTGGGTTTTCATTCTTTCATTACAAAAATTCTTGTCAAACTTTAATGATTACAAACATTCTATTTTAGGAGAATAGAAAAGCACGAAGAAGAAGAAAGGTTAAACATGCAGTTTTATGTTAAAACTATGAGATTTTTTAGCGAGACAGCGCCAACCGTTTTTTTGTTTGAATTGACATAGATACGTGTTTACAGCAACTGTAAAATCCACTTTTTTTCCTACATTCTAGGATTGCGATATAATCAACGACAACGATGATTTTGTGGCTAATATAATAAAAACCATGAAAGAAGCTGCTGAAGAAGATAGATTAGCCAACGAAGCGCGTCAGGCTGCAACAAAGAAACTTAAAATGTTGCCAACTATCCTCAGACATATGTTGAAGTATGAAGTTATAGTCTAATCATGTGAATTGCACGTGAACTACTGTTTTTAATAAATTAATATCTCGAGTGTGAATCACCAAAGAAATCACTGTGATTTTAGAATAGATTTGATGGTTATATTCGTGGAAAGCAATGTTCTCCCTGTTTTAAAGGTAAAATTTTTCACTGGGAAATGTTTTGTAATACCAATGTGTAACTACCTGGATGTTTTCTTTGCAGGAATGGATAAGTCCCCTTCCAGATGGATCATTACCTCATTTACAAATACGGGAAGGGATCCTAAACATTTTAGAGCAGGTACTAACACAAGAATAAAGCTTTTGTTGCATGTCCAGACATAAACTGTCTTAACGAATTATAACGTTTATATCTTCATAACATATAAATCCATTTTGACAGCTTCCCCCAGTGGACAGTGGAACGCTTAAAGTCAGTGGAATTGGTAAAGCTGTTATGTATTTATTCAGACATCCCAAAGAGACAAGGAAGAACAAGCAACGAGCGGGGAAAATCATCAGTAAGTTTGGTTTCCACAATATGTTTACTTGTAGCTTGCCCAAATAGTTCCTTTCTACCATTAAACCCTTCAACTGCATTACTGTCACTGAGTTCGATTGTTCTTGTATAGGTGAATGGTCAAGACCTATATTTGGAGTGACCGCAAATTTCAAGTCAATGTCACGTGAAGAAAGAGAGGAAAGAGATTATGCTAATATGTCGAAACGGAGAAGATTAAGGTACGTTAATGTAAATTATTGTACTTGGTGAAGACTTCTTTTCATTTATCATATATCTTCTCATTTTGCAGTAGAGATGGTGTAGATGGAGGAAAGACTCCCAAAAGAATTGAAAACGCTATTAAATCTGATTCAAAGTAAAGACGAATTTTCAGCACTTCTTCCTAAACACATGACCATTTTCTGCGTTTTTATTTCTCTCAAAATTCACTTTCTATTTTCATCAGGAGTTTGCGTCCTGGTGATAAAGGTTGGTGTATGCGTGCCCGGGTTCCAGCTCCTTCTAATAAAGATTACGTTGTTCGACCCAAGAGCAATATTGAACCTGTCGATTTTTCTAAGGTATTACATACATAGATATTGTGACGTTTGCACCCGAGGACTGGAACGAATTTCTAAGAATCCAATTTGAAAGACTATAGTGTGAGTATGAAAACACACTTGTCTATTTTGTCTAGACATCCAAGAAAACATTAAATCGTTTTGAGAAACAGAAAAGAAAGTTGAACGAGAAAAAAGCAGTTTCTCGACAACGTGCCGTCGACATCAGTCTTGAAGGAAGGAAAATGGCTTTATAGTATGATTAGAAGTTAACACGAGAGAACTAAATTGGAAGAAATGAATTATTCTCATTTCGTATACATAGCTGTGTTTCTTGGTGCTTAAAAATTTTACGCCAGAAAAAGCCTTTTCGTCGATAGAAAATCGATTTAGATAGTGTTATGAATAAGTATTAAAACCTACGTAAATGTGTACACCGGTGTTTAGAAAAAGCAAGCCTCGCCACATAACTAGCACACTTTGAACATTTCTTGCTACTTCAATAAGTTTACATACCTTTTTTTATTAAAAAGAATGATTCTTATCTTAATATGTAAAATATTGTCGATGCATATAAAATTAACAAACATATTAAACTCCGACAAATCGTAATGCAAATTACGTTAAATTATCCATGTATAAAGAATGCAACAATGTTTGACGATCGAGGTGAGATATATGGCAAATAAATTTACTCACCGTATTTCGTAAGATCCACACTGAAAACACGGCTCACAGTGCATTCTTGATCCGGCTATATAAAAGAAATTCATTAAAATTTGACTTAGTGACAGTGGTCAGGCGATTTTCCTAAGAAGAGCTTGGGCAACGTATATAAATGACGTACCTCACATGTGATGCCAATGAGAGCTTCAGCTCTTGAATAAAACTCTTCTTTCAACGAAATAACGATACATTGAAATTGTTCTCGTGTTTGCTTTTCAATGTAAGATGATACCTGTTGAACAAAACTCGCATTTTCTAACTGATATACTTCAAAGATACTATGCTGTTATGATGCATTTTTGCCATGATACCATACGTATTTGGGCATTGTACCATATGCTTTTGGGCATTGTACCATATGCTTTTGGGCATTGTACCATATGCTTTTGGGCATTTAACCATATGCATTTTGGCACGCTACCATATGCTTTTGGGCATGGTACCATATGCTTTTGGGCACGCTACCATATGCATTTTGGGCACGCTACCATATACATTTAAGGATAGTACCATGTTTTACATGATCCAACAGATAATTCTAAAAGTATTAATTACATTGTTAATGTTAGTATTATCCAAAGCTGCATCGATTTCATCCAAAACAAAAAACGGAGCCGGTTGACAGCTAAAAACAATAAATATTACGTTTCATCAAACTACCCTAAAAAATAGTGAAAATCAAAATAAAAACAATTCTTTACTGACGATCTAATAGAGAAAAGTAACGCAAGAGCTGCAACAGTTTTCTCGCCACCAGATAAATTGTCCATCGGCCGAAACCTAAAGCGTGAGAATTTTAAGAAATACTTCCATCAAACTGTTTATCAAGAGCACATGAACATTGTTGACCACTTGCCTTTTACCAGGAGCCACACAACTGTAGTTAATGCCTTCTAAATACGGCTCCTCGGCATTCTCAGGACTGAGAAAAGCTTGCGCACTGGGATTATTGGATAGTTCCTGGCAAAAAGATAAAATACACAATAGAACTTATGAAGCCATGCATGGAGGTTCAAATAAAAGAGGAGAAATAAATGTTAAGTGAGAAACAATGTACAACAAAACACCTTGTAATTCTCGTCAATGTGACTAGCAACATGATCAAAAGCAAACGTAAATTTCTCATATCTAAAAAGAAAATTATTGCCATTGCAAAATAATGGGTAAACTTGTAATGAAAATCATTCACTCTCTTTTAACTGAATACCATACATGCCTAACACCGTTGTAAAAGATTAAATTTACAATGCGGAGTATGTCTTGTAAACATTTAGAGCGAAAATGTACCAATGAAATTCATGATTTTATCAATAAAAATTTATTTTACTAACCTTTTACGTTTAACTCTTTCAAAGTCCATTTTAGTTTTTTTTGCTCTTTCCCTTGATTTCTCGAAAATCTCACTAGTCTCTTGCAACTTACTCACAGCTCCATCAAACCTTTAGAAGTCAATAAAATTCACCATTGTTCAATAACAGATGTCATCTTCTCCAAAACACAAACTATTCACCAAAATTCACTAATAACACTTGATTATGTCAGAAAATGTTACTCTTTTATGAAAAATTTCATGAATATCATTTTGGAAAGATAAATTTAATGACGAAAGTACAATATCAAGAGATATGTCAAATGTACGTAAGCTACTTGCACATTCTTAACATCTTGACTTAACATGTGCTCTCTACATTGTAGACTCAACATGTTCAGAGCATTTACACACACTGTTTAGGAGTGTTGAGTGGTATTGAGCGTTGTTAAGCGGTATTGAGTGGTATTGAGTGGTATTGAGTGGTGTTGAGTGGTATTGAGCAGTGTTAAGTGGTATTGAGTGGTGTTAAGCGGTATTGAGCGGTGCTAAGCGGTATTGAGAGGCATTGAGTGGTGCTAAGCGTTGTAGAGGAAAGTTTGAACTTGCTTAAACTTTTCTACTCAACCGCAGTCACCAAAGCCTACCTCAACATTGTTCAGTGCATTTGAACAGCAGTTGCAGCACACTCAACAATGTTGAGAACAATTTGTTGAGAACGTTTGTACACTTTTCGTAACATCACTCAACAGACGTAAAACAATCTTTAGCGTATGTTGACACAATAATGTATAAAGCGTTTACACGTAGCTTTACGAGTGTTAAATGTAGCGTATGTTAGGTAGCTAAGTAAATACAAAAAGCTAACCTTTCTTTAGATTTCATGTTAGGAGCTTGAATTTTTTGTAGTGTTGTCTCCAATTCATTCAATTTATCCAGAATTTCTGTTTCTACATTGTGTACTTGTGATATACTATCAATCTAGACAAATGCAAAATTATTTTGCTTTGACTTCAAATCTATCTATAAAAAGTAAATATTAATCCTGAAGGCATCATAAGGAACTAGTCAGATGCTCTAAACGTGAGCCAAATAAACAATTCACGACACAAACGTCCATCAATTATCGATTATGTGGATATGATCAATGAGCGTACATTTTTAAATTCTCTTCTCAAGTTGTGAAAGTCAATTTGAACGTTGTCTAGTTCTCGAAGTAACAAGCGGGTTCCCTGGAATAGGAAAAGTGTAAAATTAGAATCATAAATTACAATTGCAACTTTAAAGTGTGCTACAAACCGGGAAGGTTAGAATTAATATCAGCACAACACTTATTTTTATGGCACACCCATGTGGTTTACCCTTACGGTACAACCGTATGTCACAACTATATAACACATCCGTATGATACACCCGCATGCGTATGAATTCACTAAAGATCAACTTGTAATTGGTCATATAATATAATCCTACTAAAGGACTATCCCAGCATATCCGTCAAACTAAAGCAAGTTATAACTTTAAAACGGTGTTTATGACTCACTCTTAAACAGGGTGAAATATTTTTCTTATACGCAAGTCTATACATGTGATGCTTAAAAACGTATTCAGCGACTTTCTGATAACGGCGGTTTATAACCTTTTCCATATTTTTTACCTGACTCTCGCTTGATTCAGTTGTATCAGTCTGACTTGATCCTGAACCGGACTACAAAAAAGATTTAACCAAGAGTTTGAGAAATTAGAAACATAGTCAAGATAACATCTGAACACCAGACTATTGTTCGAATGAAACCATCCCAAAAAGCTTTCAATGAAGAGAAATTTTTCTCTCAGTAGCCCTGTCGATTCCCTTTTAAAGTTATCAATGTACATAACATGAATGTCCTTACCAGTTCAATATCATCCATACTGCCACGTAAAAAAGGTAAAGGAATATTGTCAAGCTAAACAAAAACATTCATGTTTAAATATTAATTTAAAAAACAGTTATTTAAAACATAACCGTAGATTTTAGTGACACCTTGCAACTTTTCAATATTCCATGTCTTTCACTTCTTTTTTGTTCCAGTTCGGACTCCTAGAAAGCAGCATTCTTATAAAATAACGTCAATAATGACTGGCTATGCTTGTAAATATTTCCCACACAAAAGTTTCTCTTGTTTCCTAGGACCATAGCATTTTAATTATTCACGTTACTTACAATTGACATTATTTCTTTCTGCTTTTCTCCTTCTTCTTTTATTTGGTTATTCAACACTTTTCTCGCTTTCTTGACTTGAAGTTCCTATGAACAAAAATATGTTAGTTACGAACATCCTAACCAAACATTCAATCAACTTTTTGAAAACATGACATACGGTGTAATATAATTCAAAATACCTTCTCATCCAGTTCGGATTTCAATGCTTGTAGATTTACACGTAAATAACTCAACTCTTCCGTTTCTTCATCAATTTTCTGGTAAAAGAGTACGCGAAAACATTCACAACATCTTTCATTAAGTCACAAAATGCAGTCCTTGGAAAGATGGAAAGAGAGAATATGTGTCCATTTATTATAAACTATTATGTACATATGCATATAACCTTTATTCAATTATAACAATCAAGAGCAAAGTTTTTGCGAATGGCATGTAAGTACTTACATCTAGTTCACGTTTCTCATTTTCTTTCAATTTTACAATATTACTTTCGTCACTTTGAATCTCTGCTTGTAGTTTTCTCACTTGAGCTAGAGATAATGCATATTGTAACTCATATATTTTGTCATTTGATCAGGCCTAATACAGCAAATTCCATATAACAAGCTACAAAACTAAACTGCAAATTGATAAACAAACGAAAAAAACTCACTTTTAGTGTCTCGCCCTTGTTCATACTCCAACTAAACAAATTCAAACGACAACTACTTACAATGTGTGGCTTGGAAATTCTTAAAACAAAACATAGTTCATTCAGACATACTTGGCTTTTGAGTTTTGATTGTATGTTGGAGAACTCTAAGCGTTTTTGAGCTCTCTCTTGTTGTGTTTTTAATTGTTTTTCTTCATATTGCCTTTAAATATAAACAAATCAACAAATATCTGTAATAATACTACTTTTTACTAAATAGGTTCAAAATAAGTGGTGATATAATTCACCTAATGTTTTCAACACCAATTGATTGACAAAAATCTTCGAAAACCTTTGAAAAAGGAAAAAGAGTCAAAGCTTTAAAGAAAAAACACCGAAAGAAAACAGAGGGTACAGCTGACCCAAAACAGACAGCATTTATTGGACAAACTAAAGTCATAACATTACATCATCCTCAACGCGATCAATTTGATTTTGGATTTTTTCAATGGATTTCTGCCTGTCAGCTAAAGAGGTCTCAAACTGTTCAATTTTCGGCTGAAATAGAAAAACAACGTTGGTTTAAGGATGTTCTATAATGGATTGTTTGGAGGTTCGTAAAATGAAAATTTTTTACTGCACACCAAATAGTTAGCTTCATGAACAAAACCACAGAAACGAACTCACTATTAACGAATCCGCCTTTTCTTTCACACTAGAAATTTGTGCAGTAACCTCGCGTTCACGATTTTCCTACATTGAAGTTATAAAACATATGAAACATATGAGGAAAATTGCTTCATAATTCTAACAGGTAAATCTACAGAAAGAGATCACAACATGCTAGGTTAACACAAAGACACTAACAAGCTTCGTTGAACTATAAAGATAAAAACAGACAAGATCTACTAAGAAAGCGCAAACCTTCAAGTGCAAATGCTTTTAAGAATATATGTAAATGATGCAACACAAAACTAGATATTACGTAAACAAAGAGCTAAATATTCCATACGATTGATTCAATTTCACGTTGAAAGTATTTCAATCGAGAGCGTAATCCCTCTATTTGTGAATTTAGTTGATCCAACTGTGGTCTCTTTCTTTTCTGAGCAGCAAGATCCTTTAACTGAACCAAACAATCATTACGCTTTTTCTTCATTCCTTCAACGTGTTTTTCATCCCATCTCTTGGCTTTAGAACGTAAATCACTATAATGAAACAAATCGCAAGAATAAGCACAATTCGTTATAAGATAATCTTTATCTATGACTGTAGAGATGGTTGACTGTAGAAATATGATTGTAGAGATGCCTGGCTATAAAAATGGTTGATTGAAAATATTGTTGACTGCAGAGATATGATCGTAGAATTTGTTGACCATAGAAATATGAGTGTAGAGGTGGCTGACTGTAGAATTATGACTGTAGAGATGCCTGACTATAAAAATGGTTGATTGAAAATATTGTTGACTGCAGAGATATGATCGTAGAATTTGTTGACCATAGAAATATGATTGTAGAGGTGGTTGACTGTAAAAATTGTTGACTATAGAGATATGACTAAAGAGATAGTCGACTGTTGAGGAATTATTGTTGTAATTCTTAAGCTTGAATCTTCACTTTCCCACGGCTGAATCATTTTCAATAGTGCTGAATGAAAGGGCTAGTAGTCTTTGGCAAGTCCTTTAAACCCACCAGGCTTCGAGGTCAAAAGTCCTCTTGCTCGACTGTTGTTACATCGTTAATTCTTCAGATTCAGGCATGAGTAAATCTTTCGCCATATTGTTCAAAATCGACAAACTAGCGTTATTACAAGCCTTAGTGCCTCATATGATTGTAGTGATGGTTGACTGAAGTGATATGATTGTAGGGATGGTTGACTGCAGTGATGATTGTAGGGATGGTTGATTGTAGTGATATGATTGCAGAGATGGTTGATCGTAGTGATATGATTGTACGGATGGTTCATTGTAGTGATGATTGTAGAGATGGTTGATCGTAGTGATTGTAGAGATGGTTGACTGCAATGATTGTAGGGATGGTTGACTGCAATGATTGTAGAGATGGTTGACTGCAATGATTGTAGAGATGGTTGACTGCAATGATTGTAGAGTTGGTTGACTGCAATGATGGTAGAGATGGTTGACTGCAATGATTGTAGAGATGGTTGACTGCAATGATGGTAGAGATGGTTGACTGCAATGATGGTAGAGATGGTTGATTGTAGTGATTGTAGAGATGGTTGATTGTAATGATTGTAGAGATGGTTGACTGCAATGATTGTAGAGATGGTTGACTGCAATGATTGTAGAGATGGTTGACTGCAATGATGGTAGAGATGGTTGACTGCAATGATTGTAGAGATGGTTGACTGCAATGATGGTAGAGATGGTTGACTGCAATGATTGTAGAGATGGTTGACTGCAATGATGGTAGAGATGGTTGACTGCAATGATGGTAGAGATGGTTGACTGCAATGATGGTAGAGATGGTTGATTGTAGTGATTGTAGAGATGGTTGACTGCAATGATTGTAGAGATGGTTGACTGCAATGATTGTAGAGATGGTTGATTGTAATGATGGTAGAGATGGTTGACTGCAATGATTGTAGAGATGGTTGACTGCAATGATGGTAGAGATGGTTGACTGCAATGATGGTAGAGATGGTTGATTGTAGTGATTGTAGAGATGGTTGACTGCAATGATTGTAGAGATGGTTGACTGCAATGATTGTAGAGATGGTTGACTGCAATGATTGTAGAGATGGTTGACTGCAATGATTGTAGAGATGATCTTCAAGATCCCATCAGTTACTTCTTGAAAATTACGTAAAACAAGTTTACGATGTATAGACGTTTTTCTAACCTTGCACCACCGGATATTACTCCAGATTTCTGAAACATGGTACCGTCAAGTGAAATAGTCTTCTTTCTTTCATAACCACTATATGCAAGTCTTCTAGCTTCGTCAACAGTGTCGCACACCAAAGCATTTCCGCACGCATATAATAGAGCACGCTGTTAAAATATTAATATACTGTAGTCAGATATAGCAATAGAACTTTATGCGTACGTACGTTGATACATTAACACAATCAATTAACGTAATCCTGAATAAATTCATATTGTTTTCAAAAAAAAAAGTCATGAATGTTTTATTTATTACCTTCACTTGAGATTGTTCACATTTAATGATATCCATAACAAGTTTTGCTGTGCCCCCAGATTGTCGAAGTTTCTCATCGATTGTTTTCACTTGGATTGTGTCCAAAGGAAGAAATGTTATTGGATCACCATTCTATCACATGAAAAAAGGAAGAAATGTTATTGGATCACCATTCTATCACATGAAAAAAGGAAGAAATGTTATTGGATCACCATTCTATCACATGAAAAAGGAAGAAATGTTATTGGATCACCATTCTATCACATGAAAATAAGGAAGAAATGTTATTGGATCACCATTCTATCACATGAAAAAAGGAAGAAATGTTATTGGATCACCATTCTATCACATGGAAAAAGGAAGAAATGTTATTGGATCACCATTCTATCACATGAAAAAGGAAGAAATGTTATTGGATCACCATTCTCTCACATGAAAAAGGAAGAAATGTTATTGGATCACCATTCTATCACATGAAAAAGGAAGAAATGTTATTGGATCACCATTCTATCACATGGAAAAAGGAAGAAATGTTATTGGATCACCATTCTATCACATGAAAAAAGGAAGAAATGTTATTGGATCACCATTCTCTCACATGAAAAAAGGAAGAAATGTTATTGGATCACCATTCTATCACATGAAAAAAGGAAGAAATGTTATTGGATCACCATTCTATCACATGGAAAAAGGAAGAAATGTTATTGGATCACCATTCTATCACATGAAAAAGGAAGAAATGTTATTGGATCACCATTCTCTCACATGAAAAAAGGAAGAAATGTTATTGGATCACCATTCTATCACATGAAAAAGGAAGAAATGTTATTGGATCACCATTCTCTCACATGAAAAAGGAAGAAATGTTATTGGATCACCATTCTATCACATGAAAAAGGAAGAAATGTTATTGGATCACCATTCTCTCACATGAAAAAGGAAGAAATGTTATTGGATCACCATTCTATCACATGAAAAAGGAAGAAATGTTATTGGATCACCATTCTATCACATGAAAAAGGAAGAAATGTTATTGGATCACCATTCTATCACATGAAAAAGGAAGAAATGTTATTGGATCACCATTCTATCACATGAAAAAGGAAGAAATGTTATTGGATTTTCATTTCACATCACCGTTTATGTACAGGTTCACATAAATCAATAAGACATCCGTATACACCAGGAAATAGTCGCTTTAAACTATCAAGAATTTCTTGTTTTTTTTGAAATCTTTGATTCTCGTTTCTGTCGAATTTTGACTCGTTAATTTGAGACTGATAATCATCTGCTTTACTGCTCAGTTCATTGTACTTCTGCTCCGCCGTACTAGTATAAAACAATAATTAATCAAGTATCGAAATCCAGTAGGAAAGGGAAATTCAACATTTTTTGAAGACTTTTATCCTGTAATACTTACGTAATTACGTTGCTCAGTGTCTGCACCTCGATTTCGCTTGTTTTCAGTTTATCTTCGTTATTTCTGAATGATTCAGTTAGAAAAGTTAAAGTTCAAGACATTCAATTAAAAGTCTGCTATTGTAACAACCGCACAAACCTGAGATGATCGAAAACCTTTTGTTTTCTTTCTGATAGTTGTTGCCTAAATAAATTCACAGTTCCTAAAACTCGCACCAATAATTAAAGAACGGTTATCTATAGAAGTAAACAATTTCTATGTATAACAGAACTTACATCTCATCGTTCAGTCGATTTTCTTCTGCAGTTAAATCTGCATGTTGTTGTCGTGCCTCTTCAAGGTTTTCTTCTTCGGACTTATGTTCTCGATTAATCTAAGTAATAAAATACAATTGAATATAAATTTCTTGATGATTGTAATGTCGGAGTTGACTTTTGTATCATAAGCTAGTAGTTTTTTTAAGTCCATGACAGACGTTTTGTTCGTCAGAACACTTTTATTTAAGATAATTGTTTACTTCCAAAAAAGTCCAGTCACCATCATAAATAGTGACGTACACACGTAAAGGAAAACTTCAAATTCGTTGAATCTTACCCTTTTATACATTTTTTTTAGGAATCTACGTTCGCACAACTTATAAAATACAGTTAATAATTCTTTTTAAGTAAAAGAAGTAGCTGCAGTTACTGCACCTTGTTAAGTTCTTCACGAAGATGCGATGTTTGTATTCCTACTCTTTCCCGTAAACTGTTATACTCTTCAAGCTGAAAATCATAAGGGAGATTTTTAATATTACATTGATTGCAAATATAAAATATGAAGTGAAATATAAATAATTAATAAAGAGTGAAAAACGTCATGAATTCTGTAATATATTAAAATAAAACAAATGAAATAAAAAGCTACTTGTGAGGACATTAGTTCCATGTCTTTTTCTTGAGAAGCTTCTACTATCTCTTCTTCATATTGTTCAGCACGGTTTCGTATTTCATTCAATTCTTCAAGTAAATGCTTGATCTAAATACCATAAGACATGACCCATTTAGGGTAAAATACTTTACTCTACAAGATATAATAAAGCACGGTCAATGTATAGAACATTGAAGCGAACCACAAATAAAAATAATAATAAAAAAAAAGATATAAAATCTTACTTCATCTTTATGCTTGTTATGAATCTTCAAAGCTTTTGATAACGATTTTCTAAAAAATAAATTCTAAAGCTAAGTGTCTAAGAGAATACTGAGTCATCAAATGCGAATTCCAAATCTTATCGTAATACTGGAATTTACTTTCCAGTCATTAGTAAGGTCTAATGCGAAGATGAAATACAAACAATACTTATTTCAGAACAACATGTAAATACATAATTACCAGAGGTACCCTAGGTCTCCTATTTATGTATCTTTCAGAGCTAGTTAAAAAAATGTTATAGAACAGAGAATGAAAGAAATCAACAGGTACGTACGTCATTTTGTTTTGTATACAATATAAAATCAATAAAAAACGCAGTAAAAAATACTTTCGTGTTTCCAATCTGTTGTTCATATGTGTCGTTTTTTCTTTTGCTTTGATGTATAATGGTCGCTTCTCGGCCAATCCATTTTCCTGTAAAATTAAAAACAAAACATGCAATGTCAATTGTCATACATCAAGACGACTCCTTTCTATGCAAAAATTATCAGCACCAAGTGATACATTTTTCCTTCAAGTTCATGAAGGTAGAGACTTGTTTATTCTCTATCAATGTTTATAAAAAAATATCGAGCTCATGGTAAATAGTGATATTTTACAATATTTGAAATAAATATCCAATTTACTAAAATATTTCTATAGGCAACCTTTTCTTTGATTTGTTTTTCTAAAACAGCAAATCTTCTTGATAATTCCCCATGTTCTTTCTTTTTTGCCTTCACGTCTTTTTCTGCTTTGACACGTTTTTCTTCCTATATCCAGAACAAAATATAAAAGATCACAATGCGTATAACCTATACTAAAACCATAAAATTTCACCAGTACAGAAATACTAAGATTAAAGAAATGATGATTTCATTTGTTAAAATCTGTAACCAGATAATTTCTAAAATTGAGGCTACAATTTTGTAGATCACGAGAGTTAGACGTTGGGATCCTGATGGCCGCCCTAACTGTAAGGACTTTAACTAACTAAAAAATGATGATCAGAACTCCAGAAAACTATAAAATTTTCTCATAACATTTTGCATTATTTTCCGACCAAATTTTTTGAACAATTGTGTTCAAATAAATAAGAATAAAGAATTACGCACTACGAGTAGTGGTGTAGCCATCAAATAAATAAGAATAAAGAATTACGCACTACGAGCAGTGGTGTAGCCATCAAATAAATAAGAATAAAGAATTACGCACTACGAGCAGTGGTGTAGCCATCAAATAAATAAGAATAAAGAATTACGCACTACGAGCAGTGGTGTAGCCATCAAATAAATAAGAATAAAGAATTACGCACTACGAGCAGTGGTGTAGCCATCAAATAAATAAGAATAAAGAATTACGCACTACGAGCAGTGGTGTAGCCAGCTCGATATTAAGAATAAAAATTATGCACTACGAGCAGTGGTGTAGCCATCAAATAAATAAGAATAAAGAATTACGCACTACGAGCAGTGGTGTAGCCATCAAATAAATAAGAATAAAGAATTGCGCACTACGAGCAGTGGTGTAACCATCAAATAAATAAGAATAAAGAATTACGCACTACGAGCAGTGGTGTAGCCATCAAATAAATAAGAATAAAGAATTACGCACTACGAGCAGTGGTGTAGCCATCAAATAAATAAGAATAAAGAATTTACGCACGAGCAGTGGTGTAGCCATCAAATAAATAAGAATAAAGAATTGCGCACTACGAGCAGTGGTGTAGCCATCAAATAAATAAGAATAAAGAATTACGCACTACGAGTGGCCATCAAATAAATAAGAATAAAGAATTGCGCACTACGAGCAGTGGTGTAGCCATCAAATAAATAAGAATAAAGATTACGCACTACGAGCAGTGGTGTAGCCAGCTCGATATTAAGAATAAAGAATTACGCACTGCGAGCAGTGGTGTAGCCATCAAATAAATAAGAATAAAGAATTACGCACTACGAGCAGTGGTGTAGCCAGCTCGATATTAAGAATAAAGAATTACGCACTACGAGCAGTGGTAGCCATCAAATTAATAAGAATAAAGAACTACGCACTACGAGCAGTGGTGTAATCAAATAAATAAGAATAAAGAATTACGCACTACGAGCAGTGGTGTAGCCATCAAATAAATAAGAATAAAGAATTACGCACTACGAGCAGTGGTGTAACCATCAAATAAATAAGAATAAAGAATTACGCACTACGAGCAGTGGTGTAGCCATCAAATAAATAAGAATAAAGAATTACGCACTACGAGCAGTGGTGTAGCCATCAAATAAATAAGAATAAAGAATTACGCACTACGAGCAGTGGTGTAGCCATCAAATAAATAAGAATAAAGAATTACGCACTACGAGCAGTGGTGTAGCCATCAAATAAATAAGAATAAAGAATTACGCACTACGAGCAGTGGTTTAACCATCAAATAAATAAGAATAAAGAATTACGCACTACGAGCAGTAGTGTAACCATCAAATAAATAAGAATAAAGAATTACGCACTACGAGCAGTGGTGTAGCCATCAAATAAATAAGAATAAAGAATTACGCACTACGAGCAGTGGTGTAGCCATCAAATAAATAAGAATAAAGAATTACGCACTACGAGCAGTGGTGTAGCCATCAAATAAATAAGAATAAAGAATTACGCACTACGAGCAGTGGTGTAACCATCAAATAAATAAGAATAAAGAATTACGCACTACGAGCAGTGGTGTAACCATCAAATAAATAAGAATAAAGAATTGCGCACTACGAGCAGTGGTGTAACCATCAAATAAATAAGAATAAAGAATTACGCACTACGAGCAGTGGTGTAGCCATCAAATAAATAAGAATAAAGAATTACGCACTACGAGCAGTGGTGTAGCCATCAAATAAATAAGAATAAAGAATTACGCACTACGAGCAGTGGTAGCCAGCTCGATAATAAGAATAAAGAATTACGCACTACGAGCAGTGGTGTAGCCAGCTCGATAATAAGGATGCCATTATTCATATACGTATGTATGTCGAGGTAAAGTTCTTTTGAAATCAGTTGTTTTCTGAGGATCATAACATGCATATATGAATATTGGCCTCTTCGCAATTATCGATGAGCTAGCAACGCAACTGACTAGGACATTCGACTGCACTGGGCCAACTCCAGAAGGAAAAATAAACAGGCATCTTGTAGAGACAAACAATAATATTGTTGTACGTACTTACCAATGATTTAACTGCATTATTTTTTTCATCAAGTTTTTTATTCAAGTCACCTATACTTTTCTATTGTAATACAACTTGAACAGCTGGGCCTCCAGTTTACAATCATCCTTTACAATGAAAAGAGCAGTTACGTATACAAACACGAAAAACATCTTTTATTTCTTTACAAAATAACAAGACTGCAAAACAGATAAATTTAAAACAAACATTTTCATTTTTCCTCTGTAAAATATTCATGATTGATTTGCAAATTCTCTCTGATTGATCTTTTGATTTAATTGGCTGAGCTCAGAACGGTTTGCAAAAGCTAGTGCAAATTAAACTATTGACCAATTACCACACACGTTATATTGTTTTTATTTTACTATGTACAATCACATAAATTTCTGTCTTACTACTCTCGTATCTCTACGTTCTCTACTCTCCTGTATATAGACTATACTTATAATTAGACTATTCTTTACTGTACTATATGTTTCTACACTATAATTCACCATTTTATTCTACATTATACTTACTAATACTGTACTATAATGACTACAATACCTAGTACCACAATACCGCTACAGTTCAATACCTAGTACCACAATACCGCTACAGTTCAATACCTAGTACCACAATACCGCTACAGTTCAATACCCATTACCACAATACCGCTACAGTTCAATACCCAGTACCACAATACAGCTACAGTTCAATACCTAGTACCACAATACAGCTACAGTTCAATACCCATTACCACAATACAGCTACAGTTCAATACCCAGTACCACAATACCGCTACAGTTCAATACCCAGTACCACAATACCGCTACAGTTCAATACCTAGTACCACAACACTGCTACAGTTCAAATCAAATACAACTCACATATTCCCGAATCAGAACTTCATATTTTTCAGCTTCATCTTTCTCTGCCTTGGCTTCCTTACGCTCAGCTAAAATTCCCTAAAATGTTTTGAAAGCGTGTTTTTCAATTGGTGCAACATTAAGGTTGAATGAATGTAAACCTGTTTTATGGATTAGCAGGAAAAAATATCATGTTTGAGATGAGCTACGCAGTACATTTCCTAATTAATATTTAATAAAATAATCATTTGTTGCCATGTGTACCATTAAAGATTACCTAAGTTGAACAATAATAGTTTTAGTCCATCAAGTTTTCTTCCCTTTTTGAGGTGATAAGTTTTGTCATTCTTGTAAACACAAAAATTCATAGTTTTTAATAATGACACTGCACCTTTTTTTTCTGATAGTTATATGTTGTGTCTTGTTCAGCTTGTTGCATGCTTAATTTCTTATTTTCATACTCTGATTGAAGTTCTCCTGACCTGATGAACAACGAATTACAATGAGTTTATGTCATACAACTCAAACATAACATCATTTGATGCCAATAAATAATTTTATGGGAAAATGAAGATGAGAATGTACGTCCTTGAAACATTTATAGAGTGGATCTTACAGATGTAATCAAAGATGATGTCTCCAGGCAAAAAAAAAATGAACTATGTCCAGTAATTTTTAAATGCCACCTGCTTAGTTTTTCAAACATTTGAGTACGTTCTTTTGGTGTTTTCATAGCAATAGATTCAACAGCACCCTTAATGAAACACACACTTTTAGCCAAAATAAGGCGAAGATTACCTTTGCTATAACAAAGTAGACTAACACATATTTCTTACTTGAAACACAAGAAAATTTTTTGCTTTGGTAAATATTCCAAAACTTTCAAGTTTTACATTGTATTCTGTTGGACTGACGGCTCTATTATTTATCGATACTCTGTTCCACTGCCAACGATTCTATTCAATTGTAATAAAAAGATAATCAATTGAAATTCTCATATCGTATAGTTGTGCACATACTTAAATCTTTAAATGAAAACTGCACAAAATCGGAGTCCTCAACAGAAATTCTTTTTGGGAAAATGATCCAAGCAATTCACATGACATAACCCAAAATCCTGACTCAAACATTGACTATGAGCTAGCTTTATTAATTATGCTCAATTGTAAACAAAAAAAAACTTACTTTCGAGTCAGAGTGGTTTCATTACCATTAGGTTCAACAAAAACAGCTTGAACAAAAGCAGTAGAAGAAACTGGTTTATTGATTGGAGCACCATGAATTAGATCCTAAAAATTTAAAAAGAATTAGTAAATCTAACCAACTGTAAATTATCCAATAATTACCTTCAAATAAAATAAGCATAATGATAGTATGTATACATATTTTGGTGGATTGTTGACTTGTCCCAAAACTGTATAACTAGTGTTAGTTTTGTTTTTATTTGTTCACACTTAAGTGAAATTATTTAAATGCCTCTCTAATAAAACCTCATATTGGCTGCTGAAAGCCAGACCCAAAAATTCTATAATTTATTAAACACTCCAGGTATTTATAAGATCATTAATGATATTAACAGTTTGTTAAAGACAATGTGTATTGATTTATTTAACAACACTAACAAGTTACAACACCAATGAAAAACCTGTGCCCATCAATAAAATCACCATAAGTACCTACAGCATGCAATTGTTATAAAATTTAATAGCTATGTAGTTACACCACTTAAATTTTTAATTATTAGTAAAAAAGAACAATATTCTTCTCCCAATAACAAATGAGATACTACTTCTGTAACATCATTATTATTCAGTCTATTTTTTCCTCTAGGATTCTTCACATACTACTAAGTTTTACTACTGTCTGTATAAAAAGTTATGAATAAAGAAAAAATTTAAAGAAAAAGTGACAACACACCTTGACAGTTCTCACACGAAGACTGGATGTTTTTTCACCAAACACAAAGCTGATTGCATCCATCAAATTTGACTTTCCTAGAAGATCATTTTCAGTAAAAAACAAGAATCCTTCTCTAGTTTACTACAGAAAGATTTCCATACATTATACTGCTTACCACATCCATTGGGACCAATAATGGCAGTGAATTTTTTTAATGGACCGATTACATGCCGTCCTTTATATGACTTAAAATTTTCTATTTCCAAGTGATTCAAATGTCCCAATCTACAACATCAAATGGTGGAAATATTTGAAATATCCTCAGATAACAAAACAATGACATATATTGATGATATTTGTTATTAATTTACTTAGGACTGGTATTACAAACTTTCTGGAACTTACGTAGCTGTCCCAAGCTACTTATTAAACTTGCATGGCTATCAATTTGTGAATATAGAGAGAATTCCATATAGTAAGTTTATGCATCTACATTTATTTGTTACATACCTCCTGCCAGTAGAATTATCCATCATTAAATGAATAACTCAAAGGAAACCTGTAAAAAGGTTGATAAAATAGATGAAAAAATGAGAGAAGGATTGTATTTGCTACGATTTCAGAGGGATGACTAAGAAATCAGGAAATTTTATCATATGCAAACAAATTCTACCCAACACTCATTGAAATTGAGCACTGTAATGTCTCTAAACTTGTACTATATTGTCAGCGTGCACATCTTATGCACAAGACTGGATTCAGATAAAGACTTTAAACTTCATCATTATCTGACCACGTGCAATGTTCAAGTAACTAGCTATGGAGCTTCAACGGGCACGACTTTAGCCTTTATTTATATTCTAGACCTTCTTTTGCCAACTTAACTTGTTCGTTTATATAGAGCACATATTGCTCACACTAAAATGAACATCTCGAAACACAAAGCAAAGCAGGTGAACATATCTGACATTATAAAATAAACTAGGCAACGTCAAATACAAAAAACATTTACTCTGTTGTACTATGATACATGACCTAACTTACTATTTACCTTAGCTATTCAGTTGAACAAAAAGCTGATGATATATCAACGTGAATAATATCTAAAGTATATTTTGTACAATGCACTCTGCAGACTTCTCTCTTTGCTCTGCATCGAGTGCTTTGCCGCGAAAAATTTTCACTTGATCGATACACTTTTCCATTCATCAAAATGATAAGCACATGTTATCTCTCATATTGCGAAAGACATTTTTTGATATTTTTATCGTTTATCAAAATATAAAACAAGCATAAAATGAATATTGACTTTATTAAGGTAAAAAAAATAAAATCAGAACTATTTTACCCATAAAATGAAATGAACATTAACACCTGGTATATTTAACAAGGATGAAATCAACGGACATGTTTGCAATGTTCTAAATTTGAATGACTTGAATTGACTTCTATGAAAATATCAAAATTCTTTCAATTTTAGTGGGATTATTGCACCATAAAATGCACTATTCTCTGAATAAATATGACTAACTCTCAAGGAGTTCGTTCATCTTCAGAACTTTTCAAAGAACTTCGTCCTCTGTGTTGAAATCGCTCGTGAACCAACATCTTGCAGGATTGATGCATTGCGTCTTTACATGGAATCAAACAAATCATTTGATTTTTCTATGCTTATGGATTATATCCTTTATCCTTTACAAGCGACAGTAGCAAGAACTAATGTGTCTTTAAACTTACGAATTGATGCTTTGAACTGCTTGTGTCACATACTCTCGAGGACTGGCGTCAGAAGTGTTGAAAAATTTAAAGAACTTTTTCAATACGTTTGTTTTTTACTCAGTTCTAAAGAACCAGGCAAAGTATGTGCTATATTTATGGCAAATTTCCTTTCATTTGATGTTCAGTTGTCACATGTTTCCTTCATTATCATATAAAATCAATTTTTATATTAAAGGTATCATCTGATGTTACTGAAGATTTCAAAGATGCTCTATTGAACTGTACTTATAATTTACTGAATTCTTCATCTTGCCAAGTTTTAGAATATAGTTATAAGGATGATTTTATGCCCCAACTTGGACATAGTATAACACTGCTGCTTGATATTGCTCAACATGAGAAAGCAAAGAATTTGGTTGTCAAATCAATTGAATGCATTGAAAAATTTGTATTTTATTCAAAATCAAATGATTCGTCTAGGGAACAGTATGATAAATTGTTATCGGCAAAACTAGCTTCATTTTTACCTGGTATTTCAATTGCTTTAAGTAAAGTTGTTACTGCTGGCATTCAACAAGGAACAAAAGTGATTGTAGCTGCTTTGAAGGCATGGGGAACCCACATAGAAATCGTTTTGAGAGATGAATTCTTTCATGGAAAACATGCTCATAGTGAATTTTCTGACCTATTGTTAAATATTGTTCCATCCAATGAAGGACATTTAGAACATTTAAATGTTGAAGAAAAAGAAAAATGTAAAATGGAACAACTTGTTGTCAATAAAGATAAGGGATGGTACACAAACACAGCTTCAAAATTCGAAATACTTCTTCAGAGAATATCGAGCTTGGCTACTCATTCAAGTTGGAAAGTTCGTTTGGCTTTATTAGATTTTTCCGAATTGCTCTTGGTAAAGTGCTCTGCATCCCTGAAGACATGTGTTCCAATTTTAGTGGAAATTGTAATTGGTATGACGTCTGATGATTATGATGAAGTTTCAAAAAGAAGCAAAAGTATTGTGTCAAATATACAGACAAAGCTTTCAAAATATGGTGTGTGTTACATATCTTTGTATTTAACATCAATGTATTTTCAGTGCAAGATTAAGTTAAATTATATCAATAAACACTCGTTTTTATTGCAAATAGATCAAAGATCGATGGTCGAAATAATAGTGGATAAACTGTTTTCACATTTTACTGCGCTTCCTCGACAAATACGAGGCACGGATGAGAAATCAAAGATAAGAATTCTTCATATTATTCTTGGTTATATTCAAGTATTGGGTGATCATGTTAGAACCGTCTTTCATGCTGATACTCTTCTTAAACGTTTCATACAAGCCTTTATTCAGGTAGTTTATTATGCCATGCTGAACCGTTTGAACTTATTCCTGCAAATACTGCCAATGCAATTCAAATTCTATTTTCTAATAACCTTCAGGTTTTGGAATTTGATGTGTCGGACATTCGTATGTTGGAACTAACCTCTGGTGAGAATGTTAGATATACTCAAGTGTATGAAACTTATGGTGGTAAAAACTGCCTGGAAGATGTGATCGGAACGCGTCAATTTGTTTATAAAAAAAAATTCAAGCACTTTAGGGACGAGTATATACTGCATATTATCGAAAAAATATGCTGGTCTCTTGGAAGTCAAGGGAATCTTATACTTTTCACTGATCATCTTTTGGAGCAGTTAAGATCATCACCTTCGAATAGTAAACAAATTATCTTCATTATCAACGAAATAATGCGTGGATCGCTTAAACATATAAAAGTTGACTTTTCTTTCAAGGATGGTAAGTACATTGAAGTACTTTAATGTGACTTTTTAAAAGCCAATAAATTTGCATTGTGTTCTTATTTCTCACTTTATAATTAAGCTTTCTTTTTTTCCACTGCGAACTTCGTACTATTTATTGAAAAAGAGATATATAAACAACCTAGCAAACAAGACATACTTTGCTCTCATGGTTTAGAAACATCTACAGAAAAGTTCAATGATGTCATTGCCTGTGTGAAGTTGATCATGGACGAATATTTATCAAAGGAATTGTGGTGTGTTACAGTTTCAAATCACGACAACGAACCTTTAAAAACTACGATAGACAAAGATCTATTTAATTTACCAAATAGCAATGTATATTCTACTGGTCAGTTTAATTCTATCTCTCAACTTAACAGTAACATTCAGATGATGTGTTTAATGTTGGAAGGTATAGGAATACTTGCCACTGTCCTAAAGAAAAAGTTTGACAGGTATAAGTGTATAACTATGATTGATTTAGCTAAATCTTATAGTTCAGGTTGATAGGTATTTGATTTACAGTACGTTGCTAAAAACATGGAAATTAAATGTCATTTTTTGTATAGACACGTCCGTATTCTACGTAGTTCAAGTGCTATATAGTATCAAATTAACAAAATTTTACGTTAATCAAACGATGCATTTTTTTCTCTAGTATGTTGTTGAATGTGTTGTATCCTGTAATGGAGAAATTGGGAAGTAGGAATGCCACAGTCAGCAATGCAGCATACTGGAGTCTACTTACGATTTCAATTTGTTGTGAATATAAGTCAATCCAAGAGTTAATTGCAAGCAACGTGGATTATCTTATCAATACAATCTCTCTTAATCTGCGTCATATCGAGTTAAATCGTGAAACACCTGCTGTACTCAGTGCCATGATTCAATATGGTGACGAACGTTTACTTCCGTTTCTTGAAGATACTTTAGATGAAGTTTTAAATCTTATCGACTTCATGGATGAAAGCTGCATTGTTGCTTTTTTAAAAGTTCTTAATTCTTTCTCTTTTGCTCTTTCAAAATGGTTTCCAATGACAATAAAACATCAATGTGAACTTCCTAAGAAGAAATCGGAAACAGCGACTCAAGTATGAATCTTCAATGTTCATTTTTTTTGTTGATGTAGAATCTAGCTGTAAAACATTGCGCTCAAATATATGTCCACTTCATCTTTCCATTACATTGTACAAAATCACTATAATTTCATTGTTAATTATCAATAGATAAAAATCATTTCTATCAAATATATTTTCGTGATCAACAAATCTAAAATTAAGAAAAATGTAGCTACAACTTGTATATTTTAACTAAGTTGTTTTACATCCTTGATGTAAAATTTCTACCATTTTCAATGTCATAGAATATTTTCACAAATGTTTTAAAAAACATCTTTTCCTGATCATAGAATTCGTTTTTTCACATACATTCAAGTTCCAACGTGATAAAAAGAAAGCAAAATTTTTTTACTCATTTCTATTTACAAATATCTTCTTTTCTCGTTACAACTTAATACACTTGATTGAAAACCTGTTTTAATTTGTGGTAAAACCTACTTTCAAGTTGAACATTTTTCATGATTTCAGATTCTCGTTGACCAATTACTTGAAATTATACGGGATTTACAAAAACCAAAATGATGATAAATTCTACTAACCACAAAATATTCAAACCAGTTTCTCGACTTTTAGAATACGGACCTGCGTGACTACTTTGTATCACATTTAAAGATGAAGAAAGAATCTCAGGGTGAATTGCCTATGGACGAAATTCATGAGAATGAATTTGACGAAGAAACACAAAGGGACGAGAAAAATAATTCCGAAGAAATTTCTCTACAAATAAAGTTGATAGAAAAGGTTAGAAGTTAGAACTATGTCGTGCTGGTAATAAAACAATTTGGTTTTTATGAGACATTGAAAAAAAATTTTTTTACAGGTTGTTGAAAAATGTTCTTATTTCATCACGGCGAGGTATGTAGCAGTTCGCCAGCTTGCTCTTTCGACAATTCATTATGGCGTTATGGTGTTATCTGGTGCCGAGAATCGATTGTTACCAATGATTCATAAAATGTGGCAATGTATAGTCCAATGTTTACGTGATGACGAGTTGGTAAGATATGATGTATATTCATGTGAGGTTTGAAATTAAAAATATGTTTCTTTTTTAAATGAAAGTATATTTTATCTGTGCATCTGTGCACAAGTTACACAAATCGCCAGCATGAATCAGGCATTAAGAAAAGCTACGTAGTATCTGTAGAGTTTAATCCAATGAGCAAGCAAAGTAATAATATTGATGTACAGTTACGTGTTTTTATTTAGATTGTCAGAAATAAATGTCTTTCAGTTCTATTAACTATGGTGAACGTTTCTGGACATTTTATGAAACAACGCGTGGTCAAAGATGTGTTACCGAATTTGTTATCTTACCTAAAGAAACAGCATTCATTGAGTGCTAATGCTCGTACAACATATTCACATACAATGTCTTTCAAGTTTCAATTGGCTATTCTGAATGTCCTGGGAAAGATTTGTCATCATCTTGATATTTTAGACATTGAATGTGGCAAAGTGATTTCTATTATTTTACCATACTTAAGTGATAAACAACCTGAAGTACTGCAAAAGGTTTGTAAACAACTATTGTTTACTGTTCACCATTGGATATTTCAAACTTATCAAATTATTTGTCTTTAAGGGAGCTTTTAATGCAATAAAACATATTGCAAACAAAGAACCAGATCTCGTTTGGCTATCTCTTAATAACCTGTACTGTCCTCGATTGCCAACAATGCCGGATCCTCGATTTCAAAATATACAATTTTCCGGATTGTGTGTTACGAACAGTGCCGAGTTTGCATCCAATGTAGAGCAATTACTTGAAGAATGCCATCTTTCACCGTGCATTTACTCACACAATATTTTGGACAAGACTTTTCTCAACAAATCAATTTAAAACTAAGGTTTGAAATAGTTTATGTTGCAAGTGCACTAATTGTTTTCATCTTCATTTTCGTAGAAAATCTATCTTGTTATGTGAAACCCATATTGTATCATAAATATCATGATGTTATTTTGGGAAAGAATGACAACATACGTACGACAATTGTAAAAATAAGGAATTTACTATGGAACAAGTGCACTTTGCCATCTATAATGTACTACTAAAATGGACTACTTCAGAAAAAAGATTTCCATCTCGATATACAAAACATGTCTTGATTTATTTCACACAAACAATCAACATTTTCAAAAAGACTCTATAAAAAAACTCTTAGGTTATTCATTAAGTTATAACGTCTTTTCTCCTCTTCATTGCATCAGTAATTCGGAGCAAAGCAATATTCAAGTGTCAAGATTTTGTTCGTTTCGATAAAGTAAACGTGACAAATATTTCCAATATTTCATTTCAACATGTCCTAAGCTATTGTAGCTGTGACTTATCTTTAGAATGTCTTTCATCGACATCATTTATAAATAAGATATATCCAAAATATACTGTTGTAAGTTAATTTTACACATACCAGATGCGCCATTGATTGAAAGATTACAAAAACTTGTTAGAAAATCGCATGAATCTCGTGATTTAGTCATAGAATTTGTTTGAATGGAAATAAAATGTTGTAAACATGTATGGCAACAAGACACAGGTTACAAAAATCCTGATAAAACCACACACATAAAACTAGTGTTTAGTGCATCAAATTAGTTTCCGTTTATTTCCAAAAGTCATTGACGAAATTCAATCTTCTTCCGAGCGTTTATCGTTTTTCTTAATGATTTTAAAGTCAATATCATCAGTTACAAAAAAGATGTTCACTCACTTAATAGCCTATAAAGGAAGACGAATTAAAAGCTCTAATTTCAGAGCATTTTTAAAGTTCAAAAGAAAAGTGAGATGTAGAAAAAAAATTTATTTGTTAATAAGGCCCCCTCCCCTCCCCCCATCCAAATAATAGATGCGTGCCGTGTACGTGTTTTAGGAGGAATAGCTTGCACAAAACTAGAAATATCATATCTACCAGAGTCTTTCACGTATTTCATTAATCATTACAAATTTCAACTTGCTATTATTGCCTTATACCCTAGAGACGGCATTGTATTCAAATAAAGCGATAACGAGAAGAGGAAATGGTGGTACAGTTGTCATCAAATATTTGAAAAACGTAAAATCCGTTTAAATTAAATTCCTAAGCTTAAGCAATTCAAAATAAAAAAAACGCATGACTTTTTGCGTTGTTGCAATCCTCTACGACTATACAAACTTTGGATTTGGACTGTAATTGTTCATTCCAGTGCAAAAAGTCATGTAAAATTTATCTTTCCAGTCTTTAGGCCATTTCCATATAATAAAAATAATGATTAACAAAGTTGGAATGAGAATAACCAGGGCAACAAGAAATTGGCCCCAGGCAGGATAGGTTTCACTGGCTGTCCATTCCTTAGTGCCACTATACTTTGAGCTTACTGGTTTCTAAAATATTAAATATTAAGATTAATATAGTGATATGAACATGAATTATGACATATTTATAATATATACAACATACTTCTCTATACACACCACACATAATAAATTATATAAAAACCCAAGCCTAAAAACCTTAGTTTGAGTTGCTTAAATACTAATAAATCAATTCATAATCACTGTATGAACACGAAAATTACCTCAATACAGCCAACAAATATTTCATATACTGCACTACTCTTGCAGAGGTCATAGATACTTGCAAATGTTACAATTAATAATGCCAACGGTGATATATATTTCCAGCAAATCATCCATCCAATCCATGGCCGTTTACCAGTCATATCTTTAATGTCTTCAGCAAATCTACAAGCAGTGCTTGTATGTTAAATTTTTTTTTTGTTTTGATAATATAACTATTTGTAATTTGCGGGTTAAGTTTCTGCCATGCATATTTGTCTGTAATATAAGAAGATTACGTAATTAAATGTACATCTTACTTATTGTTTCCATATATCCATGAAACTCCAATACATTGAAAAAAGGCAATAATGAGTAACGGGAAAGATGCTGCGTAGCCATCAAATATTTGAAAAACGTAATAACCATTGCCAGCCACAAAGGCGATTCCAATTACGAACAAAATAATGACTACAATAGCTGGAGTTAAATGAAAATATGTTCTTCATATGAAATTGTCGGTTACACAAAAACTTGCATTTATAGAATTGTACCTGTATTCAGCTCTTTCCACCATTTTTTGGGAAGCAATCCAATCTCCATCAATGGTGTGATTGTAGCTTCAAGTGTTCCAAATTCACTATCAATGCCTAACAATATCAACATAAAGAAAAACAGAACAGCCCAGAGTGGAGATACATCCAACTGTAAGAGAGCATCAGAGAAAGCCATGAAAGCGAGCCCCGGTCCACTACTAACCTAAAAGATTGACAGAAAACAATGCATTGAATTTAAGTATTTGCATTTTAAAGGAAGAAGCTAGAAACTCTGGAAGCAACCATATGCAACATATCACGGTTGTCAGAAAACAACTGTTGAACAAATTATTTTTTCATCAATAACGTATTTGGAAGTTATATTTACTTCATTAACATGTACACCAGTCTTTACTTGACGATATCCTAAGATAGAGTACACAACAATCCCAGCAAACAGTGATGTACCACAGTTGACAAATACAACAATATAAGCATCATTCATACACTGGTTATTGTAAGGCATGTAACTTGCGAACGCAATCAGTGCACCAAATGCTAAACTTAAAGTGAAGAACATTTGCGTTGCTGCATCTCTCCACACTTGTACATCTTTCAATCGATCCCACGTGTCCTAAGAATTCAGTGACAGAATTTAGTAGAATTAAATTTATTTAAAATGTAATTGCAAATATAAATTGGAAATAAGTTTATACATAATTAACATCAACATAATCAAATAAAAAGGCCAGTTGTTGGACCATGCAGTTTGATGAAAATGTTAAATATTTATATTTTTGTGTCATTGTATGTTCACCTCAGGGGAAAAGAACGCCTTGAGTCCAGTTCCTGCTCCTTCCAACGTCACTCCTCGGAAAAACAAAACAAGAAGAATGATGTAGGGAAAGATTGCTGTGAAATAAACCACCTGAAGAAGAGAAAACAATAGGATTCAATGACTCAATTTCCTCATACTTTAGTTCGACTTGCGTTCAATTATTTTGTCACTCAAACTCAAACTTTATTTCACACGATGCTAACCTTTCCACTTGTCTTGATCCCTTTTACGACACATAGATAAACAATGATCCATGCACCTGCTAAACATCCAAATAGTTTTAAGTTGACACCTTTGCTGTAATCGTTGATATCAACTGAAACATCTAAAACCTCTTTATAAAAATACCATTGTGGAGGATCTAGGAAACAGCACTCTGTGATTTTGGTAACATTATCTTTACTTTGATCGTACATCATTTTTGAATAAAGAGCGACATCTTTGTACAGTGTATTGTTTTCGATAGAGGATTGTAAATAAAATGAATTATTCTTACGCCAGAAATCTTCTACTTTTTTTAAATCCAAATATTTTTGATACTTTTCAGAGTCACATAGCTCTTCCCGTTTCCACGGTAAGTCTTTTCGAAAAGAAATGAAGAAATAGTAGATGCACCAAGTAATAACAATGATGTAATAAACACAGAGCAAAAGTGATATTGCTATTGATGCCAGGCCAACTCCATATAAAGAAGGATGTATTTTTTTCCAAATATTTACAGCAGATGTACGAAATTTTTGACCAATTGCAAACTCCAACAGCATTATAGGAATGCCCTCGATCACCATAAAAATAAGGTATGGAATCAGAAATACTCCTACGAAAGAAAAACTTAAATATGTTTCAAACTTCGATCTTTACATGAGCCGAATGGATTTAAAACAAAAAATAATGAGGAATTTCTTCTCATTTTCTTTTGGCATTAATGTGTTTGACGGATGTAAAGTTCGAGGTTTGAAACAGACCTTACAATATTCTGTTTATAACAAAACGTTTTAAAAAAACCAACACAAAAAATGAACAATAATTTTTTGCTCAAACTGTTAAAAATATGGCTTAATTTAAGACTAACCTCCTCCATTTTTTTGGCATAGATAAGGAAACCTCCAAATATTTCCTAAACCAACAGCCAGACCAATAGAGGCAAGAATAAATTCCCATTTACTTCCCCAAGCGTCACGTCCATTTCCTGTAATTCCAAGCACCAATGAGCTATCTAATTGTTGATTAAATTTTATCAATTTGTAAAAGGAATTGAGCTCTCACCATTTGGTTCTTCTGTCAGAAGGTTCTCTTCAAATTTGACAAAAAGTTCGTGTTACCATGGTAAGATGCAAGAGAAAAAAAAGTCATGCAAAATTTAATTTAAGACGCATATATTTGATTTACTTTTTTTTTAAAGTGAAAGACAAAGATTGTGGAATAAAATTTCATTTCATTAGAAGTTAACGTTACCATCAGTTGTGACGTCTTGACCACCACGAGGTGAGTCAGTGGTGTCAATTAAACGAGACGACTTTGACGTCAAAATATTATTTATTCCTTTTGGCAAATTAATCTTGGGAGGTTGTTTTTGGGTTGATGAGTTAACTGATTCTATAAAAAATGACTGCATTGATCACATATATTAAAATCATCATTGTAAACGTAATGTTTATCTTATATGATGTATAATTAGATGTGTAGCTGCTGAAAGAAAATAGACCAGTTATACGAAAAATATGCAAATCTTATTGTTGATTTAAACTTGTCTGAAAATTTGATCGATGGAGGCTGTCTAGCCTGTACAAATTGAATTATAAAAAAAAACAAAAAAAAATGGACAGTCGAGACAAAAGAATTCAACAACAGAATTAAGACACTGGGAAAAATTTTTGGGAATCCTGTGTGAAATTTCTCTGCGTGAAATTTAAAAAGACAAAAAATAAAACGATTATTTTTCAGGAAATGAACAAAATAGATTTTGAAGAAATATTAATTTTACTACAAAAATATTGTAAATTAATATAGAAACTGGGATATCTATGAATATAACTAGTACATAGTGATGAAAATGACATGAACAAATATCGTACAGCAGATGTCAAAAATTTAAGATGGGTTTTACAAATAAAAATCAAAAAACCTGAGAGAGTTCTTGTTTCCATGTCAATGCCATAATTTTGAGGAGAACTTTCTGTTGGTCTACTGTAGAATCTTGTTGATGCTGATTCTATAGAAATTCAATATTAAGTATTTATGTACTTACTAGTTTTATCATCAAAATACAAAGTCTTTAGAGAGTGTCATGTTTATCGATAAAGGAAAACCAAGAAATTCAGATTAATGAAACAAATGGTCCTTGATAGCTACATGATACTTTTGCTGTTTGCTTGGGAAAATTGGTTCGCTTGTTTTTGCTATAGACACTAAAAGATACTAAAAATGTTTTCTAATCAAACCAGCCGTTTCAACTTTTATGAATATAGATTCAGCATGTGAAGTAGCCTACTATAGCCATTCCGCTCTCAAGATTTAGTCCCGGCATAGTGTAAATTACAGAACATTATCAAAATTCATTTCCTTGTTCTTAAAATACGTATTTATTAATTTTTTGCTGCATCCTTCTTCTATTATAATTTTCATACCTTGAAGACGCTTGTAATAATAGTAAAAATTGTCTTTAAAAAGAGATTGCAAATACTATGGCCATGGTGAATGGTCAAATACAAACGAAATAGTTCTTAAAAGAACTGTTTTAAGGCAGAACACTAACCCAACAATTCTAAAATACCTGTTTTAAAAATAAATAACACTAGGCAATTCGGCAAACTACTCATCAGGTGTCAACGTTTGCTAAACGAGAGCTTCAGAAACATTATCGCATGGCAGCCCACTTTAGCTAGCTAAGTGATTTTATGGACTTTATTTTGTGAGCTGCTGATCGAAATATCTATAATATTTGAAATTAGTCATATGAATACTGGTTTTTCAATACAATTGCAAATGAAACCTTAATTTTACCGCTCATCAAAAACGTCTAGCTAGACTTTACCTATTATGCTGGAAAGTATTAATGAAGAAAATCATTTATTATCCGTAAAAACATAAAATAACAAAAACGTTTTTTGTCAAAACTTTACGTTGGTTGTCTTATGCAACAGAATATTTAAACGTATCAATAATCAAAGCAATAATGTACATTAAGTAGGTGACGTGGACGAACAACATTTATTAAAAACACTCCATGGGAGGTTGATTTTAAACAAAAATACTGCGGACTTCCAAGTTCCAATCGGAAATTTGATTCAACCTCTTAAAACCTGTACTCATTTGCCGTTTTAACACAGTAGTGTGAGACAGACAACAATAAATAATTATTATTTTGCTTTATTTCCAATTTACTTCATTCACATTACGCTTGAATTCATTACAGTTGGAATTCGCAACGTGTCACCTTGTCATCACAATTACTTTGTTGTGAAAAAAATATAAAAATAATACACAAAATTGTCGAATAAATAGATGGAGCTAACGGATGATTTAGTCATTTAGTTTTCTTTGCAATTTCGCCTTTTGGATCATAAAGTTTGCTTTGGGATTTCGGAAATAAAAGCTAAAGAGCATTGTTTCAATTGAAATTTATTGGCATGGATACCAAAATAAATACTGAATTTTTACATAAAAATGTTAAGCTCCTCTTAGTGACATTTCATGGAGGTGAAAGACAGTAAAAAAATATGTTGCACAGATTTTGTTGTGAAAAAAGTTTGAGGAAGAAAAAAAATTCATTGAGTGTTGGGACGAACATATTTTAATCTGATTTAAGTACATATTGATTGGGATGAATTTAACATTACGCCCCCACAGATTAAAGGACATTGAAGTTAGTCATGTTTTATGTTAGAAAAGTGTAATTTAACCAACATAAAACTCTACAATTTGGCTGCCAAGACAAAATATATGACCAAAATATAACATTTTGTTAATATAAGATAATTCTCTTTGATATAGAAAAGCAAACAAAGCTCTATAGTCAAGGTAAATACTGTCGGCAATTAAAATACGAGGTGTTTAACAACGTGTACTTTGGAATAATGATATGTCTTTATACACAATTATTGATTTACTAGATCGTTTAATATTGAAGTACCTGAACTTGGAGGTCCAACTCTGACTGAATCTTCATGTTGGCCTACATACGATACTCTAGATGAAGTCATCTTTTATTCTTTTTATCGTTTAAAAGAAAACACGGGTACGAGATGTTGGTATGTGGCCCAGAATATAAAGTGGATCCACTTCATTGAATTACAAATTCAATTTTTTTTCGTGCCACGCATACCTATAATTATCATATGCATATAATTACCATAGTGGCAATCATGTTTTTTGACCAATAGGAATGATGAAAATGCTGAAATAAACGTTTCTATGGTAACTGTCCATCTTATATTATTGATATTCTACCAACAAATGCCAGTCGCCACAATAGAAATACTCGTTATAAAGACTTAACTATTTGTTTACCCAAAACGAAGAGACAAAATGATGGTGGGCGATCTTTGCTGCTACTGCAAGTCAATTTTGTCTACCTCTTACTATGCGTAAACTTTCATCAGCTACACTGAAACTTTATGATAAAGCTAATTCAGATATGCTCATAGAATAATTTATTATTTAGTTTTTAGTATTTTTAGTCTTGTGTAATTCTGGTTTTAAATTGTAATTTATCTCGTAGCCAGTTTTCACACTTGTTGTGTCACGTGTTACCCTCTTTTTAATAAAGTTTAATCAATCAATCAATCAAATGCTCAGGACAGCCTTTTATCTAATTAAATATACATTATCCAGTTTCACACGAAGTGTATACCTACTGTCTACTGTATATTCCCTATACTGTGGTTATAGCCAGTAACGTAGCCAGGCCGACTTTTTACTCCCTTATGCATATATTTTAGTGTTTACTGACCTTGAGAACAATAGATTTTTAAAGAAAGAAATAATGGTAATCTTTCAGAATTACGTAAAGGCTGGATACGCTAATGGTTATGGACAATATAGTAATACCGACAATAGTGGAGGGGGGACTCATATCACGAGTCATGTTCTACTTTATTATATTTTATTCATATCAGTGTGTATACTCTAATATGCACATGGTACAGAAAATGCTAAACATAAAATAAAGTATTATATGAAACAACAAGTTTATGACTATTATATGTAAAGGTCGTTTTAGATCAATGGATTGGTAGAATTGTCAATTGTTAATGTATAAAGTTTGTCAGTTGATTAAATAAAAATCCAAAAATGTTGACCGTACACTCAAGAGAGGTTTGTCAATATTGTCAACGAAATATAACAACAATTTGCGATATAAATGGATATTTTGCTGGCATGTTCATAAATGCTTCATACATTCTTTGAGTCAGGGAGAAAGCTAAATTGTTTTTAAAAAATTTGACTTGTGGGGGTAATTGTATTTAACCTGCATGTGATACAGATTGAGCTCGCTTTATTTCTTCGAACCAATTTCAAGACTGACATGATACAATTAAAATCAAAAAACAATCCTTCACAATGACAAAAATGGCCATTCTATCGAGAAATAACAACTGTGGCAAGCTTGGGACTTACTGGGGGTAAATCTCTCAGTATTTTTATCTATTTTAACAACGTACGTTACTCTACTTTGGAGTATCTATATTAAGTTGCGTTAAGTTGACTAAACTCAGCAGATCGCTCAGAAATAAAAACATTGCAATATGTTCAGAGTTCATCATTGCATACAACACGACAGTAACCTTAGACGTCACTTTTAAAGTCTTTGTCAAAATATGACCTTTAACATAACCATAACGGTATCTACACATTTTTCAATATAATATCTTATACCGAGTAACTAAATCAATTAGTGAAGAAAATCATTGGTGCACGGGACGAGGGGTACGGAGGGGGACAGCTCCTTCCCCCCAAGAAAGTTTGAAGATATGGCGAAAATATGGCGGAACATTCATTGTGAGTTGGGTAAAATCTTTACTGCCCCAGAAATGATAGCTCCCATACGCCTATGAAGAAAATATGGGTTTCTAACAATTTTGTAAGAAACCAAGGCTTTTCTTGTATTTTGAGCCAAGAAAATGCCTTATATATATTTTGGTTAAATTTTTTCTTTTAAGAAGCGCTTGAATCAGAAATAAAGGCTATTGTGAAATAAAAAGTCTGACTATTGATTATTGGTTTTGTTGTTTCAGTTAATTACAATTCTATCAAAATTCGTTACAAAAACTAAATTGCACATAAGAACTAATACCAGATCAGTAAAATGTGAGGAATGTTTAAATTTAATTAATTTTTTATTAAAAATTGTTTTAACACCATGCATTCATAGCATGTTAAGCTATTTGTTATACATATTAGTTGTGATTATAATGCATGAACTACCAAGAACAATAAATGTTTATCCTGCATAAATCAAAAATACGTCGAGACTAAAGCAACAACAGTGACTGAAAGTTGTTATCGAAATTATTTCATAAACTTGATAGCACAAGAATCCGAATTCGAAAAGGCTTTCAAATGACGTCTAATCAAGGATTTGAGTCAGGTAAGACTTTAACAAAGTCCTTGCTTTTGATCATTTTTACCGTGTCATGTAAAAATGTTATACATTCCATGTCGCAACGGTTGTTTGGAAAGTAAAATCTAGAGAAGCGATATTTTTCATGGCTGTATATATGCTTTCATAAATACATGCATACAAGAAATAAAGCTTTGCTCTAACCTGTACAAGTAAAACAAACGTTTTTGAGTTTTTGGTTTAAAAACAGGAATAATAAGCAAGCATTGCCAATTTAATTACATTTGGGAGGAAAATCATAATTTTAGACGTTTTTCATTCTCCTTTTCACACTTTATATTTTTGTTTCCCCGGTTCTTTGTGTGCGGTATATTTTACAAGAAGGTTTTTATAGCTAAATAAATGATTTGAATGAGCACATGCAGTTTTTTCACACAAGGTGAAGCGTCAAAGAATGTTTCTGAGCAACCTAAAACAATTAAATTTTTGAATGTATACTTCTCATTTGTCCCAAGCAGTTATTATCTTAAGACTCATCGACATTGCCTTGTAACAAAATATGTCCAAATTGGTGAGAGAAAGAACATGGCTATATATAATTGCTTCGTCTTGAAGCGATTATGAATCAATTTTTGCCATTTCAAGGAATGGTTTATAAAGACGTCATTCATCATATCAACGACAAATTCGATTAATATAATCGTATTGCAATGTGTGCATAATTCAATAATTGCTTCTAGAGAGTGTTTCATTAACTAAAAACCTGGAAGATTTTGTGTGCACTGCATATGCCGTTGTTCTACCATAGTGAAATAATACCCAAAAATTTATAGTAAATGTTATTGAAGAGTGTATATTTTAAGCGATTTCCTCCAGTGTATAGTGAAATCAAACGTTACATATATTAACAGCGGAATGTTAAACACTCATTTAATAACCAAATTATCACTTGCATACAATTATTGAATAAAAGTTTTTTGGCAAAAACATCAACAAACGATGACTTGAAGATCATAACCGAATACCAAAAAAATTCTCCTCAGATCCGATTTAGCAAGGACACAGGCAAGAAGCCAATGAGTATTTTTTATTGTTTGAAGTGGTTTAAAATATTTTAGCATCCGGTTCATATATCAAGGCTGAAGCAACAATCTCCAGTACATAATATTGATTTTGCTTAAATATCGTAATATTAATAATTCGTACAACAACAGACAGAAAAAAATATCATTCCGATTCATTCAAGCCTCTTGAAACCAACACATGACACTGCTCAGCCAAGACGCAGAATAATCAATAAGCCTATTATTCTACTTTTTTCATTGTACAGATATGATTTTCATATATACGTCACAAACTTTTCTCTGAATTTGAAGTATGTTTTGAGAACGAGCAGGAATAGCTTGCTCTGTGAAACGATTACTTTACAAGACAAGTCTTTAATCAAATTCTAAGCTAATTGCTTACACAAGTGGATAGACTTACCATGAGTAGTATAAAAAGGGAAGATTGCTTTGCTCTGAAACTCGGTGATGTATGTTTATTTAGATTACTGGCTACAGTTTGACCAGCTCAGTATTCCTTTATGTCAGAAACATATCAAAATATGCAAATTCAATTCACTAATAACATATTAGTAATAAAAAATGCGTTATGCAATACATTTCAATCACTTCATATGCTGATGATCTTGTATTCTTGTTATTCACATTTAGTAATAGTAATAAAATTTTGAAAAGCATTTCATTGTCTTCCCAATAGTTGATGTAAAACGTAAGATGATGCATTGCTTTATGTATAAATTTTACTCACAAAGCATTATCCACTTCCAGGAGTAGAATTGACAAACTACAACAAAAGCAATCCTTTAGGCGAGTATGCAGAACCAGAGCATGATAATAAAACCAATCAGAATGGAAAGAGTGATACTTGGGGACACAAGGCTGAATTTCTTCTAGCTTCCATTGGTTTGGCAGTTGGTTTAGGAAATGTCTGGAGATTTCCATATTTGTGTCAACGAAATGGAGGAGGTAGGTTTTAGTAATTTTAGACAGTGCAGTTTTCATACTTAAAACAATATTCTCAAATCGTTTTCGTGAATCATCAACTATTTTCAAAGCAAGTTTATGAATTCCATAGCCATAAGTGTATACATATAACACTGTAGCTATAACTTTAAAACGTAAATCATATTATGGATTAACTAAAAATTGTACTTTATTTTATAGGAGCATTTCTTATACCATACCTAATCTTCATGTTTATCGAAGGAATTCCCCTCATGTTACTTGAGTTTGCAATTGGCAAAAATGAGATGTACAGCCCTTAAAGTGTGGAAGGACATTCATCCAGCGTTGTTTGGCGTTGGAATTGGTTGTATTTTGGTTTCATTGCTCCTATGCATGTATTACATCATTGTTATTGCATGGTGTCTGTTTTATCTCTTTGTTTCAATGCAAAAAAATCTTCCATGGGCATCAGAAGAAGTTTGCGGTAATACAACACATTCGGAATACGCTCAATTGATAAAAACCCGTGATTATTGGAAAAGTAATTATACTTCTTTGAACATGAGCGATTTAACAAAAAATTACTCCAGAAATATGTATTACTATGCGAAGCAAAGAGTCGACAACTATTCAAGTTGTTGTGTTATTGATCCACCACAATGGTATTTTTATACAAAAGTGTTAGATATTTCAACAGACATTGAAGATTACAGCGTTGGTTTAAACGGAAAGCTTGTTGGCTGTCTCGCTCTTGCCTGGTTGATTGTTTATCTTTGTGTTGTAAAAGGAATCAAGTCCAGTGGAAAAGTAAATAAAAATGTTCTATATTACTGTTGCATAGTCCACGAACATAAATTGATTCTCACGCTTTTAATTATTAAAACTATAAATGTCGAATATTTATAAGTGTTGCTCAGTGATTTAAATAATATCACTTTTCACTTGTTTTTTGAAATCGCCGTTTTTATGCTTTTTCCAAGCAGATTAGGTTTTCATAAAATTCTGAAAGTTTTCATGATTGAGGTGCCTAATCACCAAAACTAACTTCACTCGCTTGTAAAACAACTTCAAAACCTGCAGCAAAACGCAAACACTTTCAGAGGAATTATTAACTAATAGAAATAGCTGGCCGATAAAACTGACAAAAAATGAGGTTTTTAGTTCTATATTTCTGTTTAAAAATAAAGTTTATTTATTCATTTTCTAGGTTGTATATTTCACTGCAACATTCCCGTACATCATTCTTATTATTCTCATGATCCGTGGAGTAACTTTAGATGGTGCAAAAGAAGGTTTAGAAACATTTTTTACTCCAGATGTAAGCATCCATTAGACTCCATTAATACAAATTAACGATTAAAGATCAGTTTTCCGTTTTTCTTGAAGATAACTCGAAAACATATCTTTGCATAATATATGTATAATTATATTTTATAGTTTTCATATTCCACATGCGTGCACTTTCACCATAATATATATGTTTTATTTTGACAAGTGGGATCGATTGAAAGATGTACAAGTGTGGAGAGATGCAGCAACCCAAATGTTCTTCACTTTAAGTTTAGCATTTGGTGCACTGACTGTATTCGCAAGTTACATGCCTTATCATAACCAATGTATAAATGATGGATACCTAGTGGTATTTGTTAACTGTGGAACTTCGTTATTTGCTGGAATTGTTGTATTTTCCATTCTTGGATATCGAGAACTGAAAACTGGAATACCTGCAGACAAGGTACACCTTTATCCATGGTGTTTTTACTCAAATTAACTCACAACTGATATGTATCTTATGTCCGCAAACAACCTTTCACACGTTGAGCAATCTTTAGTGCTCAGATAATCAGAATTCAGTTATAATCCTCGATATTTCTTTAAAGGTTGGAAGTGGACCTGGTCTCGCTTTTATGGCATTTTCAGATGCTATTTTAAAGATGGATGCATCTCCAGTTTGGGCAATATTGTTTTTCCTTATGCTGGTGTTGTTGGGTATTGACAGTGAATTCGGGACACTTGAAGCCGTTATCGGACCTTTAATTGAACTTGGAGTTATCCCAAAAAAGTGGAGAAAAGAACTCGTAACTGGTAATTTTCAGAAAAATATCTTGCCGTCATAATCAAGAGAAATCTTGTTTGTGACAGCATTTAAAATAGTGTTAGGGCCATTTAATGCTGCAAAAGTTAGTTGAAATTTACACAACACACCACTTCTGGCAAACACAAGTTCGTTTTAAGCCTTGACCAGCAAAAGATTGTCGTTATTATATTGCATTAAATTAAATATCTGCATGAAAATTTTACGTGCATTTTTTTCTCTCTTTAGCCATTATTGTTTTCGTTCTTTTTTTGATTGGATTGGCTATGGTGGCGGGAAATGGTTTCTACGTTTTTCAAATTTTTGATGACTATGCAGCTGGGATTGCACTCCTTGTAATTGCTCTGTTCCAATGTATTGGTGTTGCATGGATTTATGGGAACGAAAGGTACGCCTATCATGGAATGTTTTCTTAAAACAAAAAATATAAAGGATCCTTATGATTATGTCTGCTCATCAATGATGAAATGGTTCTTTTTAAATACATTGTAAATAAGTCTACATTGCTTTCATCAGCATACTCATTTCCATCATTTTGTGATTCCTAGATTTGCCGATGACATTGAAGATATGACTGGTAAACGGCCTTGGATTGGTTGGAGGATATGCTGGAAATATATTTCACCTATTGCATTGTTCCTTATACTTGTTGTAACTGTTTATGACTTGACAAAGGATACGGCAAAATATCAAGCATTTGTTGGTTGTAAACAGGTGAGAGTATAGTTAAGATTTATCATACTTGAATAGTTGAACTCATTAAATTATCAAATTAGTCATTTATGATATACATATATACTATTTCTGACATTCAGAGCCCATTTTCTTCCAAGTATCCAGGCAACGACAATTGGACAACTGCACTTGATCATCCTGGTTGGTCACAGTTTTTGTGTGCCTTAATGGTTCTCATACCGACAGCACCAATAATTTTCTTCGTAATTTATCGTTCTGGCTACTAGTTTCTTATGACATTTCTGCAGTAGTTGCATGGCAAGTTTATCTTTAGCTGTAAAAACAATTTATATTCATACACGTTTTTACAAGAGATAACATTTATTTTAGTTATATGATTCACGTACTTAAAAACATTTTGTTAATTCTTATGTAAAACATATAGGTATAAAAATGTACTTCAACCTGCGGCTACTCTTCATTATCATAAGTATTTCACGATATCTCGATATTAACTTTTTTGCTTTTTTTCTTTTAAAGTGATCCAGGACAACTTTTTTATAAAAACAGCAATACTTTTCTGACTTTATCATACCATAAAATACATAATTTTTAGAGGTGATTAGTTGTGTTTTGTTTTTAATAAGAGGCAACCGTTAATGATTTCGGAAATATAAAATAATGTAGCCTTGTCTCACATGCAATTAGATGCAGAGGCGTTGGAACCGGTAGGAGCAGGACCAAGATCTTTCCAACTTTAAAAAATGCAAAAAGTGGCCTCTTGCTTTATAATAATTCGAAAGAACTTTATTTGGCTTGAAGGTAATAATGGTTGTTTCTTATGAAACAAAAAAGTTTCACTTTTTTTGTTTCAGAGCTTGCTCCGTCATAAATTACTTGAGAATAAATCTGAGCATATATAGTCAACTCCATCAACCCTCCAAGTTTATGGTCATGGCAACGACAAACTGTATGTGCAAGTACTGTTTATGGAGTAATTAGCTCGCTCAGTCACAAATTTTCAGATATACCAATAAATGAAAATATGTAATTGAAATTTAGATAATGAAAGAATGTATAAATTGCTTTAGTGAGAACAATTTTTTGTAAGCATTTACATGATGTACGTAAAAATTAACCACGGCAACAGGAGATTCTAACGAATTCTAACATTTGTTTAATTTTCCGTCAAATAAAAGATGCATGAATATAAAGAACAGTCGTCACTATAGAAGCACTTGTTATCGTACGTAGGCATAAATTGGCGCTTTTCCTTTTTTTATATCGTATTATGTTTCTCAATTTCTTAAAACTTTCTTGTTTTGCCGAATGCGAGAAAGTTTAAATAAAACATTTGTTGTATCTGACATAATTTTTACAATTTCCTTTTGTTTGACACGCAAACATAAAACTCTTCTCTTTAAAATTGTAGCGAGAGACTTGCCGAGCGGAAATCGAATTCGTGTGATAAAAATTAATGCCCAACATAAAGTTCTGATTAGAGCCATAGAAATAGACCAAAAAAACAAATTGTAAAATTTAAATTTATTGTGACGTTTCGTCTTTACTCAAGACATCTTCAGACAAATAATAAATAGGATGTTAAGACAAGATATTATATTTACAAAAAGGTGTTAAATATTTACAAGATATTATATTTACAAAAGGTGTCTTCTCTTTATCATGACAAACTTTTTTGAAAAAAAAATTTATATGTTCTTTGCGACAGTGCATCATTCTTAGAGGTAATTTGGTTTAGTCACGAGCCTTTAAGTATAGATATATCAAAAAATTATTTCTGTTGAACTGTATGGGTCTTACAGAAAGCCTATACATACCATAAATATCTCTCTGTAACTCTAGACCCCCGCTTTTAAAAATATTTTGCAATCTTTTAAAAATCTAAAGAACGACAGTGATGCAATTCAAAATAAATTCCTGTGTTCATGTTTGCATCGCTTTATAAGCGACATCTCCAGTTAACATTAATGTTCGCTGACTTACAAAATGGCATTCAAGGGGTTTCTTCATGTTCTCTTCACATAAGAAAACAGATTATGTCAACAATAAGATTTCGGGAATTAGAGGTGAGGTGGTGTGTGACCAAAGTTATGATTTAATTTTCATTTAAATGTTCTCTGTCAATAATTGTAGATTATAAAATTTGCCTTTACAATTACACCTTACAAAATAATGACGTTTATATATATTGAACTTCATGAAAAACGTCATGCAGTTGGTCATTTTTGTCTGTAATGAATGAATCTTGTTGATTTATGTGAAAAATCATACAATTAATAACAGTTACTGGATTTTAGCTTTATTCAAGCTATTGAGTACAAAAAATAAAACAAAATGTTATTCTAAATAAGCTCTACTTTAGTAGATGTGCAATCTGTGAAGATTAAGAAAAATAAATAGAAGAACGTTAGGTTGTGAAAGATTGAGATAAATGCTTTAGTGAGAGCAAAATTTTGTGTGTATTTACAAGATGTAAAAATTGACAAAAAATACACCAAATTGTAAAATCAACATAAATGGATTGATAAAACCGTTAGCCATTCAATATGCTTAAACTGCTATGTTAGATAATTGATGATTTTATCGGGACAACATAACTGAACGGATTTTACTAACTCGATTGATATTACAATATTAACGTGCACGGCTAATATACAACAAAAATCAGAATTCAGAAATTTTCTGATCTTCAAAACATCGTGCAAATAAATAAATATCATTCGCAAATAATTTTAAAAACTTTCATGCAGAAGATACGTCACAAAAAGTGTTCATGTAATTAAATTATTCGAACAATTTTTATTTGAGGCAGTTGAACCGTCTAAATGATGTTGAAGTGCGAAGTGAACATTTTGCTAAAAAATATTGAACTGATTTTCGTTGGCATGTAACTTGCGAATGTAGTTTAAGCATTGCCAAGTTACATGCCCAACGATAACCAGGAAATAATGGACATAAAGTGGATTATTGAAGATCAATTGGAATTGTGGTATTCTAATAATTCCGGCTACGAAGTACTGAAATAATTCAGTTGAGAACAGACATTTATATCTATATTCACTGTCAGGGTTTGTGTATAACCGAGTTTTACCTAAGTGGCCCCTGTTTGTAGAAAATATAGTTATATGTATTTCGCTCTATATTTAACTTTCTCCATTAGACGAAATTTTCCAAGGAAAATAAAAAAATACAACACAAAAAAATTTAAATGAAGAACAACTTTATTTATCTGTAGTTGATAAATCCATTTAAGATCTTGGTCGTTCTTTCTTTTCTTTAAAGAGTGCCAATAAAGAAACATTAGCCACCTTAACAACTTTGAAACGAACACCAGGTATATCACCTACAGCATGACCACTTCTTCCAAATCCTGATACCAACACTTCATCATTCTCCTCAATGTAGTTTAAACAACCATCATTGGGAACAAAAGCTGTAATTTTTTTCCCATTTTTAATCAGCTGGACTCTCACACATTTACGTATAGCAGAGTTGGGCTGTTTAGCTTCAACACCACTATAAGATATTTAATGCAGAATATTGGTAAAGAAAACTTTCACAATTTATATAATCACATCTCTCAAGTGAACTGGAAAACATACAAATGTTATAATATTTTTTCCAGATGTTGAATAATTAATTCTATCAACTGTAACTTTTATGAAGTTCATTAAATGTTGGTTGATCAGGTGACTGAAAATTACACAAAAGTTAATCCCAGCGAATTTGAAAACCAATCTATTTTTGAGGAAATAGCACACAGAAAATATTAGTATTTAATGAGTGACTCTAACCTCGATTGCGTAAAAAGATTTCAAACATTGAGATCTTGAAATTAAAAACATGTTTTATGTACATATAAAAAAACCCACACAAACTACACAATATTCAATTTGCATTAAATATGTACGTTTGTTAGGATCATTTTTCTCAAATTATATGAATTCAAATAAGACAAATCACAGTTCACAAATTACTTTATATTTTGTGAACTTCTGTACCTGAAATTTGCACAATTACAATTTTAACTTAAGTTGGTAGAAAACAACAATATAGCATACATATAGCATAAAAAACATACACTATTACAATTTTGTACAACTTCCAGTTTGTGCTTAAGAATATCTATACTTGGTACTGAAGACTTTAGGTTTAAAGTATACCTTTCAATGGTAATCAAAACTACATATGATTTGAGCTGATAGGACATATCTTTACATAAATTATGGAAACTTAGCATTCACAAAGTATCTCGAAATAGTAATGTATAAAAGCAATGAAGAGATTTTCTTGACATAAAAATGGAAACTTAGTACAAGAGAGTGAAGAAACATTCATAACTCCCCATACACAAGTTGAGTAATATACTAATATTTATGGTCTATAGTCTCTAGATATGTCACTGTGTTTATTTTCTATCTACATATGATCAAGATAACATGTCTATGGAAATTTGTGTTTCTTTAAAACAATAAAACTTGTAGCAAAAATATATTAAACACGTGTGAGAAAATGATGCGATTAATTTATTAAATTATTTCATATTATTAAAACTTCGAGAGATATATTTAAATTGATTCAACAAATTATCGATAAACGACACTTACACTTTTTCTAGAACTATTCCTTTTGCATGAGATGCACCACCAAATGGATTGGCTTTCAAAGCTGTCCCCAAATGACTCTTTTTATATGATTTATCATGCCATCTTTGTTCACGTCTATGATTGCGAAGCTTACGAGCTGTTCGAAGTCCACTGGGCTTTCCTTTAATTTTCAATTTAAATTTTGTTAGTTCAATCAAAAATACAATAAATACTTTTACAATGAGCGACAAAACAAATAGTTAACATGAATATTTGGACAAAGTATTTCCACACGTGTAAGCGACACTCACCCATGATGGCGAACGAAGAAGAAAGGAGTTAGGGTTGAAAAGCATCATGGTATGTAAAAATTGCCTGCGAATAGGGCAACAAAATAGGGGAGCGCACTGACATGTGTACTGTATACTAATTACAGCGTCAGTGAACTGTAACCATAGATATATGACTGTAATGATATTACAGTTCCCTGGAGAGCGTTAGAAGTGGTTAGGAGGCGGACCAGGTGGACGCGCAGTTGATTTCTTTGAGGTTTGAAATCAACACTCGCCATTTGTTGAGATTTGGATATTTATGCAGCATAAAATTTTGAAAGATTACTAAAGGAATCTTTAATTTCTATAGTTCTTTTTCCAGAAAATATCACCTTGCAGGCAGCTGAAATTGGCTCTTTGTATTGAGACATAAAAAAAACTTTAAGCCACCTTGTACTTATATTTTTAGCCTTATGCACAACCAAATTACTGGTCAAAACTTGAAAGTAACATCCTTTACGAGCTGTCGTCTGATTTGAAAGTGAATTTATGATTTATCATAAGGTTGAAAATAACATCCAAACTAAACAATATAATATAAAATCTTGCTATTTTGAACAATGATTCTGTCCACAGTTTGGCAACTATTCATTTGAATATATCTTGAGTACTGTATCTACGTTTTTATTCAAGAAGTCAATTGATTGTCGAATAAAATAAAAAATTCAGGGTTTGGACTTGCGAGTTTCTCATTCAGATTTAGAAATAATTCACCACTATCAGAGCAGAGATAAATGCAATATTGACAACTTTAATTTTGCAAAAATCCCAAAATCTTCTAAAATATCATGGCAATATCCTGAAATCACCTAACAAATCCCAGTCACAGTGATCACGAACTTCTCACTTTCGCTACCAGATTTCCTGAGAGAGAATGAGACGAGTTTCACTCATTGTTCTCTATACAAAGCATGTGATTTCATACATAGAAATTTCGGGGCCATCTTTAAAACAGGGAACAAAGAACAGGGAAAGCAAGGAGAGGAGGAATGGAATGACCGGGGAATCACAGAATGACCAAATGGACAGGGCTTAACATGGAATGAAAGGGGAATGACCAACAGAGAATTTTCCGTACTGGCATTAAATAGTTAAAGAAGTAATAGCTTGTATTTTGCTTTTGATATCCATGTACGGGGAATGCTTGGAGAATAACCAGGGAATGCACAAGGAATGGACAGAGAATGATCAGGGAATGCACAAGGAATGGACAGAGAATGACCAGGAATGGACGGAGAATGACCATGGAATGCACAGGGAATGAACGGAGAATGGACGAAGTATGACAGGGAAATGGACCAGAGAATGGACGGAGACTGACTCAATAAACGGGGAGTCACTGATGACAAAACTAGATTATTAGCTTTACTTTCTACAACATAGGTATTTAACAAAAATGTTAAATTTTAATAAACTATTCATGGCATTCATCAGGAACCACAAAGGCATTTGTACCATTCTGATACTCTGCCCTGACATCAAAATCATAGCCAAATATAATATGTAATAATAAAGAAAGATTACTGTTGTAAACAAGTAAACAAGTAGACTGATCACTGAATCACTATTGATCCTGACTGATTATTTAATGTGAGTGCTGCAAATGGTTTAATTCAATCTTCTTTTCTGGTCATTTCCAGCTCATTCCATGTTCACGCCCCATTTCTCGTTTGTTCCCTCGTCATTCTTTATTACGGTTAAGGTGCTTAATGTTTCGCTGCTAGCGTAAATTTTTTATCTTCGTAACTTTGACAAAATTCATTTATATTCATTCATATGATCGTATCTCTTGTGTAGTGTGTACCATGATGATTATGATAATTGTTTTAGGATATTTAGTTATTAAATAAATATTTATCGTCGTTCACTGACCTGCACTGACAGTACGCCCCCCCTGGCAATAGCCCTGGCACAATGGACAATGGCAAATGAAGGGCACTGGTGTTGATGTAGTGAACATGAAAAGTAGGAAAGACAAAAGGGAAAATTTGTGAAGCAAGTTTTTTTTGGAAATGTCATTATTGGGATGTACTATTCGTGGTAGTAACGTTGGAAAACTTTGATCAATATATCCGTAATCCAAATGACCTCGTCCAGTGCTAAAGAGATGGTGTGTAAAAGTGTTTTATATTTATTTGACTTCAACGAACATTTCAGGTTTATTTCTTTATCAAACAACATGTTGCTTGCCCTTTGTGGTTTTGTTCACTATAGCATGCTAACTTTCTTTGGTTCACTATGCTTAATTTCAAGAAATTGAACATTATGTCGTACTTGTACATATTTTAATAATTTAACGAATGTACAAGTTGTATAAATCCTTTTTTACATGTTTACTTGACTTTGGTAAAAAAAAAGCACTAAATAATTTTTATTTGCTTTAAGGTTCTAAAATGCCAATTTGAAGATGGACAGAGAAAAATTGTTAAAGGACTACATCCAACATCATTAGTTAAAGATTTGAAAGATAAAATATTTAGTATTACTGATGTACCACATTTTTCACAAAAAAGTTAGTTATTTTTATTTTGATCTCAGAATAGATTATATGGCATAGCAATACCAGATTTTATCAAAAAATTTTTTAGTTTTATGTGGATTTCCACCGAAGGAGATAATATTAACAAATGAGAATGCTTGTCTTTCAAGTATTGGTATCAAAACTGGTGACACATTGATAGTGGTTAATGACTCACTTCTTTCAAAATCATATTTAAGAACCGAATCAGGTGCTTTCACTAAACTTACAAGAAGGTAAACATATTACTATGATTAGCTTAAAGCATTGAACATTGATTTCAAATCAATTGCTAATTTATCGAGTACATCAATTAGTATGGATTGTTCAAAAAAATTTGTAAGATTTAATGAAAATAAAAAGTCCCTCATACTTTCATTGCAATAAATATTTATGGCATCTACAATGTGTATTAAAAGTGAGAAGTACATGAATATATGTTTTAGGTATCTGCTGCTTTTGTTAATTTATAATATTACATTTACTTTTCTTTAGGGTTGTTCCAGCAGATAACTCATGTTTATTTTCCAGTATAAGGTGCAGCAGAAATGAATAAAAATAAATTATTATACATTCAATCATTAAATTGAGCTAGTTATATTTTTAGTTACATTATTCATGGCAATACATCACATTCTGCTGAGCTTCGACAACTGGTTGTGAAGGAACTATCAAATGATATACTCACTTACAATGAAGCTTTCTTAGGAGCAACTAATAAAGCATATTGTGAAATGATAAGTGATCCAGATAAATGGGGAGGTGATGCATACTAAATTAACTGTTTCTCTTCACTATTGATTTTCTTATACAGGGTATATCAAAAAACTTTAAAATTTGTATGGTTTATATGGCAGTAGTTCTTTCCCGAAGAGCTTTACACAATTCAATACAATAATACATACAAATAGCAGTTACCGCATGCACATTCTAAATGTAGGGCATACTGGGTGATATCAAAGGGTTGTTTTTTTATACACCCTGCACAAGCTTCAAGGTACATTATATTGAAAGGAATCACATCACTGAATCATCCCTATTGGGGGTGGGTGAATATTGCAATATCCAGTTGTTACTACTGATTTTTTATAAGTTCATTGTTTTCAAAGGAATCAGTCAGACAGAGCTAAATATGCAAATATTCACGCACATCCTCCCTACTGAAATGTTATTTTGTAATGCTGAGTTTAAATGTTTAAGGTGGCATTGAAATTTCAATTTTGAGTAAAGTCTATCAAATAGAAATTGCTGTTGTCAACACTGAAAGTGCAAGAATTGATCGTTTTGGTAAGTCATGAGATTAACCATATTATTTTGTCAACTTGTAATTTGGTGTTTTTACGTAAAACTGTGTACTTGTAATTGTTATGAAAATGAAGCATATGTATGCTGCTCAAATGCATGCATAGTATACGAGAAGAAAATACGTAGAAAGGACTCCTCCGACTTGACGTTATATATTTTACTTAATTGTAACTTTAGGTGAGAATGAAAACTATACTCAACGGATGTTTTTAATCTACGATGGTATCCATTATGATCCCTTAGAATTTATTACCGTTGATTCTTCACCACGCACTTTGTTTGATATGAAAGATAATTGGATAGCGGCTGCACTCCACGTGGGTGAAGAAGAACATAAGGTAGTTGTAAAATAGTCTCTAAAGACGACAAAGATAGCAGTCTTTGGCGCGGTTATTCAACTAAATTCCATCTTATACAATCGAAGTTCATAGTTATGTTGCAAAACTTGTAATGTAAAGTAGTTGATGTTGACACTGGCAAACTCTGGTTAATGATGCAAAATTACTTCTCAAATCTCAATAACTTTTTTTTAGATGAAAAAGTTTACAAATTTGAACAAATTTCAGCTACGCTGTTTGGTATGTCGTTTACTACTAATTGGGCAAACCGCAGCCCGTCAACACGCCAAAGAAACTGGACACAACAATTTTGGAGAATGTTAAAGTTAACATTACGTCGATGTAAAACATTGACTCATTTGAATGGCACAAGCTTTCTTATGGACAACCATAAATTCTAGTTGTTTACAAAGCCCCGTATTAAAATATGTTGTCCTGTATTTTCAATTTTGAATTTTTTTTTATTTAAAGAATTATGATTTTCACACCATTTTGAGGTAACTACCTTTCTTGGTTTCCACGAACAAAGTTGTCAATCCTTGTTAAATTGCGTTAAATACAGCACACTCTTTGTTATGTTATGTATTAAAGCAGATGTAATTGATTGTATATAATGTCTCGAGCAAGAAATTTTCTAACAGCAATGTAAGAAATACATTTCACAATAAAATGTGATCGTTGGATTAGATACCATTTATTGCGTTGGTTTATTTATTATGTACATAGTCTTTTATCTCAAGAAATGTTGAATTTACCTTGTTTATGATTTTGTGCAATTAAACTCTTTTAAAGAAACTCGTAAGTGACGATTGTGTTGATTTGTTTACAGGTTTTTTCTTTGGAGGTTGTATAGATTCTTTTTTAATTGAATCTTTGTTTTTTATGTTAGTACTGGCCTTTATTGGCTCTTCTTCACTGCTGGCTGTTTCACTCTCATATACTTTCTCAGTTACTAAACAAAAAATGTCAGTAAAATAATTACTATACAAAAAGAAACACGGCATACATAAGAGGGTCCCATAAACATGCACGAAAAGTAGCAATTATATACTTAGGATCAAAGGATAGAGTTAAATTTCAAACAAACATTGCCTTGTAAACATGCTTTATTCACTTGCTATTTCCTCCATTAATTCAGATTCAACTTTGATTCATCTATTATGAGGGGAGCATCCATTGAGTTAATAGCAAAGAAAAACATTTTTAAGCCATTGGCACAGTCTAAATCGAACCCAATTTTCAATTCAAATATGTTATAAAATTTTAATTGTTTTTTTTAATGAAAGCCCACTAAAATAGATGTATCAGACTATTTGTTAGTTCATCAACAACAAACTAGAAACGTAATTCGTCATGGAGTGAACTATTGTAATAATCATGCGTTAAATTTTTTTATTTCTTCAAAGTGTTAAACTTAAAGACACGCTATTTCTCTCTCACACCTAAACCGGATTGTAGACAATGATGACAAAATTGGGGTGCATTTGACTGTGATGAACATTGGGGTGCATTTGACTGTGATGAACATTGGGGTGCATTTGACTGTGATGAACATTGGGGTGCATTTGACTGTGATGAACATTGGGGTGCATTTGACTGTGATGAACATTGGGGTGCATTTGACTGTGATGAACATTGGGGTGCATTTGACTGTGATGAACATTGGGGTGCATTTGACTGTGATGAACATTGGGGTGCATTTGACTGTGATGAACATTGGGGTGCATTTGACTGTGATGAACATTGAGGTGAATTTGACTGTGATGAACATTGAGGTGAATTTGACTGTGATAAATACACGAACTTACCCATATATCCCTCGTCGTTTATGTGCATCTTAGACTTGAGCACTCTCTTCCTTCTGCGTATTTTTATAGCGGTAGTTTGGTGGACATCACTACCATTATTTGGATTAGCTATGTCTGGTGTAATTTCACAACTATTTTCCTTCATATACTCCTCGTTATCTAGAAATGTATAAGGATAATTGAAGTTAACATATGTTAATGTAATATAAACCCGTAAACATATGTTAAATATTTCGTTACCAATCGTTATCTAGAATGCAAGGTAACAAATACCATGCATGTTTGCCTCAATTTCTATTGTTCTTATTTTTCATACTATTCGAAAGACGAATTAATAACGTATAAACCTAAATAAACCTAATTACAACTCCCCTATTAAAATTCAAAGTCGTATCACAAGTAATACTATATTGCACGTCGTTTGTACTGGTAGTGTTACTAACAATCCCCAATTTTGAGCTTGAAATAATAAAAAGTGTTTCCAAAATACAAAAACATTTAATTTACACCATCGTTGACAGTGTGTGAAACACTGACTAAAACATTTCGTCAATGATAGTATTACAAAGTAAAATCATGACAGTAAGGTTACTTAGAGATAAAATGTACTTGAAAGCTCTGGGAGGTTACTAAAAGTCCCTCGACTTTGGAGTGCATTTAATCACCAAGTATCCTCACTACCATAGTTTTAATTATAACAATATTAATTACGACTGTCCAATAATGTAAGATCATTGATGTCAATGCCTAACAAAGACCTCAGGTGCACACATTTTAAATAACATGGTCTTCTTATGAAAATACGAATTGCAAGTTCAAATGAAAATAACAGGACGACTATCAATCAATTTCATCAAAAAATAAAAATCAGCTTTAGAATTTGTTTTCTTAAACATTATTTCAGTTCATATGAGATCGTTATGTAGCTTTAATTGTCAACAGAAAGTTTTATATAATGCAAGAAATATCAGCCTATACCTTCATCACTGCTTGTGTCTGAAAAATTTTTAACTCTCTTCCTCTTTTGCACATAAGTTTTTTCTAAAATATAGCATACAAAAATTGTAAAAATACGAACAAATATAGTGACGTCAACGAGAAGCTTTTACCATTGTTTTCTTTTGTTTTCTTTTTCCTATAGTTAGTGAGAATTAATTTAATATCTAGGATATCATACACTCTTTGCAATGTATTTATTACACTGATTATTCAATAAATCCCATGAAGAAACTCAGACGTTAACGAAACTTGTATTTCATTTTGTTTTATTTTCATCTTCTTTTATTTTTTCAATGCGTTCAAAAGAAACAAAAGTTTTAACATCAAAATAAGGTAACTGTGGGATTGCGAGTGAATAGTGAAACAAATTAAAAGAAATAATTTTACCTGCGTTTGTCTTCAACATCTTCATCATTCTGTAATGAATAATAAAAACGTAATGAAATAGATCAGTTTTTGATGAGAATTCTTTGAATTTTTTTCATCTTACTTTTTGTTGTTTTGATATTTTTTGTGATTTCTTATCATCTATGTAAGAATGAACATATTTTTTAGATGAGCACGAGTCTATCATTAATATATATTGCTAGCAGGTTTACTATAAAACATAACTGAAAAATAATACTGACGTTCGGCTTTCTTTTTTCCTTTAAAATCTTTATCATCAAGATCAATATTTGTGCTATCCATTTTTTTTTCATTTTTCTCATTGTTGTTTGACTTATTTCCCGTAGTTTCACTTCCTTTCTTTTCCATTGCAGAATCTTTCTATAGGTCAGATGGGGACATACATAAGTTAGAAATGAAACATGAAACAAAAGTGAGTAATTAGTTTTGTATGCAGTTGTTTTTAATCGTTATTTTCAAACTCCAGAAAATAAAATATATAACAGCAATCAACACTTACCGAGAGATTTTTATTTTTCAATTCAGTAGAAATAACAGATCTGTTAAAATAAGTTAAAATGAGCGCGAAATTTATTGACTACAAACAAATCTAGAAGCTGACCTATCCTTCGCTTTACTATTTGATGTTATCTTCGTCTTGTTCTCATCTTTTTTCTCATATTTACTTACCATTGCTTTATTACTTTCTTGGAAGTAAATGATAAGAATTATGAGTTACTGCAATGTTAATACACGACTTTTAGATATCAATCGCAACAAAAAAAAACACAAAAAGTTTCAGAACAAATAAAGTCGTTGTCAAATCTTTTTTTAATAGAAAAAGTCAACAAAATAATACAACTCATTATATTAAACTGGTTTTTATCATGAAAATCAACTGAAAAGTAAATACCTTTATTTTGATTTGCCATTTGTCGAGCAAAAAAAGAGGCAACGTCGCCTTTCTTTGAATTAAGTTCTGCCTACGTACAATAGAAATGAGTATTCAGTCAAACGTCAACTGTGATAATAACACAAATAAAAAAATCATATCACAAATTATTAATACTACAATAACGCAATAACAATAAAGTTTATTTGTTAATCATGAAAATAATTTGGCTCTTTTATCTTTCTATATATTCAGCATTAAAATTGCATTACTACAGAAAATTATATACTTGTGTTATAAAGTTCATAGATATGTCACTACTTGATTGGAACTTAATCAAAATTCAAAACTAGTGCATTTACAAAATGACAAACTAAGATGCTTTTTAAAGAAAGACTGTCTTTAGATTATTTTCAGAATATATGACAATACTTACAGTAGAAAGTCTTGACGATGTGGAACTGCTTTTTTCACCTTTTTCATAAGCATAGGATGGTTGTTTGTCTATAATTGCAAACAAATAACTTAAAACCTAACAGAATACAAAAGTAATATTTAAACACTACTGTCTTAGCCATTATAGTTTTGTACTTTATTACTTATTACCATTTGTTTTTGATTGAACTTGTTTTGCACAATCCAATGATTTCATTGAATGACAATTTGTGCTTCCGTCTACCGATTCTTCCACATTTCTGATTGATTTTTTCACATCTGATTTTAACTTTATACAACTCCATCTGACAGAAAATGCAAGCAAAAGAACCCAAAAAAACAATAGGTTGAATATCAATAAAGAAGGATATTTATTGGTACTCAAAAAATTCAAGTCTTTATTCCATAGTCTTATCATTTCATACTCATGGCAGTGGCTAGCACTGATAATTTGATGTGAGAGGAAGGAGGGGGGGTGTGGGGGTGGGGAGTAATATTCACATATTCATAACACAATCCAATGGAAATTATTGATTTCAAAGAAACTTAATATAGCAAAATCTGAATATATGAATATTGTCTGGAGCCATGTTTGATAATTTTTTACAAAATTCTGGTGGTTTTGTACAAATCTTTATGTTGTGAACTTTATGTAAGGTTTCAATTCTGTTCACAGATAACCATCATTTTGCTTTCGACTAACGAGAGGCTCAAGTTTTAGAGATTAAAAAGAGAATTTTTTTATCAGAATTATGTTTTATGTTTTGGGTATACTTGAGGTTTTGAGCACCAGTCACAAACACAAGACACTAATTTTTATGCTCTTATATAGAACTAATGACAATAAGAGCAGTCATGTGGAAACATAGGATGAAACAAACAGATCAATGGATACAAAATGAGGAGAATAGAAAACAACATGACACATTAAAGTCTTTATCAAGTTCTTGTATTTTTAATGGTGACTTGACAGCAACTATATTATTAATGAAAAATTATTTACCTACTGGGTAAATCCATGTTCTGCTTTCGCAAGTCATAATCTGCCATATAGAGCAAATTTGAATCCTTTATCAAATAGGTAGTAAAATGCATATATTTAGCAAAATTAAAATCTGAATAGTGGCTAAAAGTTAGGACATACATATTATGTTTGTAAATTAGTACATGATGACAAACATCAAAGAATGTGACATAGATCAATGGCTACATGCAAATCTTCTTTAATTGCTTTGTATCAAGCAGACTACACCAATATACAACCAAAAAATTCAAATAATGATTGATACAAGGAGATACCTTTGGTTTGGATTTTTGCACACTGTATACATGAAAACAGGTGATTTCATGAAAACATTGTTTAATATCTATATGAAAAAAATATAAAGCATTAATATAATATCTCAAAAATAAAAAACAATTATTGTGATAAATTTTAAGTCATCAATATACATGTATATAACTTTCAAATAATGAACTTTTTTCTAATGTGGTGGCCATTATTTGTTTCAAATTTAATAGTCAAGGATGTTTCTGATTGGTTGGAATTGGTTAAATGTGTTTTGTTTATAGATATTGTCATTGATTTCCATGTCTAAACCATATCCGTAATTTTAAATTCAATCAGTGTAAACATAACAGGTTTTAGCCATTTTATGGTAATACAATCTACATACAATCTTTAAAATCAAATAAAAATTTCCAGTCAAATGTCAAACCTTTTATATCAATGTCATGACATAGCAAATACTTTTGAATCTAAAAACACCATTAATTATAATTACTAAAACATTACTAAACAAAATACATCCAATAAAACATCACAATAATGATACATACACAACTTGCATGTTATAGCATTGTTAGTAACATAAAGATTAACAAGTGAATTAATCAAGTAATTATATAGCAATTCAGTAAACACAATAATATCAATTTAAATACATACATTTTAAAAGTTAGCTAAAAATTGTCAGTAAATTTAATCAATTTATGGAATAATGTTTTGATACATGGTACGCTACTGTTGCAATGTGCAATGGCTTTAAATAGAAAAATAAATCATTAAATCTAATCTGTAAAAAGCACAAACAATACCTAACATATAAACTTATATAATATTGAGGATTAAGACCCGCCAACCCTGTAAGAACTATAAGAATTTATCCCAAAGATTTTAGAGAAAATCTTAGAATAAGACTATGGAAAGCAGGAAACTTTGTTCCCAATGAAAATATCTAACTTGAAAACAGAGGCAATAGACCTGATCCTTTTAGGTAATGTTAGAAAATATTACTGACCAAAGATATGGCATTTTAAAGATATTTTGATTTGCTACATTTGTCATAATGAGAATTCACTTGATTGAAAACACTGATATAAAACATAAACGGCTTAGCACTTAAGCAGTATGACATTTCACATTTGACTTACAAATGAATACCTACTGTTAAACTATTTAATATTTTATATATGAAATATATTGCCAAATTGTGAGAAATGGATGCTAAATCATGAGAACTTAGGACTTAAATGAAAATTGTGAGTCACATGCGAAAATTGTGTGAGTTGGCAGGTCTGGATCAGCAAACTCTAATAAAGTTGTTATTATAGTTCACTGGTCTGGATACACAAAACAAAACCAAACATACATATTGCTCACCAAGCAATCTTTATCATCTTTGATTAAGCCTCCAACAGCATAAACTGCACAAATACTAGATTCTTTGTCTTCTTCTTTTGATTGTTGTTGTATAAAAGCATATAACATTCTAAATACAACAACATATCATTCATGGCTTTGTCATGAATATTAAACTAAATAGTACATCTTTAAGTGTAACAAAAACTTACTCCTTGGCTACATTTACATTTACAGATAATGTCCAGCTTAACCACTTGTACGTTACCTTTTAATCAAATATAATCATTAGAAGTACAAACATGAAGCAGCTCAAAAGTACCTATTTTAAATACTACGTAATTTCTTGATAAATCCACCTTGAAATTGTAAATGTCGGTCGGGTATTGATATAAGAAAAATATCTTGTGCAACTCCTCACGAAAAATTCCAGCATAATAGCATACGACAGAAAATATTTGTGCAAAATTCTATTTCATATTTTTTGTAGTAGAAGTGTGATGTACTGAAATTACAAGATACTACACAGAAATAAAAGTTAACGATAGCAGTCTCGCTCGAACTCAAGGTACATTCCATTTCACTATAACATAATCTAAACCACTTACAATTTTATCTTCATCAAAAACGAATTCTTTTAGATTCTCTAAATACATTTCATCGTCCGCGGCCATGATGAAGCTCTTACTTCCCGCCTCAAGCTTCGCTTTGTTTAGATTTTGTTTAGGATTTTTATACTTCCGGTTCCTTGTCAGGTAGGTGAAAGGTTTCAACCAAGGCGATATTGGGAGTGGAGTCGTTTACAGTTACATTTAGAACAATTTTCAACAGTCACTACAACCTGATTAGGAGCCATCAAAACAGTGTTTCACATTCCTTCTCAAGATTTCACTTCAACAGTCACCTACACTAGGACAACTCACAACTTCATTGAATTTTTTTGCATGACACATATAATGCTCAAAACATCAAAGAGAAAAGAAAAACGCAACTTGAATAATCCTGGTTGTTTAATATATATAGTTTTAGCCATTTAATGTGGTGAAAAAGCAGGTTCGTGAGACAACTTTAGCCATATTCAATAACATGGCGATTTTGAAATCAAAGTTTTTCAAAAATGCTCAAGCATCTAATCTAACAGATTTCAAAATAAATCATGTTCATAGGATGAAAAGACCATGAAATATACATACAACAATATAGAAACACAATTATAATAGATTAGTTCAGCCTAGCAGTAAATACATGTAACTTTTCTTAAGCTTTTTTAAATTGCCATGGAGAGCCAGGCAGCAATAAACAAAACACCTCCAAATGGTGCAGGTTTACTGTAGGAAACATCCTGAGTAAATGCAACAACATAACAACTAAAAATATGATGCACAATTAATTACATCAACTATGAATATGTTGCATTATTGTTGCAATTACTAACCTTCCACAAAATAATAAAATTCCACCAAGAAATAAGGATCCAGTCTAAAAACAGAATCATATTAAATTCATGATAAAATGAAATAGTTCTAAAGAAAACAACAATTTTTATTTATAATTCATATTCAAAATGATAACTCCGACATTTGTTTTGTGGAACAATTGAACCAAAACAGCTAAAAACAACTGTTTTCAGTATAGTAAAGTTAATTATTACCAGATATGGCCTGTTCAAGAAAGGTATACTCAGTAGAACAAGAGTATGAATAAAATGATATTTATTTGCACTTTCAAATGCCTGCAATAAAAACAATATATTATACAAACTCATTCTAAATGTAAATAATCATATTAATGAAAAAAATGCAATCAAATTAATTAACTCACCTTCTTATAAATCTCATTCCCAGGAAGATTTAAAATTTTCGCTAGAAAAAATTAAGGATTTGAAACAATGAAACATCATGTAGTAAAGAGTAGTAAGTACTGCAAAACGCACAGTGACTGCCATAAGCACCAAGAGCAACAGCTAAAGCTCCAGAGATTCCAGCTAATGTATAAAATACGTTTGGTTCTTGAAATAACTTTGAAAAAACGCCGGTAACTGCCATAATATTAACCTTTTTTTGATTTCTTGAGCGAATTTAATCCAACGTTATGATGTAATTATGGACGGAGACCAATGTAATCAATGCACTACCAAGTACCGGGTACTAGATGGGCCAAATAAAATGATCACGGGGACGGGGCATTATGGCTATGGTAAAAATGGGCTGATAGCCTGATATCAAATTTGATATTTACATAATAAAATAATAATAAATTATTTACTACATCAAAATTTCGATAATTTGTCTACGTATTTATGTTACAATGATTTCGGAGTAATTTGCTTGTTTACAAATTAAAGAAATCATCTGTGCATGCGCACTTCCACTCCGGGCAGAATTCATCAAAGCATGCATGCTAATTAGATAACAGGCAAATCTGGAAAAATACACAATTAATATAGATGTCAAACAGCATCGGAGAAAGGGTAAGTTGCCGTGAGACTGCATGGCTTAGAATCCCAGACTTTGGTCGCAACGGTACTCTCCCTGCGTACCTCGAGTGCTTAATTGTGTTTCGAGGGCTGATGGGCTAAAACATGTTATTGGCATGCCTAAGGTGGCTAAGGCCTAAATCTTTCCCCTGTTCCCAAAGAACTCGTCAAAATGCACGGACAGAAAATGAGATTTTTTGCTTTCGAAATTTGCCTTTTTCCTTACAAAAGACTTCTTCTCATAAAATAAACTAACATCGAAGGATAGTGTCTTTCACCATGAAAATTGACTGTTTCTTCTATCATGGATATGGCGCGTAAAATCTCTTTGATTTAAATGTAAGCAAACCATGGCTTGTTTGTTTTTGTTTTGTTTTTTTTTTTATTTTCCTGTTCAAAGTGTTTCAGAGTATTTAATCTTTTTAATTACACGAATAAATTATGTATGTATATCTGTATCACTCAGTATTCCACTACCGTATACCAAAAAAGCTTGGTTTCTCAATGTTACAAATGGCCATAGACTGCCATAGCAAAATATATTTAATTTAGAAGCTAGCAAAATTCATTTCAATCGAAAAAGACTAATTTGACTAAAATTTTTACACATGTGCCGTTATCTTTATACCTGGTTTGCATATGATTTTAATAATTTTAGGCCTGGAAATGGAATTCTGAGATCATAAATCCGTTTCACTTGGGGTTTTTGCTCGAGTTTTTGAGGAACTATCTAACCGATCATTTTCATTTAATTGCTCTTCTTCATTAGTAATCCAAGCCATAATTTTACCATCCCATCCAGGAACTACATCGTCATCATTAACAAGCTGAAAATGTTAATTACATGTCAATTAACAATTGCCAGGGGGTTTAGTTGATAAATTGGATGATTTTATTGTGTTTATATGCAATTGGTGTGATTTTGTTTTAGCCCAAGAAAAAATTTGGTTACTACTAGGTTTTAATAAAATTTCTCTCCCGCAGTAATACATACTTAAATAACACTTAGACAAAACATTACAAAAATCTTTTTTATCAATAGCACAAACCTCTTCCCTGATTGTGCCAAATTCTGCATCAAGGGCTTTGAAAAAGTATCGGTATTGACGATTGTCCCCAGAAAGACCAAGTTTTGACTTTAAATCACCCAAAGTCACCTCTCCAAGTCTAAAAATATGCCATTATGAATCTATAGAAAGAAACTCAGTCTGCAGACATAGCATTATTCTTTTGGAATTTGTCATAATTCGCACATAGTCTGCAAAAGAAATATAGCATTCACTATTATATAATATTAAGAGCGTCCTGAAAGAGGTATATTATCTCTTTCAGATAACGAAGTTAATCCGTCTGACTAGACAAATTTGATATTTTTATCCGACAAACGTTTTATAAAAAATGGACAATTTTAGATTCAGATGAAATACGGAACGGATAATAAAATCGTTTGTCAACAAGACGTATAGTATCCTTTTGTCCATAAACATGTACAACCTGTTTAACTTGTTTTGTTTAGGAAATATACTTGTACAACCTGTTTAACTTGTTTTGTTTAGGAAATATACACGTACAACCTGTTTAACTTGTTTTGTTTAGGAAATATACATGTACAACCTGTTTAACTTGTTTTGTTTAGGAAATGTATCGTTTGTTGAACGTGAGCTAAAAACATGTTTGAAACGATTGAGTCAAATTTAAAATAGTTCAGGAAAAGAAAAATCATGCCATATATGTTTTGTATAGACCTTACGTACCTTTTGACGATTATAAGAACAGATGGTGTTGAAGACCATGAAGGTTGATAGGTAACTCGTGTAACATCTGGTATTTTAGACAAGTCTGTAAATAAAAATGACTGTGTTCAATAGTGCAAAAAGATACGGACATCAAAAATAATTATTGGATTTGATGTCAAAAACTTTTGGCCACGCTAATGCGTATTTTTATGAGACTTTAGAAACTATGAATAAAAATTGAGAAATATATCATCGATTGACCCATTAAAATTGTAGTTTTTCTCTATTATTAATAAAACTTGCGATGAAGTTTCAAGCCAGGTTCGCATACAAGTTTCTGTGTAGTTTGAAACGATATAGTTCGGACATTTAAAAAGTGACAACAAGTGTTACAAACAGCTCTAATCGTAGATATATCTGACGGTAAGTTTCATCAAAGACAACATTTCTCAATTGACTCACTATTGTATTTATAGTTAAAAAATTCCCAACCAACAAAATCCACTATAATACAGCAGTTTACATCCTTTTTCTCGCCCTAACCTACAATGTCTTCTGCTCGTCCTATATACGTAAGCATTTCGTATTCAAACCTTTTTCACGGGAGTTCTTGATACCATTATGATGATTGTTGTTTAGTGGTGAAGCCTGTGAAGGAAATAAAAATGTGAAAATCTTGGTATTAAAAATAGGCAGCAGCAAAATTCATAATTGCTGACCAAATACAATTCCTTACCTACAGATAAACTCAGTTTGAAAAGTCTGTACAGTTTGAAAAGTCAAAACTCAAGCACACCTTAAAGACGTTTTTCCTTGAAGATGTTAATCCACTACCAACAACATTGGCTAAAGTCTTGAAATTACACAGTGATATAATTATACAATAATACCGGTTAGCTTTATTTCACAAAGTAAAAAACCGTGTACATACGAAGAAATTAGCTTAGTTCACCTCTTCAAGATTGTTTATAATGCTTTGTTGCGGATCCTGCTCGGAAACTGATTCTCTCAACCTCTGAATACAGTGTCTCAATCTATTCATTTCTTCACGTTTCTACAAAGAAAAACCAAAATCAGCAACATGAGAAACCCAAGTAACATGAGCAACATGAGCAACCCAAGTAACAAGAGAAACATGAGAAAACCAAGTAACATGAGAAACATAAGCAACCCAAGTAACAAGAGAAACATGAGGAACCCAAGTAGCATGAGAAACCCAAGTAGCATGAGAAACCCAAGTAACATGAGCAACAAGAGCAACCAAGTAACATGAGAAACATGAGCAACCCAAGTAACAAGAGAAACATGAGAAAACCAAGTAACATGAGAAACATAAGCAACCCAAGTAACAAGAGAAACATGAGGAACCCAAGTAACATGAGAAACATGAGCAACCAAGTAACATGAGAAACATGAGCAACCAAGTAACAAGAGAAACATAAGCAAGTGTGAGAAACATGAGAAACATGAGAACCAAGTAACATGAGAAACATGAGCAACCCAAGTAACATGAGAAACATGAGGAACCCAAGTAACATGAGAAACATAAGCAACCCAAGTAACATGAGAAACATGAGCAACCCAAGTAACAAGAGAAACATAAGCAACCCAAGTGACACGAGCAAGATGAACATTATAAGTAACTGTTGGATGAGTTTTAGGACAATGAAACGATGGAAATTCTTACGATGAAAACTGCTGAATAAAAATGATCTGATGAAATGTTCAAAAGATTATAGCAAAACTTGCACAACACAAACCGATTTTGCTTTGTCCTGTAAAACTTTTCCTTCCAAAAGAGATATTTTACGATCTTGATAAGTGATCCTATTCGAGAGTTTAATCTAGACAAACAAACAATTAAGTTGTGGGAATCAGTAATGAAAGCTAGACTAAGAGTAAAAGTTAACAAGGAGCAGTATCGATTTGATGCTATGAAAAAGATGCAGTGTTACTTATTGAGAAGTACGAAGAATGTGAAAGGGAGATGCATTGAGATGGAGCAGTATGGAGAAGTACGGAGAGACAGAATCGAAAATTCGAAAGTATTTTAGTGTAATACAGGATACGTATATATGAAAGCTACAAAGACAGTGGTAGGATGTGCTATAGGTATGACTAAATAATTCAAAGGGTGAGTTGCATAACATTAAGAATCGACACATAGCCCCTTCTTGTTTGCTATGGTGATGAACAGACGTCCCCAAGGACTATGATGTTTGGAAGCGATATTGTGATAAATATGAATAGGTTGCTGGTAGAAGCTACTGTAGAGCAGTGGAAGCATGTTATAGGAAAGAAGACAGAAGACGTGTGAATGAGAGAACTAAACAAGTGGAACAGGTTACTGGAAGTAGAGTTAAAAAGTTACAGGATTTCAATTACTTAAGATCAACAGTTTAATGCCATGGACAAAATGAGAAGCGTGCGCAGGCAGAATGGATGGGGTGGAAGAAAGTGTGAAATGTGATGTATGACAAAAAAGTTTTAAGAAGAATGAAAGGAAAGGATTACAAGAAAGTAGTGAGTGTAGCGATGTTGAATACATTAGAGAAAGTAGTAATAAGAGAAAGACAGGGAATAGAAATGAAGGTTAGAGAGATAAAGAAATAGAGGTTTGTTTTAGGAGTGACATATTTTTAAAAACTGATTCTTGGCTTTGAACTCATTATTTTATTTCCCGTCTTCCATTTTTTTCATCAACCACAAAATAACTTCCTTGACATTCTTAAATTAACATACCAAGTCCCGTTAAAAAGGTCAACAATCTGTACTGCGATTGCGTCACATATGTTAAAGTTCAAAAATTTTTTTGCCCAAAAGACTATTTGGATAAACTCTGTCAGTCAACGTAATCATTTAGAAACATTACCATTAACTTCATGAGTTTTTTTTTACCACCATAGTGTAAATAGTAGGTTTCAATCGTTTTTTATGTTGTTCATATTTTACTGAATAATTCTTTATTACCTCTGAACCATCGACGGCTCGAAGTTTCACTTGAAGTTCTTTAACTTGAGAACTCAAAGCGCTTGCGTTGGCTTCATGATTCTTGATCTTTGAACGAAGATCTTTCTATATACATAAAAATATCAACATATGATTATTATTTTTGTACATTAAACATTGCGTAACACATATTGATACATCAATACATCCTATTTAATATCACCATCGTTAATAATCATATAGCTATGCTTGCAGTTGATGACGAAATGCACAGAATAATAAATATTAAAAGAGAAAAATACAGGATGTCCCCCCCCCCAAAAAAAAATTACCATCGAATAAAATCAGAATTTTTAGTTCTAAACATCGTAAAGCTGTGTTGTTCAACCTCTGATGATTTAATTGAGTAAGATGAAGAATAATTACAGCTTCCTGATCCGTGAAATAACATATCAGGGCAAAAAGAAAGAAAAACACTATCGTACAGATATTTGTGAAAGGTTTGCACCTTTATTTTGGAATGTTATGAATTTGATGAATGAGAAAGTTACAATTTTCAGCCCTTATTCACAACAAAAGGTCTGATTTTAAAACAAGACGTTTTTTGAAAAACCCTTTTTAGAAAACATTAACTCCGTTTATGTTAAAATTAATTCAAACATATTCAACGTGATATAACATGTATCAAAAATCAACGATGCGCTAATATTGTTTTTTTTATTTAAACGTAAAGTTTAATTCACAGAGTATTTAATAAAGTGTAGATGTTTCTATAAATGTATTATTGACGTACCTCAACACTGTCAATGTTAGCTATTTTACACTTGGCGTCATCAAGTTCCTTTTTCTGAATAGCAATTTCATCATCTTTAGATTTGAGTTGTGAACGAAGTAGAGTAATTTCTTTATCTCGCTCATCTAACATATTTTGTAGTTCATCTTTGTCGGAGTTGGCAGTTTGATGAGAAAATTCAAGTTTTAAAAGCTCAGCTTTTAGTTTCATCATCAGTTTTTCTTGATCAGTCAGACGAGTCTGCAGGCCTTGTTTTATTCCTTGCAAGTTAATACACTCTTCTCTGGTTCTATTAAGTTCAATTTTAAGTTTGTCGTACTCAGAGGACCGTTGATCCAAGCGTGCGTTTAAAATTGTTATCTGTTCCTGTAAAAGAGCACCGTCCAGAGAGCTGTATTCACCATCATATCCACTTGTATCATCATCAATTTTTTCATTTAGCAACTGTTAAGAAGAAATCACAGAACAAATATTTCATGGGACAAGGAAGGTTAGTATTGGCATTATGATTAGGTTGATGGGTCAGTCAGTTAAGCTTATCGCAAGACGTTACTCACAAGATTTTGTAATTCAAGCAACTTCTTTTGGGTTTCCTTTATTTCTTCATCCATAGATCCATATCCTTCAACAATTTCTTTCCATTGTCGACAGCCAATTGCAATTCTTTTTTTAGAAACCTTTGTACCCTCACCCGAGTCAATATTTTTGTCATTATAATCCGATTTTTCTTCAGTAGAGAACGTTTCTTCACGAAGACCTTCGTTTGACAGCATATCTACTCTTGTTCTACTATTAGTAAAAAAAAACGCTTTCATACTTTATAAATATAAAATGATGAGATGTGCTCAAAATTTGAATGAGACAACTGTAATGAACCAGATTTGAAGTATTGTATTATAAATTACTGCCTTATGCATTCTTGGATATGGAAAAAATTAACAATATAAGTATTTTGGCTGGCAGTTCCGAATCTTGAAAAAAAATTATATACACACCTCTTTAAATGATTTTCTTTAACAGGAGTATAAAGAAGTTTCGTTGTCTTTGAAGGCATTACTCGGTCAGTACTATCGATACTCGATGCACTGTTACTTGAATTTTGATGTCTAATAAAGAAAAGATTTTACAATGCGTCATATAACTTCATTAATTATAAAATTTTATGATGTCATTTCGAAATTACTATGACGTCATGTCCAAAGTCCTAACGAACACACAAAATGAAATCTTCAATTATTAACGTTAAGACGTCTTCATCAAGGTTAAAACTCGATATTTTAAAGACGCATCTTATAAAAGGAGACTCTGCGAGGAGTATTAATTACAAAATTCGGAAAGTTCTTACTTAAATCAGAGTAATTTTTACTGACAAGAGATGATTTTAAATCAAAAGAAATAAAGGTAAACAACATGTCATACACACAAGATGAAAGACCCCCCTCCTTTCCCAACAACATCTTCATTGACTTCAGTCGTGGAATAAACTCTAAGTTTTACCTGAGCCTGGATCCATGATAAGGCGTTCCTACGCTAGCAGCAGCTCGACTAACATCATGAAGTGTTGCAGCAGCCTCAGCTGCAGCCGCTGATAATGATGATTCACTTCTCCTTAAACGTCGTCCTGTTTTCGCGGGCTCAGGTACACTGGTGACACTATTCCGTACACTTCTTGGTTTGAAATGAGCAGCCAACGCAAGAATGAGGCGCATAATGGCTTTCATGTTGCCGCAAACGATATCTAAAAGTATAATAATGTTAGAAATAAACCTATATAAAACGCCACTAAAGATTGTAAGATAAACTAACTTCCATACCATACCATACACCAACAGTGTAAGGTCATAGTGTGAAGTAAATGCTAGACTGTTACAATTGAAGTGACGAAAGATCATGTGTTCTATGTTACAGTGTCCTTCATTTCTTCAACAATACGTAAATATAAAGATAACAAAATCAATCAAAGTGGAAATAAAAATCCATTTCTGTTACCTTTCGCGGTGACGTGATGAAGACGTATTTTTTTTGTGCTAATAAAAGTTAGAATGCTCTCAATATTTTCCTTCATGACAGAAGGTGATGTTGGATGAAAATCAATCTCGATTTTCTCCCCCGCTAAAACAAAGTAATAAAGCTTTAAATAACGATAAATGACAAACAGTGAACAATAAAAGTCTGTCATATGGTACCCACCAACTACTTCAATAAGTTGAGCCAACGCAATACCATCTTGCATGTCACGAGCAAGATCCTCAACAATTTTGCTACCAGGGAGTTTTCTAAGTTGAGAATTTGTCCACGCTACATATGCTTGCATTTGTTGCTAAAACATAAAATAGCTAATAAATATTAAAATATTAGACATTTCCTGTAAATGGAATCGCAATAGCTTAGCTTTTGTTGCTTAGATCTTTGTCAGCTTAATATTGCATATTGCAAAAGGTAAACAAGGTACATTATTTGTCTTAACATTTTTCTAACGACTAAAACATGCAGGATACTTCAACCTTAGGTAATCCAAGTAGACAAGTCAATTAGCTAACAGTACTGGCATAGACTACGGTAAATAAATATGGCAAAATATGAAGAATGCTCAATACATTGTCAAATAATACCTATATCTATAACAATAGCTTGTCAATTAATTTTGCTGAATTTGCGTTTACAACAAAGGAAGACGCAACAATGCATGTCACCTAATTAAAAATCCCCATTCAAGGAATTTGCTATAAGCAGTTCTAAAATTGTACCTTTTCTATGCTAAATTCTCATAAATTACAAAAATGTCGCCAGAAAAATGAATGACGTTTCAAATTCTAACAAAACTATTCAAATGAAACGGCGTACTTAACAATTAATTATTGTAAAATAGTCGTTTTATGTTCCTTAAAATTTTTTACTCTATTTGTGAATTGTATAACGATGTAAATTGACGAACGAACTTTCTTGTAAAATTAGCAATTTCCGATGGTGTTATAAGACGGCATTTTCCCCATCAGAAGAAGCCAAAGTGATAGAATCATAAGTAAAGGGTATCAATATGTACTTATTCTGTAGATTATTTTATGCAAACAACTCGATAAAGGAGCGACTTTGTCTAAGGGCAACTTATGCTTAGTACAAAGTTGATATTATTCATGTGATTAATTGTAACTATAAAGAGAAGAATACAAAACAGATAGCCAGACAAAAAATATTTTCATTGTTCAACAACTGATAATGTATGTGTTGTTACAAGTGATGCAGGCAATGGGGAGCCAGCCTCATCTTTCACTCCTAAAATGCAAATTTGTCAGCAAAATTATTATTTATTTCTTAAGAAAATTAATTTGATTCATTGTCTTTCCAATGATAGAACAAAAAAAATATTTGCAATGTAAGAGTGCTAATACGTTTTTAATCGGGGAGTTGCAAAAACACCAAAACTACACTTACATAATATACTTATTAATACATTTTGTAAATTGCTGCCCTTGCTCCCCTCCCTCCCTCTTTTTTTGGCACCACTGTTGTCACATCCAATACATATATGTGCACAAATTATACTGAGCACACATAATGCTGATCACAACCACAAATAAGAAACCAAGAATACCAGAATACCATGGCAAAATAAACAAGTGATTGTTAGGAAATTGTCTGATCTATGTGTTCACCAATGAAAGGCTTAAAAGGTTATCATATGGTCATCCTCTCTCACACAACTTTCCCATGGTTAAGATGACATCTGCATTAGAATGACTCACTTCAACACTATGTTTTATACCTTCTTCCTCATAACTACTGCTAGCATATACTTGCAATTAACAACAGACTAATTCCTTAAATTACTCTCTAGTACACCAATACTACAGGACAGCATTCAGCACTAGCACATTGACTCTCCAGAATATTTCATACTATGACTGATTGTTTGAAATGATAATGTTCAACTATTAAATGAAGATATGACCTTCGCACTTTGCTGGACAATTTAAGCAATCATCTCAGGACCTGAAAAAATCAGGTGACTCAACGGGATTCGAACCCATGACCTCTGCGGTGCCGGTGCAGTGCTCTGACCAACTGAGCTATGAAGTCACACAGTGGTGAGCAGGTCAAAAACATTCAATGTTCAACTATGTTACAATGATTAGTTGCTTACCAAAACATTTACCTAATCATGAATAATCACTAGATGTTTGACTGAGGATGCTGAAGGAGAGTTTGTTGTTGTGAGAGAAGGTTCAAAAAGATTAAAGATGTTTTTGTTCATCTTAAACTGTCTGATTTAAATGTTGTGCTCTATTAAAGCTACAAATCAAATTGTGAAGATTGTTAACAAAATGAATGGTTTATCTTAAAACTGCCTAGAACTATCTGGAAATAGTCTGTAAATAGCAAAAATTAAAAGCTGGCACATTCTTAAAGTTTTAATTCAATTCTCGCATCAAAATATAAGATAAGCTCAGATAGTTGCAGTCCATCATTTCCCAGTATAATTTTTGTTGTTCGACAAATGTTAAATAATCGATTTACTAGTCAGTCTGAATCAACAAAAAATATCGCCAAATAAATTCTTCTTTTGCATCACAAATTCCAATAAGACATAAAATGATGTAGGTCATTGTTCAATGAATACGAAATTCGTTACATATAAACACGTAAGCATAAAAAGATTATTCGGTAATTACCACTTTTTTTGCTTGGCTGTCCTCTGATTTTCGCTGTTTATTTCTAGGTGAATTTCCGGGTACGTTAAGCCTTGACATTGGTAGACGAGGGTCTTTAGTGTCCTCTTTTTTGGACTGGTTATCACTAAATTCTCATTTCCAGTTGCACTCGACATTGTTATTAATTTCCAACGATCAGATATCATAGAATTTTAGACTCAGTAACATATTCTTATCGCACATTTCAAATATGAAAAGGCAAACGTACTTTCGTATCGAAAAGTATTTTTAATATTGAAATTATTGTTAAAAATACAGCAAAGATATGTAAACATTGTTTATAGACTACCGTGAAACACCATGACGTAACAACATCGATGTCTCTAAGCACAGCGCGTGGATTATCACGCGTGTAAAGTATAATATGATAAAAATATATACACTTCAATGAATATATATTATGTGATTTAAATCGCCAAAGTGGTCAAACCGAATTGGAACTGCAAAGCACATTCATTAATCAATAAATTTAACATAACACATTTCTTGTTTGTGGATGTAGATCGTCCAGGTTAGTAGAGTGCTGAGAAGGACTTTTGACTACCGCTAAGGTTGTCGAAACGTGAGCACGTCAGTCAACATCAACAACAACAGTCATTCTCAGGACTCTACCAACCTGGACGATCTACATCCACAAACGTGTAACGATACTCCCGGGTTCAAACCATTTACTTTACAACACATTTCTGTTTGCAATATTTTTAATGCAGGCTTTTACTTTACATCTACTTCGTAGCTTCTTGATTTCACGCGCTTTGTTAGTGGAGGTAATTGTTGATGTGATAAAAAGGATGTTGGTGTCATTTCAGTTCTTGTGCGTTTTTTTGTATCAACAACCATACGTTCATTTTGGTAATAAATGTCTTTTAAAAGGAATCGATCACCATTTTTTCACATCCAAAATAATTTTTCTTTTCGTTTTTCTCATCAACTTTTTTTGTTCAACTTGTTCCTTTCTTTGTCAATTCTAGTCTCGAGTCGTGCAACTTTATCTCGTAAGTTTTTCAAAATTGGCGGTTCCCAATCTTGAGGAAAATGTTTCTGCGTAAACGAATCCTTAATATCCTCATATTCTTGAAGTGTGTCAAACAAACGATGTTTCAAATTGAACAATTCGTGTTGCAGGCGATTTAAACCCACCTCTTCAAGTTCATGAAGAAAATGAGAAACCTGATGATGTCGAACTTCCTGTTGCCAATTGAAACCAACCAGTTTTTGACTGTCAGGACAAACCAAAGGAACATTTTGAGGGTTTTTTTCATCTTTTAATTCGGTCAAATTGTTTGACGGACAAGAGTTAACAGACGAACTTTCTACGCAAAATGAGGAACCTTCTGTGCAGCTAGATAACAATGTTCTTTTATATATTTCTCCAGTAACAGAAGAAAACCGTTCCTTTCTAGGTAACTGTTTGGCCATTTCATCGATGTTTAACATCAGCGTTTAATACAGTAATACATAGATTGCTATAACAACAACAGATACTAAAGCTGTTTCTTGGTAACCACATCATCATATTTAATGTTTTGTGAAAGTTCAAGTATAACGTATAGCTTAAGAATTAACGATTTCGAAGTGAATTTTAATTTTTATGAAAGTCAGCAGGCGACGACTTTCGAGTGTATACATTCTTTTAGCCTGAAATTATAATACTTAAGCTTTATTGTCTTGATAACATGCAGACACAACGCCACAAAATTGAACATTGTTGGGTTAAGACTTAAATTTAGTAAATTTATTGAGTCTCACTTTGCCCCTAATAAAGCTAAGGCATAAAAAATTATAGGTTTAGCAAAAACTTTACATTGGGAAAATAGTAAAGTGTTTATAATAAACATAGCGGGCATACACTTAAATGCATTTAGCAAAGATATAATATGTAAGTAGCTGTCATGTATAGTACAATTGAAATATGTTTCACGTTATGCAGAGTAATCGAATGTCAAGGCATTTTAGTTATAGAGAATATTTTTGTTGCACGTTTTTATGAATATATTGTTATTATGATACGACGGATGAAGATAAAGCTAAAGGAAGAAATGTCATACACAAGTAAATTCATCCGGAATAAGAGATTTAAGATTCCTTTTTTCACAAAAAATTATTTTCTTGTCAGTGTAATTGAACAAGTTGAAGTTATTTTATGTTTGCACTTACAGGATATTGTCTAAAAATATAAATAAAATTTACATAAAATTATACGTTTCTTCCTCATACTTGACGTAATACGCCCTGCATGCACAAGGCTTTGTAAATAACGTGTTCTGTTGGAAAGACGATGCAAAAACTATGTGTTCATCGTTACAGTGTAATGCACGAAGTTTACCAAAATATTACAAGACTGATGTATATCAGAAAATGTTCAAACAAAATGGCAAATATATCGGGCATATTAGACCATTAACCTATTAATTAAAACAATAAAAATGTCCTTGAAATAGCATGCATGAACGAAGACTCTGTTTCAATACATTTATACATAATTATGTTTTAGGGCTTGTCAACACGCCCTGTAGCACGTGTAGCTGTAATGACGCTTTTGCTATATACTACATTGTCGGTACTTGCTACTTTTGATAAAACGCGATGGTATATGTATGATTTTGAGAAATCGTATTGAGAAAAATTTATCTGTGTTAACATCACCTACGATTATTAAATCTTCCGAAAAAATTGTACATTTATCGTAGAAACATTGTTATGTTCAAACAATAAATCAAAAATAAATGGGATTTCAGGCATTGCCTTTACAGCAACAACATTATACAAGACACAAACACTTGATTGCTCTCCCACATTTACACGCAAGAATTTAATTTGTATATTTATTTTTGGTCGGATTTTGATTTTAATTTTTAGAGTTATCGGAAGATAATAATTTTGTCGATTGCATTAGGGGCGTCAAAAAGCGTTTTATCATAAAATATTATGATATTCAAATAATACAATCAATGAGTGGGTTGTATCGAAAGGAACACGGTTATTATTTACGCAGTACATCTTAGGATACAATTTGTACCATAAAACCATGATTTCGATCACGAAATGTGGACAGGATACTAGTTATAATTGAGGCTGAGAGAAAGTTACTCTGTGTGGAAGCGTTGACCTTCGAAGGATATGACAAACATAATTAGTGGACAAAGAAACAGTTATAGACACCTTGAAAACTGTAACAAAGTCACACTCGATTTACCGCCCACTGTAGACGGCTGCACGTTGAAAAAAGATACAATGTCAAATACACAGTTGAGAGCGCATAAAAAAGAATTTGCAAACTCAATTTGAGAAAAAATTTACAGAGTTAATCAAATGTAATAAGTTCTCTTCCATCAAACAGCTTAAAAAGTAATAGAAATTGTTAATATTTTAACCTACGTTAAAGGGTATAATCAAAATTCATGTACGTGAAGAAAAGATTTAAAGGAACCATATGCTGCCATTGAGTCAAATGATAAGCCGCCCATACTACATTTTATTACGTCTAGTCTTTGTTCTTGTTCGATATCCTAACGGTAGAAATGGACTTCCATATACATAAATATCCGCTTGTAGGAGTTAATCATTAAAACGCATTTGTCGACTGAAAAAATTCATTTAGCATTCCTATACAGAACTTTTTTAAAGCAAAATGAAAACAGCAAACTTGCGAGGACATTTTCCGAAGCTTGAGCTGAATAATATGAAAGTAGCTAAGGTCCATCGCGGTGGGCTAATACTGAAAACAAAATAACCTTCTTCACGAGTTAACCGATTGCATCTAACAAAAACATTATTTCTTCTACGATGCATAAAAGATAACTGCTACAAGCAACAAAATATTTGTATATTCCAGTTCCGGTTTTTGTCTATCACTATAGCAACAAGTCGTTTCAAAACACAAAAAGCTTACGAAAATACTATTCATCGCTGCTTTATATGTTTATACGTACGTGTATAAAACATAAGACATTGGATGTCTTGTCCAAATACTCAAACTTATTTCAACTATAGTCTAAAACATAAAATACAACAAAATTTATTTCCATGTAAAATTATGAGAAATTAAATATGAAATTAAGGAGATAAATTAGCGACATACAAAGTAACAAAACTTAAAAACATAATATAATAAACAAGGAAATGTAATTCACTAGAATGATCTTGCTTCCCCAGTGTCTATTCCTCAGTGTTCTTAAAGACTTACATATTTACCATCACAAGAATATAGTGTAAAAATAGAAATCATGTTGCAGTTAATGTCACAGATATAAAATTATAATTTAAAGATGAACTTGGTGAACAATATTGATAACTCTTACAGCCTCTTGAAAAGCAATTAAAATTGTAGTGCTTTAAATAAGCACAGAGTTTAAGCAGACAGACATTTAAATGTTAGAAAAATACAATTAGTTATTTCATTCACAGAGATAACACAGTTAAACATGCACTAGCATTTTCTACATTCAAGTGGAATTACATAACATTACAGCTTGCTATTACAACTTAAAGTAAATTTACAATTTCCACTAAACATACAATACATTAATATATGTATGTTTCAACGATTACATGCAGCGGTACAGAAACGTTTATTCAAATCATAACAATAACCATCTTTTAGTCTATAAGCACGCTCTTAGCACTTCTTGTTATAAATTACAACAGAGTAAAAATACAATATCCACATATATAATTAAAGAGTCTTTGAAAAGCGGGTATGTCCCACGCACAGCAAAAATAGACAATGACATCACATAGTAAAGAGCATAAAAGAAGACATCAATATTAAAAGAAGACATTAGAAGACATCGATTAACCAAACTGGTGAAAACATAAAAACAAAAAAAAATTGAAAAAAAAATCGAAAACAGTGGCAAAAGAGTTTGTAAACATTACGAGAAAGAATGATGAAAATTTCAAAGGTTTGTTTTCTAATTTTTTCTTCTTTTTTTAAATTATTCGATTATATTTTAAGGTTCTCCCCACTAACATTAAGTTTAAATCACTCACTAAAATTTTATGATTTTCAAACTATGATTTGACCAATACTATAATTTTATTAAGTCGCATAATTCTTTAAAAAATCTTAATATGAGAGTTGAGAGCAATTTTTAAATTTGCTGTAACTCAGCGTTGAAAAATTCACAATTGTCGCCCTAAAATAGAACTTGTAAGGCTCCGTTAAGCTTTACATGAAAGTATACGAGCTTACAGTACCTTACAAATTGCGTGTCAGCGGTGCAGCGAGGCAGAGTTAAGTCAAAAGTAATAACAGTACCGCATACCATTAATTTATCAGTTTCGAACTTTCGCCTGTACAGTTAGTTTAGTTTCAAGTTAACAAAGACATGAAAATTTATATAGTCACGCAATAAGTATACGATAGTTATATTTTTTTAAAAATCTTTATGAATGAGGAAGTACAACATATGAACGAAAATCATAAGACGCGGGGGCGAATCAGCGATGATTATGTCAATGATAATCTATTAAAATTGCCTTAGCATTAAATCTAACTTGTTGACCACTTTAAATAAAATGTATTAAAATTGCATTGCAATTTGTGTCAGGAAGTTAAAGTAGGATCTTAGCGAGTAATGCTTGTTTCAATGGCATATAATGGTCGAAATAAAATAAAGATAAAACCTAAAATATAGACATGAAAAGTTATAAATTTAAAACTTTATAGTACATAGCACCAAAAGTCTGTAATATTATTGTATATCATTCAATATATTTATTTTTATTTTATTTTATAGGTAGTGTCAGTCATAACGACCATCACAATAATATTCATGCTGTGTTGTGAGGCCGCACCCGTAGTTAAGAAGTATACTACGTTTAATCGATCAAACATGAACAAATTTACTTCCAAAACGCTTAAGTATCACAATGAAAGGCTCCTAAAGACTGCAGTAACGAAAGGATTGTGGTTTAAGCATCCAACAACATCCCATATAAGTAAAGAATGTCCTTTCACATGGAAGATTAAAAGATTACCATTTGGATATCTACCAAGAGACTACGTTGAAGCAGATTGTACCAAGTGTAAAAATATATCATGTCGAGCATTAAACTATCGCATTTTTGTGCGAGTTCACGAAACAGGACGTAAATACTGGAAAAAAATCAATGTGAAAGTGGCCTACTTTTACCAAAAAGGTTATATTAATACCGATCTACTGAAAAAATTAGGTTAAATAGGAGCTACATCTTAGAAAGTAAACACGTTCATTTTGAAACAATCAAAATTATAAAGTATTTTCCATGAAAAACTATTTATTTAATAATTAAAATTATTAGACAAATATTACACGGATTACATTAATAGTTGTAATATCATAGAAACATTTATTAATTTTTATTTTAAAAATAAATTATCTTTATCGCACTACAATTTGTGTGGTCAAACTTTGGAGAAAATTTAATGTACTCCAACATAATTTATTACGTCAAATAAACTTAGCTAAAAACGAACTTCGCTGTAGATTTGTTCATACTGCGTTACTACAAAGACGACTTTGTGCAAGTACAAGATATTTTCACCGAAGCTTGACCATCTGTAGTTTAGATTTTAGACAAAGCTACAAAACTTACATTTTAAACAGTTATTTAATAAAATATACAAATTTTAGTATTGTACAATTTAGTTGTGTGATTTAATTGGAGCGTAACCTTGTCCTTTTTATCATGAAAAAAATGCAAGAATTTGTGCATTTCTATTTCAACATGATCAAGCAATTAGTACCTAATCTCCCTCCAGCTTCATTCAGAATCACTCAATCCTTTTAATGAAAACGACAAAAATTTGTCCACATTTTTACGAAGAGCACAAACTGAACACTTCAAAGGGTTCACTAAAATTCATGTCTAACCTTAGAAGAACAACAAAGATAGGGTGTCGTAGCAGTATGACATATTTTCGAAATCATTAGCTAGTTTATAACCTACATTAATTAGAATTATCCATAAAACAATTAGGGCTGTGCAAACTCCGGTTTTTCAGATCCGGCCTCTTGTCAAATCTGAACTCCGGTTTCAAACTCCGGCTCCGGCTATTTCATAACTCGAATCACTGGTTGTGGCTGGTTAATTTTGCAAGTCATTGTTCAACAGTTTAAGGTGTATTATTAGTAAACTTTTTATGTGTAAAGTTAAATTCCGCACTCCGACTTTGAATCATAAAATAGCATGTGTGAACGCTATATAGCGTCATGTTGTGTCATGCACAAAATGTTTTATTTTCATGCAGGTTTTTCAATTTTAGCCGATAGTTATCGTTCCGTTGATACAAAAATGTTTTGGTCAGACACGTTTACCAAAGTTTGACTGTATTTTGCAGAACAAACAACTGCTGCCGGAGTTTTGCCGGAGATAAACAAACTCCGGTTCCGGCAGGCAAAAATAGCCGGTGCTGCGGCCTAACTCCGGTGCACTAAAAATAATATAGTCAGAAATAATTATACAGCTAAATGCCACAACAAACGAGATATCTTTACTAAATGTTATTGACTATTGACTGTTAAATAGGAATGTTTTATATGAGTAATTACTTATTTTACAAATTACACTGCCTTCAAATATTAGAGCTTTTGATGCACAAAAATGGCTATTATATATATATTAAGGCAGATGGCGACAAATATATCATAACAGTGATTCAAATTCCTGGCTAAATATCAAACATAATTTTTGAGCATTGTACTTTTTTATGAATTAATTCAATTGTTCAAATAAAAGTAAATGGTATACATAAACCTGTTTATATTACATCTGAGATCTCTTCAGGTGTTGACAAGGTAAACAAAGATGCATGAATAGCTATGACAAAAAACGATGCACCTAAACAAAGCCAAGAATCAAATTGTTTAAGAAATTAACATTTAAAAATAAATATTCTCGTTTATAAATTCCAAAAACAAATCTTACATTAATTTTAAACATTTTATTTTTGCACACTTTACAAATTTGTTTTATACATAATTTAAGTTTTGAAATGCAACAGCTAAATGTCCCAAAACACAAATTCACAATGAAGTGAGGATTGAACAGTTGAGTTAAAATAAAAATAGTGTAAAACATACATTACATCTATGAATGGCAAAATTTTTAAAGGGAAAATTGAAACAGTTTTATCATGTCATTCTTATAGCACTTTGTTTTCAATTATATATCTAGTCTTATGAAAATACTGAAATAACTTAAACAATTTTATGATTGCAGATACATACAATTTAAAGTAGCAAGCTAAATGTTTAACAAAATGGTTTTAAACATTGAAAATTAGCAGTAGCAGTCAAAATAGAATTGTAATACAAGCATGTAATAGAATGTATTCATGTTTACTGTAAGTTAATAAATGTAGGTATTGAGATAATTAGATGTTTCTTAACATTGACAACTTTTATTTTTTTGTTTTGAAATAGACACTTGCGGAAACATTATTTTATGTAACAATAAGATGGGTTTCAATTATCACCTAGTATCCAAAATACAGTTGAACCAGCAGATGCAAGAAAAAACAATGGTAAACATATTAAAGCAACAAGTCCATACTGCTCAGCCAGGCTAAATTCCCGACCTAAAAACATTCATTTCATTGATTTCAATTCCATTTCATACCTGTGTTTAATTACCTTCAATCAATAGTATTAATATACTCACCAGCAATTGAAAGAGGTTTAGATTTGTTGATATGGTTAATGTACCAACTGGCACCACCAGAAATTGACAAAGCAATCAGCAGAAGTGGTGAAGTCAAACTTTAATAATAAGAAACATCAAGGTATTCAGTTATGAAATGACATATAAAAAATTCTAATAATATATATGTATTTATGTTATTTACTGTGAGGTCCATGTGAAAAAAATATATTCACAAGGTCTTAACAGTGCACCCTTAGCACCAAGGCCAAAGGCCAAGGAATGGGTTATTTAACAAATAGATAACATTTAACTGTTGTCTAAACAGTTATGGATACATGGGTAAGATGTCAATTGTGATAAAAAAATTCCCAAATTAAATGATCAGTTTGTTTTCTTTGTCTCACAACACTTGGAACATTGAAAAGTCTTGATTTTGCAAATGTCACGCTTACATGATCTATGGGATTGAAGAAATCCTATTGGCTAGCATAATCATGTGATAAATTGTGATTGGCTAACAAAATAAACAAGCAATGGCTGATCAATTTTGTTGAAATTTTGTTATCGTAGACAAAGTACAACTTAATGTTTGAAAACTGGGTTTTTTCTTTTCTTTTTGCTCAAATACGTTAACTGCCTCAACTAGGTCTTTGTGAATCTTTATTTTCCCATTCAGGGAGGTATTGCGATAAATTTTCAAATATATCCACCATTTGTTTGTTTTTATAAACAAGAAATTTTCTGTGACGTCAATTCTGTGCATATGTCCTCTTATAGATCATAGCTCTTGACTAATGAAATTGCTCAAATTCTTCTGGTTATTATATAAATTATTATAATGTACAGGGACCAAACAGAAAATGGGAGGGGGGCGTAATTTCTGCAGAAAAATCTTCACCCTCTGTTTGTTGGGGATGAACCCAACCCAACAGTTACATTTGCAAAATGATGCGAAGCATACAGCATAAATCTATTGTGCATAAATACACAAACATCTAAATAATTATTTGACTTGCTATAAGGTTTTTGGTTTTTCACTTACATGCAATATAAAGCCAATCCTACAAAAATAAACACATAATTCGCTTGATACAATTCAACATTCTTGGTAAATCTTGTATAAATTTCAGAGCTTGTTTTTGGTTTAGAGAATCGATTGACGTCAAGAAATTCAGACCATGGACGAATTTTTGAACGCTTTTCGACAAACCAAGATCTTAATCTACTCAAAGATGAGAAAGAAACGACCGATGATTCTAAAGAAGCCATCTCAATTTGCCCAGAAACTTCTTCGTTACCTGCCATTACCGTTGCGGAAAAATTGGTGACGTATGCCCGCTGATCTTTGTTGCTCATCCAGGGTCTGGATGATGAGGTTTGTCTTTAATTAAAGAATTTTACTGTTTTTGGACATTGATGGGGGTAGAGGGAATTTATCCTCTCAGCGCCTCTCTTTTTCTTTCCTCACATTTCTTTTCCTCTCTTCTCGTCTCCTTACCTCTTCTCTAATCTTTTTGCCGGTCCTTTCCTCTTCACTCCTCTTCTTGTCTGTATTTTCTTCTCTTCTTCATCCTATGCTTCCCTTATCTCTTTTCTACTCTTCTGTAGGTAGTGTACACAAGGTGTACAAATCTTTTGATCAAATTTTTCTATGACTTTTTCTATGACTTCTCTTATTGCACTCTAAAAAGCTAAAGAGAACGAAGCGGTCTTGAACCGGAGAAGGAGTGATGAGATGTGATGCCAATGAAAACATATCAAGTGCTTCGACAGAACAGCATTTATTACCTTTCATTACTAAAGGCTTTAGCTTTGTAAAGTGTTTTTGAAAATATACCTTCGACGGCATCATAGCAATAGTAGAACTCTAAAGGCAAGAGCTTGCTCATCGCACTGTAAGCAATAAAGTCTTTATCATGAAGAAACAAGAGGAATAAAGTATGTCCAATGGCACCCATTGAAATGTGGTGAATTTGGGGTCATGACGCGTATGTCCTTTATCAATTTATCCATGAGTATCGTGAAAAGACTATTTTCATAGGTATTTTTTCTTGACGCTCCTGTCGCCAATTTTAATGATCGTCATTTCAAACTTTTCTTTCGGGAAGTCATTGAAAAATTTGATCAAAAGACTTTGGGGCAAACTTTTGAGGCAAAGTTTTTTAGGTCAAAACTTTTGCAACCCACCCCCTTTTCTTTTTTCTCTTTGCATGAATTATAGACTTCATGTGAAAATGTGAAAAAATGTGTAAATTATATTTTTTGCATGAAAATGTGTAAAAATGCATGGATTATACCATTCCATTCTCGAAAAACCAACAATAAAATTGCCATTCGTACACATTGTGTACACTATTATCTACCCTTACCTTGCTCTTGATATTCACGTTACTCGTTCATTGCAAGTCTTATGCTCAACACACCAAGTCCAACAACAACCGTCTGATCCTCGAAGGATTCAAACTCCACATCACACCTGAGAAACCTCACTCTACACACTCGACCAGTGAGTGCGTTGTACACTTATAGAAAATTTAGTCTATTTATGATAATAGATGCTTGAAGTATAATAAAAAAAAATTTGTTAAGTGATAATCAAGAAAACAATTAAACAAACCAGACATTTGTAGCATCAACGTCCAAACCATTGACATTTTCACAACGAAAAGCATTTTGTTGCAGGACATCATTATTTAGTGTCAGTCTGATCATACGACCGCAATACACAAATATAGTTATCATTAATATAGTTAATATATTATCCTTATTTTATAAAAGACGATATGAACGACGATTGAAAATGTTTAAATCGTTTAATGTAATCGTGTAATCGATTACAATGTAATTGATTATTAGGTCGTGTAAGAAATTGATAATATTCAATGACTCTGGAGTGGTCAAGCGCACAGTGTATTAACATTGTGATCATAGGCCGTGAAAGAAAAGGTAGACATAAACGCAGACAAAAATGCAAACAAAGAAGACAAAAAGGTGGACAAAAAAAATAGACTGAGACAAATATAGACACAAAATTAGACACAATGGTTTACAAAATAAGTTGTAGGTGCTTAATTTTAAATTTAAAATATTTTCAAAACAGAATTATTGGTTTTCAATTTCTAATAAAAATTTTTTAGCGATCAACTTGTCTCTAAGTGATATTTGGAAATGTATATACACGAAAAATTCAGCTGCAGTAATTTAGGTTGATATACCCTAGATCTGCTACTGATGCTAACATTTTAACATGTACTATGTTTTCACTAGGGAGAATGGTAAAATAATTTTTTATAACTTTATTCAAATCACTCGCCACAACTTGCAATCTAATCAATCAAGTTTTTCATTACAACATTTAATTAAACCAATATGTACATACATACATACTTTATATTTTAGCTATGTAATACTGAAGGTGGCTGATGAAGCAGACAAACCAGTTCTCCTAAAAATAAGGATAAAAATCATACATGAATGAAGCACATAAGTTTTTTTGGATCAGCCAGCCAAGACAAAGAGCCTAGTATGCTCAACAAAATATTTGAAATAGCTTGGTGAAATTGAAACTTAAAAATTATCAGCTTCTCACGTCTCAATTAAATACAATCTTTTAAATATCGTTGATACAAAGAGAACAACTAATAAAAGACTGTAAAATACTCACGCTTCTTTTATAAACACATCCAACGTTATTTCATCAATGTCTGCTCCAGATGGGCTTTTGTTAAAGTTTTTAATTCCAAGATTTTCAAGAGCTATTGAATATTTATAGAAATATTAACTGTTTGAAGTTTTTCTTGAGACAATTTTTAGGACAATATCTGGTATTTTGAATGTTACATGTACTTTTAATAAACGTGAATAAAACATATTCGATAAATTTATAACTGTCAATAATGCAGAATACCTCGCTTGTATTGTTCATAGTTAATATATCCATTATTTGATACATCTAGCATTCCAAAGAGTGATTTTATGTTAGTGTCATCAAACAAACATGGATAGTTCATTGCAATAGCTCGAGAGTCCATTAACTTTTTAAAATATGAAACCATAAACGCTTTCGGATTTTCTAATAATGAATAAAATGTTCTCGCGTGTATATTCAATAACATAATTGCAATGGTAATGCCATAAAAACACCGACGTGTGCTATTCATAATTTAACAGTAAAATCCCAAATATCAAGTCCCAACTAAGAAAATTATTCATAGAAAAGCGAAATATATCATACAGTTTATATAGTTTCGGCCTTCAAATTATTAAATCGACAAGACATACCTGGTCTTTCAAATACAAGAGCAGCAGTAAGATTTTCAAATAATTCTAAAACTTTATGTTTAGCGAGATACTCCAGCGATGACTTCTCTCCACTGTCCTCCATGTTGTTTCTCTGCGTTGCTTAGCAACTCTTAGGGTTCAAAGTGCACGCTGGTGACGTCATACATAGGATGAAGCTGGTTGATTCAAGACGAGACAGACGATACTACCAGCTAAAAAAATTTCACACAAAACGCCGTTGCCACTGCGGTCTCACACTTATTAAGACGCAGCATCAAAAGACGCGTCTCACGTCGCGTTTCTCGGGCAAGACGCCACACGGATTTTCGATTTCTAGCCACCATGTCTCGGTTTTACTCCTAATTGCTGGAAGACTATTATGAAGCATGAAGTGATATGGCGATAGTTCATAAAAAAGGTAATAATATGAGAGTTGTTTGGTAACTATGATAATGCTATATACTGTTCTGTATTTATGTTTTCATAATTCCTGTAGTATAAGACAACCATTCTCTCCATATGTTGGTCAAGTCCATACATTAATTTAATACGATTTAATTCCAAAAATGAATTGGAGAACCAACTATAAAACTTGCTTAACTATGTTACACAACATACAAAATTAACATTAATGTTCATAAATCTGTTTGCTTTGATCTTACAAACAGATTTTGTTTTATTTCACAAACGGATGACGCTTTGTGAAAAGTTGGGCACAATAATAGAATACCCTGTCACAAAACTGCCAAGTGCCAACAACAATCAGACTAGGTTATGGCTTGAAGGCAATTAAGTATGTGGTAGGATATTCTATAATTACTCTAAAAGTTGGTAAAAATCGTCTTTTGAAATATAATATAAATTTCTCTAAATTATTATTATCATATGCTTACTGGGTTGACGTGTTATTTTAATAAATAGCACAAAATTACTAAGTGTTAATTATAAATATGAACAGAGTAGTTACGATAACTTGATTGATTTACACCTTCATCTTTTCTAAATGACGGACAAAGAGAGGCACGAGTAAGTCCCCAAAACTTGCTCGGAATAAGTTTTTTATTAACAGCAGTAAATTTCCAGCCCATATGACTTCCACATGCCTTGCATTCTGCAATCGTCCAAGCATATCTACAAAACACGAGAAAAAACGAACTTGGTAATTTAGCAACGGGTAGAATAAGTGAGAAGTTCAGAAACTATTCTGCTACGAGAGGACGTGCTTAACAGTAAAACACGCTTAATTTACTTTGTTCAACACACAGAAAATACAAGTTACTATAATACATACCCTGGAAACCAGCTGTGTTCAGTCGATGATGAGCCACGTAGTCGCAGGCATTTAGCTTTATGGAATGTAATCGTTTCATGAACAATTCCTCCAGGATTGACGTAAGACCCCATTAAACCGGTTGATGACATGCTAAAATACGCAAAACATTATTACTTTAAGAGATAAGTAAACGTTACTCTGAATACTTGTGCTACAAAATAATTCAATACAAAAATACCTGAACAAATCCTTTTTGTCAGCTATTATGCTTCTACAGTAATTACAGGTCATGATTCCATACTACATATAAAATAAAAGTATACTTCTAAAAGTCACTACACAAAATGACCAGATCGCATAAATCAAAGACATCACAGAAAAGATTGCTAAGACTGAAATCTCAGCAAGTAAAGAAGACAGTTTTCCACATGTCAGCAAATGTTAAGCCTCCCACATTGCATTCAACCTGGGCACGACACTTAAAATGAAAGTTTGTTACATTTTTCTAATCTTACAATTTTAATGAAAAGGCATTCCTTTACAGAATCCGCCAAGTTTACATTGCAGATGACAACATTCATATAAAAAAAATGCATCAAAAGAAACGCAAAACCTATTTCGAATCATATCAGAATCAACATAATTTAGGTTAACAAAAAGTATATATTTGGTTATGTGTAACAAAATGGAGATATATTGAACCTTTTGGATTAAGTCAAGTTGCTTTCTTAAACGTTCCACAGGCGAGTTCATTTTCAATAAGAGATGACGGTTTCCGTTGTCCAGCGGTAAATTATGGGTTACCCAATAGGAAAATTCTGTCACATCATCAGGCAACTTTTCAGTATTTAAATCCGCTTTCCAACTTGTCAACTCTTGCTTTATTCGAGCCATCAACAAATACTATTTTAAAATAGGAATTTCATCAATGTTTGGTAAAAAAGAGCAGACATTTACTGACATACATACTGGATTATAAAGCTCATAAACCCAAGACGGCCAAGCAGAGGAACTTGGAATGTTCTGAAAGAAGAAATAGAGTTTACAAAATAACAAATTTATAATTGATTTAAAATCAATTGATTGAATTCTACTCATACTTAGTCTCCAATGAACGTGCACAGGTGTATAAATGAACGGTCTTGTTTGGGATATACTACCTTTTGCTAAAGCATTTAAATCGTGTAGTAAAAATTATTCACTTTTCGTTTGTACAGATTTTTCAACAGGGCTGATGGAGAGACAATGATGGAAAACAGCTTTGAGCTCAATCAAAGAAATTTATCATCAGAAATGTAAAAAAATAGACAAAAAGATTCCAAAGAGTTTAGGTTGATCAAATAATCAAAGAGAATAAACCTTTCTATTTAGAATAATCTTGAGGTTGAAGAAAAGGTAAAATTCATACTCCACGAAACTGAAAAATTTTTTACAAACAAATGTAAATTAAAGATAAGTGCTAACCTTTCTGTGTGAAACTCTATTGAGTTTGTTTATCGCTTGATGATGATTTGTAACAGAACGTTTATATCCCACATATTGTGTTAAAGCATTGGGATAAGCTGGTAGAACTATATCTGGTTGTATACGAACAGTTCCAAGACGAACACTGCAAATGTATCAAGACAAATTACGTTAAAAAAATGTAAAAGTAAAGAGATCTTGTAAGTGTAACCTAACCAATCAAAGTGATGTCATTCTGGCAAATTGATAACCTGGTACAATTTTAATGAAAACGGACAACGCGTAGAATTTGGTAAATACATACCCATCTAGCTGGGTTTTTATTGATAAAACTTGAAACCTCTTGCGCACCATAGCCTTAATGAATATCGTTGTAAAACCTCCATTACATTCTTCACGCATTGAATAAACCTCACATGTTGTTCCTGTCATTCGTTTCACATCGTCCTCAGAATATACAGGAAACCTGGATTATGATCAAAATACAGTTTAACTTGAGTTGAAAGATTATTGCATTAAATTAATAAGCAAAGTGAATGAACTAATGCGTGTATTGAATAAAAACGATGTGAATGATATTGAACTATGAACAAACTAATGCATTAAATATTTTATAGTTTATCTAAGGATCTGTTCATATGAACCCGTCTAACTGGGATTCAGTGAGGCGTTAAATGATTTTTAAAAATGGAGACGATTTTATACTTATCATCAGATAAATCTTCTGGGACAATTTCAAAATATTCTGATTCAACAACTACGCAAAACATTGAAAATCGAAACAATCAGTTTGGCCTGATTTGAGAATTTTAACAGGAATGACTCGTGGCGCTTTACAAACAGTTGTAATTTTTAAGCTTCAAGGTTTGCCCACTATCAATGCCTTAAAAATCATTTAGCGCCTCACTGATTCTCGGTTAGCCGGGCTCATATGAACAGCCCTTAAAAATACTATAAGAACATGTATATCAGTTTGCCTCTTTTACAAATGAAGTACATTTAAGTAACATCAAAAAAAAGTCAAAGTTGCTCTACAAAGTTCTCCATGTTTTTGTGAATTAGATAAGATTTGATAACTATAGAAAAAAGCAACACGTAATTCATTTTTAAGCCCTGTGATGTACTTTTTGCTAAGACTTAAGAACACGTGGAGAAGATATCAAAGGACTTCAACATTCAGGATTGCTTGAGGCCATTGTGTAGCTACATGTCTAGAAGAACATTTTCTAAAATTATGTACCAATGTGTAACACTTACCTGTGCTCTTCTGTAACAACGCCAAAAGTATTATTATGGTCGACTATGTTTTTCATCATTAAAACGATCTATAAAGATGAAATAAAACAATGTAAATAGATAACCATGTAAACCTTGGTTATAAAAAGTTTAGGCATAAAAGTGTATACGTAATATCCTCGAGATAACGACACAAGAAACCTGATAATGCATTTTATACCATGAAAGATAATAATGTCATTTTCGCTATGCATTACTACTATATGGAGTCATGTTTGATGTGCATGTCTTGCTTCATGAAGATATTTGACGTTGATAGGAAAAATAATTAAAGTTTTAAAGAGTTGATAACAATGCTGGCAATTAAAAGTTAACCAGTAGCAATTTTGATTAATAACAGTTAAAGCAGCAGTAATTAAATAAAAAAGTTAACCAGTAGCAATTTTGATTAATAACAGTCAAAGCAGCAGTAATTAAATAAAAAAGTTAACCAGTAGCAATGTTGATTAATAACAGTTAAAGCAGCAGTAATTAAATAAAAAAGTTAACCAGCAGCAATGTTGGGTGACTAAATGTATGTTACGTATATGCAAATATTGCAGGCAAAAATTTTCATTTTAGGAAGTCCAACATCATATATTTTTATCGCGAACCGTTCAAAAAGATAAGGTCAATATACGTAAATTAGCTTTACCTGCGGATTAAATGTATGTAAGGGAAGTGTCTCTCCAGGAACAAGAAGATTTGGCAATGATATAAGAGGAATGGACACTACATTATCTTCTTCCATTACAGTTCTTCCCAAAACGTCATTCATCTCCTCTCCTAAATACTGATGATTGTAAAGTAGAAGATTAAGTCTTAATATTAATAAGTCCGTATCCTAAAAACTCACTCATACTCACTCACTGAGTAGGGCTTCAACATCACCACATAAATTACTCGAAGACTACATTTTCACTCCATTGATTGCTTGATTTGGTATATTTTAGCAAAAAATCTTGCTATGCTGGAGAAATGACTTCGCTATTCATTTGAGAGAGCGCAATTTTTGTGTCGCACTCAGTGAGTGTGAGCTTTTAGAAAACGGAAAATAAACTTGTTAACTCAAAGCAACGCCAAAAGGGAGATGTTGAATCACCTTATGATATATCTGTCTCATCGGAATAAATCGTGAAAAACTGTGTAGCAATAACATACATTTTATAATTAAATAAATGTTATTTTTGTCATGTGTAAACAATTTTGATATTCTTAATAGACTAGGAATTTGACCAAATATCTCATCGATTTGTGCTAGTATGTTAGTTTATGAACCTCAGTTCCTAACCCCAAATATAAACAGAAAATTGAACCTCAAAAAGGGAGATCGTTTTGAAGAAACCGCAAATTCAAGGTCTTGTGCAAGCATGAATGTGGAGGTGAAAATCAATGTTGATTTCCTGGGATGAACGTTTGGCTCATGGTTTAAAAACTATGGAAATTTCATTAGGAGTAAGTCGTTGAGTGCGGTTATTTTTCTGTTTCAACTACCAGTTTGCATGATCTTTATCTTTGCACGAATAATTTTACGCATAAATGTCCCCTTGGTAATTAACATATAAGTACGAGGAAAGCACACACTGTTGATATCGGAAATACAATAGGCCTTTTCAAATAAGAGTTGGGGACTAGGGCAAGTTTTAGCCCGCAAGCACGTCTGGGATTGTTAGTGGGGACAGCTTGTTATATTATTATAGTTGGAAAAAAAAAGTGAAGATGGAAAGCGCGTTTGAGTGTAAAGATAAAAGTTTTTCGCTAAATGAAAGTGATATTCCCGGAGCTAAGCTACCTAAGCCGATTGAGGAATGCAATTGTGCAATTTTACGACGATGGCTTCTTTGCAGAGGAGCAAAAACCTCTGGTAAACTCTCTGATTTACGACTGAGGTCAGTAATTTACTTTTAATTTTAAGTTTTTATTTTTATATAATCTAACATTCATTTGATTTATTTCGTCGTTTTTATGAAGGAATTAAAAATCGTTTAAAGAATAACTATATATTTTTTATTGCAGAGTCAAAAATTATATCGAACATAAACTGGCGGAAAAGTATCTACGTGACCCCGATGGAGGCGTTCATGTTTTGAAAAAGAAAGCACAAGCTGGTCTCCTACATCAGACATTGCCATCAGAAGTTAAAAGTTTTCCTACCACAGGATATAGTGCCGACCTATCAAATCTACCAAAAGTTACTTTTGGCACTGTATGGAAGTTTATGATAGACAGCATGGAATTCAAAAGACGACTTTCAACTGCTAAGCCTCTAGTGAAAGGCTATAATTTCTTTAAGTCAAACCATGTGCTGTGTTTGTATTATCTCCACAAGGATTCAAAACATTACATCAAAAGTCAGGTCTTGCCTTCAATGAAGAAAAAGATGGTATATACTTGTTACATTGCTTTCATCATTTGGCTTTGTATTGTCAGCCAAATGTGGGTGCCCAGCAGGTGTGGATGGGAGATGTAATCACGTCTGTGCAACTCTTTTTCCTTGACTCTGTTTGCAAGAAAAATAAGAAGTCATCTTCAGAAATTTCATGCACGTCAAAGCCATGTGAATGGAGTGTACCAAGAAAGAGAAAGAAGAGTGCAGCCAATTTCTGCAATGAAGTTCCAGAAATATGACTACAACAAAGAGAACAAAAAAGCAGAAGATAAATGCAAATACCAGGATGTCAGCTCCATTAACCAGGAAGGTTTAAATAGTAAAAAGTTACAAAGCATTTTTAACAAATTTAAAGAACTAGAAAATGAGGTTGGGAAGTCCATTGGATGGTGTCACATTTTACCCCAGGATATCCCAGTTGAGAAGTATGAGAATGAACTCATATCTCCCATAAAAGTTCAAGACAGCCCTATGGCAATGAGTGCCATTAAAGAAAGGATGGAAAAGATTAAGAAATGCCTTTTCATAGACTACAGAAAGGCCACAGAAATTGAGAAAGAAACTAGAGAGCAATCCTTTAATAAGAAATGGCACCTACATCGACAATACCGCATTACAGCATCTAAATGCTATAGAGCTGCTGTACTTAAACAAACAACCTCACCAACAAAGGCCATTAATGAAATTTTGTATGCCAAATTTTCAGCAACGAAGCAAATGATAAAAGGACTAGAAATGGAACCAGAAATAATGAAGCAATACATAAAGGAGCAACACAAACGTGGACATGACAATTTGTCTGTGTCACAGTCAGGTCTGATTGTTGGCAAGCATGATGATGGTTTCTTAGGGCTAGTCCTGATGGCTTGGTTTGTGATCCCTCGAACAATAATGAACCTTTAGGTATCCTAGAAATGAAGTTCATAGAAACATCTGAAAAGGAAAGTTTAACAGAAGCTGTCTTACGTAAGCACATGTGTGTCAAGCACAAACTTGACAACAGTGGTATTACAATTAACAGAAACCACAAATATTTTACCAAATACAGCAGGGAATGTATTTATCAGGGAGGAAGTGGGCAGACTTTGTGATTGCTGGATCTTGTTCACCTGGTATATATATTGAAAGAGTACCTTTGACTCTAATTTCTGGTGCAATACTAAGGCAAAACTTAAGATTTTCTATGAAGAATTTATTATTCCTGAACTAGCATATCCAAAGATCAAGTATGGGCTGCCAAGAAACAATTTCACAGGAGATAATTAAATGGTGTAACTTGTAAAGATTTTTAAAACATAAATTACTAAGGATAAATAACAGTTGAAAATTTAATCTCTGTCAAAATATAATTAAAAAAAGGGCTTTTTTGCTGTAAATCTGTTTTTAATCATGATACTGAATTTCTAAATTATCATTATTGAAATGGCTTGTTTTATTTATTTATCAATTTTAAACATGAGAATGAAGGCAAAATCTAACAAACAAGTGGTGGCAAAAAATTAGCCAATGCTGCTATGACCACAAGTGCATCTGATGCTAATGGGGCCATAGTGATAGGGATCTTTCTATCTAATATGTGCCAGTTTTTTAGTCTTTCCATTTGTCGTTCAACATGTATGCACAGGCTAGCTATAGCTTTGTTCTTGTTAATTTCTTCTTGCGTAAATTGGGTTTTCTTTTGGAGAAAAGAAGGAGCTTCAAGAAATGCTCCAACTGATGCAAGTTCATCTTTTATGTTAAAGCCTCTGTCTGCCATGACACTATCTCCAGGGGAGAGAATGTCCAAGAAATTGCTTTTTTTAACTATTTCCAAATCAGAAGTGCTTCCAGGGAATAACTCACTGATGTACGACAACACACCACTAGGTGTGATTCCAATTAAAACCTTCATTGTTGGTCTGCTTTTGTAAGAAGAATAACAGGCAGACTGATTGTTCAAAGCTGATGGCCTTTCCATCTCAATCTCTGTGCAATCAATTACAATAACTACCTGGGGGAAGAGCTGTTTGAATGCAGGGGCTGTAATATTTGATTGTATCTCTTTCTGGCATTCTGATTAATGACCCAAGTTTTGCACGGAGCAGTTTTATCCACTTGTGATGTTCGAGACTGTACCAACTGCCACGCCAAATCGGTGAGCCAAGTCCTTTTCAAAAAGGCCCAATCTTAATCTCATTAAAACCAAAATATATTCTTCATAACAACTTAGTGCTCTTGGCCTACCAAGCTTTGGTCTTCTAATCTGTGTGTCATCTGTATTATCACCATTAATATCAATTCTTGACTCCTCAACTAAATTGAAACAAAATGTCAGCATTTTGTAGTTAGATAAACCAGTATAGAACTCTATATCAGAATCACTTGATTTGTATTTGTCAATATCAAATCTACTTTGTCGTTGTTGTTCTCTTGCCAGGTTGTTTTTGGTGATTTCAAGTAATTTTGTTAAACGCAGCAGTTCACTTTCGAGAAATATTTTTCTTCTATAATTTGCTTTTAACGTCTTGAAGTAGCAGGACATCGTCCTTAGCTTTGCAGAAACATGCCAAGTCTGTCTGAGTAGCAGAAGATTGAAGATGAGATGCTTGGTCGTTTTGTAGTTGTTCGCTTTCAATATCAACTTCATAATTTTGCATAAAGTTCTTTCTCTTGCGTTTGTGTTTACTAATTTTTCCTGACTGGCTCTGGTTATCTCTCTGCGTTGTTCTTTACGTACAGTCCACGGAAAAACAGACGGAAGATGAGTTCTGCTCAATTTTTTCCCGCCTTCCCAGTGATCACAACAAATCCTTGTGTTCGGAGACGCCACTTTGAGGTTGTCGTTTCTTATAAGAACATCGTATTTTTTACGTAGTTCTAAATCCTTTGGCAAGCAATAAAATTTGAAATCGCGAGGCTTATTTCTGTGGCTGTTGCTACAACCTGGCACACAGCAGTTATACTTTGGCATTCTTGCTAAATCACATAAACACTTTCATCAACACATCAACATATGTGTAAACACTGCACTTCTATTCGCGAGGTAATTTTGTGTCCCCGGTAACGATCCCAGAAACGCTTGCAGGCAAAAATCGCCTTAGTCCCCTTATTATTATTGAACTTATTATTATTATTACCCTTAGTTATTATTGAACTCAATGGTCCCCGCCTCATTTTTGAAAAGGCTTATTACTGCTTGGTTTCCGGTTAAACCATGAGGTATTGCATAAACCAGTAAGACACATTCTCAATTTTCATATGAATCATTTGCAAAGTATTGAAGAGATTGTGGTTTGTTATGAAACCAATTGATATTTTTCAAAAAATTGGCAAAGCAATATGTCTGACACTGATCTTAAAATAAGCGATCTTCTTCAGTTTACAAAGATCTGCGCTTCTGAATACAATAACCCCGAACTAAGTGATCGTGTCTTAGTGTTGGATGTGATGCAAGATGGTTGGGATATTGACGCAATACTCAACAGTAAAAGCAAGAAAACTGCGGAAAACGTAGTAAAAGGGAACGTAGGAGTTGAACTATCAATTGAAAGCGACGATGATAGTAAAAGCACTGATAGTAACAGTAGTAGTGACGATGAAAGTATAAATAGTGAAGACAGTGAGAGAATGGATTTCACGCCAGAGTCAACAGACACTATCCTAACAGGAGCAACGCAATCAAAACTTCTTCACTATCAAGAAGTAAACACTCCAATACGTCAGCACAAACTTTATGTTCACACTTTTTGGCTTTCCGTCCGAAGCCCTTACTTTCGATCGCTCTTTCATTCAAGTGGTATGAAAGAGAACAAGGATTCTGATGTCCATATTAAAATTAATGAATCAGAAGAAAATTCATATCTTAATCTCATAAAAGCCATCTATCAACCTGACACAATTAACGATAAAACAGTTGACGAAGTGCTGGCTGTTTTGGAGTTATCGCATAAGCATGACTTGAAATACATCTTCAAAAAGTGCAAGTACGTACTACAAAGTAAAGTAACGAAATTTGACATTGCAATAAAAGTCATGAATGTCGTTAAGGTAAAACATGATATGGCTGATGTTGAGGATTTGGCCATTACTTTACAACTAGTTCTTGCAGAAGAATTTAGTCCACTGGACCTAAACTGGCAAAATGAAAAATTTGTGACTTTGGCTAAACCATGCATTAAATACTTACTAAGCAGTGATGATCTGATTGTTCAATCAGAGAATACGGTATTTCATGCTCTAATGTACTGGATGGAGACAAATGTTGTTGACTCAGAAAGTTTAAGTCAACATGATGATTTGTTATCAACTATAAGATTTGAGTTGGTCACTGTTGACTATCTTTACAATGTCATTAGAGATAATGCAATTGCATCAAAGATGGTCAACTTTCATGAGCAGTATTCTGCTGGAATGACATACCATGCAATTCCAGAAGAACAGAGAAAGCTGTTGATAAAACAGCCCACTATCAGAAAGAAATCTGAGAAATTTATTTTTCAGCATGAATACAATCTGATGCCCAACAATTTTGACATTGCACAAGAAACTGAATTAAACAAATTAAGTGAATTTTGGGCATGTGGATATAAAATGTGTGTTGGTCTTTGCCATAACAAAAACTCTCTTTTTAATAGGTACCAACTAAGATTGTACATAAATAACTTAAAGAAAGAAAGTTTAGTATCCCTAAGATTTGCTATACAGAAAACCAAGCTCAACGTGAGATTGAATGACAGCACCTTTTCATTAGAATCAAACAGTGCTTTATATTCATGTAGTGGTCAACCCTATATTGATAGGACAATATCCACATTGTATGTAGCTATTTTACCACAATGAATTAGTTTGTGGCTTCCTTAGTTCCATTGTTTTTGTAGATGTTCAATTATAGTAAATTTGATGATATAATTTTGATCAACTATTCTTATTCAGTTATTGAGATGACTATACGTAAATATAACATGTTTGAACATTACAAATGACTTACAGTATGTGATGAAGGAAGTGATTGATCAAATTTTATTTTTGTTTCTTCGTCTACCACATTGTTTTCTTCTTCAACATCAGATTCTGCATTTTCATCAGACATGGATTCACTATCTAAAGTAAACAAATAACTTCTTTAATCCTAATCAAACTCCATTTGATAAAATATTGTGATAAAGAATATAAAAACCCTGCATAGTGCTTCTAAAAGAAGCATAAAATAATAAAAGGTTATTTGTTAAAAAGAATAACATTTCATCTTAATTAACAAACTCAACATACTTTAAAAGCAAATCTGACTGGCTTTAATCTCAATTGTCAGAATTTGCATGATATTTCTTTCATCACAATAATATTGTCTCAAAAATTGGTAAGAAAAACTGAAGTGACTTATAAATTTGTCTTGGTGACCTGACAAGGTTTGCATATGACTACATAGGTTGCAGAGACTTGAAACAAATAAAAGATAAATCTTTCAAAAAAATGATGCTTTAAGATTTCAAACAGTCACCAATATTAAGAGATCACTTTTCAAAATCCCAATGGTGAATCTTGTCTGATTTAGATTAATGCTGCTATTACTGGCAGGTGAAAGTAATTCAAGCCAAAAATCAAGAACCCATGTTGTAAGTCATGATGCAAATAATTTGCGCAGCTACGTACCATAACTTTCTACCATCACATTTTGTGGGGTTGGCCTTCAAAATTTAGAGTTGTGTTTGCAACACTTTCGACATAATGCTGAATGATAATAGCCTGTCATTTTCATAAACACGATTGTAAACGTTGAAAACGCAGAAAAATCTTTTGAACTTGTATAAATACTAAAATTAATATTTGAAAGCGAAAAATTCTTAAACCTTGCAAGTTGACGAGCATTTCAATATCCTCTTCCGCAGAACTCTCGCTGTTTGATTCCAAATTATCATCAGCGTCACCATCAGCCATTTTTGATACCCATATTTCACTATCAAAAACACATCTTTCATAAGTAGACTATTTAAATCGTCACATGAAATTATAGGGAAATAAAATGTCCCACTCAACTTGCTATTCGACTACAGCTATAAATTATCGCACCAAATTTTTATGGTAAGACGATTTTATATGACGTATTTTATGGTATTTAAAACATTTACTTTGCCCGCTTCAAACATAAACACGTAGCTGTCAATTCACGATTGGTGGACGATTGTTTCCGACAATAAGAGCTGTCAAATGTCAAAACAAAACCAATCATATGTTGTTTCGTGTTGAATCTAAAGTTAAATCCCCGGTTGTCACAGTTGTCGAGCATAATATCCCAAGTTTATCTATTTGTGATTGTTATTGAACTTAGCGATCGTATATTCAAGGATATTTGGAAATTTTGGTTAACTTAAATTGCTTCATGCAGTGTGAGAATCTTTTTGTTATAGCAGCCGTTTTCGGTGCATTTGTCACAGAACTGACCATGGTACTGGCAGGAAAAGATTATTATAAGATTCTTGGAGTGCCCAGAGATGCAAAAGATAGGCAAATAAAAAAAGCCTTCAGAAAATTAGCTGTTAAATATCATCCTGACAAAAATAAAGAAAAAGACGCAGAAAGTAAATTTCGAGAAATTGCCGAAGGTATGTCTTGCATAAATTTACCAATAATACTGAATACGTCTATTTTTTTATTTCATTTTCTTTATGCTTGTTTGAATATGAATTTTTGTTTATGACGTAGAAATTAACTTGTTATATGAACTAACTGATAAGTCTTACTATTGTCATGTTACGTGACATTAGTTTAAAAACATCTTGGTAAGTCACACTATAATTATAAAATAATCCTACTACAGTACTCTCCCCACAGACACGTGTTGTTATCTCTCACACTTATTGAAACCATCTGAGGAAGACTTGTAATCTTTCTGTAATTTGATTTTACTGCCAGAAATATGCATGCATGGATGTTTTATTAAGAAATTAACAACAACATATTTTCCATTTTTACTTCTTCAGCATATGAGGTTTTATCAGACGAAAAAAAGCGTCGTTTATATGACCAGTTTGGAGAAGATGGTTTGAAAGAAGAAGGTTTTAGATCACAAACATACGATTTTAATGACTTTTTAAGCATTTTGACGGATTTGGTGAATTTGGGGGAAGAAATGGAAACAGACAGCGTGGTAATGGTTTTAAGTTTTCATTTGGTGGTGGTAATTTTAATGATTTTTTCAACATGGATCATGATGATGATGATGATGATGAATATTTTGATGAGGAATTTAGTCCATTTGGTGGAGACTTTGAAGGATTTAGTGATGGGTTTGAAAGTTTCGAGGATTTTGGGGAATCAATGTTTGGACACCATAGAAACACACATGGAAACAATATTCATACTGGACATACATTTCGAGAGTCATCAGGTACATGTTAATTATGTTAACTAAATCATAAAAGTGCATGTAGTATCCAGGCCATTGTTGTAAAAACATCAATCTTACAGGAGTCACATCTATATAATTATCATTTGTTCCTTTTTTTAGGTTCTCGTAAACAAAGTTGTCGAACTGTGACACGTAAAGTTGGTAATATGGTCACTACTTTCACACAATGTACATAAAATTGTTATTTATTGAATCCTATAAAGTTATGTTTCAATGCTTGTGTACGCTTGATTTTAAATTGTTTCATGAGAATGATAATAAGTTTTGAATGGTTAAGCACTGTCAATAAGAGCCCATGAATATTACAATTGTTTATATTTAAATATATTTAATTGGTTAGAATAACATCTTGTGTAATAATTGTGTGAAATGTGTTTTCGATCCTTAATATTCAGCAGTTTGATTTTGCAATGCAGTTATATGTCATGGTATATGGACAAATAAGATATATTCCCTCTATTAATTGTTCAACGTTGTCATTGCAGTCAACGTTGGCCAAAAGAGAATATTCACTAAGAAAATCAAAAGCAATACTTAGCATCAACTAAAGTATATTATACGAAAAGCACATACCACACAGATCACAGTTAGAAAATAGAACTCATGTTAAAAATTGCCATCCATGTGGTATCTTGATGTTGTAAATAGGTTGATGGTTGCTGACACCAGCCGTGTATGGTTTTTAATATTAACATGCTACCTTCGAGAGCATTTCATTCAAGATTTCTTTGAATCTTCCACTTCCTCAATATTTGGTAACCAAAAGGCCTGGATGGGAAAGATTTAAATGAAATTTGTGTTAAAGAAAGGAACATTTCGTGCACACAAAATTATATCTATTGTAACATTTCATCACATGCAAACAAATGTATTGAAGACATACTTACCACATTTGTGCAAGCTGTTGTCATGGTCATAAACTTAGGATTAAATTTCACACAATGAGTTGGCCCAGGATGATTGCCATCCAATACTGCCACTTTCTGACCACTATCTGCTGCCCATACATGAACACGACCATCTTTAGAACCTAAAAAATGTAGCAAAACATTGCAGCATTTTTTTGTTATAGATTTTAGTTTTGCAAAATTTTGAAACTCGACTATTTGTTTTCATCTAAAGGCTGAAGACAAAGAAACCAGGAACCATAAGCAAAAATATTTGCTAAAGGCAAGCAAAATGGTGAAATGACAAATAGGTTTACAGGTGTAGCTGTAAAAATTTTCTACCTGATATAACATATTGAGAATCTGGTGAGAAACAAGCTTCAATGTAAGAAGTTGGTGAACTTCCTACACCCTATGAACAAAAAATGAATATTTACACAACCAACATCCTTCATTGTACATCAAATCTACAAGTATTATCAATTGTGTTTTGACAAATGATGAAAAATATTCTCTGAAACATGGCTTTTTTCAACTTACTGTAAATGTATGCAATTGAGAACCTTGAAATGCATCAATGAGATAAATTGCTCCAGCATTTGTTGAAAGTAAAATTAATTTCCCATCATTGCTGAATTTTAAATTTGTCCATTCTGTGCCAGGAGAGTTTCCTTGAATGTGGAAAGTTGAAAATGGCCCCTAAAAGTGTTGACCATAAACGTATTTTATCATTTTTAGCATAGGTATATAATCATATGAATCAATGAAACACAAAACAAAACATCATAATATGATAGCACAATATGTAACCTTGTCAAATGATCTTAGATCGTATAATTTTATCATTTCACTGTCTACTCCAGCAGAGAAAACTAATCCTTCTGGATCAAATGCTGCAACTGGTCGTCCATTAACTTGCATTAGACCCTGCCGAGGAATAAAAATATCAAAACGAGTGAAGATTGAAAGAAAAAATTTAAAAATAAGATGGTTTAGCATCATTAATAGTGTGTTTTACCTGGCAATTATGAGAACGTAAATCCCAGAGTCGTAAAGTTTTATCCATAGAACCAGATATAAATGAGTCATCCAAGGGAGACATACTCAATGTCACAACTCTAAAGTAAAAAAGGTTAAGAAAAGAGAAAACAATGTATTATTTTTTCATGCCCAACAGAAATACAACTATACTTTTCTTTACATGTACGTAATATTCTCTTCAACATTTCCTTGCAAGTCACTTTTAAATACGAACGTAAGCTAGTAATAGTAGTCACCAAATGAATTATATGATACTAGGCTGTTAGCCTGGATGAAGCTTGAAATAGCTACATTTCATTTATTCATTTTTGTTCGGTTTTCCATAACTTAAATAGAATCTATCAATAAAACTACCAAATAAATATTAATCAAAAACTTGCAATCCCTTTGCATTTTCTAACTGTCTGCTTTCTAAGTTTTAATAGCATGAATTTCTCAAATTAAATTGGTGGTCTTTATAAATCTACCAGACCTGGAAAATCTATTACACATATATTAATATACTTATGTTACAAATTTACCTCTTTGTATGTCCTTGGAAGTATCTCAGAAATTTATTATCGTGGAGAGACAAGTATCGAATTGTATCTTAAGATTAAAAGAAAATCTTGGTAGTCTGCAGTTCAATGTTTATATTTTTATCTATGCATAACTGTTCTTACCATCTACTTTTGTTGAAGCATGAATAACAGTGTTTGATGCATGAGTATACTGTATTAATGACACGCCATATTTCTTGCCATATAATGTTTGTCGTGGCCTAAAAATGTAAATTTAAATAGTAATAAAATATTCTATGTACATAATATACAAGCACATTTATATTATAAGATCAATATATTTTACAATTTCATTTATAGATACATATTTTCTATCAACAGGAAGGTTTTACGTGTGGTGGATCATGAATCTCAGAATCTATGGCTATGGCAGCAGTGTGCTGCATGACTATGTAATATGGACTAGTTAGTAGAAGTGTGTACATTAATGTATAAGAAGTCACTTTAAGGTAATAAACACAAAACGTTTACATAACATGAATATTGTTTTCTGTGTGTACTGAGACTGAGTGGTTGTGGACCTGTGGTTCAATCATATTCTTTATTTGAACTTACTTTCCTTCCAGACAATCATAAATAACCATAGAATCATCATCACTACTTGTAATTAAAGTCTCGCCATTGGAAGAAAAGTCGAAATGATTTACTCGATCGCTGTTTTCACGAAAAACCTTTGCAACTCGAAATGAACGAATAACATTGTCTTCCAACTTCATTTTCCCAATCAGGAACCATGCTCAGTCATTTCGCTATACTTCATGTAGCACAAACTTAACTTTTAACGATAGTTGATTACCATGACAACAAACAGCAATAATATGGCGGTTGAAGCAAGAGATGTCGATCACTCGACTGTTCTTCTACGTCGTCCTTTACCTCCAAAACCGAACGTTGATCATCGAAATTTGAATTTAAATGGAGATAAAAAGAGAAGGAAAAGCTCATTAAAATAAAAAACTGTAAAAAGCTTCCTAAGTCGATTCAGAAATTGGATCTTAAAGAAGTTGAAAAAGAATATCCTACATTAGACTTAAGTTTGTTTCCATCTAAGCCAAGCGGTCCAGACCCTCTACCTTCAAGAAAGCCTAAGAGAGCAAAAGAGAACTCATGCGAGTATCATGTAGATGAGCGTTTTCTTCCCTCATTGCCAGAATTCACTTTAGAAGATTTTGCGCAAATGTGTTGTGCAACAGACAGACCAGGAGCACAGTTAAAATCCTGGAAATATATTGATGAAACAAAATATTTAAAGCAAGCCGATCAAATTGGCTCGAATAAAATTGATAAATATATTTTATATGGTAAGTATTTGTGCAGTGAAAGTCATCTAGGCTTTTTTATATGGAAAAATTTGTCAATACTCTACTGAAGCTCATTGATTTTATCTGTCTACTCGACTACTTCTTAATTTACTGGCTGAAATAGGCTTAAAGGATTTCCTGTGGTTGAAAGTAAACTTTATTAATGCACCTTATTCAACTTCAACTGATTATTCCAATAGAGAATTGCAAACTTTGTATGAGATACAACAGAAAACCTCAAAGACAAATCATTCTTGGTGAGTGGACTGAATAATTCATTCATTCAATCAGTTCAATAAATGTTTCTCAGCTTAAATCTGAAAAAACCCAAGAAATTGCAGGGTGCGAATTAAGATGGGAAAAGTGCATCGCGAATTTCTTAGCGAAATATATGACCCCTCGAAATATATGACCCTCCCCTCGAAATAAAAATCATATTTTCTTTCCTTTCATTTCCGTCGCAAAATAAAAACTGATATAACTATAAAAACAAAGCTTTGACGAAGTAGAACGTTTATCATGCCACTAAAATAGATATTACGTCCGTAGTTCAACAAAAAACGTCTATATTCAGTGTTATAGAAGGTTTTTCAAGATTTATCTCGTATGAATATAATTATATAATGATCCTTCGGAAGTGCTGGGTGGCTGGTATGATTCAAGTGAATATGCAATCTACTAATAAATTATTTGAACGCATTTTATCACAACAAAAACAAGTAGACGCTAGAACAGCGAAAATTTTTCCTGCAAAAAATGCGTAAACAAGTATTCCAGCCCAACAACCAGCAGCCTCTCACAGTTTCCCCTGCAAGTAGATCTAAATAGGATGAATAATGATTACCTGTTTGTAAATGTAGATCGCCCAGGTTGGTATAGTCCTGAGAAGGACTGTTTTTGTTGTTGTTGACTGACGTTTCGACAACCTTAGCGGTAGTCATCTTCAGAGTCGAAAATATCAAAACGTCAGACAACAACAAAAACAGTCCTTCTCAGGACTATACCAACCTGGACGATCTACATTTACAAACATGTAACGAACTCCCGGGTTCAAACCATTTACTTTATGAATAATGATATTACAATTACAGCGCGATAGTAACATATTAAAAATATATTTAAAAAGTAAATATAACTAGCTGTGTGTATTGCGTTCTACCCGCGATTAGTGCATCGCTATTCCTGAAAAGTGCATCGCGTTTTGCGAATCGCGACATGTTAATTCGCAACCTGAATTGGCAAAGCCAAAATCATTGAGAAATTTGTAATTTTTTTTGCTAGAACTGAACTTGAAAATAAAATTAGGTTATTGATCATATTCAACGTCTGTATTGATGAGGAGATTTCAAATTTGATCTTTTTTTTTATTAATCTGTGTTACAGAATTAGCTGCAGCAATATTAATTACAAATGACAAGAAGCAACTCGATGATCTAATAACAGAAATTATAAACACAGTTGAAGTGAATGACCGGGATGATAAAATATGTTTTCAACACTTTCCACACACTGATAATTTTGCACATACTCTGCTTTCCAATCCATTGTTTTCACTCAGTGACAAAGCTATGTCTGATGTATCGCAAATCATAAACCGACATACCCGGCAGAAACAGATTAAAGAATCATCAGAAAAGAGGTATTTAACTAGCAATATATTTTATACACAGGTGATTAAACATTTGAAGTTTATTAGAGGCAGAAAAACAATCCCTAAATTGGTGATTGAGTTTCACATTTATGAGTGTGGTCTAGTTTTATGTAACATATATGGAAGTTTTGAAACGTGCAGGCATGTGCAAAGATTGTCTAACATGTACATACAAAGGTTGTGTATGTACATGTTAGACAATCATGTACATACAAAGGTTGTGTATATACATGTTAGACAATCATGTACATACATGTTAGACATGTTTGATGTTAGATAGAAAAACTGTTGGCAGATTGCAGTTGTATAACTATATTATTATCTAGGCTGCTTTTCAGCACCTTATAAAAATGTATCACAATGACTAATATGTCATTTTTTGTGATTTAGAGAAACTTGTCCTCAAAGTGAAACTCTTCTCACAAGATCACAAATAGCATTTTTTCATGGAACAGGACGGTGTTCATCGCCTTTTGGTAAGTTTTTTTTTTGAAAGTATGATTTATTTTTGTAGAACTTAGCTGTGCATTGATTTCAAAAAACATTTTTTGTCGCCTACTCAGTATAGTGAAAGTAGTCAGTGGAATACGATTAAGAACGTTCAAATGTGAGACATGTATAATAATAGGCTCAGCAGTGGCATAGCCTGACCGCAGGTTTGATCTTACTGCGCTGAAGCTTGCGAGCTGGACGCACAACAGGATACACAGGCTAATTCTCGACTTGTTTGCCGCTATTGATCAGTCGTTACATCTCAATTTGTCATTTCAGAGAATAATGAAATTGAGCATGAGAGCAAGTTAACAGCCGCAGAATTAGTTATTTTGGAAACTATTGTTCGATGTTGTACTAATTTAGACCTCAAGGTAATGAAGAAAATGTGAAGTAACTTTTGGCAAAAAATTTTAAAATCTGAACTCTATTGACGCGTTTGAAGTCAGTATATTAGGTCACTTTGTGATTGCAGTAACTGGGCCAAAGCTTTCTAATCTAGCAAACTACAGATTGACTTTTTTTCGACTTCGAAGATCATAAGGGGAATGACCAAAAAAGTAGAATTTTCGTAGAGTTTGCAATGACTTTAACGTATGAGTATAGAGCACCAAATTTACACTAGGCAGTAGGCAGTTCATTGCACTGTTTAGTACAACAAAGTAGTTCTTACTGTATGTAAAATCCTTTTTCCATTGAAAAGCTTTTCTTTTTTTGAATTTCACGACAAAGTTGACTATTTCATTGATAAAGTCAATGTTGTCTCAAAATTGAGTTTTCACTGTTTTAACATCTTATTTTTTGTTTTAGGCTCACTTCATCTCTCGTCTTCCTAATATTGAACTCTTGTTACAAAAGTTAACCGTTGTTAACTTATCTTTCAATAACTTTCGTGTGAGTTTCTCATAGTACATGCGACTTCGCATGTTTATTACTACCGTCAAATAGGAGTTTGGGGTTTTACCGCACGCGTTTTGTTATAGAATTCACAGTCAATATGGTGAAACATTTTTCACCATGGTTTGCAACAAAGTAGTAATGAATTCCCCCACCTCCTCGTCTTAATTGAGCTCGTACAGTTCAACTGTAACAAGGATTATGCACATTTCTTCATTTATAAAAGGTTAAAACTGCGCAATCATACTTGTCTTTCTTGGATTTAACTCTTTAATTTTTCTCAACAGGTGATTCCATCACAAATCTTCAAATTGAAAAACCTCGTCCATTTAAACCTTCGAAATAATCCAATAAAAGAATTGCCTCATGGTTAGATATATAGATATATACATACATACAACGTGTATAACAATGTGCCCTCCCGGCTATCACCATAGTGCAATGGTAACTCCTTCACTTGGGACACAGGATGTACGGTTATATATATATCTATATCTATCTATCTATAGGAGAGTCAACTGCCCACAGACTGTCTTTCTTTGAATAATATTGTAGTGTACGTGCATGCAAACAAAACTGATTTTAACTTCTTTTTCTTCAGCAATCGCAGGATTACAACAACTTCAATTGTTGGTGGTTTCTTTTTGTTTTATTTCATGTATTCCCATCAGGTTAAGTGTTGCAAAATATTTATAAATGTGTTTGGAACAATTTGGTTATTTTATTAATTTATTCTCTAATGAATTGTTTTCTATTCCAGTCTTTTTACTCTTCGGAAACTGACTTTTTTGGATCTGTCGTATAACAAGCTGTCGTTTCTTCCCAAAGATATAGGAAATTTAAGGTGTAAGATTGAGTGTTAGCAAAGTATTTTACTTTGACACTGAGAATTTTTTAATTTAATGTGTTTGTTTTATTGATCAGTTCATTACGTGAGTTAAATGTTGAAGGAAATGAACTAGGTGCCTTACCAACCGGCCTACTTTTACTTAACTTGAGACATCTTCGAATGGTAAACAATTTTACACATCCATTGTTTTGGCGGGAAACTACATGTAATGGTCCACAGGTTAGAAATGTTAATCTTTTCAAACATCTGTAGTGGTTCCATTTAAGTAACTTGTAAGACTGCAAAGCTACGCTGTAGTCAACCTTCTTACTTGTTCTTCCTACGCAATTTTTTATGTTCACTCTCTGAAAAACAGTTGTGATATCATAGAGCTGAAATTTGCAGAGCAGAACTTAAGTCAGACTGACTAAGCATCTGGTGACATCTTGTTTATTTTCCCAAATCAACACCAACGTTATCACTATTTCCAATATAAGCCCAATTTTAACATAGACTATGTTATATATTCATTAATAACGTTCATGAACAACAAAAATCGTATTTATATTTGGAAAAAAAATTGATGAATCCTCGTATACAATTATTTAATTTCGTACAAATCACTACAAATGTCGTACAAGTTTAAGGTTTTTGAAGTCTCCGTATATATTATTCGTCTTGCAGTTTCTGAAACTTTCGTTTCGCCTTTTTTAATATTATGTTAATTTTATAATCATCTGATATAAACTCAACGGTTTAATTTGTAATTCATGGCATATTATATTATAAGTTTTTTCAGCTTCAAATTATCAGAAAATAATTTTAAAAAATCTTAATGAACAATTATATGAACTAATTTATATTTATTTTGATTTTTGTTACAGAGACTATTTCATTTGGCTGCGAAGAAAGTAGCTTCAGATGGTTTGATGATTAAAGCTATTCCCGAAGAAATAGAAAAGCAGTTACTGAGGTAAAACTGTCGTTAGTTATAACAAATCAAAAAGATTACATTAATCATGATAAAAAAAAATACAAATATGAAGAAATACATAGTTAGAGTGAAATTGTTATCATGATGAAACAGGATTTACTCTTTGCTAATGCATATTTTGAGTTTGATTTTGTGTTGAAGTAACGATTATGTTATATCATGAAAGAAATGTTAAAAAAAAGTCTGATTTGTGTTTTACTCAAGTAATAATTTACGAAGATACGTAATAATTGTTGACTTTGTTGACATCATGGTCATCTTTTGTATAGTCCTGGGGTCTGTGATTGTTGTGATGGTCCTATGTTTGGTCCTGGAGTGAGAATCATCAAGACTGTTGAAAATATGTTTGGAGTAAAATATATTCCAATAATTTTTACAGTGTGTGCACACACATGTAGGAGAGCTTTTAAAAAGAATCCGAACGCAGTCCATAATTGGTTGAGTAAAAATTGCAAAACTTCAACCTGATCAACACATAATAGACATGACTAAAACGAACATCAAAGTTTTTAGAGTTTTTACCTTTAACTTTTTGATGTTTGCGAATGGAAAAATGAATTTCGATGTAAGAACGTCGTAAACATTCGATAACTGAAACGATGGAAATGTAACAGATTTTTCTGTTGACATACGGGTGATTTGCAACAACGCAAAGTTTGCAAAATTTGAGAAGTCACGAAATTATAATTTTGTTTTCACAAAATACTTTGAGCATATTCTTCTGGTACATGGTAAATCGCGCGGATCAAACTAATGTACAGTGGCTGCACTAGGTCAAAAGAAATAGGGAAGACTGGGGACAGACAAAATATTGGGAGGGGGATAGAAAATTCCCCAGCCATGCCCCAACCTCCAAATGCTTCCATTGCTGATGTATCAAGGCTGTAACAAATAACACCTGATGCATCGAGAGTGTAACAAATAACACATGGTGTATCGAGATTGCTACAGATAGCAACTGATGTATGGAGAAAGTACATAACAGAATACAATGTTTGTATCCTTAATATATCTATAAAAATTTTTTTACCCTCTTTTAAAAGATGTTCTGATGCACTGTGTCAATACAACATCAACAATTATATTTGTTGCCATTAAAGTGCCCATGACTGAAACTTTTTCTTCATCCTAAATTAAACAATTCCCAAAACTGTAATGGACTTTATGAAGTAAAAACAACTGAACACATATTATCACAAAAACATCAGTAGTTCTAGATGTAAGCTTGCTAACAATAATTTTGAAAAGTAAATCCATTACACTTTTAAGAAATCATGAATTTAAAAGAATTAAATTTCTTTGTCAAAGGTACTTTGGGTAAATAACAGATGCTAGAGTTTAGTGCTCATAAATATTGAGAAAATATAGCACCATTACAGCATCCTTATGTATACAAAAATTGTACAGAATATGCAACAAGACCATTCTTTCCAACAATCAGATCACATGAATATTACGCAATGTGCGGCGGATTTAAATTTCCAAACCTCAAACTTGGTGTATAACAATTTTGCTATTCTTTCTTCTTCCTTTTTCGGCTAGGTTTTCCTCTATCTGAGTGATTAGAATCTGAACTTGATGATGATGATGTTGATGAAGATGAAGTATCGCTATCACTGCTACTTGATTCATCACTGTCATCATTTGAGCTGCTTGAATCTGAATCTGTATTGCTTGAACTTTCAGAGGAGCTTGAATCATCCTCAGAATCTAAGCTCGAACTATCAGCATCTGAACCACTAAAATTGAGTGCAGAAGATATTAGCTAAAAACAAACATCATTACATTAATATCTGTATTTATAAACACAAATCTTTATCTGGAGTTGAACTTTAATAGAAAAATAAAACATATTTTACAATTGAGCATTTAAAACAAAAAGCAAAACGACAAACAAAGTGAAACCAAAAAAAATACCCAAAATGACTTTAATTACCTTGTAATTTTCTTTTTCCTCTTCAAGTCAGCTGGGTTTTCTTTATTTCTACAAAAATCATAGCAATTCTTAGGAAAATTTCTTTTTAATAACCTAAATTGTTTTCTTTTAAGAAATGTACACTGGGCCCCAGACTGGAAAGTATGTTAGATTTTCACATGACAGGTGTGCACAAAATCTGATCCTTAAATTGTAAACAATACAAAAAACAACTAAAATGTAAAGCCAAATTTTGCAAATTATCAAGCAGAGTTAGTTAAGTTACCTATATATTTCATTGAGATACCTAACTACAAACTAAATGTTGGTAATCTCTGGTGAGCTTAAGACTGACATGACAAGACAACACTTAACATTCCAGACAGTTGTTTAAGCCATTTAATAACAAAATCACGATAAAGTATTTACTTCTTCTTTGTTTCAGTCTTCTCTGCTTTACTCATAACTGTAGTTCTGGAAGGTCGATGAAGATACTTTCGCTCGTTTGTGCATTGATATGTCCAATGACCAACTTGTAAACATTTCTGACATTTTTGATTACTAGCTTCTAATAGACTAATAATTCAACGATTCAGTTAAATAATTGTTTTATAATCATATTTCATAAAAAAAAACTAGCAATATGTGTCGTTTCACACTCATTTTAGCATTAGAGTTTAAGCTTACCGTTTCTTTTCCAAAATAAATCTCTTTGTTACAGACGCCATGCTGAATTCGATCAACTACGTTATGTAACAACGTTTTTAGAGACTTAAGCAAGGTGACCATGTTGGAAGGGTCGGTCAATCTCACTGTTCAATACATAATTTGCAGCAAGGTAAAATGAGATCACGAACACCAGTCATGTTTCATAAAAAAACGATCATGACAAACTTATAAACAGCTAAAACATTAATGTGTATTCATTAATTCAGTTGGTCGGGTCCAGCCCGACTGAGTTCTTTGGAAAAAGAATCGCCTTCAAATTTTTGATTTTAATTTTTTTACGTATGTATCTGTATTTTGATTTCAAATTTTGAAATCAAGTTCATTTCGTGACATTTACCATGATTTATATCCAATTTCCTAACAGATCATAAGAGAGATTTTAAAGTAGAGAAAAATACTTCTATACCCTGAGATAACCCCTTCTTTTCAAAGCTGATTTACGCTTAAAAGACCAAAAGACCCAAGTCAAAGAATAATGATTATACAGAAGGGTCACACAGGTGTACAACGTGTCCTCATGTCGGCCATTATTCCAGCCAGATGATTAGGATTTTTCAGTTGTTTCCAACCATTAAAATTACATCACGTCAATAATGAATTCAAGAATATTTTGAGTTAAGAAATGACTTCGGATCATTTTAAAGGTTTGGGAAATATCAAAACTCCTAATCATCTAGCTGGAATAATGGCGGCCACCGTGTGCGAGGACAAAAACATCAAAGGTTTCGACATGAGTGACTCTTCTGTATGTCTTATTCTGTGCCCAAGTCGGCTATTGACAAGGAAACCTTTGATACTTAATTAAGTATTGACACTTGGTTATTTTAATGTTGAAATATCAAACGAAAGTACGAAACCACGCGCATTATCTACATAAAAGTGGAAACGCCGAACTGTTTAAAATGTCCAGATTTCTTAGTGTGTATCGATTTAAAAATTTGAATAAAAGTTTTTGAATTCTATATGACAGAAAAATCATCTCATTTTACAGCTTGCAACAGATGTCAAGTAGGACAATATAAAAGCTTTTCAACAAAAGGGTTCTTTTGATTATTGCAGTGCAAATATATTGGTCAAACAAAGAACAACGAGAAGGCGCACTTTCTTAATATCACGCATCTCAGTACATATAAGGGCAATAAATCGTTTTAGCGAAACAACTTGCGATTGTAAATATCTGCTTCGTTGTTGTTTTTGCGCAACAACGTCAAAGTTTTGTCTTGTAAAAGAACATGACTAGAAAACTCTCCATACAACGACTTTGCAATGCCCCTATTGAAGGTATTTATATTGGTTTCATTGATTTGGTTTAGAATTATTGGTTAACACGAGTTGAAATTTTATGCAATAATATGACAATTGTAGCGAGTTGACTTATACGAAAAGTTTCTATCAAATATATTGTACTTAATGGCCTATTTGGTCAATTATGAAGCATGCTGCTGCATACAACTGATGCAAGTGTTTTAGCTTGAAGAATTTTATATATTTACGCAATAAAGAAATTGTAATTTGAATGTAAGCATTGGATTTGACTAAAAAACTAGGTTTCTTCTCCAGGGCAACCTACAGTTTGATCTTTGTTAACTCACAGTCACAGACATTGCTAATATTTGTAGAAGGATAAACCAATGTCCACTATTGGTAGTGGGTTACAACAGAAACTACGGGAATACTTCATTTTCGAATACACTACTTTTAATTTTCTTATTTTGACAATGTGAAATGTGCACATGCAATACATGTGGTCGTACAGTGGTACATCTATATCATTGCAACTTTCATTTTTTTTCTCATCCTAGTTCTTGAGACTTGTTTTGCCAAAGATATAAGATTTATTACTTAACATAATACCCTGCAGTTTTCGAACACATCTATGTTGAAGAATTCGTTTTCTGTTAATTTTTATTTTTATTTGATAGAAGCCAGCGAGTGCAAGGAAAAAGAAGAATTTTTAGAAGTATCACTCCTAAGAAGAGAAAGCAACAGAATTTCTTGTACATCTTTGATGTCCAAAGTCAAATCTTTTGTAAAAGAAGGCATCAAAGGAATACATAAAGCTACCAAAAGTGGAATAATACCTGTAATTTTTATTATCTAAAAGATTTAAAACTTTTTGCATAAAATATTCGCTTTCCTTTTTACATTTATATATTCAACATTTTTATTTCATGGGACGATGTCATTACGTATTATACGATCTTTAGTTTATATTATGCCTAGTTCATATAATTTACATAAGAGTATAATATGACTAAGAAAAGTTGTAATTATTTTCGAGAGCAACAATATTTTACCACTTCCAACAACAGATATGTGCCACTCATGGTGTAACCTAGGAGAGTTTTGCATACCCTGGAAAATCTTATAACGGCATGGAAGACTCGTTAGAGATTCGGCAATATATAAATAAAGTCGAAAGCTGACAGTTTTATTTTGCGTCTTGCATTGATATATATTTGCTATCTCAAGATGAATTGAGATATCGCAATTTGTTTTTTGTTTCACCAAATAAAACAATTTTATTCACTCCTGGTTTTCTCGACTTCCGAGCATCTAACGGACGTCTCCGGGCATTCCCGACTGAGTGCGATGGTAATCGTAGTTTTGTTTACTTTGGTCCGTTGTTTGTCATTTTTTTGTGCTTTTGTTTGTCGTAAACTTGAGCAATGAACTGTACGAATTTAACATTTTATCATAGTGTTCGAATTTAACATTTTATCATAGTGGAATCACTAGAAATTTGTTTTGCATATATCTTCTCAACCAGTAACACTAAAATTTGTTATGATGACTAAACAATTTACACTTTACATATTTACTGAATAGTATCAGTATGTCATTGTGTCAGACTGTCAGTATGTAAAACATAAATTGGCTCAATACTATGAATTTTAAAGCATTTTCTTCACACAGCAATGTTAAAGAATGGATTCAGGTTTGATTTAGTTTTCTATAAGCTAAATTATACAAAAATATGGATTGTATTCTATACAGTAATCTATTTATTTAAGCATTGATTTGTATTTCTAGCAAGTTCAAAAAGCATGTAGTGATGGTGCAAATGATATATTAAACACAAAGAAGTATGATGTCTTTGTGGATGATGATGCTCTATTGGAAGGTTAAACATGATATTTTGATTGTATTTTTTACCTGAGAAGAAAGAGAATTGTTGTTCTTGAATTTACCATTATTTTTTCATTTCCTTTCATTAATTTTAAAGTTGTTTTCTCTAAGGTCAAGACTTGATTGATTCATGGATAAAAGAGAAACGTTTAGACAATCTACTTGCGGAATGTGAAATAAAAGATGAAGTATCTCATTTGCCTAAGTTGACAAGCAACAAGTCAGCCAATCATATCTTTCAACCCAATTCTTTGGATTTGACAAGAAAAAACAATGATTATAATGAAATTAATGAATACAAAGAAGGTTATTTTCATAATCTTTCTTAAAAAACAATAAACAATATTTATTGTTATTACATAATTTCACTGGTACTTTCTGAAGTCTGATTGATTGACAACTGGAGAAGCTAGCGGACTATAAAAGTATCTTAAATGTGTTGTGCTACTCAATATGAATGTATTGATTTTGCATGATTGGTTTGTAAAGTTTTTTTATGGACCAAAAATCTAGATCACTGTACATATAATACATGAACTTCATTGTAAGAGTTTTACTTTCAGTTTTTAGCATTGATAATGATTTGGATGAAGAAAGTGCTGTCAACCAGATTGTATATGATATGTTGGAGAGAGATGTTATTGACTTTACAAAAATTGATGATGAAGCTATTTTTAATTCACAATCTAAAAGGTTTAAAGATCCCAGGCCTAAGATGAAGACAAGGCATGAGCAGGTAGAGAAAAGTCAAAAACTTCAGAAAAAAACTATGAACATTGTTTATTGTTCTTTAAAATTATGAAAAAATTAAATATTGTATGATGAAAATGACATCATTAGTTATTTTTCTGTGTGTAAAATGTCTTCAATGCACACTGCATTAGTCTTGACTATTTAGGTGAAGAGAAGAGCCAGTGAAAGGAAACAAGCTTGGGCAAAAGAAAACATGAAACGACATAATGAAAAAATTGTTGTAGAAGAAGCCCATAAGCAGCTACAACTTGAAGAGAAAGAACAATTGGAAAAATATAAACGAGAAGAAAATGAAATACGTAAAGAAATGGTAAAAATAAGACGGATAATGCAAGACGAAAACAGGCAACAAAAGAAGAATCACTCAAGGTTTTCAAATGTTGGACTATGTATCCTATCTGAATGTTATAACTGCATTTAAGTATAGCTCATTTCCTGGTTTATGTCACGGGGTGCATTTAAATCGAAACACATAGCTATGTACCAGAATGTAGTTCTTTCCTTCAACATGCAGTTAACACAGTGCTCATGAAGAGAAAATATTATTTTTTTTCTCCTGATTTCACTCCTAACATTACAGGTTGGTAGAAAAAGAAGAAAGAAGAGAAAAACTCGTAAAGATTGCACTCGAAAAACATCGCAAGGAAAGCGAGGATAGGTTAGAACAAGAAATAAAAGCAAAAGAAAAAATGAGAAAAAAGTTTATGAAACTACAGCTTGAGAAGAAATGGAGAAAAAAAGATATGAAGGTAATCTTCCATGGTCTGACTACGTACACACATATCATTACAAAATTAACCGTTAATTCTATCTCAGAGCCTCGGTTCGCCTATGTATACATGAATATGTTTTACTAGCTACATTTGCAGACTACAATATGTACATCAACATGATTAGCAATATTTATCATTTGAATCGCTAAATAAATGGATATGTTATTTAGCTACTTCATAGCTGTTTCTCCTCATGGTATTCGTTGGTTGTTAACAAACACATCAAGTATAACAAAGCTCTAGCAGTACAGGAATGGAGGCAGAAACTGCGTATTTGGAATACATGGAGGACATTTGTGTTACGTTCAAGAAGGGATCGTGAAACTCGACAATTGAATGAAGAAATGAAAGAACGTCACAGGTGGACTTACGATTGTATCTTTTTTTTTATCAATTATTTATGGTGAACGTCTGACTTTCTTGTTGTTTTATTAGAGATTCCGTTTATCTTTGATTAAAAACAATATTTGTACGTAAATGTAGAACAATCAAAAGCATAAATTTTAAAGTTAGTAGTTGACAAATTCATTATTTTTACCTGTTTGTTTTTTGTACTTTTTTAGAAAGGAGGTTCTTGCCGATAGATTTCATGGTCAAATGTTACTTCATCGTTATCTTTATGCTTGGTATTCGTGGGTTTTAAAAACAAAAGAAGAAAATAAAATGAAAGACCAGCATGAAAAGAGAGCGGAGAAAATGATCAAACTACTCAAAGCTGCATCTTCAGGAAAGCTATGGGAAGATGAGAAAACAAAAGAAATTGATGCAGTGAAAAGTATTGATGGTAATGAATTGGTAAGTTGGCAAAACTAAATTATTGGATTATTCAATGTTTATTTATAAAAAAATAAAATTAGTGAATGAACGTCGAACTGGACAAAGATTATTTATGATTGAGAATTTGGCTGTAAAACAACCGATATTTTATTTTTACAATGTATTTGTCGACAGAATGAAATTTCATGGAAACCATTTAAGCTTGAGAATTTCACGTCAAATGTGACTACAACCACAACTACATTTTCAAGAAAACGGAACGCGAACATTCATGCAAATGTTTGGCCTCATCAGATACTGCAAAACATGAAGAAAAAACAAAATGCATTGCTACAAAATACTAAAGGAGCATCAGTACATTTAGTTGCACAAAGTACAGATGAAAAGATACAAAAAAAGACAACAATTTTATCTGAAAACAAAAATGGAAGCTCAAGTAGTTTTCAAAACGAAAGATCAGAAAAGATTCTAAAGAATGAAGATAATAGTTGTGAAAACAAGGAAATAACGCAAAAAAAACATTTTCCTGGTTGTTCTTCACTATTTCCCACGGACAAAGTTAATTCTAAAAAGGCAGCGACGAAACCGTTACATTTGGGTAAATATTTGAACGTCATCAAACCTGTCCTTTCATAAAAACGTTAGAAAATTTAAAATGAATTTTTTGGCTGTATTTAATGCAAAAGACGATTTATTTTTTTCAGCGATGGAAGATCGGGCAAAAGCGCGCGCGGATAGAAAGTTACTTTTGGACGCTAAAAAGAGAGCGGTTGAAGAAGAGAAATTAGTGAGTGATCTTTATATACTCACAGTTTTAAAATACTTAAATGACAACTAACGAAATATTTTGCGTTTGTCGATATTCAGGCTAAACTGAAACAGGAACAGGAAGAAAAAGAGAGAGAGATTTTAGCTGAAAAGCAGTTAGCATTACAACGAAAACGAGAAGAGATGAAATTAGCAAAGCAGGTATGATGAAAAAAATTGCTAAAAATATTTGCCATTTATGCGCATCTTTCTGGTTGGTTGGAAAGGACATAACTGACCACAAAGATAAGATAACTTGCTCGTTGTGTGCATGAAATAATCACAACAATCCTGCATGTATTCTATAGCGAGAACTTGAAAAAAAACGACGTCTTGAAAATATGAAAGAACTAAACAAAAAAGCCGACGAAAATCGTAATAAAAACCTGCTAAAGAATTATGGTTTTCTACCATGGAGAAGATTAATCAAGAACAGAGAGAAAATAATGAAAAATGCTGATGACTTTTATAAGAAGAATTTACTTAAAACAGAATTTTTTAAATGGATGTTACACACGAGAAATGAATGTCAAAGACGTAGCCAACTTGCTGATAAAATGTGTAAAACTTCACTTCTTCGCTTAGGATGGCAGTCTTTGAAAAAGGTAATAGCTATGAGTTGCTTAAAAAATAAAACGTTGGGAGTTGATGTTGTTTTCTGGGAAATTTTTATTGCTAGTACCGTAACTATTTGTCTGAAATTGACAAAGTGGCTGCAGATTTTTCAAGAGCTTACATTATGAAAAAATATATGAAAATCTGGCAGGATTTCGCTATAGAAGAACGTCTTTTGTGTTGGGATAAAGAAAATACAGCTGAGGAACTAAACAGTAGGTTAGTTTTGCCTGATCTCTTTGAAGGATTTCGAAGTTACTCTCATAACTAAAGCCATGTAAAGATTTGTGCTACACAGTTTCTGAATATTGCATTGCCGTCAAATTATTTTGTTTAGGCGTTTATTACGCATGACAATGAGTTACTGGAAAAAGTTCATTCCACTTTTACGAGAAGAAGAAAAAAGAGAGAAAAGAAGAAACGATTTACGAAAACATGTTCTGTCAATGCTTCCTGATTTTCAAACAACTATGCTTTCTCCTTAAAATGGAAACAAAATCTTTCAAAAGTTATTTATTTTACCTTGTAAAGTATATATATATATGGTAGAGAAGCAAACTCAGCTTTTATTCAATAATTTATTTCTGCGAAAACAGCTACAGCTAATATATTCCATGACAATTTTAATGAATTTTCTTGAATATACCTTTGTTCATGTTCATTTTGCTTCACTGGCATGTGTTGCAGTTAAAATAAGTGTAGGCGACAGTACTTCTTCAACTAGTTTATTTTTTGCTCATGACTTCTTAGTTTTATGTGTGATGTTTGTGTAGTTGTTTGTTGTTTTGATACTGATAATTTGTCATTTAGTTTGTTATTGTTTGTTGATGATAGAGATTCACTTGATGTAAGTAATAGTTGACTGTCGCAAAGGTGTGTAGTTTTTTTAATTAACAATTTTTTCTGTGATGTAACCTTACTGATATCACCATTACTCATTTTAGTTTTCGTTAATTTTTCATGTACATTTTTATGGCTCGAATTTTGGACATTTTTCTCGTCAGGAAAATAACTATGTTTTTGCAAAATTGTATTCTTTTTATCGATGGCACTTTCCTTTTGAAGTGTTACTTTCTCATCAAGCTGCGTCTCATATTCCTTCGAGCTAGTCAATTTCTTTTCTTTATTCTTGTCTTCTTTCCCACCATCATCAACATCATTAAACTTTTCATTTCCTGTATTGACACATTCAATTTTTGTGTCAGTCTCACTCTGGGATTTTTTCTCCTTATCATTAGAAGTTAACGTTTGCGAACAAACAACTTTCTCAACCTTTTCTTCCTTAAGGATGTCAGTGCTCTTTCGTTCATTATTACAGCTTTTTTCGTTTGTCTCACTCGTAAATTGTACTGGAGTCGTCTTTGCCTCATTACATACTTTAGGCACGAACAAAGCTGTAGTTGATTTTCTCCTAATGTTAATTTTCTCCCTTTGTTCAGAAAATGAAAGTGTCGATAAAGATTTCAGTCTTTTTTCTTCCGTCGCTATCTTGCTGGAAGTCGAAGTTGTTTTGCTTGCCATTTTAGATCTTGTGTATCTATATGAATAAAAAATAATTTGTCTTCATTCGCTCCTGTTATTTTTCATTTTAGCTACTAATGTAAAAAAAGAAATGAGATTTCACCGTTTTCTTTGAAATGTTTGCTTACAAATGTACGTAATGCAATTGAACAAATTTATAGCTACCCATTTCGTTGTCTTGCGTTGAGAGGATAACTTCTATTAAAACAACAAGCGACTAAAAATGGTGTTGGAGCACATGGGAGACGAGTAGATGGTTTCATTGTGTCACATGGAAACTCGTCAGATAATATAGTATCTTTATAAAGATCTATCAAATTAGGAAAGGAAGGCAAACCATCATAGCTGCTGTAGTTCACACTACGTAAATAGATCTTCAGTTTTCTTAAACGTCGCTCATCTACATCGAAGAAACTCAAACTGTTAAATCACGCTTTCATTAAAATACATTCGTAAATGTTTTATTTGTAACAAAATAATAGACACAATTAAAGGAGATTGCATGTATTACCTATATCTTTTTTGTCTACTGTCGCCCTACAGGACCTATTTGTTGACCTTGTTTTCTTCCCGTACTTTCCTCCTTTTTTGTTCTCCCTCTCCATTGGCAAATAATAAGCTTTTTATTAAAACAGAATACTGGGAGAAAAGTTTCTGTTCTTGTACTACACTATACGCGAATGCAAACAGATTTGATCGAGTTACAAATTGAATATCGCACGCGCAAAAAATTCAAAACACATCAGCAAGTCAACCGTAAACAGTAAAATGACTGCAATGAATAAGGAAACAATCGTTTTTGTGTTTCTGAACATGGAAAACTGTCTTTCGAAATTCCAAAAAAGGAACCCGAAACTCAAGAAACACGAAACATTAAACTACAACACTAAATTCCCAGTTTACTATACAGTCATGGATGAAAATTTGATAAAATGTAAGCAAGGACAAAATCCATCACACGTATTTGGTAAAAAAGTACCAAACTAATGAATTGAATTGTTACTAAATTATAAAGAAAGAGGACTATAAATAGAAGTTGATCAAAATTCTTCAGTGGCAATTTTCAGTCAAATTTCTTGTGTTTATGATCTAGCTACATAAGACCTTGATCTCTCGTATCTTGATGAACAGCTTAAACGTCGTAAAAAAACTTTGCTAGCTGATAACGAATGAGAAAGGCAACAAAGCTACACACAGTCTACAATAAAAAAAAAATATCAAAGTATTTTTATATCAATGATAAAAAAATTTCAAATAGATTCAAAGTACTTAAGAAATCTTAGATAATTATCCATACCTGAATTACTAGAATATATATTGTGAGTATTTTTTCATTTGTTGGTCCAGCCAGTCGGAGAACAAAGTTGATTAGGGTCAAATTATTCAATTCCATAAAATTCCCATCTTCACCAACATTTCGCTTTACGTCAACCAAATGAAATATTTCTAATAAATTGAGAATGGCCTTGCCAAAGAAATTAAGATCTGCTTCTTTGAAGCTAGATTTGCTAGTAAAATGAAGGCCACTTTCTGGATTCAACCTAAAATAAAAACAATAAGTTTTTAATCAATATTTTAAAACAAACACAGGTGAACGAGTCATGGACGACAAAACTTACTTTGGTAGTCTGTGCCTTGGACATGGAATGATATGAAATAATTGTGGTAAAGAATAAAGAAAATTTAAGACTTGTGGAATGAAAAATAACAGCAAAGTTTTACTAAAATGACCAAGAATTCCCACGACAGCAAACGTCATACCAGCAAAATAGCAGTATGTATCACCAACAAAAACACTTGAAGGATACCTAGAGAATATGGTTAATATGAAGCATTGAAAGTACATATTTAAATGTTACGAGTGTTAATTTTTCAAGAATGCATCTATTTTAAACTTAAAGGATTTATATAAAACTAGAAAAATTTATTGCATGTATGATAGGTAAATGGTATCATCCATTTTATAATGATATCTAAAAAAAAGCATGTTTAAAGCAAAGCACATTATTTCATATTAAATGTGCACATCAACTCACCAGTTAAAATAAAGCAAAGCACATTATTTCATATTAAATATGTTCATCAACTCACCAGTTAAAATAAAGCAAAGCTGAAGACACAGCAAGAAATGGTATAAGAAGATATAAAGAAAATAGATGAGCTCGCCAACAATCCCCATGTAATTCAATAATATTAAATATGATGACTGACAATGTGATAACACATGATTGACCAACTTCAACACCATTTATTCCAGCCATAATATTGATAGCATTTGTACAAAACACAGCCAGCATGCCCATGTATATGTAATATAATATACCTAAACATGAGAATTTTTATTTCATTTCACTTGAATGGTCTGTCTTGAGATTTTCAATTCCTAATTTACCAATACATAAGAGCCCATTTCATATATTATAAGTTTTAATCAAAGAATAACTATCTTCTCAAATGTTTTGTGTCAAATTGAACTTTGATGTTGATAATAAAAATGCTAAATGATGTTCAGTGTGCGAATTAGTTCAGAAAAAACGATGTGCAATTTTTTTGACAAAAGTGTTTCTTTAGAGACATAATCAAATCGATATTACGTTATCTATTATATAGCGCTAATTGCTAAATTAATATTTTTAAATGTGAACAAATTCATATGATTTACGACAGTGTTTTTGTTAAAACTGCTGATTTTTGAACATCGTTTGAAAAAGTGATGTGCATTGTTTTCATTTTAGCTAAAACGGTGTGCAAATTGCACATTGCACACCGTTAATTAGCACACTGATGATGTTAATACATATGAAAATAAATGGTACATGGCTATCATTGCAAAGGCAAATTTTGAGAGGGGTATACAATCAATATAGTTTCAAAATGTCATATAAATACTTAAATAGTTGCTTTCTGTAAATGGGCAAATAGCAAAGTAAATATATTACACAGCAACCTTCAAGCATTGTTGTATATAACATTGAGTTCAATACATTTGTTGATACATTGAACAGAAAGCTGTGCTTTTCTGAAAACATGTGGCTTTTAGATAATCATAAAACCTACCTGTGAGAAATAGCATTCTCAAGAACCTAAAATTGGCATTTTTAAGGGTAATAACCCAAACACTCGTCAAGGCCTCACATTTCTAGCACTTGCAGCATCTCCTTAGTCTGAACAACAAGTTAACATTATTGCCTTCAATTCTTAATCAATAGGGAATGCCTTGTTATCATACATAATTTTTTTCAGATACTACAACATACTGAGATATCTATTATTTTCATTTTATAGAGAAATTTTTTAGATTTTGAATTGATATTTAACGAAAGTAACACAAAGAAACATACACAAAAAGAAACTCACCCAAATTGACGGTTGTACCTAAAAATAACCTTAAAGGTTTAGGGACAATGACAGTTGTAGATCCATAATTAACAATATAAACCATGAGAATTGGAAGTGATGCCATTGAAGGAAGTAACAGTTTATGTCGCCATCGTAGATTTAGTACATCATCAGCAAATCCAAGAAAAATCATACAACAAATGGATAACAATGCTGCTATCCATTCAACAAACTATAAAATTAAATCAATACAACTCAAAACCAGCAAAAGTAAATTAAGTCTAGTCTGCAAAGTAAATTGAAAATAATGCTCAAAATAGAATACCTCATGATGTGGAAATACTAAAGAGCCATTTTCCCACCATTTTGACCAAAAAGGAAACGGTATAAAAATGAATAAACATATTAAATACACTGCACCACATAGCACACCGACTGCCTCAGGACTATAAAAGACACAAAATAATTAATTCCATGTAAAATCATGAAGTAAATTGGCTTAACGATTCAAACCAAAAATACCAAATGATACATGAACACTTCACATTTTTGATTTTCCAAAAAACTCTGTGTTACCCTTACAGTAACTAGAAACATCATACCAACTCAGAGTATAACTAAATTCCAAGCATGATTTTGCCACCGATACTCAACAACATGGAGCATTGAGTTTGATTCTTGTCAAAAGTCTGATTTGGTTTATAATAAACCTCAACTCCTAGATACATATACCTATATGTAAATATCTTACTCACTTACCGCATAAGTATGCAAAAACTTGTTTGCTTTAAAAATACGTCGTTTATCATATCTTAAATTCTCAACACTGAGGAATGTTTCCCTCTTCAATCTCAACATTTAAGTTTTAGAGTAAAATGAATTTTAAGCAAATAAATTTTAAACAAAGAACAATTTGCACAATTTTTCTATATTTGCAAATTATTTTAGTCTATTAAGAAACCAAACTTTCAAAATATAAATGTAATTTTCAACCCCACGGGCGCTCTTGAAGTAAACTTACATAACAGGTTTCTCTTTCTTTCCTAGATCTTTTCCCTTTAATCCTGCTATTATAAACATTTCTTTCATGGCTGGAATTATTCTTAGCGTAAGAAGAAATCCACATAATGAAAATATAACATTTAAGACAACAGGATAGATGACCATTTTCAAGAAATTGAACGCTCAGCTAGTCTCCTCAAACACAATCATAAATCGTTCACATATTTCATAATCAGGTATTGAATTGATTTCACAAAGTTGAGTTACTTCAAAAAATGTTTAAATATTTCAAATAGAAGCCACTGCTAATTTAGAAAATAAAAACAAAATAGCATCATTTAATAAAGTGACTTTATTCACTCATTCGCAAAATGAACACAATTGATATAAGTGGTAACATGAAGTAATGGAGTGACTTGAGAAATTTTATTTCGAATAAATAAATTAAGACATATTTTATTAATTTTTAATTTACACTTAAATTGTGGTAAGATGACACCGACGTGGGTAAAACTAAATGAAATTGTTTGTCAAGAACGGAAAAGACACTTCAAAACCAAGCGTTTCTCGCTCTAAACGGCAGTTTCTTTTTCTTGGCGGGAAACGAATAAACGGTGACGGATTGTGGAAAATAGCTTTTCAACAACTTTTCTCATCTTGTCTTTCATCATGCCAGTCAATACTCCAAGGAAATACGCCACAACTCCCACGAATACCATTTGAATAATTTGCCATTTTTGTGTTTTCATGATAACTTTTGGATTATTGCAACCCCGGCATTCATTTGTAACACTTTTGATTGTCGTGCCATTGGTGGGTTTAGTTTCATTTGGCGATTGTTCAAGGGGAGAATTACCTACAAAGTGAATACTGCCATATGAGCATAGAAAGAAGGGAATTTTGCAAATATAATGAAAACATAAAGGACAATGAAGGGAAACGGGTATATCAGTATTGCCTAGTTCTAAAATCCAATTTTAAATCAAATGATTCCATTGCAAGAATGTGATTACTTGATAAATTACTTTAATTAAATTTAGCTAAACTCATGACTTACTTGGCTTGTTTTCTTCTAAGCATTCCTTGAAGCACAAATCTATTTCAGAATCAACAACATCAAAACAATCTTTGGAAGGCATATCAGGGCAATCCACTTCGTTACCAAGATACCCTGAGTAGTATTTTCGGTGGGTTTCATCTTCACAAAAATATAAACTTAAAAATGAGAGACAAGATAGCAGCAGTAACACTGTGCTAACGCAACTTGCCATCTTCTATCATTTCGACATTGCAATAGCCATTGCTTATATACGTCGATGTATGAAAAACACTATCTTTAGATACTTTCATCACAGTGAATCAACAGTTTTTATTACAGAGGTAATTCCCCTCCGATCTTGGTAAAACTTGGAGGAGACATTTTTGTGACAGTTGAAATGAAGTTCAATTTCTCGAACAAATGTACTTCCATTGCTACGTTAGCAAACTTTGTATAAGGACCATTTAAAAAAGACCAACACATAAGGCCGAATTATGTTCAAACGAAGATTATTAGGCAGCTGTTTTGTTCGTCACTAACTGTAGAAATAATCGAAGGAATAACATAATTCAGTTGAGCTGCATAACTGCATAAATTTTTAAAACAATAGACTGTTATTTTTGAAAAGGCATTTAAAAAATTTAGGTTACCTCACCCACATACAGATGATTACGATTATTGTGTAGGTGGCAAATTTGTACTTCATATTCTGTAGCGTTAAATTGACATTAAAATCACAGTATATATTTTGTCTGTGACAGAAAGTTAGAAACAGAATAGAATTTGTTTTCACAATGCATGCAGTTTGGTCAGCATGGAAAATATGTAAAAGCAAAAAAACATGACATCATATAGTGTGACACTTTCTATAGAAAGTTTATGTACTGTGTAATTATTTCCAATTATAAAAACTATCCAGAAATTTTTGCTTCATTTAAAATTGAGAGAATAATTTGAAGTTGGCGGATGACAAGACTAAACTTTGGTGGAAATAGACGAATTTGCCTCTGCTGGCAACATGAAATCCTGTTGCAGACACTAGTTTGTGGAATGATTATTGTCTGTGTATTGAACTTTGAAGTGTGCGAGGCCGTCAAATACAAGAACAGATTATTCACAAAAATTGATAATTCATTCATACGTACCAAATACGTTCATAAATAAGCTATTTATATAATATACTATTTTTTCATCTTTTTTGACACGTTTAACGATAAATTATAGATCAATAAATAAGCGCCATACAATCTCAGGGAAAGGTTTGCTTTCCTCATTAACTTCATGATGGCGTCGATGAGCACAAAAAATGCTCGGCTGTCTTTTTCTCATGAAAAGGAGGGCAGTGACTGCTTGCCCCGAACAAAACTTCCGCAAATAAGACAAGAATTATTTCTTGCCATTTTTGTTTTTCCCTAATCACCACTATTCTTTTGATCAAGGAGCCATTGCAGAGAGTCTCTGGGTCAGTTATTGTCTATATATATATATATAAATGTTATTGAGTAATTTTATAAAGAATGTTGTATAATTACGTGCAATCCATGACTTTAAGGTAGCGACTAAATTTTAGAGATAATTTCAACCACGAAAATAGCAAATTAATGTTTTACATAGAATGCATGATACGAATATATATATAACCTAAAACATGACAATCAATTTATTATAAAATTGAAACTCAAACTATAGCAAATTTACTTACTAAGGTCACTAAAGCATTCATCAAAACACGACTTAACATCCATTTTATGAACATCGTTGCAGTCATCGTATCTTTCAGGACATTCAACATCATCATCGAGGTGAAGCGAGTAATATAAATTACCAATTGTCAAAGGCAAAATACTTAAAAATACCACTATAAATACTTGCATTGTAAACGCAAAGTAATCTATTGAAAGTTTGAATTAAGAACATATCGCTGCTGACAAACTGCATGTTTAAGATTTGAGCCACTTTTTAATACTTTCATTTATAGGTATTTTCATTTATGTAATGGTATAGTTATCATATCAATTTTAGTACCACGTAAGCAGCTTTGGATAATTTGAAGACGTAAGCAATTTTAAAAACGAATATGACAACATTATCGTTTATCCATAAGACATAAGTTTAACCAATGTCCAAATTTTTACAACACTTATAAAATCTTCAATGCTTTGCTCAAATATTTTCATCACTTTGAAATCATAATCATTTTGAGAAGATAACATAGAAACAATATTTATGTTAGAATTAAAATTTTAATGTTTATATGTGTGAGTGGGTGTTTGTTTGTCATGTTAAAATGAGTCAGCATTTGAAGCAGTTGTTCCTAAAATCCACCATCAAAGCCATCTCTAAAAGAACAAACCTCTAATTCGACGACCCACACCATGACGATCATATACCACATTAAATTTCATTATTAACTAAGGAAAAAAAAACAGACTTTAAGTATAGTGTAAGCAACAATTTCCTACAGTTGATAAACATATATGGAGAAAATATACGAGCAAATATACATTATATTTTTTCCAATCTACCTCATTCATTGTATTACATCCCTTCGTTATCGTTGCAAGATAAGACATTAAAACAACATCATTACATTGCTAAAAAAACATTGAATAATGGAAATATAAACAGGTAAACTTCTTCAAAGTCTGCTAAGTATGTAGGTTCATTCACTATATGTTTTATGTACAACATAACTGACTAATCAGCAAGACTAATATTTTTCTATATAAGTCCTTAAATAGAGAGCAATGATTAGTTTATGAAATATTCAATATCCAAGCCTGGATATTACTGCTTTGATAGAGATTGTTTCAATACATGTCAAAGTAATCTTTGTGACAGAATTAAAGCAGTTGATTCCCTGATGTCAAACAATGATTTTACATAAGACCACATTAACATAACTGGATAAACTAACACTTACATTAAAGAAGTCTTCTTTAAACAAGTCATTTGTCATGACAGGAAGACGTTGAGTAAGACTAAGAATATCTCTCATCACCTCGTGGTTAGCTTCTAGTTCACCTAAAGTCAATTAAAAATTATTGACTTTTTAAGCTCTTGATAAAAAATACATGGATTTGAATGAATATTAGGATTTGTTTTATTTTCTATGTCGAAGAAAACTTTAACTCACAAACAAACTCAAAAGTCATGGAATGGTGTACAATCTACTATGAATACAGATTTCCCAATTTAATTTATAAAGTTGTGTTATTAAGAAAATACATATATTTTTATGCTGAGTTATATGTAATAGTATCTACACATCCTACACTGCATATTTGACAAAGATTTGAAACACAGTGGTATGGTACACAATTCTAATGCAACAATGTCGCATAATACAAAATTCTGATGAAATAATGTTTTATAACACAAGATATCAATGCAACATTGTACTATACCAGTAAATGGTGCAACAGTGTATATTAAAATAGTATCGTTACATGTTTGTAAATGTAGATCGTCCAGGTTGGTATAGTCCTGAGAAGGACTGTTGTTGTTGTTGTTGACTGACGTTTCGACAACCTTAGCGGTAGTGATCTTCAGAGTAATCATCTTTGACTCTGAAGATGAGTACTGCTAAGGTTGTCGAAACATCAGTCAACAACAACAAAAACAGTCCTTCTCAGGACTATACCAACCTGGACGATCTACATTTACAAACATAAAATATTGATGTAACAATGTTGTATAAAATGACATACAGAAGCAATGTTTTACATGAGATACTGATTCAACGTTATATAACATGTGTTTATTTGAAATACCTTCTTGAACAGCCTTAGTATAATCCACAATTATTTTAATGCGTGAATACAACATCTTTATTGAATTGTAAATAGATAATAAATGTTCAGAGGCTGAAAAGTAAACAAAGAGATATAAAAGATTTATGAAATGCTTAGGTTACACAACTCAGGGACAAATATCAATTTCAAAATATGTATTCATGACCACAAAAAACATCATACATTAAAATCTTCCGCATGTCTAGGGGCTAGTAAAAACAAATCCTAAAGGTCATGCAAATATGAATCATACCAGATCCTTCAACAACCCCTGATGAAGATATCTTGGCAACATGATCAACACCAATTCTTTCTGCTTCTTCTGTTGCTAAGGTAAAAGGGAGCTCAATAAACAACATCCGTGTCTAAAAGTCAAATATATGATCTTTATTAGTAAACTCAATCAAATAGAGCATTTCTAGCTTGAATGGTTTAAACAAGAACAAGCAATGACTGTAAAAACCATAAATAGTTCATAAAAAGACAATTGCATATGTGACCAGCTCTGACCACTACTATGTAAAAAATTTTAGAACGATCTTACAATGTTTTATTGTATTGATAATTGATAATAATTGTCTACCTTGCCATCTTCAACATCAATAACTGACTCATACATGTTGATCGGAAGCTAATGCATAAAAAAACTCCAATATAGTAAAACATAAATTTTAGGTTAAGACAATTTTAAGTACATAAGTTCAATTGATAAGTGATGATTATCACCTCATTTGTTCTTGCAGCAACAGGATTAAGTTTCAATAAAACAGGACTCTCGTTGATTTGACACATCTAAATATTCACATTGAAAAACAATGTTCCAAATACAGTTGTCAAATTCAATATAATATTTACCAGGGGGGGGGGGTTATGGAAGCCAACAACTTTGTATTGTGTACTGCTAGTTTTAATCTGGTTTCAAAAGAAAGTTTTAAATTGGTGCACTACCCTCTCTCCTCCTCCAAACAGATGATGCTACTAACTAAGCCGCCCGCTTTCCTTAATGTGCAAGCTACAAATGAAACCTCTGTATCTACATTTGATTATCTCATTTATGAGTAATTCTATAAGATTATGAAATAGGATATGACTACAATAGAATAATACAAAACATACTTGTTGATGAACTTTAAGATCTGTTTCATTAGCAATATTTCCTGTTGTATACCATCCAAGAAAATCTAAATCTTTAAAAACTTGTGAAACTGAAAAAAAGCATGTAAAAGAAACCACTGAGATTTCTCCATAATCACCAGGGAATTATATTTTAATAGACACAAAAAAAACATATAATATTATTTCAGGATATAAGATAAAAAAAAATCATATTTCATGATGTAAAAATTACTTCTTCAAGATTTATTACACAAAGTACTAATTTCTATTCCTAAATAACTCACATTGTTCTGCCTTAGTGTGATAATATTCTGTGTTGATAATCACATCATTATCTATTACATCAAACTGCAATTCAAAGGAATTTAGTATTTCCATGTTTCGTCCTTCCTGAGTTCCAAGTAATGCACCAAATACTGTGTTAATAAACAAAAAATATTTTACTTGTAAAAGACGTTTACAATTATAGCACCATAGCTCTTTTTCTAGAATTAAAAATTTACTGATTTATTAATGTAGAACTGTTGAGTTGGTGTAAGTGTAACTGATAAGCAAAATTTTTATTGAAATTTTTTCTGATGTGAACTTGGTAAATTACTTTGAAAACCTGCAAACAAAATTTGTCTAGCTCAGTGGTATATATAGTACAACTGTAAACGATCCAAAATGCACAGCACGATATCAATCAGTAATCAGTTTATATGTTAATGAACTTCACTGCTGAACTGGACACAATTTTATTCAGTCTATTGATCAAACAATTTGAAACATAAAGCAAACTAACTCTGTGGATTGCCACCATTTGCTTGAGCTCTTATTCTTGTATATTGATCTGATATATTCATGACAACAAGAGGATGAAGTTGAATACAAACGCTGCCAGAATTTCCAACAGATGACATAATTACATTCTCTTTACCCGCCATCTTGAGAATGTGTACACAGTGCTTCCATAAATTTCATAAGATGAATAAGGTTATTACGTCAGAGATATATGTTGATAGATGAGAGAAATTGTCGAATTCAAAGGTGATTTTTTTGTGTTTTTTGCTGTAAAATTTTAGTACTCATTTATGGGTTTTTCCAATGCAATTTGCCGCTTTTTTATTAATTGTTTTGTCATTGGCTTGGCACTTATCACTGAGCTACGTATGATATTGTCTGATGATGCACCTCAGTACCTGTCAAAAACCTGTTGATTTTGATATAAAAAGTAAAATCAGTTAAAAAAATTTTTAAACAGTGTTACTCAGTAAAGATACGGTAGCTTTAGTTACAGAAAACTGCAGAAAGGTATTGTTTTTGCATTTCTTTCAGTGTTTAAATTATGTTCCAAGTAACCTTTTCCAGTTTGCAAAACCTATAATCTAGCGAAATTCTGTTTCATGGCGTTGCAATCCTCGTTTTGAAAAAAAGCATTTTTATATCACATTTTTGTTGTTGGTGAAATAAAAGTGCTAGATTTGGGATGTATGGCAGGGCCTTGTTTAACTTAAAGCAAGAAAGTTGTACATAATATTTAATGTACAACCAAGTTAAGGTTGCAAGCAAACATCAGGCACTCCACCTTGGCATGTTGCCCTGCAACCAATTACAAGAAAAAATTTATTCAACTAATAAATTAATGGTCTATGGATAAATTGTTTTTAGGGTCAAATGAAGATTATGTAAGATTTTATATATGTAAGCGCAATTTCTTTATGCTTTGTTTGTAGATTGAACTTATGGCATCAAAGCAACCTGAGATTGAAGAGCTCAAGTTGCACGTGACGCTTTCAGATGTTGGAAAATATTCCTTAGCCCAACTTTGTGTGTATATTTTGTGTGACATAAATGAAAGTTTGTTTGACATTAAATGGTCTGAAGATTTCATCATAAAACTTGTGTTAGATATGAACCTACCAAACTCAGTTTCTACATCACTTTCTTTAATGCTAAAGGAAGCTAAAGGATGTGAAAGTGACCAAAATGTGGAGATGTTAATAAATGCTTTAAAAAATGAAGAAAGTTTATGTGGAGATGTGAGTATTCTTTGTCAGGAGTTGATTCGTTTGTCAGTAAAACAGGGTTGTTATGATGCTAGAGCAAGGATTCTTATCTTCATTGTTTCACGAAAATTTGGTATGAATGAGGACTGTTTCCTTTCTTATGAAGATGAACTAGCAGATAGTCTAAATAATATTATGAATGGAAATGATGAGGTTCACGAAGAAGCTGATAAAAGAAAGTCGTACAGAAAGAAAAAGAAAGCATTTATGATAGGATTAGGTGTAGTTGCTGGTGGAGCAATAATTGGTTTAACTGGTGGTCTTGCAGCACCTGTTGTTGCTGCAAGTGCTGGTGCAATAATTGGTGGAAGTGGAGCTGCATTCTTAGCCTCTTCTGCTGGTTTAGCTTTTATAACTTCCATATTTGGTGCTACAGGAGCTGGTCTTACTGGATACAAGATGAACAGACGTGTTGGCATGACTGAAGAGTTTGAGTTTTTAACATTGTCAAATAGTAGATGTCGTTTATATTTAACTATCTGCATCTCAGGTTGGCTTACACAAAGTGGTACTGACGAATTTCTCACACAATGGTCAACTTTGTCAACCTCAGTTGAGGCCTATTCATTGGTATGGGAAAGTAAATTTCTGTTAGAGTTAGGATCAGCTATCCAAGACTTTATCACCAGTTATGTTGTTGGCACTGCAACTACGGAGGCTCTCAAATACACTGTTTTACAAGGTATAATGGCTGCTATAGCATGGCCAGTCACTCTATTGAATGCTGCGAAATTGATAGATAACCCCTGGGGTGTATGTGCGAGCAGGGCGAAAGAAGTTGGCAAAGAATTGGCAAAAGTTTTGATTTCTCGCGAGCAAGGAAGACGTCCAGTCAGTTTGGTTGGCTTTAGTCTAGGAGCACGTGTTATCTTTTACTGCTTGGAAGAAATGCAAGCTTATGATAATTCGTGCGGTATAATTCAAGATGTGATTGTGCTAGGAGCACCTGTGACGGGTCGTGCAGAGAAATGGCAACAATTTTCTAATACTGTTGCTGGGACAATATTTAACGGTTATTGTCAGAAAGATTGGCTACTTAGATTCATCTATAGGGCTTCCTCTTTGCAGGTAAGTATAGCGGGACTGCATGAAATTACATGGGAGTCAAAAAAACTGGTGAATGTTGACCTTACTGAAATCATTAACTCTCATATGGACTATGCAGATCCTGAAAAGCTACGAATTATCTTTGAAATGATTGGTCTAAAGACAAATACTGACGAATTAATTGATAAAAATTGAATTTTAAATTTTGGTATTGTTGATAAGCAACTTGATAGTTACGAATACTCACTTGGAAGATGGCCAAGATTAGCTGTTGAAACTCAATTAAATATATTTGGTTGCATCAAACATGCTGTTCGTTTGGTTTACAAAATACCACGAAAAGAAATTGTGAGTTTCGTGTAAACGCTAACACTTTGCTACTGCTGTGTTGTAGTGAACTATTTAGTCATCAGTAATTATCGTATCCAAAACTTTATCAATCATATTTACACTTATGAAAATTAAACCAATAATTGAATGTTTGATCATAAAATCATAATATAAAGTAAAAGTAACGTATAATATAATATATTGCTAGATTGATCATAAGTAAGAAAATTAACTAACATTTGTACTGTGCATTAAACATCAGTAGAGAAATTATTTCTAATAATCATTTTTTGCTACTAATAAACGATGTAAAATAAGTAATATGGAATGCATATTATCCTTTTCTTATTAAATTTTCGGTGCTAGCCAAGGCAAAGATCACGAGGATTGGTTTTAAAACTTTTTTGACGATGTTTTCAAAAATGTTGTAAACAATGCTACTACCCTATGTTTTCCCAGGCAACAATGAAGGAGAACTCATGTATTGACTCATTGCTTTGAAGTCAGATTTCAATTCTTTGACCTAAAATTTGTTCAAGTTGTTAATTTTCGGGAAGATAAAAAATAAATTCCATTAACTTACTTTAGGTTCTTCGCCAGTTCCCAGCAGTCTTGTGCGTAAATTTTCTTTTGTACATTTTCGAAGAGGACTTCCACTTAACGAAATTCCTCCAGGAGAAACACTACATGCAAAAGTAGATGTATTTGCCCATCATTTAGTCGCTGTACTTTATTGCGTTAACTAAGTGTTCTCGCCAGGTTTGACAATTAACGTTGTGTTATTCTTGCGATTCAAATGCAAAGTATGATAAATGCTTGTTTTAGCGCAAATACGAAAACTGCGCTCATAAAATACATTTAGTTCATTCTTAATAACGAAATTTTTCACTAAACATTTTTAAATCGAAATAACTTCACAAAAAGGAACGTACTTTGAATTAGAGCGTTTGACGAGATTTACTTTGCTTCTTGGAGTTTTATTCATGGAAAAAGCACGGCTTACTTTTTTCGTTGTTTTCTTCGCAACCCTGCAAAGATAATATTGAATGCTAAGTAAATGCAGGAAATTGTGTGTTTATGTTTTTACGTAGCTTCACTTATTCTATTTTAAAGATCTCGATGAGTAAACGAAAGTTGAATGATTACTTGCTGTAAAACAAGACGATGTTGTGTAAACGAATAGTTAAATGTAGTCAAAACGAAAATATATGTAGTAATTGCATGCAGTTCATGTATAGATACACTGACACTGACCATACCTCACGGCGCGACCAATTTTTGATTGATTCGTCAAGGCCAAATCACTCTTGTTTATAGCCAATGTACTAGCATCCAATGTAGTAAAACACTCAGCCTATATTGTGAAAAACCAACGGTTACCAGTCAATTATAACAATAACTAAGCTTGTCAATATAAATGATTATCCTTACTCTGTTTGCAATTGAAGCAGCATTAGCTAAACCATTGACAAGTTTCTCCAACCAGAGTTCCTTTGAAATTTCATCTGATACGAGACGAAGCATTGCAAATCTTTCGATCATGTCACTTGATCGATACATGAATCCAAATAGATCATGGTTTTCTAAACAAAAAGCCCAGCAATTCCAAACACACTCCATGTGGCAAAAATCTTTTGTAAAATTCTGACTAATAAACCTTATTCTATTGTCAACATAAAATATAATATAAGGGACTTTTTTCTAGTAAAAAAGAAGATGTGAAAGACATTCATTATCAAGGATTGAACTAGTCTACCACAAATTTCGATATTAATGTCGTCTGTGCCAAACCTATTAATTAGATCTATTTACTCATTTACTTATAGTATGTACAACTTCGTAATTACGGAAGGTGAAAAAATAGACCCGAAAATAAAATGCAAAATGATAATCATAATCTGTTTTTAATTCAAATTTATAAATTGTCAAAATTCAAAATGGACGACTTTGCTCGAGCTTCATTTCACAACATAAACAGCATGTAAAAAAGAACGAAATTAAGCATTAAAAAACACTTACCATCTTGCTCTATGATATCAACAACTTTACGTAATTGCGACAATGGAATAAACTCCAGATGTTTATAAGCTCTTTGAGGTGTTTTACTAGCTGGACTTTTCATTGGGAAAGATGTAGCACTGTTTTTGTTAACGTTACTGCGTCGTTTTGTAACCTAAATGTTAGAAATGAAAAATTGGGTTACTAAAAAACATTAAATAATCTTGCCTGTAGAAAAGTATGTTTATTTGATTGTCCAATTTGGTGAATTTGGTTTTTACTTCGTTTATAATTCTTAAGTAATGGTGTTCACGATTATACCATTGGTGGAAAAATTAAATAACTTACGTTGCAGTGTATTTGATGATAGAACTAGGTATGAGTAAATCTTTAAAGAGCTGACTATAAATTCTCAAGGCAGAATTGATAACAACTTATTTTATTGCTTAGAATAAAATCAGCCACTCGATCTTCTCAGATGTTTTCGCCATTTGGGCCTCCCAGTACTCTTATGTATTATATATATATATCAGCAGATATTTCTGGCTGCAGACACGCATTTATATGTGAGCGCATGTATAAATATGTATCAATAAATGGCTGCAGATAAACCTCTTTGAAATTACTGTTTCGAACAGTGAAGAAGCAATAGAACCTTTTCATCTTGAAGATAACGTAGACGCCATTGGCGTATGTTAGGAAAATACACTATGAAGTAAAACGGCTTCATCCCATTAAAAAGATTTTTCTCGCTGAAAATCAAACCACGAAATTGACAAGATTATGAAATTTGACAAAGTTTTACAAACCTCAAGACTATCGCTGAATAAAAACATTGTTACAGGTTGCGCTTTTCCACAAAATACATCACTTAATTCGAATCCATCCATTTTTGCAACACAACATCGATGAGAAGATAAAATGTTTGGCTAAATAAAAGAAGTTAATTTCAAAATTTAATACAACAGATCATGTGATGCTATATTTTAACATACAGCTAATGATGTGCATTATATTACCGGGCAGTTATCAATATCTTGTATGATTTCAAACATTTGGACTTGACTATCAGTCTTTCGTTTATATTCATTTATATGTCTAAAAACAATACATACTCAAACATGAAAAATGTAACTTTAAAAACTTTAAGTAGTTATGTCCACTTTTCAATTGAAATTTTCCCAAGCAGAAAAAATCGACTATTTCAATAATAACACCATCCACTAACGTCATAACACTTTTGAGAGCTTCAATTGCTTTTTCCAAAGGAAGAATGTCAGGGTTATTTGAGTCTGTTTTTCTTGTTTGTTTGAGTAAATCTATGAAAGAAAAAAGTGCATAATATGCGCGAATGCGTTCTGGTCAATTCTTAAATAATGGAGAAATGAATAATGCTGTTAAATAATTGATACGGATTATCTTTCTTAAGGTACCGTATGTATAAATTACCTGTCAAAAGTAGGTTCATGCTAGGAAGTCTTTGAACAGGTCTGATAAGAAGTTCTGCTAATGTCTGTCGTCCGCATTCTGGTTTACTAAGACATATCTGAATTAAACAAAAGATCAGACATTATGAAACAAATCTCAATACGTTATTGCACCAGCATAAACAATACCTTGAGAAATGCGTGAAATCTTGGTCTTTCTCGGTCACATTTCATAACAGTTTCTTTGCTCATTTCGAAGAAATTTACAAATACAGGATACACTTTCATGAGCACATCAGCCTAAAATAGTATGAACGTATATATGCAAATATTCACATGACAACATTAACTTTTAAACTGGTCTTCTCAGAAAAACAGAAAACAGTGTTTTCATAAATCTTACATACATGTTTCAGGATAACATTTCCAATACATTTATCTTCTGTCCAGCACGATAAAAGATTTTCTAATTCGACCTGTAAAAGCATCTATCGTTAAGTATGAACATGACATTGCTACCAAGAAATATAATCTGGTCTCAATGCACCTGGGCAAAGAAAATTTTTATATCTTAATATAGTACAAACCATCATTTGATGATGAACTTGTAGAATGTCTGGTAAATATCCAAATATTGTTTTAATTTCCTCTGCTGCCAATATTGGTCCAGCTCTCTGATCTTCTTGTTCCAAAGGATGCTTAAAAACCTAGTTTAAAGTGAGAGCAGCTATCTAACTCGTGAAGTTGAGCAAAAGAATCCCTCACAAACAAAACTTTCAGCGTACCTTTAGAATTGTATTAAGTATTTCCACATAGTTCCGTTCAGTTTGTAGCAATTCTAAGGCAACTTGTTCACGCGCTGTTTTTGGTTTGAGAGGTGAAACTGCTGTCAACGGTGCCGCAGTTTCATTGTCAGGCATTAGTTGATTAGTTGGTGTAGAAAACATGTCTAAAATCGACAAGAAACATCATTGCACTGAAGCTTTAGTTTATTCTCAAAAATCAAGTTTTGTCAAGTTTTACCTTCACGAGGCGTACCAGGAGAAGCCATAGTGTAGTCAAGTAATGAGCCTGAGAATGAACTAACCGATAAAATATCATTACTCTTTCTTTTCGGTGCGTGACAAGGGGAATTAGCTGGTGAGAGCAATTCCATTACGTCTGTCTCTTTCATTCGACGTCGTTTTCGATTTTTTTGATTGCTCAATGGAGTTCCACATCTTGTTGTATCAGAGGTAGTCTGCACGAGCAGTAAAAAAAATTAAACACCATCTACATTAATGTTTTTTTTTATACAGATTAAATTCTTCATGAAATTCATACCTGTTTAAAAAGGTACAAGCCTGAATCAGCGCGTGCGTCGACTTGGATACTCGCCCAAAACCACTAAAACATTGAAAAGATTTAAAAATTAGCATTTCTAAAATGAGAAGGAATGAGAAGGAGTAATGGTAGAAAGAATCATAGAATCAAATGGGTATGATATTGTTAATTTTGAACATATAGAGACTACGTATATACATTTGAAGGAACTACCTCTTGTCTAACAATTTCTACATTTTTTACTTCCAATGCTTCTTGAGGAATCTCTTTAACGCTATCCTCCACAACAACATGAGAAAACCTCTTGTCTTCAAGACTGCAGAATGTCCCGCCTTAAAAATATAAAAGAATATCATTCATTTAAGTACAGTTGTCATTTTCTCTTCTTGTGTTTCTTTCTTGTAATGTAAAACCTGCCACTGTTTGGTAATAAGGATACAGACCACTTAATGAACGTACATAGAACTCATCGACTCCTTCAACACAAACTTGTTGAACAAGTTCGGGAGTATTATGCAGGTACGAATGATAAAAAAACTATTATTTGCGACCAAATTTTTGTCTTTACCCTGTTCAATCGTCGTTTCCTCCATGTGAGCCTTTTCTTCCTCAGGAAATCCCACAAATGTTAAGCAGCATTCGAAAAATGGTGGAAGCTTATAGTCCATCTGAAAAAAATGTCAATATATTTCACTTTGCTACATTTGTCTTTATGAAAACAAAAACAACAGAAAACGTTCTTTTTAAATAAAGAGTTCCTAACCATTTCCTCATTTTCTGCATTCCATGTTCTAAAAATAATAAAACAATTCTTACATAAACGTTTAACACAGACCACTTTAAAACAAATATAGCTACAGTGTATGTTTGATATAATGAAAATATTATTTAATTGTTGTATTAACTTACAAATTAGATCGCATATCCCAACATTTATGAACCCATTCCTCGGTCATTATACTTGTACCCAGTCCTACAGCAGCCTATAGAACAACACGATGTAAAAACACCATTTCATTATTGGGACGGCGAAGTGTTATAGATTACTTTGGCATGGTTTGAGCTAATATTTATAATTGTATATTATCATTTTTTATACGCAGTAACGTAAACAGTTTCACGAAAACTACTTTTGTTCACATATTGACTGTTAACATAACATAAATAACATGTATGGGTGATTTGCATATTGAAAAAAGTCTTCGAGGAGTAAAAACTTTCTCCAGGAAATAAATAAGTAAATAAAATAACAGTTACATCTGGTTTGTGATGAATTTCACCACTGCATGTAAATAGTCATACCTACCCTGTATTTCTCACCACTAGCAGAATTTGCAACAAGATGAGTGACACGTCTACCATTGAAATCTTTACGTACACTACCTCCCATATAGTGAACAAGTGCACATAAATTTGACAGTTTGCTCTTCTCCTTAAATCCCGTAAAACATACAACAATATTTGACATTGAAGTGCAATAAAGAGGACGAGATGACCAAGGTAAAGGTAAATTTTCTTTAGCACAATTATAAATGACTGAAGGGCCAACAATTCGATGATCTTCCTTCCATAGATAGTCAAAATGTTTGCCTTCAAATGGCTCACAAATAAATACAATCTCTACGGCATCCGACATTGTGGAGGCATCAGCAATGTCCCGACCATCATCAGAATAGATAACTTCTACATCTAGCATCTATTATAGATTGAATTCAATTGTCAAAAATCATCATGGCACATGCTCTTAGCAAAATGGAATAAACAAGTTCAAGTTTAGGCTTGAATTTCCATTCAAGTCAGTTGTTTCCAAGATCAATGATAGATACATGAGAATAATAAAATGGACATGCAAAATGATTTGTCTTTGCGTTTATTACTTAACTTAAAACTGATTAACCATTCAAATGATGTTAAATAGTTCAAAAAGTCTAAAACAGTATATAAAAAGGAACAAACATGGTCACCTTTAAGGCATTATTCAATTCTGTGTTATCTTTATTCTGTGAGCCAACTACACATGCTTTCATGAGCACACTAGGAGCTGAGGCATTCAATTCTAAAAATAGAGAGATTTATGTGAAGTTAAAGTTAAACAATTAATGTAGCTAATACATTCTTTGGAAATATCATTTTACAAATTAAAAAAGTTCTTTAAGATATTCCACTCAGCAGCACCTCTTATGCAACAGGCTTTACATATCCAACAAAGAAACTAAGTTAACCGTTTTATACTTAAACAATCAACCATCATTTTTAAGTTTTAACTTTGCAAATTATGTTTATGCTCTGGCTTATAATGCAAGCTAATTCTTTGAAATTCTTGACTTTGAAAAAACAACTTCAAATCAATAAGATTTTTTAGATACAGATCTAATCAAGCCACATATGTCTGTATTTATACAAGATGAGTGACATATGTCTGTATTTATACAAGATGAATAAATATATTAATTACAATTTTTAGTAAAACTTCATAACGATAAATTTTACGTAAATCGCAATTTAAAGCTAATGATTTCAAATGTACTTTATATTTTAGTTCTTAGACGGTTAAACAACGTTGCACTTACCTGTACAGATATTAGGATCAACTTTTTCCATAATAATGTCTAAATCTGCGTTGTTCGTCGTAGCTTCTTCACTAGTCATTTTGCAATTTAAACTTCATATAAATATGCAAAAATCAACACGAAAAAGACAAAGAAATCAATGGAATATATTCCGCTTTTAAGTAAAATTAAGAAAATAGCCGACACCGACGAAGCCAAAATTACCAAAGTCAAAGATATTTCAAGCGACGAAATGTTTCAAAACACGCGCGTCAGTTGAGAACATAGGACTGGTTTGAATCAACACCATATATGGTATATCAACGTCACGTGGTATGCAATGCATATCAAATGTCATAATGAGCCTGCTGGTGGTGATGACAGAATTGGTTATTGTAATTGTGGTGTTGTTTTTGAAATGAACTCAAAACTTACGCTATTGGTATTTTGTTTGTATTGAAAAGTCCATTAGAAGTGACCATATATAAGATGAGAAAAAGTCATAGAAAACAACGAAGATCAAGTAATTGCAGGTATGCAGTAATCATTACTCTAGTCTATTTCCTCTATATCAACTTGCTTTTGAAAAACTGCTTCGAATGTTGAAAAATAGACAGTGAAATTTCAGTAAATATTTTAAATATTGCCATCTCTAAACTTGCCTCTGATTAACCCCAGTGTATTGACCAATCATTTAAATATCACTTTGAGCTGTTTCTCTTTTATCAAAAGCGTGGCTTATATCGCATACTGTTGTGTTTGCAGGAATTGAATTATTAATGATATAAAGGTTGTAATTGATTGATTGAGGAGGGAGAGAGGTATTTAATTATAAATAAGCTGATTGCTGATGATGCAGCCTTTTAAACATTAGTTATTATGGCAAATGAGTAATGGTGTCAAATTTCTTAGCAGATTTACAACCAAATGTAAATGAAAGTGTTTATTTTAGCAGATTCCTGTTTGCAATATTCATAAAATAAATAAACTTTAATAATAATAATCAAGTCACTATCTGTTTCTGCAAAATAATTCATTTCAAATTTTACAGTACTTTAAAAGCTTTTTAAATAATATAGGCTGTATAAAATAATAACATAAGGCTTCAATCTGTCAGTCATACATACATTGAACTCTCCTTCATATCACTCATGTCAATGTACAACAAGTACAAAATTTTTTGAACCACAAATAAAAAATAGAGTACTATAAGTTGAAGCAGTTCTTCTTTTTGATCTGATATCATAATCTTAACAGATTAAGTCAAAGTGAAAATAGCAGTCTGGTTTTTAAATAGTTGAAGGATGTAAATCTTTTTGTGCCACTCAGTGGAAAAGCAATGAATGGAATTAATTTTCTAAAGAAATGAAAATTGTGTTTGCTGGAAAATTTTCATTGTAGGAGTGAAATTTTGACTGGCTTAGACACTGAAAGCAGTGTTATTTCATAATCCATTAACACTGAATTTAACATGTGTGAAATATGTTCCAAGGAGCTAGTAAAATTTATAACACATATTTTGCAGCTGGCAGTAGTTTGCACATTTTTTAAACTTTTTTGATTGATGTATTTAATACTATTTATTTTCTGATATTTTATTGATGTCATTTTTAAATAGGATTGTATCAGTAAATGGTTTGAGGCTGGATGTTTGTAGAGATAGATTGTTCAGTCATAACTTTACTACTCAAAACAGTTAATACACATAAAATGTTTTAAATTTTGTGATAGATATTTTGATTTTCACTAGGAATATTTTTTCCCAATATACAACGTTGTATAGGTATCCTTAGGCAAAAGAAAGAGGGAAAGGGATTTTTTTTCTTACCAGCTAAGTATCCTTGAGTTTTTGATTCGATGCACGTCTACATATTATGATTTTGTGTCTGGTTAAACCTTGGCTCTCAACGTCAGTTTTTTTACAGAAACTCGGTCGCTTCGAAATCTCCTCTTAATACTAGTTAATCAACTGGCCGTCAAACATACGTTTCGTCTAAGAAATTTTATTTGAAATTGCTAGTTCTCAAGGTAAAAAGCTTTTTTTCATAAATAGTAAACTAGACGTATAAATGGGCTATTTACTGCAGCAGAGGGTGCAGTAAATTTGCGTAGGTGCAGAAATAATCCACTTTTATCTTCCTGTAAAAATATGTGTAGTCATAGAATTGCCGTAAGCTTGTCAATGACAAGATAGTATGAAAAAAAATGGTCGAACCTCAAAGGATCTTCTTAAGCATTATTATTAGCGGTATCTCACCGACAGTGGTAGCTGCTGACATTGCACGTCCCTGGGTGAGAAAATAATGGTTTCCTGTTGTTGTCATAATTTAGCACGATGAGATTTGTTTTTGTCGGCATTTGACTCTTTATTGTGAACAAAGTAAACTTTCAAACAACGGGTTCGTTGGAAATGATATCAGATATGCGTTTTGCTTGTTTCGTGAAAAGAACAGTATTGATGAATCTTAGGATCTCCCTCTACGATTTTTATCGTAAATAAAAAAAAATCTGGAGAATAATTTAATGAATAACAAACTTTTGGTAAATTGAATTTTTTCTTCTCCTATTTCCCGAAGATGATATATTTTATTTGTTATGTCGTCAGGTTTAATTATCAAAGTGTATTAAATGTTGTTAAAGCTATTTAGGACGATTTACAAAAAGGCAGCAGACGACGTGTCTTCTAAAGCTGCTAATAAGATAATTCGAAATCTAATTTTTTTCCTTGGTAAGGGAGTTATTATGATTAAAGGCAGAAATGAAGAGAGATACAATACACTTTACTAGAAATTGTTAGCAAAATAGCCATGCTTGCTCAACACAGGAAGTAATTACTAGACCACAGTGTGAGGAAAACTCTGCTTTTAGTGATGTCAATATGTTTTAACTACGAACCACTGAATAAAAAAGACGTGTAAAAGGAAGTTGTTTTTTTTTTGTAACAATTAAGATTGTATGAGTGAAAACTGTATGGTAAGAAGGTACAAAATTGCGTATTGCTGAATCAAGTACGACTTCAGCCTCAGTCTATTCAGGAAACACGCATTTTAAATGACGGATGCGATTAATACAATAAAGTGCAGCGTTGTCTTATTGTTAATCGTCTAACCTAGCAAAGCAAGTCATTTGAAAGTTATTTTGAAATTTTGTGAAAAATTGAAAAGTAGAAAGTATTTTACAACCTGATTTTTGGTCAACTGAATTTCCAGTTTTGTCATCTTGATTGTGTTTTATTGCCATTTAATTAAATTTGTTACGGCACTGTCAAAAGTTGAGATGTCTAATTGTTTAAAGCCATTGTTTGGTACATTATTTTCGTCGCGCGCACTTGCAAAAACCTGCACCATATGTCTTATAAAGCCAGTGCTTCAGCCTAAGACGACAATATTTCTAGTGTGAAGTAATATTTCAGCCTACGGATTTAGTGTACGTCTTGAGCATTCGGCCTTGTTTTCATAAATTGTTTGTGATTTTCAAGTGAGGATCAGAAGATTGTGGTTAAATGCTCTGTTTTAAGCATTGGTTTTTAGTAAATATTTCTTTAAATAATATATTCTGGGGGAATTATATGCATATGACGCTTGATCTCAATATTTACATATGAATGTGAATATTTGTCAACAACGCATATCAACTGCAACAATAATTCCTCTACTTTTGTTCACTTGGAATCATGAAGAAGTAACTAAACGCCATTATCCGACTGTATGAAAAGTAAAAAGCTGAGTTTACTTTAATTACACATCGTAAACCTTAACAATTTAATAAGATGCTTGTCCCGATGACAGTTGCTTTTCCGAACTTATTTTAATAAAGAATTGATAAAATAACAAATATATGTGACTTCTGTCTGCATTTGAAATTAGCTTTTGATTCATAACATCTAACTAGAGGAAACAGTAACTTATAAGTTTTAATGAGCGTAATGTATTTTTTAATACAATTATCGTAGTTTAGTTGATAATTATACTTTTATTTTTCTAATGTTCGCGAAATTTTAGATGCCTAGTCTTTAAAATTTCACTGCATAAACTTATTACTCAATTGTACATAAAGACTTAGTTTAATTTCATAAGTTATACGTCACCTATTAGTCTCTAATGACCAAGTCTTCTATTTATTTTTCTACATTAAGAAATAGAAAGATTTAAAATTCAGTTACTTTAAAGTGAAAACCGTCTCATTGTGAACGACATATATGTAATATGTTTGAGTCGAAAAGCTAGTTTATCGGCAAAATGATGAAATTTGTTTGAAGAGTAATTGTTGCTTTGCTTTCAATTTGGATGGTGATCTGTTCAATTATCTTATGTGTCGCGTGATGACAATCCAGTTGTTGCGTGCAGCTGGCTTTCGGAATGTAAATATGTTGCGTATACAGTTGTAAGACTTTAGTTATATATGGATTTTTGCAGATTGTTCAACTCGTAATGTGTGATATCCTGCCGACATCTTCGCTATGTCAGATAGCTGTTACTGCAGTGTTCATTTGGCAGTTTATTTGATTTGATCAGTAAGGTGTGACGTCTTTCTTGGGGCATAATGTCAGAGTTTTGATGTTGTTATATTGATAAATTAAATGGGCACTTTCCAGACAGTTGCTGCCACTATTCCCCAATCATAATTTAACCGTGAAAGATGAGCTAGGACTCGTAAATAAAACCATTTACATGTTAAAAATACGAACAACTGTTTAATGCATAAAAATAGTTAATTTACGTATAAAAGCTATTTACAAATAACGTCAATTAGACCGATGTTAAGTTATTGTTAAGTCCATCTGTGGAAACATAATCCCACGTAACATTGCTATCAAAATATTTTTTCATCATCAACAAAAATGCCTTAAAGAATTCTTTCAAAGCGGAAACAATACATCCACTCTATACAAATGGAAACATAAAAAATACATATATTGGAATAGTATTATGTGCATGCTGTGTGCTTTAAAACCGTGTCGTGCATGTATGAATATCAAGAAAACCGACAGGCGGACGCTGTTCTTTAATTTGTTTCTCACACATACGCCAACACGCCATAAGCGTCCAATATCTTTGAGCGTTTAATATTAATTGCCATTGTTTTGAGACAATACTAGAAGTTTGTTCTGTTATGGGTGTGGTTGTAATTAACTTTGAACTAGGTGAAACTTGAAATAACACGTAATAACAAAACCAAATCGCTTTTAGCTTTCCTTCCTGATCCAAACGATGATTTATTTGAGCTAGCTAAAGATGTGTAACATGAGACGTGATAATACAATACCGGTTCTTTTGTCTTTCTTTATCAAATATTAATTTAATCGTCTTTCGCAATTGTAAACTGTGAATCTGTGATAACTTCACAGGCGTGTTGTCAATTTGCTTCCACTATTTTGAACCAAAAGGAAGTACGATGACGAGTTATTAAACACTCAAACGCCCACATTAACGGAGTATCATAAGTTGTCTGCCTTAAAAAAGTCAAAAGAAGTTTCTTTACTGATCGCATTAGATCATTTCTTGGCGTCATTCAGTTGACGTAGATATATTATTTGATGCATTGACAATCAGGAATTTATGTGATTTAAACCCAATTTAAGTTATTAATGAAATTGCTTGGTCCTAAAGAGCCTTCGACGTCACTTAACATGAAGTCTGAATTTATTTGATCAAGTCCGACACCCAAATCATCCGTATCCATACTTATCACTGATTCGGTACCGTCCATTAATCCTACATCGACGTTACTGCTAGGCATTAGGTCAAAACAATCTGGTAATTGCCCAGGTCTTAAGTTATTGTTGTTAGTTTGCTGTTGAAGATTCTCTTTCGATCCAAAATTGTCTTGAATACCATCGTCAAAGGTTCCGTTGACAATGTCAAGGTCAGAACCCGGATAAAAATTACCTAAGCCTAGTCCAGAGTCAGCAGACTCCTCTCTGATGTGTCTGCTTGTTAGGGTTGCTTGTGGTTGTGGATCATTGTTGGGTATACCCATAAATGCTTCACGACTAAGGTTCAATAACATCGAACTACTTTCCTCTTCATTTGTCAGCAATCCCCGTTTAATGACGATTTCTTGTTGAAGCAGTTGTTGCTGTCGTCTTTGCAGTATTTGTTTTTCCATCTGTAAGCGTTGTAGTTGCATTTGGTTACATTTCTCCAAGCCGTTATTACGAGCTGGCGACTGAGAGGAAGGAGGACCCGGAGTACGATTTTGTACAGGACTTACATTGTTTGATAGACGTGGATCTGCCCAACTTGTGCAATTCATATGATTCATGTAATACACATCTCTATTGCTATTGGGAGCCATTGATTGCTGCCAGCCATCGGTTAAACCTTGCTGGCTGCTTGCGAGATTTGAGGAAGATCTTGCTTTTCTCGGGTCTTGCCAAGTCGTTGATTGATCATTATGACTATACAGTAAATGAAAAAGCGACATCGTTATTTTACTGCGACGTCGTTATTCAAGTTTTTAATTTGCCAATCTTGTCTATACTTTTTCCAAATTGTTGATGCTTTTAAGTAAGTCATAACCTAATTATCTTGAGTGACTTAAAGTTTACCAATGTGTAATTTTAAAAAGGATGGTGAAATATGTTTTTTTCCCTGACCTTTCACTGTATTTCTATGGCGAAATATATATTTCCGCCCGACCCTAGTTCAATCTCCTCAACTGATACATGTCACAAGCAACTAAATGATTACAACTGCTACCCGTATAACATTATTATTTTGATAAACACAAATGATTTTATGAAAACTGTCTTTATTTTATGTATTCCAGGCATTTAAATCTTCGTCATATTGAAAAGCGCCATATCTCTTTGTTTGTCAAGTGTAGATTAACGAACCGATATATACACTTTTATGATTTATATGTGCATTCCCGTACATAAAAAAATTTCAAAAGTATCTTTGAACACTTCGCAGAATAGCTAATAACTATAATAAATTGTCTGAAAACTATTGTATTCAATTTTGTACATATACAAAGCCAAGTCGCTTAAAGAGCAAAAGTGGTAACCTTTGCCAAGTTGCTATGTAGATATTATTATTGTCGGGTATACGGCTTCAATTGTTCTGTTGTATTAGTTTGAATATATGACGATTATTTTATGAATGCGTTTACAGTAAATGAACAGTTGCATCATATTCTTGAGCTTTCTCAACCAGTTGTAATATAATTCTACTGTTCAATTAGTCTACCTTTAGGAGGCAATTGACGCTAGTTGTCTTTATTTAAAGCTATGAATATCGAGTGCTTAATGGCGTGAACTTACTTCATGAAATATTTTTGCCCGTCTGATGTAGTCGCTTCTTCCCATCCTGGTGGTAGTGGACCAGTTATATCGTTGTTTGATTCACTTGAATCGTATGACTGCGATCTCATGTGTAAGACTTGCATGTGGTTTACAGCTTTTTTACTTGATTTGGGTACAGTAAATGAGGCAGGAGAAGAGTGCGCTCGTGAATGAGCTATGACAAGGCCAGTACCATTGTGAATTTGTGGCGATCTTTTGACATCTTGCTTTCCTTCAAGATCCACCGAACTTGGTTTAAAAAATGACGGCGGTAATTTTCTCATGCGCATTGGCAATGCTGGTTCTTTCTTTCCTGCTGTCTCGTTTGGTCGTATAACACGAAATAACGCTTCGAGATCATTTTCTGAATCACTCTGTATATTTACAACAGCTTTGTTGCTTTTCAAAGTCATAGTTGCGCTACTTGTCCCCTAAAATAGGCAAGTGTAGTTGTCTGCTCTACCAAATGAAGCGAGTGTGTGGTTTGCTCGCAGGAACTTCACAAAAATACGCAAAATACTGCGTTAAATCATTACTCATCTTAGGTGGTGGTCACGGGTGTGAACTGACGTCATAATATGCCTTTGGGAAATCGTTTCCATGGTGATACCCTATCCTTTTCTTGTTTGATGTTCTTTCTTCTGTCCTAAATATATACCTCATTATGTTTAAATAAAAAATAATAATGAACGCAAATGTTTTATTATTATGTATCTGATCTTTTATTAGCATTTTAGACCGAAACTTCGAGCAAGAACTAATCTTTTTGCGTATAAAAACATTTACTTGTCAACCAACAAGTTATTTCGATGCAGTTATTAAACCAGAAACTTAACTCTGGTTTTCGAAGTTTATTTAATTGGTTTATTTACATTTAAATAAAATAAGACCAAACTTTTGTTTTCTGTTTTCGTTACCCTAGTGTTACAATCGTCCATGACACATCACACATGTATAAAATCCATGAGTCTTCAGTTTGTCAGTGTTTATGGTCGTATCAGGTTACTTTATAAAAGACTTGTATATAACTGATACAACATTATTTAAAAAGAAGCGGATGTTGCGGTAATGGACATAATAGTTAATATAGAATAGCAACCTAGGGGCTTCGTTTTAAATATAACTAGTGCTATTTAGTTGTGACAATTCACGAGCGATGTGTCGTGAATTTTCATTACTAGTTTTTTTTTTGCGTTAAAACAAACGGTCAATGATAAAACATGTTTCATGTATTCATCATGTTTACACGTTCTTCAATTTGGCACCAGACGGCGTCTGGTGTTTGATCCTATCAATTCTCATGAAAAAGTGTTTAAATTGCTTGTAATGCATTCTAGCGATTTCATAACATCAACAAATAGATGAAAATGGGTTAAAGAGTGGGATTTTGCGACTTAATTTCATGGTTTAGAACTAAATAATGTGTATTCTGCCTGTCTGTTAGCTACCTACTTCGAAACCAACCCGTCGTGTTTCATGTTTGTCATAAGATAATAGGATTGGTAGTACTGGATATAAACCATGTGGAAATATGTATTTGTAACCTGACCTAACACACCAACTTGTTTACCTTCATTTTCCCGCTCATTTACTTGCAGTTTGGTGGTTTTACCTCTAATTTATGATCGGTGATTTTCAATGTGAAGAATGAACAATTCGTGCCCCTCCGTGAGCATTAATTTTAATAACACGTGAATTGGAGAGAATTAATGATTGCCTGCTGTACGTAGCTGTCTTACTTTCTCATTTATTTCAATCAATTCACACATTCGCGAGAAAAGTCCGCTGCAAAGCCTTATAGAGTCTAGCTAGACTCTAACGAAATTAAACAGTTCACAATGTATGCTTTTGCTGTAACGAACGCAAAAAACTTAAGCATTAAGTTGTAAAGAATATTACATGCAGCTTGTAGGTCTGGAACATAAAGATTTAACCGACACGAATATTCATATTCATAGGACTCTTTGAAGCATCATAAAACATAGTTATATTCCATAACTTTTAACAATCTTTACAGATATCGTGCGCAAAGTACATATTTTTCTTCAAAGTACATAAGTTTTTTAATTAGAAAGGTACTTGTCTTTAAACGTTAAATATTTAAGTCATTGCAAATACAAAAAAAATTTCTATTTGAAATCAATATTTTTATTAGTCGTCTATTTTTTTGTAAAAATATATTTGAGAAATTTTTTGTACAGTAGTGGAAATATACATTTTATTGTTCTAACAATTTGTTTTTATTATGATGTAAATGTCTCACTTAGAGAAAGCTTCATTCTATGTGCATTGATTCAAATGTCACTTATAAAACAGTTTGTCATTTTATGTGCATTGATTTTAGTGTTACAAGTAGAAAAATTGTCTTTTTATGTGTAAGGTTAAAATGTCGCAAAGAGAGTTATTCTTCATGCTATGTGCGTATTGCCATTGCATGGCTGCATGAGACAGAATCTCTTTGGAAACCTTTTCTCATCACAGAAGGTGGCAATCAAGTAAAGCGATTTTTAACAAAGTCGAACAAAAGATCTTTATAGTCTGTCTATGGAAAATCATTCCTAATGTACCTTGTAATTAGTGCTGCCGACTAACTTAGTAGGTAACAAACACAAAACTATTACTGCTATAAAATTAAAGCACATTTAGTTTCACATCTCAATGTTCACAAACGAAAAACGTCAAGACTATATATTTTTAAAAATCAATTCTTGACATAAACATACATGTTGATGTGCGATAAATATGTTTTATTTTTGGTGCGGCAGTGAAATTTGCTTCTTTTTAGTGCATATTTGCTCAATAAAGAAAAATGATCGCAAGCAAAAGAGTCTTGGCTTCGCTTTAGTGGCTTCTAGTCATCATCTTTAGTCATCTCCGATGAAATTTTGAGATCTATGTTGGCGGTATTTTTTACCAGTGTTTGAATGGTATCCTGTGGCTCACAGCCGGATACTAGATATTGTGAGCTCGCAGATGGATACTCAAAGCTACAGCCAATCAACACAGGTGATAATCTACAGCCATCGGCAATCTTTTGTGCTGTCTTTGATATGAAAGGCTTCACCTAAGGACACGTTACTACAATAGACTATGGTTAATCATAATAAATAAGAGCATTGTTGTTGTGGTGTTGTCTAAAAGATAAAATTGTTTCATGCAAATGATGTTATCATATTTGTGTTTGGCTTGCTTCCCAGATTGAAGAAAATGTAAACCAAAAGGGATTAACTTGATGTCCAGCGCTCTGATTTTATATTTGAAATTAGGTGAACAATATTTCGAAATTTTTTTTAATCTTTTGTATTTAAAAACCTAAAGACCGCTCATGTTGTTAAATATAATTCAATCAGGGTATATGCCGTGTATCATGCATTTTAAAAGTGTTTAAAGGCTTCCCATATAATATTTATTATAAAGAGTTTTTATGATCAATTTTACAAACTTTTGTATTCTATTGTACAAAGCATACAAAGTATTTCATGATTAAAAGCTTGTTTTATTTTATGCTTTGTATTTTTTAAATATTGCGTAATGTAGTCGTAACTAAACACGTACCTATATTATGTTCATCTTGGCATATTTATTCTACGTAGTTAGTAGCTGCTACTTTCCTGTCTTATATAGTTATGTTTATGGCGATATGATTATTACTTTAAGAACTTTGTTGTTTCATCAGATAGCAATAATTGAATTTAGACTCCCTAAAGTAAAATTCACAGACCTTTCTTTTAAATTAACAACAACAATTATTGGTAGTTATATACTCCGCTTTCATTTTTTTACTATACTTATCTTCTGCGTTGTATCACTTCTATCCGATTTGAAGAGTTATCAGTTGAAATCTATCCATATAACCTTACCGGTCGAGTGTTGTCTGAGTACGCTCATTCCCGTGTGAACGTAATGTGTTGGTTATTTTTTGCTTATGATAACAAATTTTTGAATGACCTTATTATGTGATGTATAACCGTTGGATAGAACGCTTTATCGTGAGGTTTTGACTTTTGATCATCTTTTTAATGTATAGCGTTGTATTAGTTTTTTCTATTATTCAAGTATTCGCTTATTTAGTTATGATTTATTGCACAAGTTGGAGACCTTTAGAGTAATTTGAGTTGTTTTAAATCCATTATCACTATCATGATGTATAGTTTATGTAAGCAGAAAGCTGGCTGTTTTTACGTCAAAATGAAAGTTAATCATTAGAGATCATTTCATGTTGCCTGACACGAAGATTGCAGATTATATCATTAATATTAGCTAATATCCGTTGCTTTTTACTTTGGCGTGGGTGACGTTAGCAAAAATTTCAATGAATATGTCTTTATCTTTTGTGATAGAATATGTAAGGGTCATTGGACCAACATTAGTATAACGCTATTTGTCAGAAATATACATGTTAACTTTTAATCACTTTTTTTCTATTTTGGAAAAATTTGACTGCCGTCATTCCTAGAATATATATTTTAAATTTTAAATTTTTACATATCTTATTTCTCTTGGTCTCTATCCTTTGATGGCTGCCCTAAATATATTGAATGTTTTGGACCAAAAAAATTCAGAAATTACTGTTATATAAGATTCCTTTACTGTCGACTTCAGCTTTGAAAGTTACTTCAAATATTCATTCAAAGAATTAAACTTGCAATATTGAAAAGAATATTTGAACATTGTTTCAAAAGCTCGGTATGTCATGAAACTTTCTTCTGTTTGGTAGTTCAAGTAAATAAGGCTTAAATTCTGTAAATGTAATGTCATTGCACCTATTTCAAACCGATAAAATAAAACGCGTTACTCTATTAAAAGCGATCATTAAAGCTTCTATGTTATATTGTTAAATTCTTTTGTTAGAAACAATGTAATACGTTGTATATTTTGATAATACTGATTAAATTTCAGCTAAAAATAGTTTTCAAGTGCGATTTTTGTTATAAACACTCTCTCTTCGTTGCCTCGGTTATTGCCATAGGGATGGTCAGGAAGTAATTCACACTTAAAACTGTGTTATTGACGTAGCATCAGTATACACAAACCCAAAATCTGTAAGTAAGACAAAGCATCTTTTGACTTTTAAACATTGTGTAGCTTGGAAACATATTTTCTAATTTTATATTATTTTATGGACTATATCCGTTTATTTAAAAATTAAATATTTAATTCTTAGGATGTATAATTTTTTACTGGAGATGATACGTTCGAAGGACAGGTACAGTTAATAAATAAATATCAATTGTCTTTAAATGTATGATTTTTCCCTTATTTGTTAGAAAGACAACAGTTAGGCTATAAATGTAATTTTAATGAATTTTTCAGACTGACATTAGGGGGATTGTACTAAACAGTAAAATGGACTTTTAATGTATATTTCAATTCCCTACACCTCTCAAATTACCGCACAACAATGCAATTTATATGAGCGACAGAAAAAGTAATGCGCTGTCCCGATTTTGTTAAACGATGGGCCTGATTTGTAGCTAGTAATTGACTCCTCATTTCTAGCTCGATTAACATCGATCTATCTCTACCTAAGAAATCAGCAAATAAAGTTTTTGTGTTGTATATCTTAAAGTTGAATTGTATTAGTAAAAAAAATATATTGATAATAATTATTGTTGAAGATTGCTGACGTTATTGGGTTCATTGGTGACATTGGCGACAAGAGGAAATGAACTTGATGTAATGATTACGTCAGCAAGTTGCTTGGTCACTGATTTTTATCTAAATTGGGCTTGAGCGCAAGATGATGAAATCGTTACTATGCAGTTTCTAACAGTTATAATATTGCCATTCAGTGAGTTGAGTTAGACTGACAACTCTGGCATGCATGTTCAAAATATGCATCATGATTGAACCAATACTCGAAAAGATCATGCTGCACCGCGGTCTAAACTTCAAATTATTTTTCTGCAACTGTAACAAATGCACTTTATTTTAACGTGTGCTTTTTCCTCTCTTTCGTGATTTATCCACACATGTCATGTCAATAATTGCGTGATATTTGCTTTCTTATTTTCGTCTTATTCCCATGAACTTGTAACTTCGCTTTTATTTGTTTATTACGTCATCATCAAAACTTATGTTAAAAAACTAAGGTTGTCTTTATGGATTTGCTTATGTACATGGCAATATTTATTTGCCTTATACATGTAAAATGTCGTGTGAGGTTTCATGTTTTCTTCTTGCGTTTTAAGTGGCATCCAACTAGGGTTCAAGTTCAACTAATTACAAAACGGAAAAGCTTTTGTTGTAATAATTATAAAGCAATTTTTCTTAACCTTTCAGTTTGTATTTCTTTCATTTACTTATAGACTGCACGCATTATGCATATCAAATAATTCATTATAGTATCAAAATCAAATCACCTTCATTCTTGTCTGGGCATCTTCATGTTGATATGCCTTTTGCTTTATCTTTATGGAATGATTGCTTGCAAAATGAAAGAGCGACAGCAACTGATTTTTTACTTGAATGGAAATTATTCTTATACATTCACTTGATTTCTGTTTAGCCGACAAAGACGGCTTGGGCATGCTCTAGTATATATCAGTTTTGTAAGATAAGTTGTGGGTAAAGTTTTTGAATGCATTGTATCTGTATAAGTCTGAGTTAAGGTTCAGTTAGCTTATAAGCACATCAAGTGTTGTGCAGACTTAGTTACACAGTAAGTTTATTCATAGAGTTATCGTACTTATCATAAATCATTGTTAAAATCCATAACTATGTCTCGTTAGCGAGCAAATCTTGCAAAAGTGCAATTATTGTTTTGCAAAATTATTGCACCAAGCTTTTTCTCGTTTTATATGATCATATACAAAAACGATTTTTCCATACATTAAGATTGTATCAAAGTTTGGTATTTTAAGAATCAAATTGACCTCGTGTTCTATGCATGCAATGAATCTTTCAAGCTCGCCATGTATTTGCCACAATCTCGGATGTCTATTTTATTTTTGATAAATTTATACTTCTTTCTTTTAGCTTTATGTCCACATAACAAACACACCTAGTAACCTGTCAGCATATAGTCAGTTCTGTCAGCAGTGCATGAAACGTTTAGAACTGTTTTACTTGTGCTATGCTCAGACAATGTAAGTGAAAGATAAACAAAAGTATAAATAGAAATTAAAGTGCAGGACATTTTTTTACAATTTGCCATTTAATACACAACCGTTGTGCTGTTTATATTTTCAGATAAATTAACGCATGATAATCATTGCTGTCTCCTGTGACGTCGCCAGCTCGATAAGTGAGGGGGGGGGAGGTTATTCATATATTCATGTTTTATCGCATTAAGTTCTTTTAATTTTAACATGCATATATGAATACTGTTCCCCTCACGTATCGAGGACTCAACTATATATTTTAGTACAGAAATTAATGAAGTTACGTAAAGGACAAAGTGTTATATAGAGACCTAACAGGATAAAGCTTGTGCGGGTTACAGGAGAGCGTCAAAACGGTGTTAAAACGTAACCGCGAGAGAGGGAGTTATTTCGATGATATGGAACGGTGAGCTTCACCCTCAGGTTTTTGTTGAAAGATGAAATGTTTTCACGTTTCTATAACACATGACGTTTTGTGAATACAAAATGAACGGGTATGAAATCAAACATGATTTAAACTAAAACTTTTGTTCTTTTAATTTGCTAGAAAATTACTGGAAAGTAAGGAAATTAATTTCCTTTTTACACTGTAAATTATTTGATGTTCAAACACTGTCATCCAATTTTATTTAGAGCACATAACAACCCTGCAAAAGCTTCTAAACAATAAAATTCTAACTTATTTTTTTAACTTATGTCTTACTTAACTGTAAGATGCCCAGGTCGGCCGTAAAAATTCATGATTGATGATTTCAAAAATACTTCGAAAGAGAACTTCAATTTATCCCGAGTATTCACAACACGATACTAGCATTAAGATCATATTTTTGTTGATTTAACGAGACAGTAACGTTTTGTCCTAACGACAAAAATGGTTTTGTGTACGAAATGAAGAATTCATCGTTGAATCAAAACATTCCCATGACAGAAGAATTGTTTTCTGTTGGTAAACGGTTAAATAATTGTCGTTCATAAACTATTCTTTCGGGTATTGATTCTTGAGAAAAATGTCGGTTAACTGGAGAATAAAAATTTCTTGTACAAAGTGTTTCAACCATATTCGGAATATAAAATCTCCCAAAATACGATCGTGTATCCTGAGGAACAGGTGAGTACTCTTTCGGATTGAAAGGGGTTAATGCATCAAAACTTGGCACGTAAGTTAGGCAAGATCCACTCGTCATATCAGTAGATCTTTCCAACATTGTTCCACTGTATCTTCCTTCTGGTGTGTAATTGTTAGTTTTGGAAGTGTTGTATAATCTTGATTTTGTATTCCATGAAGTATTAGCGTCAGTGGCAGGTATAACATCTGTATGGGGATTCTCAATTTCCATTTGATCACTTGAATCATCAATTTCTATTGGTGATTTGGTTCCATTAAAATTTTCTCTGCCAGAGATATTTTGATTAGTTGTTGTTTTCACAGCTTCAGTTTCAAAGTTGTTTATCGTCACCTTCATACTTTCATTTACAGCTTTGGTTTCTTGTATTTGCATTTCATTTATTGATGCTGGGATTTTTTAAGTAATAAATTCTATTATAAGCACTTATTTTACACCAATAATTCAAGTACAACAACTCACCGCATTTGTTTACTGGGATGTTTTGTTCTTTGTATGCATGTGATTGATGGTGGTCACGTGATGTTTTGCATTCGACGCAATAAACAATGTAATCTTCTAGTAGGATGTGCAGCAAGTGAAATGAGCCTGTAAATTTAATGGTCAGTCTTGTTTACATTTATATTTCAAATCCAATTGTGGAATACAAGATTTTTACATTCAAATTTTTTGCAAAATTGAATACTGTACCAAAACTCTGAGCACTTTTCAAGGTCAGCTCACGCATGATTTGGTTGCCAAAGAACGACCATTTTAGAAGAAATTCTCTTGAAAAATCCTTTACCTTTTCCTCATTTTCATCCTTTTCTAAACTCTTTAAAATTCATACGAAAAATAAATATGGTACAACAGATTTCCAAATAATGTACCACAAAAATGAAAGCAATTTCATCAAAGCAACTGATATGCTAACCTTGAGACATTGATCCACGAGATTGCTGGCCCATTCGGCGTACTGATCAATGTTGGCTTGTTGTTCGAGAAGTTGGGTAAACTGTTGAAGAACTGATTGGCAAAATTGGTTAGATATTATGAATACTTTTTTTTCTTCATGATCGACACCCAAGATTTGTTGGATATGACAAATAGCACTTTTGTTCATGAATCGATACTCATATTAACAGTATTGTTTTAACATTTACCTATGTTAATAGATTTTAAATTGATGAAATCGCTTTAAATTTTTCTAAAAGACTTTTCTAAAGATCAAAATTTAAGATTTTAAACTTTAGCACGAACAGTCAAACTGTTCAAAACGAAGCAAAAAGTGCAAGTGGAACGTTTGGAAAGAATCGTTTGAAAAAATTACATCAGTTAATCCATTTGCTTCACAAATTTTTTGGACCAAAATATCTTGTTATCTGACATAAACTTACATGTTTCTATTTTGAGGTAGTCCGTATCAGGACTTGAAGAAAACGTCCATAAAGTTTGATTCGTGATTTCATCAAAGTCAATAGTTTTCCAATCACTGGCCATCTGCATTACTGGTTCGCTGCTGTGAAGAACAGTTCTTGCGGCCTGCGCTAAGTGAGTGAGTGAGGTTTTTCGACGAAGTGATTTTGAAAACGTTTTAGCCACTAAATATGAAATAGGGAAGATTTATTAACATTCTTAACTAGAGACAAGTTTATACACAGTCAATACTATGGAACTCATTGAAATAGCAATTACCATTAAGTTTCTTCTGTTTGAGCTCGTCTGGAAGGTGGGTTAAAGACAATTCTATCCATGAGTTAAGCTGTGTTGCAAATTGCCGAATTGCTTGCGTCAAACTAAGAACAAAGTGAAAAAAATATGTTTTTATGTTTTTCCGGATTTTTTCTACTAAATCATCGTATCATCGTTATACCTGGCAGGAAGTGGTTCAAGAACTCCTGGTATTAAAACACATTCTATTGCCTAAGGGATAAAAATCAAAACCTATAACATTTTATTCTTTACTTCATCAAAAACAAAATGACTGGCATTTGATACAGATATGCCATATTTAATAAAAATTCTTTATTGCTTGTGGAATTTCGTTCAAAAACGTAAGATGACATTGCTCACACTCAACATTGTTTTACCTTGAACAATATTTCATCGCAGACTCCGATCAAGTTGATTACTTCATGACAGCCTAATATAGCAAGAATATGTTCTGGCATACCTTGCCAAAAATGGACGAAAAACTTCTGAACCTGAAACAGAAAAAATAACCTTACTTGAAATTATTTTCACACGTCTTCCAATAGTGAAACAGAGCTCAACATACATATTTGTTTTAATTACCTCTCCAAAATTGGCTCGCAGTATCGTATCCAAAATCCTCTGACAATGTGCGCGATACATGATCAGAAAAGTTCTAACCTAGATGACGATTAAACATAAATATCTGGAGCTTTACGTGACTGCAATTTGAGATGATTTACAGAGATTTCTACCTTGTCTTTAGGGATGCAGGAAGGTAATTTTAAAGATTCGATCTTTGGAAATGATGGAAGTAAAGTGCCTCCTGACGATGACATTAAAGAATGTTGCTGGGAATGGGTTGAATGTTTTGATGTATTGTTCAGCTAAAAATGCATAAATGACATCTTTAAATAAAATAATGCCCATCAGAGAAAACATGGAGCGGGGGCAAAGGTAAAATTTACAATCAAGCATAAACAGGGTAGGTTTTGGGGCTATTCCGTCTACCTTCCCATCCGATTTTTTAACAGGATTGCAATCTTTAAATGCTCAACGTATTTCATAAATGAATAATATTCATTCTTAAGATGGTCATAGGGCTAATGTAGACTTAAAGTCACACCTGATTTTTTGTCGGAGTTGAATTCTTTGTGGTGGAATATCTAAACGTGTGGGTTGAACGTTAAGTTAAAATCAAAAAATTACTGCATATCAATGATAGAAATAAAATAAACTATGATTACGAATCTTATGATAGTAATCATAGTTTATTTTCAACTTATTAATCTTAACTTTGGGATTAAGATGTTTAAATGCAGTAGCGTAGCTAGCTCGATAATTGAGTGAGGAAAGGGGAGGGTAATATTCATATATGAATGCTATAAAGCCTATAATATTGAAAAAAAATGTTTTCAATGAAGCAAAGTATGGCAACTATGAATGTATTGTTGAATACTGGTCCCTCGCTTATCGGGCAAGCTATGGAACTGGTCAAATGTCTTTGTTATAACTGGTGTGAATGTCTTACGTTTGATTATACGGTTGTCGTCCATTATTTAGAAGTGTTTCATGATATGGTGAGCTCTTTTTGATGGTTATACCATAGTAATGATATCTGAAAACGATGCATAAAATTTACAATGCTTACTTAGCAGTTAAGCATTAATCAATGTCTTTGTAAAACTTTGTTTGCTTGTACCTGTCGACCATTTTTAGTTGTTTGTACTTACTTTGATTGTCCTCTGGTTCCAAGTCTTCTGGTTTTTAAATTTGGGAAATTATGACGTATTATCTAATATACATCGATACATAAAAACCAATGAAATTAATGGAACATTGCGAGTAAAGATATTATTGTTATACACCTAATCAGCACATAACATACCTTGCCGAAACTGGCAGCATTGACAGGATTTAAGGCAGACTTTTGACAAAAATCCAAGTAATGTTGGTAAAGTGAACTACGCGGTAAACTAACTCCTTCAGCGACTTCATAATGTTCATTTAACCTTAAAAATAAACATAGCTTCACAGTAAAAACAACTATCTGTGCCATTTGTAAGTTTCCATGGTATGTGTAGTGAGTTATAATGAGTATGTAAATGTTTGTGATGACAATGCAAGAAGTAGGAAATAGATAGCGCTAAACGTGGGATGCCTTCAACGGTATGTGAAGATTTTGTTTGGATAGGTTCGCCTTGGTTTAAGTTTGATTTTAATACCTAGCTTATTTTTCCAACAAATATCGATAGAATTTATTGTATGACGCCATCTTGTCAACAACAATTGCTAACGTTTCGTAATTGAGTAAGTTTCCAATAAATAATTCCTATTTATCACATTTTTTTGCGTGTACTTGAGACTAGGTAGTTCAATACAAGCAAGAGATGTCACCTTAAGGTCGTACTAAGTGATGTGTAGCAAATGAATAATGCAATAGGTATTTTTAGTTATCCTTATAAATATTGGAAGAACTAGTGATGAAAAGAATGGACTTTTGCTTTCCTTTGATTTCATCTCTTTCTTCTCTTAACTTAATCGTGCGAAAATTATTATTTTATGTTTGTTTTTTCTCGTTATCCTTCGTGGTACTCACCACTTCGTTGTCAATGGCGACTGAAGCTTACTGTGAGAGAGATATTGGCCACCTTGATAAGCACCTAGGCACAAAGAAAATTTTGATTTATTAAGAATAAAAGTGATCTAAACAATATTTTATAGTTGTTTTACATGCAAGAAATTGCGAATCAATTTACTCGTTATAATCTGTTGTAAAATCGATCGAACGCTTCTTAACGAATTAATTAATAAAACAAGAAACTGCTCAGGTTCGCCCATGTACTCTTGAAGGTTGAGAATAAAGAACAATTTTGTTTGTACAAAATAATATTTTCGATATCTATTCTTACTATATAGTGTATGTTGGCACTATTGTACGACATATTGAAAATTATTTGTTCTTTTTGTGATTCATAAGGTAGATTTTAAAGAAAATATAACCGCTAATGTTTGATACACAGTCATATGTATCAACAAGTGATGGCCAAATATTGAGAAGAAATAAGTAGTTACCATAAAACATAACAGGTAGTGTAGAAGTTATTCTTCAGTGTATATGTATAAATTCTTACCAGTTTTTTCCATCGCAAATAACAGCCTAAAAAGTGAGACTTCGTTTGTACTTTTCTTCTTTAAGATAAAAAAATAAATTTTAACGATAGGTTTCATATCTTTGTAAACACGCATGATATTAAAGCAATATAACTGCCAATCTACCTATACTGTAGATAATGAAAATATAAATATGTGTTTTTATGTATAGAATAGATACCTGAGTTTCTATTCGGTCTATCCTCGTTTTTTATGATTTCTTATACTTGTATCTACAATTCTGTTAAATTCCCAGTGGAATAGGAACGTACTAAGCTCCCTAGCCAACATGCGAGAACTTATTTATGTATCTACCATTGTTAGGTCTTTATCATATTTAATCATTAGCATAATTATCTTTAATGATATATTTTGCATCCGTTCTTTCTTAGTATTTTACATCTGTAAATAGAGGGGGGGAAATTTGATTTCATAAGTTCTATCTCTTTCTCTTTTAACCTTTGTTTATTTTAACATGATGTGTTGTTATGTTTATGTACATGACGAATTAATGATAAATATCATAAGATTATCTACCAGTGAAATTGTTTCTCCAGTGGCATAAGAAACGGTTTTAACTTGGGAGGTACTTTTCTTAAGTGCATTGTCTGGAATTAAAGTCCAGTGGTATATGCATGGACTCTCCGACTCTCCGTTAGCTAACCACAATCTTATTATCATATGCTTTAATCATTGCATGAGATTTTAGACAAGAAAATGTAATTTTTTACACAAATTGAAAATGGCCTTTTTAAAATTACAAAGAAATTCTTTAATAAAACTATTGTTAGTGTGGCAAAAATGTATATGCACTGCATTTAAACATTATTCACATGTGTCTGTCGTCAAAACTACGATTTGTACATTTCGCCCAAGTTAAATATGTACATACAGGTGTCATTTTATGTCTTGCAAGTATTCTGACGATACGAGACAACATTTCTTATATATTTGGCAACAAGCTTGCATGGTAGTTGACAAAATCATCTTTCCTGTCATGAGGTTTTAATTATGTTTTTTACAATGAGAATTTAAGTGACCACAAGTATCTTGGCGAAAATTGACAAAAAGTCTTCTACCACCTAGGTTGGGACTAAACAATCTTCAAATGTAAAAAAATCAACTAGATCTTCACTCAAACTACGGAACAACATTAAAATTTTTGTGGTCAATAAATGAATCTCATCTGTGAAATTGTAAGACACTTTTTATGATACAAAAATTTTGAAAGAGTAAAGGTAAAAAAACGTTCGCAAATCAAATGAGTATATTTCTCGGTGTTAACATTCACATCATGTCAATAGCTATATAATCAAAGATTGATGGTGATTCATTTTTTTTGAGAAATAAATACTTTCATATTATGCTTGGTTGACAAATCGATGATGTCAAAGAGTAATAAAAAATAAAGATGCACCATTACGTGATAAGATTTTCTAAGCAACAATGAAGCAACAATGACAGGCATTTTATGTACATTGGTAAGTTTGCATTGAGTTTCCAAGATGATACAATCAGAATTTAAAATGCCAGTAAAGCAACCTTGACGACATACAGATAACGATGGATATATTTCTCACTTACTTTCTTTAAATTGTTCGTTGGCACAAAAATACACTTCGATTTTTTTCTCTTTGTTCCTTACGTTTTGTTCTTTCTTGCAGTTATTTCTCCTGAAGAACGTCGCTCTATAACTGTGCTAGATTTTTACCATCGTTCAACTTTACCTACGCGTTATATCTTTGATTAAATGGACACGTCGTAACTCAGCATGCTTTGATTAAATGATTTATTGAATTATATGAAATTAGCGAGGTGTCAAATTGCCATTGAATAATAAAAGCTTTTATTCTTTTGTGATAATATATGAAATACATAACTTAAAAGAGCTTTCAATATCCATAGAAACCCGTCCGCCACTACCTTTGTTATAAACTATAAGACCTTGCTGTTCCCGTTTTCACTATTTTAATTGTTTCTGAAGTATCTTAAAAAACACATGTAGTTAAATTCTTTCTTCATGACTTTTTCCCTTTTGTTCTTTGACATGGCTGAATTTATTTAGTCAAAAATAACATATTGCCAAAAACCTTGCACGAAAGCTTTAAAACTCTTAAATATCTTCGTATACATGGCTTGTATTATTTTTATTTATTAAAAATTGTATTGATTAAAATTCATGGACTTCGTGACAATTACACAAAAGAAAATAAAAATTTTCTTGTCTGACAAAAACTTGCCACGAATTTGTGTGTAATGATTATGTATTGCTGTAATCATAAAAACATGTTATCTATTTTAAAATATTCTTAATATTGAATACATTAGCGATCTCATTTAATGAATTCAAGCCACATGGCACAACGCGTGCATGCTTTGTCTAAAAGTTCCGAATACATATTGTTAAAATTTTTAGACATTCACAAATAACACTTATGCGTCTAACACTTATGCATCTATAGTTTTAATTAAAAATTGCAAATTAATTTTTTATGTAAACCTTTAAGAACAAAAGTCTTTGTGGAAGTTTCTTGACTGGTGCAAAAGAAAAAACATAGTGTAGCTACTTTCTTCGATATTAGCTCTTTCTGTTGACGTGTTCTGGCTGCCACCGAAGTACTTTTTGAATAGGCCAACTATCACGATTAGAGTCTAAAGATATGTGTAGAGTTTAGTATATGGACAGGTAACTTGTTCTAGCAACGTCAGTTTTTTAAATTTATTCACTTCTTGTCTTAATTCGTCACTGCAGATTACTGTTTGATTAGACGCAATTGCTAAAAATATCATGATTTTATGTCCAACTTTGAAAGTTAGCTAACATTTTGTTGTTATAAGTCACTGTTAGTGTGACTAGAACAATTACCAATTTGGGAATACATCTTTCAACCTTGCTCCTCGAAAAATTTAAAGAAACATAAGTTTAATAACTGCTTTGTTAGTAGTTAAATTCAAAAATTGACTTTTTTTTGCTTTTTTATGGCCTGAGTTACAATGGAAATTTTGACAACTTTTGCGCTTTGATGAGCATGAAACAATGAAATCCAGTCTTCACTCTTTCTTCAATCTTTCGCCTGCTTTCGAGCTAACAATTTGTCATAGAAGCGTGTTTTAAATACGCTTCTAGAAAAAAGGGATTTTAATTAGAGTTTGCACCCACCAAGGTTTTCAATCTTAGTTTGCGCACATTAGACTGCAATGAATGGTAGTGTGTAGAGTGATAGTGACTCAAAATATGTTAGCAACTGGTTTTTCTGAAAACACTTCTTTAGAATAAGAAGACTGAGGCGAGCTTATTATCGGAATCACGTCGGAAAAATGGTCGGAAACAGTCGTTGAAAATTAGTTACCAAACCCAATTGAAAAAATTCCAAATAAATTTCTTTCTATTTGCAGAAAAGAAAATGTAAAGAGCGATTATTTACGTAGTAATCTTATTCATCTTCTTTATTAAAAGAATTGAGTTTGAAAATGGTGAGACTTTTTGTTATTCCCATATTTCTAAGTTCATGCATCATTTATATCAATGTGAATACAGAAATAAGTTGTGTTGTTTGACTGGGCATGACTTTGCTTTGTCACATTTTCTTCTTTGCTTGTGGAAACTAAAATATATGTATTCTTTTTGAGGCTGCAAACTTAGTTCAAGGTATTGATAGAATTCCTGGTCAACTTGGTTATTTAGTTGTCAACTCTGATGGAGCTGTTATTGCTGTAAGTATTTTAATCCAATTTCACCAACAATCATTTGTAGTAATGTAGTTTGTAATGAAAATAGCTGACTTAAAAATTTTTCTAATAAATAAATATTCTGCATGAAAAAAGTTGATGAGTTAGACTTTTTTCTATGTTTTGAAATTTATTTATTTCAATGAAGAAGTATTTAGTTATTTTGTCTTTTGTTATAAACTGGTTGTTGTAATTTAACAAAAGCTGCATCATTAATCTTTTCTCATCATTTTTTTTATTTTCAGTCAGAATATAAGTTTTAGTTTGACTTTGTAAATTGTATGATTAAATAACTTAAAAGTCCATGCTTATCATTGTCATGGTGTCAACTGTATTCATCATCTTCATTTTTATCATAAAACGTCTAGAAATTTACCATTTTGATCAATAACCTTGTTTTAATGTATGTTATTGGAAACCTTATAAATTGATTTGATTATGCTTTATTACAGGTTATTTTTGGGGCTTCGAAACTATCTAACTTTACAAATTGAAATTGTCTTACAAAATTTTATTTGTTTAATAGTCTGGAGGATTTAGAAAATGAAGAAAATGTTGCAGATGTCATTGTTAAACTGTTAAAGTATGCTACAAAAATTCCTCTATCTACTGATGATAATCAAAATTGCAAGAGGATATCAGGTAACTCTGCTTGTTTAGTTTGTTCCGGGATTATTTCATGTGGAAATGTAATTGATGTTACTAATGAGATTGGTTTTATAAAGAAATGAAGTAGAATTTTGGACAAAAATTAATTTTTTTTGGAAATACCAGTTTCATTTGATTCTTCTTAATTAGAGTATTTTAGGAAATTTTGATGTTTATGTATGCAGACACACACTAACTGTACTTGAATGTAAAGTCTAACCTGTATTAAATGGTTCCGACCATGTTAAATGGCCACACTTTGTTATGCTATCCTTCGTACTTTCTTGAAAATTTCATTATATAAATACTTGTGACCTTGAATGGTCACTGCAGCCGTCAACTTTATAATGGTCCATATTGAATCATTTTGACACTGTATTATATGGTCGGGTGAAGGAAAAACAGCTGACAATGCGATATATAATGAAATCTTTATTCCAGAACTTGTCAAAGTCTTTATGTTTGAGTTGTCAAAATAAAGTTCGGAAAGTACTTCCACATATTATAGCTATTGACAGAGAATGGAGGAGAGGAATATGTATTTATGTCATTGACATGAAGCAAGGCAAAACAACAACAAAAAACATACTTGCCAACCCACACTCCCCAATTTAAATTGGAAGCAAGAAGGTGTGAGAATATTATTCCTTTTTTGGTCCTCAGCTGGCAAAAAAAAGCACTTACTCGCTTGCATTTAGTTCTTTCATGTTTATTTGTGATTTGAAGGTATTTGAAAGAATGATTTTCTGTGAATAACATTATTGACCATAAGTTTTCTTTTTTATTTAGTTGTTTACAAGGATTTTACCTTGTCGGCTACTGTTTCTAGCAGCAAAATTTATGTCATAAAAAAGGAAAATGAGTTTCCATGATGGTATGGGATAAAAGAAGGATTTTTTAAATCACAAAAATTTTGTTAAAATACGTGGATATATATACTCATGATTGAGTCTGATTGAGTTATTAATTCATATTATAGATAATGAAAAAATCTTGAACCTTCTTGATTTCGTAGATTTCTCTGTTATAAATGGCTCCTGATCATGTTTTATTTGGTTCAATAGCAATCGACCAATCAATTTCCGTCATTACACCCTATCTTTTCATTTTTTCAGCCACATTGCTGTATAAATGTTGTTTGTGAAACGTATGTTTTCATATGTTTATTGGTTCCTGGCTTCATAATGAGATAATGCATTATTGTCAGGCTTTTTGGTCTTATTTGGCAGTTTGTATGATTTACTTAGGTGCTTTCAAAGTTTTCGTACAAAGCTTGCAAACAGTCGTAGCAAATGCAATTAAACAAAGTAACTATTATGTCGAAGACTTTGCTGTGAATTGAACGACAAAAATCATTGCGTGGTTTACCCTTGGTGTAAAGATATAAAATGCTACGTAAATTGCTTCAACTAAATCATTTTAATCGCATGAATAATGACAAAAATAAAACACTAAAATTTGTTGTCATTTAAAAAGCAATGTTCACTTTTTTGTGATCGTTGCTCCAATGGAGAAACGATTTATTTGTTGACCATCTCCCCAACCAACTACAGCGACATAAATATCCCTCAGAGAACCAGTTCCCGTACCAATAGTAACAACATTTAAAGCTATTCCTCTTGGGTCTGAACTTGTTGCATCTTGAGGAGTGCATCCTGTTGAAGGATCTACTGGAGGTAAGCAGACGTATGTTGCCATTGCAGAAACCGAATCCATTGCGGTCACGATAATATCGATGTTATATCTACAAAATTCATAAAATTAAATTATTTGTAAGATCAAATTGCGTGCGATAGTTCTATCTTTTTTTCTTAACTGTCACAATTCTTCGAATTTCGAAAGGTTCGGGAGCCGTATTTTTAAAACAACTTGCAAGTAAATATTTTTTTATAAGCCTAGCAAAAGTAAACTTGTTTTTAGTTTCTTTATGTTTCAACATGCCTGTTTTCAAACCCTCGTGCGTCATGTGTTTTTTCATTAATAAATTGAAGTAAATGCCTAACCTTTGCGTCGTTCCAGCATCAGGACAAAATGCTAATTTGAAATCTTGTCTGTTCAATGTTGTGACAGAATGTGGAGTTCCTGGTGGAACTATCTGTTGCATGATTTTAATATCTGCATTTGTCACTTTGTTCATTGCAATTGGCTCAGGATATTCAAATATATCATAAAGCAACGATTTTCGTTGTGACATCTTAACATGATTGGTTTTTTCTATGAATTCCACAGCGACAGTCCAAGATATATATGGAGCGTTGCCTGCAGTTACTGAGACATAAATGGCACTCATGCTTTCATTATAGGAAAAGAACAATTATGTTGGCCATTGAATCTTCCATTTGGATAATTGGTGCACAAAACTGCTGCACAGGTTGGATTGTCACACAACTAGAAACGCGAAAGTAAAAATACTCTAGTAAATATCGTGTGACTTTGTCATCATTTACAGTTCCTACTTGGATGACTAGAATTAGTTCAGTATTCTTCACAAGATAAACCAGAACTTTAGGAAATCTTGATTTTACTCATACTTTGATGTTAACAAACGGATTTTACACAACCCTATACTTAAAAACCATTTGCACAATAAGATGTCAAGATTTTTAAATTATTAACATGGGAACAATTTATCGTTTACTTCCCTACGTAAAAGTATGCAATATTTAGATATTTATGCACATAGTTTTAAAGACGAATCTGAAATTATTTACGGAATTTTTTTGTAACCTGTAGTTTTGCTATAACTCCAATATTCGGGTTCCATCCTGAAGGAATGTTAACTCTGATTATCATCATTAAATTGCGATAAGTACTTGTGTTACATATGTTGGCTTGGTACATGAATGTTTCCAATGGCTTTGGATTCTCAATAGCTGGAGTTACGTACAACGTTGGAATAAATGACACAGGACGAGGAGGAAGTTGAGCGCATGATGTAAAAAATACACTTGACATAACTAAAGGTAAAAAAGTCAATTGCAATATGTAATGAAAAGAAATATGTAATAAAAAATCGTTTTGATGAAGTTTATTGGATAATCAGTCGCTTCACGATTGATTTTCACTTAACTAAAGCAACTCGGATGCTTGACAAAATAAACTGTCAGCAAACGAAGTCTTGGCTAAACTAGTTGGATTGCTACTGTGTAATGGTGACATGAAAATAATTGGAGATGAACGTACGAAAGAAGTTAGGAAAATCGAAAGATAACTCACAATGTATTCAACATCTTTAAAGAAATTTTTCAAAACAAGTCTTAGATAAAATTAATCACCATAAAATTTGCTGATGTCGTGCTCATGAAAAAATCATAAAAATCAAGACAGGATGTCTCCCTCGCAAACAAGCAGCTTAAAAGTATTTTGCAAACGAACGTGTAACAATAAAATGCGTAAAGCAGGAAGAAGTCATTTCAATAATATTGAAATTGGTTTTACCTGCTATGAAGAGTAAATATGCCATATTGAAAATAATGATGACTTCCTTCTTGCTCTCTCTACCGAAGAACGATTGATTCTGACTTCTGTACTGTTGTTTAAATAGTAGCTACCAGTTAAAATTATCTACTGGGAAATTCCAGGAAAACAAAATTTTCCGAAGAAAATGTCACACTATCCATTCCGGATGTTACAAAAAGATTTTAAAATGATTGGTTATGTCTGTAAGCTAATAAACACAGGGTTTTTAAGAACTATGTGTAATGTAATATGGTAAAAGGATTATAATAAAAGTGAATATAGCATAGTCTTTCCACTTTTGTGCTGTACACTAAAAATTCAACCACTTTCAGTTTCATGAACGTTGACGTGATTACAAAATCGATTATTTGTCTTATCTCAGTTATCTTATAACGTATAATGCACGTGAACACGTATAACGCACGTGAACAATCGAAAGAGATGATAAAAGTGACTACATACAGGAATGTATATGTAACTATAAATGGCTTTATTTATAAAATCTTTTATACCAGATAAGATTAAGTGTTAGGAATAGCCAGCCTACCACCAGAATAAATACTAAAGTAATTCACAATTATATATACTATAATTAAGCACAAAGTGATCTTATTTAAAAAGCAAATTCGCCTCATTAAAAAGCTTAAATTTATGTTCTAACATTATTATAACACAACAGGCAGAAGTGGCTATAGCGTAGGGCAAAAAATAGCTGCTAAATTTTAATTTCAAAATAGCGTATTGACAATACAATGTACGAACTTCCAAAGTCTTGCCAACCTAATTTTTTTTTAAATATTTTGTATTATATTTCAATATATCATATAGAAGAATAAGATGTTACCATTTATTTTTGCCCCAAGTATATACCCATCTCTGAACATATACATCTAAGGAAAACAGTATAGAAGCAAACGATTGACATAAAGCTGTAAATTTGTACATTACCCCCCACCCTCCTTCAAAAATTAGCTAAATACTTGTTTTTATGGTTTCATCTCTTCCCCTCAAGAAGAACATGTTTGTATGTTGTTTCCGTCGCTAATTAAGCGCATACTACGATTTTAGATTTTACTTTATTAAAACGTCGCATCGTATGTCTCTGTTGCATGGAAATTGTGTTATAAATATTATAAATATGGTATAGTAGTACCTTAACTGGGGGGTTATAAATATCGCATTGTATCTCTACTAGAAAGGGACCTCGTATTGTAAATCTATATGACATATAAACATCGTGTGCAGTAGTTCTATTAGAAGGTATAAATATCGTAGCAAGTCTGTATGTGCAAAACTTTTTACGTTTTTGTGTCGTTTAGCTTGTTACCAGCACAAACATCAACTAGAAATCGCTGTTATAATAAAGATTAAAGTCCGTGCGAGCTTTGTTTTTCCACAGAAATGATTCACGGAATTTACGGGTGAAAGAGTAATAATCAGGCTGCATATTGATTTAGTTCAACATACAAGCGGTGGAAATTGTTTTTTCCAAAAGGTATGCAATAAATATCTAAATTTTTGACCTCTTAATTAACTCAGCGTCAAAGGTATGCTTTATCGTAACTTGATTCTTTGAAGTAATGAGATCGGCATGATGATTCCTAGAAGTAATAAGATCGGCATGATGATTCCTAGAAGTGATAAGATCGGCATGATGATTCCTAGAAGTAACGAGATCGGCTTCATAGTTGATATGAGTCTGTTGATTTAAAGATAAACAACCAGATCATTTGTCTTACTAATGACTGTCAAAATCTTTCTCAATTTCATGATTTTTCATCTTGACACGATGACCGTATTCCGTTCTATCAATTGATAATGCAACATTTGGCGGTAAACCACCACATAAATTTTTGATGCAACGAAGAATCTTCTTTCGATGTTCTTGCTTATTTATTCCCATGTTCTGAAGAATAAAGTTAATCTCAATGATGTGTTAGTATCAAAAGCCTGTTGTTCTGAGATATGAAAATCCTACCTTAAGTTGTTCTTTGTCAAGATGTAACAGACGATTACCTCCAATATTGAACGAGTTAAATATTTTTTGATATTCACCCAGACCAATACTTATTAACCAATCACACACCTCCGTAACTCTCCAGAACTGAATCATACCTCCTAAATACAAAAAAAACTACAATACAATACACATTCAATGTAGGTGCAAAGGTTATTTTGGAAATGGTTTCGTTGCATGTTCTTCTTAACTTTCAAGTGTCCACTTCATAAAATTTACACTACCTGTTGGTGCGGTGTTGGCTTTTGGCAAATCTGCTCTTTTAGAAATTCTTAATCTTCCAAGACTGAACCCTTTTCCTTTCGAAACTGGATACTTGTAATTCTATATGAAATTTGCATAATATTCCGTTAAATTTTATTTCACAATTTGGTGAAACTAATGATTTTCCTTAAATAAATTTTCGGAAGCAAGATTTATTAGTTGTTTATACAAGAAATATTTTACTTCTTCACTGAGAGACAAAAGACCATGAATCTCGATTACTCTTTTAATTGCATGGCGGGTTAAATTTGCGTCTTCATTGATACGATAACGTAACTCAGGTGTCATTGGCTAAATGAAAATAAACTTGGTTACCGACAAAAGATATCCAAATATTTTTCAAAGTCCAACAGATTAAAAACGAAGGAATTTATTGATGAAAACACATAATCCGCATGCAAATTCCGACAGACGATTGACATGTGAATGTGTCTACTTTCAGGTTCAAATTGCGTCTCAATACTTTGTTACGCGTACCGGACGTAAGTCGTTGATTTTTGTTTCCATGAATTCTCGAACGTTTTCCTCGAAAAATTTTCCCATTGAAACCAATTCGGATAAATCAAATCTTGATGCACTCTGTAAAAATCAGTCTAGGTATAAAATTGCTAAAAATAGTAAAGTTTCATAAAGGCTCGCGAAATCTTTAGTTTACCTCAGCGAGTTTGTCATCTGGAAAGACTTTGTTTAATTGAATTTCCAGATTTTCCGCCATTGGAAGAAGTTGTTGATGGATCAATGTATGGCAAATACACATATGAATGCTAGAAATATAAAATGAACTTACGTATTCTCAGAAAAAGTAAGTGTTTATCTTAAGTAACTTTGTTTTGATATGTGGCTAATGCGCTGAATTCTGAGAATAGAGAATACCAGAAACATGAAGAGATATGGTGGCTGATAAAGGTCAATGCCATGAGTAAAAAATATATATAATGCTTTTCCTGTAATAAAGAAAATTACAGAAATTCACGGAAACAATTTTTTTACTTAATTCTTTCACAAACCATTTTATTAAAGCTCTCAATGAAAACACCATTTGTTTCATGTTTTCTTCTTCTGACATGTAAATTTTCTCATGTTTTTCATGCTGAATTTCCGTCCAAGTCTTTAGAGTTGTTTCAAATTCCTAATGCACACATGAGTTTCAAAAATAAGTAATCGCGCAGAAAGAAAAAATTCTACATTCAATTGAAGAGAACTTACAGCGTCCCGCACCAACATCTGAGCTCTGTTCTTGTGTATAATTTTAATAACTCCAGGTGATTGCATCCATGGTTCACCATCTACCTGAACTGGTATTGATTCACCAGTTATAGTAATCTTCACAGAGCGACACTAAATACAACTAAATTTATCAACCATGGAATTTTGGTGTCATTTTTTGTTTGTCATTCCACAACATGCCAGAACAACAAAATATTCTATGAAAATGTTCCACATATCTCTTCGTTCTTCAATAAAATTGTTGTAAAATCGTGTTATATGTTCTTGTGGTAAGTCATGCACAATGAATTATTTTACATTAAAACAACTTGTGCTAAATGAAACAATCAGTGCTAACCAGCGCTATACAACATATGAAGCACGCAGAGGTTTTACACTATAAATGATAATTGTATAGCGGACAATTGTACAATTGGAAAATACAGTTTCTAGGCTTTTATAATAAACTCTGAATTTTACCACACGACTTATAAAAATATATATGAAAACTGTTCATCAATTCTCATGAGAGCAAAAACAATGTACATACGAAAGAAATCAGTGAAGTCAATTATTTACCTGTGCCATTCTATAATACGGCATACCCCCAAAAACTTTAGCCACACCCTTCAATAAAAGACATTATAAATACGAAGAAAGATAGCTAAGGAGAAAACTGACATCTTTATTTACCATTTGCCTACAAGAAAATATTGCGACGACTTCAATGATTTTGTCATCAAAGGAAGGAGTAGTGAATCCCTAAATGAAGGAAAAATCTTCATAACATAAAAGTGTATGACCATTGGGAAATTGGAAACTATAAAAGATATTGCTTTATAAGGAAAAATTTGATTGCCATATTTACATCATCATCCCTCCAAGATCCCCAAAAGTTGGATCCACTCATGTAGCTAAAAAATAATGCACAAATACATGTTATTTCTTACAATTGCATACGCGTTAATACTTGATTACATGCATTGCGTAAACGTGTTGACTCCTTTATTTTGCTCAACGGAATGAATCAACGTGTCGTCATAAAATCAATGTCCATAAAATCAACTTTCATAAACTGCATATGTGTGTGTGTGTACCTCGGAATGTTGAGAACGACAATGCCTTGTAGTCTTGGAACATGAAGTTTGTGACCGTCGACCTAAAAAATAAAAAAAAATTACTGTTTAAAGTTGCACAAACGACAACATGCAATACAAATTTTATAGACATCCAAGAATTTATATTTCTTTAAAGAGAGCACTGAATACGAAGACCGCAGGAAATTAAGAAAATCATCGTCGATATTTACCTCGATATGAACTCGTTTATCTAGATTTTTAAAAGAGCCTTGGACAAATTCTTTTCCACCAAGAACACCGTAATGAATTAGGTTAAGTTTTCGACTTCTATTTCATCGTTAAGAGGCAAAAAGATTCAGTTTTTTGAAATTAACATTAGAATTATCTTGGCAAGTTAACGTACCTAAATTGTTCAGGATTTTCCTCGCGTTTCAAATGAAATTCCAACGCAATTTTTGCATCCATCCCAATACTGAAATAGTTATTCATGACACATCGTTCCGTGAAACCTTCACTATAGCAAATTGAAAGATAGAAATTGATGCAGATTAAAAGATGATGTTTAACTATATTGCCAGTTTCTGTCACTAAATGTGATATTCATTTTCATTATGTATATAGGTTTGGTGTTTTTGATTACGAAATTGAAAGGTTTTGTCACTTACACATTAATAAAGTTATCCGGCACAGGACTTGCAGCTGCACACAAAGTGTTAGCATTTGCAATCAAAGCCTTATGCACCATTGAGTTGGCAGGACCATAAGACTCGTTCATTTTTTCTTTAAGAAATGTTTTGGCTATAATTGTGCCAGGAAAATGAACAGTGGCTTTTGACTCGACTTTTTGTTCATCTACAGCAGATTCACTTCTTTGTGGTGAGGCTCGACTAACAAGACGTGGAGAATATTTCTCTGGTGGAGTATTTAAGTCGCCACTGCCTTCTATGATATCTACATCATATCAATAATAGATAAACAAATTATTTTACAAAGTGCTACGCGCAGATCTGAGATCGATAATTTGACGGGGGAGTAATATACATATACGCATGTTATAATCAATATAAAACAATAGATTTCAAAGAAACTTAGTATGGAAAAACATGAATTTATGAATATCCTAACCCGCAATTATCGATGTGCGTACGGTAGAAATTTTACTCGGATGAAGATCCATACAAGACGATATTTCATGCTCAAATCGCAAATATAATTATTTTATGTTGTTTTATGTTACTTTAATGAAAGGTCCGACATGGCAGTCGTACTGTTCGGTAGACCGTCCGTGTAACCAATCAAATAGCAGAAAACAGTACAACATGAAGTCTAACCTCGAATAATAAATAAAGGACTATCATTACTTGCTGTAGTCACAGTTGCTCGTTTACTTCAAATAAAATTGTATGTAAACACTTTTTTTAATGGTTTAATTAATTATTAGTGGAAAAAAAGTAAAATAATAATTTTGTTCGTATTGATACCAGATAAACTCTGACAATATCCGCAATGATTTTCTTCAGTCACAATTTGAGGTGCTTGGGCGTCAGATACTGCTGTAGTTGCCATGGAAACAATAGTTTGTGCATTTTGTTCATCCAAAGCTACACAATAAACTTTGTGGTCAGATATTTAAAGCAAATACGTTGCTATACAATAAACTAAACATCACACATGAAATTGACAAACTGTGCCTCGTACTTTGGCAAATCTATGGATTAAAACCAATATCTCCGTCCTTTTATTACTCTAGTTTATTTTTTTATTACAATATTTTATATTTATGAAATGTAATATTCATGAAATGTAATTTTCATGTTGGCATTTTTTTTTGCTCATAAACAGACATATTGCAAATGTACACATCTAATTACCTTTTTCTGTGTGGTCAATTAATTGCCGCAGGCTTTCTTTAAGCTGTTTGCTCTGGACATTAAAGCATCTCTGGGCACAAACACCTTAAAATACGTAGTTTTGATCATCTATCTAAGACTATGCTATCTTCATACTACGGCTACGCAATCTATAGCAATTACCAATCTTGAGCAAGAATCTTCATTAATATGCAGTACCTTAAACTCTTCTGATACATCTTCATTATCGGAAAGTTCTTGAGAAGCTTCTGCTTCAACGTCGAGTGTATGAAGCAACTGGCCCAACTTGTCGTTGAGTACACTACACTAATACGTAAAAGTGACAAAAATAACAACTTTAAGTACAACGAAATATGATCGAAATGATCGTGTTTGCATTCAGTATTTACTGTTGTTCTATGAATATTTACCTTTTTGCTCATCTCATCAGGCTGATCAGGGATTTTTCCATTTTCAGATGCAGCAACAACATTTGATACTAAGTTCTTGACAATGCCGCAAAGCACTCTAGAGAAAAATGTGTTGTAGTAAGTTGAATGTTCCACAGTAAATAGAAAATCTCGTAAGCATGAAACCTTATACCTTGCTGAAAATATAACTTCAGTATCTTCTTCTGAAGACATGATAGTCGACAAATGTTTTCCAATATCATTTTCCAAAGTGCTGACACTCGACGATACCTAAAAATGAACACTGTACACATATATCTCGCACGATTGCGACAAATATTAAAATGTTAGTTACTAAGCCCTTATTCGCCGAGCTCGAGGTCTCTAAGGAGAAATATCGGACCGAAGTTTTTTGTACAGACCGAGCCCGTAGGGCGAGTTTTGTACAAAAAAACGAAAGTCCAATATTTCTCAGTAAAGACCGAGTAAGCGAGTTTTAAAAGGCTTATTATATGGCATTATTCGACCTGAAACGAAGCTTGCTTTCTTTCTCGTCATAGCTGTTTTGTACGGGTTGGCTTTCATTTTTCTAGTTTTTGTCAGTAAAAAATAAATCGTTTCAAATTGCATTGTCTAGATAGTCGAACTGTTTTCCAAGTGTTTTTCCTTCGACTCACATTCATAAATGGTTTTTTGTTTCATTATTTTTGCATTTTGTTGTTTGCTTTACGAAGTTTGTTTCCATTTGAATGGAAAATACGCGTTTTGGACCGTGGTCCATTAGGGAGAATAATGGACGGCAAAAATGTTTCTGAGCCAATGAGAGCGCGCCATATTGCGGGAAGCGACGCTTGCCATATAATAAATGAAAGTAATTCTTTACTACTTGAAACTCGTGCCACAAAACTAACACTGCTCACGACATTGAAGAGCAAATAATTTACCGAGGATGTTTCAGTCATAGAAGACACAGAATAGCTAGATGAAGTTCTGGAAGGAGACTCATTTTCTTTATCTTGTTTTTCTTCTTGAATCATTATGCTCCACCTTTACAATTATACAATGATGACTATCATTGCCAATATCGCTGATAATCATAATGAAAATGATAAACTGGAAAGTGGTCAATATTTTACAAATGCTTGAAAATTCATTCGGCCATTTTGAAGTTTGAGTAAGGAAGGGCGTCTTCGCCAGCACTAACCTATCAAGCATCTCTGTCTTTGCTCCTTCAAGAGATTTGAGTAAATATGGAAGGCCATTCGCATCGCAAAAAGATGCACCCCAACGCAGAACACGAGACAGGTCATTACCAGTGCCCAAAGGAAGAACACTTATCTGACACTAAAAATAATAATTCCACAAATGGTAAAAACATTCATAAATACAAACAACAATACAGAAATTCTAGCAACAAAATACAATGACCAAAAATTGAACAGTGAAGAATTGTCTTGAGAAAGTTTCCACAATCTCCATACTAGTTAATAGACGAAGTTAAACACCTTCTTTATTAAATTCATTTTATCAATCTCTGTCATAACCCAACCAACAGATCCGTCCCCACCACACACCAATATTCGAAAGAGATCAAGATTTTGAAACAATTTGAGACTAGAACGTCATGAAAAGACTATTAACTGAAAAATCAATAAAATCATAAAATCAAAATAAAACATTGAAAAATAACACCATACCCCGCAGCAGGTCCAAAACTTAAGTCAAACACCTGAGCTGGATTTAATAATTGTTTGAATTTACGAAGAAACTTCACACCCTGAGAATCGTAAAGATCAAAATCATGTAAATGAAGACTTTCTTTATCTTGACGAAAGACAATGACAATGACATAGGGAAAACAATGACATAGGGAAAAACATGTTGAATTTCGTTGGTTATTCACCTGATTGTCGCCACTTCTAGTATTTACAAAAACTAGCAAAGGATTGCCATGAGGCGGGCGCATTGCCTGAAGTTATAAGACATAAAATTTTAGCGATAAGTTTGTTTTCCAAAAAATATAAAGTAAAGTTACCTTCATAATCGTTCCCGACTCCTGAGAAAGAGTTAAGGCAGTCGGAGGTAATATCGATAAATAATTTTCACCCAAAGTACACTTCGTCCTAGCAATACTGGAGCTTTCGCACGAGTTATGAACCTTAAATATTACAAAGACATTTTATAATAAAATATGACAACAAAACCATGCCTCATAACATTTGCTGATGAATTAAAAATGTATCAATAAATGAAAACTGTAAACAAGAAAAACAACTCACACATAAACCACACCAAAGACATTTACTATCTAAAGGTTTTTTCTTTCCACCACAAGTTCGATCACATACAAAACATTTTGAACCAGGAGGAAGATTAAGCTGCATCCATTGATGGCTCATAGCAAACTTTAAAAAAATTTACGAATTTCATGACTTACACCTAGCCAACGTAAAGACCTTCTCCATACAAGGTCTGAGGTTTTTTGAGAGCACACATAGATATGTTTGTAATTATTACTTACAGGATCGTTTTTGTCACAAAGTCTTTCATTTACTTCCATCGTGTCGACTGAAGTCCATTTACATTTGTCTTCAACATGTATTGCACATTGTTTATGAACGGTATACGTACATACTAACAGAAAAAAGTTTTTTGATTATAAAATACAAATATCTACAACGTTTAATAAGATTCAACTCTTTTTATAGTAATAATCCATTTTTATATTTATTCCCCGTTTAATTTTGTTATCGATAGAAAAGTGAAGTCCAAGAAACCCTTTTTAAATTATTTACATGTATATGATTTAATCGATTTATAAACTGCATGACTATATATGATTGATGTAATGACAAATTAAGTTATTTGACATTTTCTACAATGTTGTAAATCTAAAATAGTAGTAATAAGATAAAACATACTTATACTTCACTTGTACTACTATAATTATACCTTACTGGAGGGCTAAATATATATAAATACCTTCACAAGAAAGACCTCTAGATGTCACTCCAGGAAGCAATTCACCACAGACATTACAAAATGTTGGTCGATAATGAGAAAATGAATACCAATTATGGCCATCAGAAAGGCGATCAAGAATATCTGACTAAAATAATTTTTTCGTTATTCAACAAATATTGCTCAAAACGGCTCAAAAAATAACGAAAACAATCCTCAAAATTGAAAACATCAATTAAATCATTACTGCAAAGAATAGACTACTCTGCGATCTGCAAACAAGCCAGGCAACAAAAGTCTAAATATTGTGGTCAAGCTTGTAAAGTCGGCGAACGTTTCCTACCTGGATCTCTCAGATCAATTTGGGCAAAACGTGAAAATACGGATTATAAAATTGTATTCATGAGCAACCCAACTTACATTAGACTGATTTCTTAGAGTAACATTACGTAATGCTGTGATCCATTCCTCCATCTCACGACGTGTATCACCACATAAAATAATTGTAAGACATGGCATGATGATCTAAAACACAATGTGAGTTTCTAAATTACATAAAATGAACACGCAGATAGGCTCTTTTCATGCATTAACGAGTTACTTACTGAGAAACTATTATTTACATTCTTTATACTGGTTTCGGCAATACTTGAGTTCTGTATATCAACTTCATTGAAAATATCAGCCTAAATTAATCACACAAGAAAACAAATGGGAAAAATTATAATAAAGTCGTTTTGATTCCAGTCTTGAGTTGGTTGAAAAGTCAAAGCAGTTGCTATAAAATGTATAGTTTAATCTTTTAGACTATAACTTTTATGTATATAGTTTAGAGCTCGTCTTTCAAAAATACTTCAAGTAAAAAGCTAAATAAAGCTCGGGTAGTATAGCTTGGAGGGATAATAATTCCCTTTCAACTCTCTAACACAATTCAGCATGGTAAATTTGTTTCGAAAATCTTTGACACTTCATGAAAAATCGTACACAGCAACCACGCAAATGCTCAAAAATACCATGGGTTCGTTGGCGTAGCATAGTTTTCTTTTTTCTTGTAATTTAAAATAATACTTCTTCCATTTCTAAACAAGAAATATCAAAAATGTGTACTTTAACATTATATAAAAAATTCCTTTGTTGATAATCTAGTTAAATCATATTAAGAAGAGAAAATTTACCAACATATGGAATAAACTGGTAAAAGAAAGCATTTCATACTTCACTAAAACAACTTATCCCGGCAATACACAACTCATTTTAACAACCTTCACCATGCCCTAGCAACTTTCAACTCGCTTTAGCAACTTTTAACTCAACCCAGCAACGTTCAACACGTCCTTAGCAACGTTCAACACGCCCTTAGCAACGTTCAAGCTAATCCTAACAACCGTCTACAAATCACAACAACATTTTAGCTTATTTTCAAAATCCATTGCCACATGCAAGGAGATTACGAATGCTTTGCTAAAATTAAAATATATCTTAAAAAAGTAGAGGCGTCAATATCTTAAGTCGTACTTGTAGCCAAATAAGTAGAGGAGTCAATGTCGTAAGCGCAATTGCAGAAAAAATGACAGTGTTGTATCGTCAATTTATCTCGTTCGCTATGTCATTACCACTCTGTGATTTTCATGCCATTTCTTATTTTAAGTAAAAAGCATAATGTCTTAATTTAGGAATCATGCAAATTTCTTTATTTGTACTTTGATTTCAAAATCAAAATTATGATTTGCAGAGCTTTGTTGACGCTATTTTTTTCAAAGAGATTGAAAAAATGTTTTGACAGTTGACAAAATGTAGCATGAAGAGAAACCAAACAAGACTTTTTAATGAAAAGAAAAATTCTTTTAAAATTTTACATATGCAATGATTTAAATTTTACGCTAACGTTGATGCAATATACAGTTAACAATCATAGCAACAAACTCTCAAACATTCCTACGTTCGGTCAAAAGATGGTTCGACGAAAGAAATTCCGTCTACCGTAATTCTGAAGAAAAATTCACCAAGACATCATGGACGAAAGTTAACGAGTTAGAATATAATATTTTATGCGTTTCCGGCTCTCAAATTTTTCAAAGATGCATTTTAAACTTTTATACATTAACTATTCCAATAAGAACGAATTAAAAGAAGAGCACAGACAAACATATAAAATTGGGAAAGTTTAAAAGGTAAAATGACAAACGAAAACTATATCTGCATACCATACTTACATCTTCAATTCAAACACAAAATAGCATTTTATTGATTTTCAAAAAAATTTGCCATACATCAAGGTGCACAAATTAAAATAAGACATACTAGACATATTAAGCTGATGCAGAATATTATATTCGAGTATCGAGAGCGCTAGACGTTTCTACATATTACGCATTAATTAAAACTTCATTTCATAGTATTTCCTCCTCATAAATATTAAATAATAAAGAGAAAAGAGAGGGCTAACTAATTTAATATAATACAGGTGTCGTCAAAAATTGAAAGAAATGATATATATTTGAACACAGCTTATTCATATTTCCTAAAGCATCGAAGAATTGACTTCTAGGAAATGTCCTTTTCCCTTCGCTTTTCCCGGTGTTTGTGTACGTTGAGTACAAACGTATTAAAAAATTTATCATTTTACACATGAGAGCTAAGAGTAATGAGAAAACTGTGATATTACAATTTTCATTAAAAATATGCAAATTATAGCATTCTGGCTGGCTGCTCCTGACAAATTGCCATTCTACAAATGGCTGCAAGCACGAAAGAACAAATTTTATCGAGTTTTAGATCTGTTAAGATAAAAGCTCACCTGAAACGATCCAGTTTTTTGCTTCATGCTCAGAAAACCTTGCTTTATGTAGCGCTGTTAAGATGAATGAAATGTACGGTTACAATTTTTACTGACATTCGTAACATAAATTATTCTGTGCAGACATATAAATATTGTAAAAACTTTGCTGTATGCTTTGCTTCATGGTGAATGGAGAGTTTCAGAAATTACATTTTTCAGGCATGCATTTTGTGCAAGTTCCATTTATTGTAAAGTATTCATGCAATCTATAATGAGCCTAACCGCCCCCATGCAGGTGGTTGAACGAATGCGTAGGAGAAAAAATAATATTTCAGGTACATTTCTAGCTTTTCATCAAAATGAGTATAAACAAAGGCAATAACTAAATTTTTCAAACAGTGGAAAATGAGCAAAACTAAACATTGCACATTTGTCAAATCTGTCGAGGCGCCTCGCATTTTTGGAAAAAATTTTACAATTTAAAGAAAGAAAAAAATTCAAGCAAATGCATCTTTTGTCACATTTCGTGCGCTAATTGTTTCTCATTCGGTTTGTCGTATTTACCGAAGAAAATGTACCTCAGACCTACAAAAAAAACACGTTAAATTTGTCATGAAAAATTATGCATCCTCAATCCACTCGGCCACCAACTCCATTATATACTATGAATTTTAAGTACTAAAAGTTTGACATTTAATCCCACTTACTTATACCTTTCACAAAGTATATATGACGTACACAAGTTCTCACTTAAAACTACTAGATTACAAACTTTCAGGTATAATGTAAAATGCAATTGTCGGCACAAGGCGTTATTAAACAGAGCAAGAAATCCATAATTGTATGGTAGGATCAGTAGATGTCATTATAAGAGCGTAGTTACAGAATATCTTTTTCCTCAATAATCATTTCAGCTACATTTGAGTATTCACTCATGCATTAGGTAACGAAAGTGTTGACAGAATCTGAGAATCACCACATTATACAAGCCAAAAATTGGAACAAAGTGTAATTTTCAAAATTGGAGAGCATAGATAACCTGCTTAGAGTATATAATTGCAGTCTAGTCCATTGATAAACACACAAAGTACCTTCGACTTCATTCGCTCGGCTGTAAGCTTTCGGTGTCGATAAAGTTTTGGCGATTCGTCGAAATCTGAGTCACTAGAGTAATTATCGCACTCTATGCTATCATCAGTGGGCAGATCGAAAGATTTCTTTTTTAAAGAAATCATCGTTCCGTTTTCTTTCCTGCTAGGGAACTATATTATTCCTCGCCATTCGTTTCGAAATATGCAAATGTTGCGCCATGTTTATTTCATGGGGGAAGGACCAATCAGAGAGTAGAAAGATTTCATGTGCACTTCATCATCATCGTTAAAACATGATCATGCGTGATCTTTTATACCAAGATATTTATTCTTTAGCCAGCTGGATGTTTCTGGCTATGACTTGTCTATGATCATACGCATTAGATGTCACGACAATATCTTTGCCACCAAGTGTGTTTAATGGGCAAAGGTTAATTCCGTGTGGGTGTACTGCGTCAAAGTGTTTCCGCTACAAAAAATTGAAAAATTGTCTTGCTCTCTTATGTTTCTCTGGATTTTCGTAGTATAATTCAACACTACAAAGTTGGTTGGTTTAAAATAATGCATATTGATTCAAAAAACTTTTCAGATAAATTCAGCGCTTTCTTATTTTTTGGACTTCGCTTTTTGTTTGCATCCCGCGCTTAAATATTGTGTTTTGGTGGTGTGTGGACCACAGGTGAGCTAAAGTTGACATTGTTTAATTCATTCTTATCATTCCGGTGACGCATTCATGTAGTCAGGAAAGGTTGTGCCTGCAACTTTACGTCACTATTGTTTCCGCCATTTTTTTATTTTATTATTTCATAACAGATTGGAAGCAAGGATACTGGGAATGAGTTCGGAATGATTTAAATGCTTGGCTGCTTGAGTTATGTAAGGACATTGGTTACCTTGCCATGGGTCTATTGCTTGTTGACCCCATGGTTGACCTTAACCCCAACTTGCAGAACCCTCTATAGATAACCTGTGCAGCTCCATTTCTGTCATAAAGTAAAAATGCCAGCCTGAATTTTTGGAGAACGTGCATTTGTTTTAACTTTTAAGTCACATTTTAGAGGCAAGCATCTATTTTGTTAGTCAAGGTAAATGAAGTCGTAACATTAACAATGAACTGACTTCTCTAATGTAGTTGCATCATACAGTATTTCACTCAGCATTTCAAGAAATTCATATTTACACTGGGAGTGGAATTTGCTTCAAATAAATCACAACACAATACATCTAATATGAGGAGGAAAACAGATAAGTGTTGAAAACAGAATAGTAACATACAGAAAGTCATATATCCAGTGACTTTTGTGGATGTGCATAACACCTTGATTTGACAATTATCCAGTGCACTATATTTTATTTGTGTCAACAAATGCAGGAAACAAAATAATATTTGGATAGCAAGGTTTGTTTACAAATATTATTGACATAAACCTGCCATAAAGAATAAATACAAAAACTCAACATAAATAAAAAAATTCACCATCCTATACTTTGTTAATCTAATAAAGAATTGTCTGTGTAAGCAATTCGAAGCAATTACTGTCTTTAAGTCAAACTTATTGGGGCACAAGTGTAATTTTGTAGTCAATCTACACAACCAAGAAGTACAGCAAAAATAGACACAAAAAATACTAATAAAACAAAAGATGAAATTACAAATTGGGTACATTTTAAATAACTTCTGATCACTGATGGCAAACTTAATTTCACACACCAAATTATATCAGACAAAAATGTTCAAACAAAAATCATGTATATTGTACTAAAATGTTTTAAATAAGGAAACTATCATAGTAAAATAGTCAAAGTTTAGTATGGTAGATTAAGGTGATGGTTTTGATACAACACGAAACTCAATTTTACCAGTAGCACCTTTTCTATGCTTGTATGTGTCACTAAGTTCAATATTTTGAGCCACAGCCTTACATTTGACTGTTACTGCTTCAGAATGATTGAAAAGCTGGATTGCAACAATTGGTGTTCTGAAATGTGACTCTCCTCGAAATGGCCAGAAGCTTATTGGAAAGGCGTTCTTGCAATCGGGATAACACTTAATCTAAATTGAATAAATTATACAAATAACAAAAACTCGATTACTCAAAATGGCAATAGTTTAAGAAAAACATGAAATTAACATACATCCTTATGAGGTTCACAACTTATTTCTACAAACTTGCCACTTTTTGGTTTTGGACTCCAGTTATAAATCTACATTTAAATAATAAAAGAAAACCATTAACAAGCATTACAATGGCTTTGTCTTGAATGTGATAACAATAAACAGCCAAAAAATTGTTTAGAGTAATAAACCTTTGACAAACGAAGATATAAACATGGTCTTTGGTCATTATATCCGTAGTTGGAATTTGAATAAGGGCTACATGGTCCCAAAGTAGTATAATTAAAACCACATTGTCTCTCTGCATTCTCTGGTCGATAAGTATCATTAGGTTGGCACGGATCCTTTAAATAACATAGTGTGTCATTGTAACCTACAATTTAGTAAATTATTTTTTATTCAAATGAGAGAGGAGATTTGTACAAGCATTCATGAGTGAAATAATCTTACCATCCAAAAAATCATCATAGCTTTTTCTAATATTACTAATTTCAGATTGTTTCCAAGGACTACGCCCATCAGGAAACACCAAAAGTACTATATGAAGATGAAAATAATGCTTTATCAGAAATGCAAAAGTACATTACAAATTACAGTTTTAGAAACATTTTCAGGATTCAAATGCAAAAAGTTAAAATACTTTTATGCCCAAAAATATTTTAAAAAATAGGTCTGAGGTCATGAGGCTTTACGGTTATTGAACCCAGACTGGTTTGTCTAAAACATTGTTTGTTTTGGAAAAAACTGTTTTTACTTAAATCATTTGCAATTGTGAAGTGAGCAGTCATCAATTTACAGAGCTATTTAGTTGAATGTCAAATTTTTAGTACTTTATTATTTTATTATTCTTATAAAGACAGAATTAACTTGTTCGTCACTAGCCAGCTGGCAAAATTCAACTAATACAGTGAAGTGTTAGGATCCAGGATGAAATGTGCAATCTTTGACATGGAAAATGAAATCAAATTGCACATGTGAAATGAAAAATTCATGTTGTTTATATACATCATGAAAAAATAAACCATCAGAAAATAGTTAATTATTAAAGTGGCAGTTACTTAAACCAACACTTCATATCATAACATAGACATTCAAATGCTATATTATAGTCTCATAAAGAACCATCAGCCTTAACATAAATAAGAACGTGAAAGAAAGTTTGAGAATATTAATTGAAAACCAATTTCTGAACTGGAGTCAACTTACGTGGCTTGTTATAAAGAATCGAGTTATATTTTGGCCCATCCTTTATGTCTGGCCAAGTTGAATAAGCAATGGCAAACATAGCGGCAAAAAACGAAGCCAAGCATATATAGTAGATCAGGAAAAACAGATTAATCTTAGCTGTAAAAAAAAGTTGAAACAAGCTATCAGTAAAACAACAAAGTAAAATTATTTTAGGTATTATTTCTATTCTCTCGTTGCCAACAGCTGCAACGTACCCCAACTTTCGGAAGTTCGCCCCATTATTTCTCCAGTTTCTTTATTGTACATAAACAGTTTAAAACCTGCATACGTTGTTGCAAGTTTTTCTTTTGTTGTTGGTTTAGATTTTTCAGCCATTTTTCAAAAAAAGTACAAATTATGCCAACTATGTAGTTCACCACAAGATGTATACGAAAAGTATGAATATAAACGTCAATAGAAACGTCAAATTCCCACAATGCAACAGATACAACAAACCGCACAAGAGCCACATTGCAAGCGCATACGGCGCAAATTAATTATTTATGTTGCATTGTATTGATTTATATTGTGTTAATATAAATGTTGAGCAATAGCAAAGTTTTATTTATGTTTATGGTTTAATTTTCAGTTATGAGTTTTCATATTCTTATAAGCCAAATCACATTTTCTGGTCTTTCAAATTCTATTATCGTATAATATCAAATGCATTTATTGAACAGATTTGCTTTTCCTTTTTATGTTCTATTAGGAAAGCTTACAGATAATAAAACAGCGCCGATGAAGGCGAAATAACTTAACTCCTTACCCCAACTTTTTGCAGTACGACCCATAACAACCGCTGGTTGATCACCTTCCTTTGTGTAGAGAAACTTAGCGAAGTCGGAACGCAACTGCGCCAACTTTTCAGTTTTCGTAGGCTTCTTTTTTTCCTCCATATTTTCGAATTGATCTGACGTCTGTTTCTCTGATTAACTGAGACAAAGTAGCTCCAATCTAAATATGGGTTGCTGTATAGCGCACAAAGCCCAGACAAGTCTTCTAATATTCTTACTAAACACCAAATAGACAAGTGAGTTGTACGAACTACGAACTAGGAACTACGAACAGTAATTCAACACCGATAAATATAGGACCCTGAATGACTGAATAATTCATCACTTGGGTTGGGGTTCAAATATTTGAACATGTTGCGCAAGATAATACGCAGCAAGATAATACGCAATAGTATGAGGCCAAACTGCGCCATACTATTCAAGTCATTAGAAGTCATTAGCATTTGCCGTTGCATTTTTTACAAATTTTTGATCCATCTGCTACCTTTCTGGTCCACACCACAATCTTTTCAAATATCATTGAAGTTTTTTGTTGGATTTTGTGTGAGGGCAAGTTTAAGTTAATTTTCCTGTTCTTGCTTGCTACAAACATACATTGATAATTATTTCTGTTATCGTCGATTTCAGTTAACTTTTCAAAAGGCGGTTGCCAAGTTACTTTCCAATGTTGCCAACTACATTTCCAAATATGGAATATTCGTTATGAACTTGTCAACTTGAATTGTGAAGTTGTGTACTTGAGTACTGAAGTTGTGAACTTGAGTACTGAAGTTGGGAACTTGAGTACTGAAGTTGTGAACTAAAGTTGCGAAGTAGTGGCAAACGCGAAAGGTCTTTGTACCCTGTAGACATTTGGCAATGAATCCGTTCAGTAAGCAAGGAAAAGCTTTACCAATAGAAGTAAGAAATGAAATACTTGAAAGGTGGTTAAATAACGAGCGTTTGACAAACATTTCGAAACAACTAAACCTACCGTATAAGACTATATAAAATATAATAGATCACCTCGCCAGAGCGAACGTGATGTTCGAACCGCGCGTACAGATGACGTTATTGCATACACTGAATATCTAAAAATTAATAAACCATCTATTTACGCAAAAGAGATTCAGCAACACCTAGAAAATAACAAAGTTTGCCTTCCAGCAAACATACCTAGCAGCTCATCCATTAGTAGAATTTTGACTAAAGATCTTGGTTACTCTTACGAGATAATAAGTCAAATTCCTCGATCTACCCATAGATCTATTATATTTGATATAGTCTTATACGGTAGGTTTAGTTGTTTCGAAATGTTTGTCAAACGCTCGTTATTTAACCACCTTTCAAGTATTTCATTTCTTACTTCTATTGGTAAAGCTTTTCCTTGCTTACTGAACGGATTCATTGCCAAATGTCTACAGGGTACAAAGACCTTTCGCGTTTGCCACTACTTCGCAACTTTAGTTCACAACTTCAGTATTCAAGTTCCCAACTTCAGTACTCAAGTTCACAACTTCAGTACTCAAGTACACAACTTCACAATTCAAGTTGACAAGTTCATAACGAATATTCCATATTTGGAAATGTAGTTGGCAATATTGGAAAGTAACTTGGCAACCGCCTTTTGAAAAGTTAACTGAAATCGACGATAAAAATGACGACCATATTACTAAATACGAAAATATTTTAGAACTAGCATGTTTACTTTTAAATGCAATATTTGTCTATATTTCTATTTATGTCAAACCAGAAAAAGAGAAAGTCGTTGCAGCTCAAGCCTCATGCATGTCAGCATGTGTGTCATTGGTCCATTGCGAAAACAATTTCGTTTGTCATTTTCATTCTGTGTATCCCTCTCTGTACACTCTAATACCTAATTTACCTATGTAATCCTCAGTATAAATTTGCGGCGGGAACTAAAATTTAAAAACGCATTATTTTAAACGAATTACGAAAGAGATCAATATATTTTTCTCAAAAAATGTTGCCTCGAAGGAATGTTGCTTTCCGAATAGATGTTATTCTTCAGAGTGTGAACGAGTTACGTGAAGGTATGAATATTTAGCGATGTAATCTCGGTTTTTCCGTCGTCATTTCATTTTCTGCCATGGAAAAATTGTTTATTTACAAGGCGAGTAAGAGTAAACGGCTTCGTTTGTATGTGTTGCAGAGAAGCAAGCTTTGGAGCAAAGATATACAGAGGAAAAGAACCGCTGTAGTAGTCTTGAAATGAAGCTTGAACACGGTAAACACTGAAAAAATTTTCACTTTCTTATCTTTTCATTTTTCTGCTGGACAGCAAAAGGTAAATAGCGTTTGTACTCTATATTTATCATTTCACTCCATGATATTTTTCAAGTAATTTAGTCAGGATATTCAACTCATGGACAAACTGTAATTGTGGAGTGAATAATAACACTGGAAAATGTACTTATAGGATGCCTAGTTTTGCAATCTGACTTCAATAGCATTTTAGTACTTCTTGAAATTTTACCAAATTTGAGCACGATTAAAACCTTACAACTCATAACTAATGACGGGAAGGAGGGGGCCATTAAAGTTATGTATAAATGGTGTGGTAGGTTTATAGCTAGTATATCTAGTAGGTAACATATGTAGTAAAACAGTTTGTACAAGGTTTTAGTTTTTAGGTTTATCAAAATAACTGCAGCTCTTTAAAGTCGCGTTAAAGTCGCGTTTGTATGAGCCGTATATAGTGTTTGTATGAGCCGAGCATAAAATTCCTTTCAGTAACGTTTACGATTGAGAGTGAATTCGTGCAAATCATATAAATTCCAAATAAGTGATTATAAATTCCGAGTGATTTCTTGCTTTATGGGAATACATTTGATCCCGAGTAGCTTGAAGAAAAACTGGCGTCATTGATTATTGTGCAGACTTTGTTCCATTTCAGAAAGTCTTAAATTTGGTCAAAGCAGAGGTAGAAATTCCAAGATGCAGGGTAGGTGATCATTTCTGTATTTTATTAACCAATAAATGCCATTTGTTTGTATAAAATATAATTGAATGTATAGAGACGGTAAAGTTGGCAGAGAAAAAGGTTGGACAAACTGAGAATCAGGCTGACAGGTAGCGATTTATAGCTGTATAAACCTAATGCCTGGTTTCCATATGATCGTTTCTGTCGCTAGAGTCGTTTCTGTCTGTTGAAAAGTCCCCTGCGGTGATCAAACGACAGAAGCGATTATTGCGATGAACTGGTTTCCATTAATCGTATGCATCGTATCTAATTTGAACTAGTCACCATACACTTACTGTATGATATATTCAAAATGGCGGCAGTCAATCGAAGAGGAAGACTTGTAGCGTGTTATTTTCTTTTGCGTGTGCTGAGAAGAAGGAGAGAGCGAAAGCAAAAAAGAAAACATCGTTTTTGGGTTTTAATAGTTCGAAAATTTGTTATATAAACAATCATACTTCTGTACTTCTTCCATAAATGAAGACGTAGAATTAAAGTTGATTGCCGCCATTCTTGAATAAGGAATCTCGCACATGGAATTACGGATGTATCATGGGATATATCAAGTCGCTTCTGGCGTAACGATCGTTTTGCACCGGTTTCCATTAAAAAAATGCAAGCGCGTAAAAGGTGTTTCCGGTCGTTTCTGTCGCAAGGATAGAACTCTAGTCTATCTCAAACGATCGATACGCAAGGATCGTTTCTAACGTAAGGATCGCTTTTGTAGTTTGAGTTGAGCGTTTCCATATGATCGTCTCTGTCGCTTCTACAAATTGCAAGCGACAAAGACGATCCTTACGACAGGAACGATCATATGGAAACCGGGCTTAAGATTGCTACAATTCTACATAACATGTTAACGACCCATGGGCTAAATAAAAGTATATTATAAAATCGTGGCCAGAGATTTGCCAGGCGGAAAGCGAATTTTCAATATGAACATAATAGCCCAACACAAGACTTTTAAAAAAGCCATCACAATAATAAAATAGAGAAAGATTTATTAATAACGTTTCGTCTTTAACTTAAGACATCTTCAGATTATTTGAGATAAATTATATACATGAGGTTTTAAATACAAGCATATATTACAGGGTGTTAAATTACATGTGAGGGGAGTAGGAAGTTTAGATGACGGAATTAAGTGAGAAGGTGGTATATTAAAGAAGGTGAAGGGGGATTGAGTTGCCTTGGGTGTTAAGAGAGGGTTTAAGTTTGGATATAAGAAGGCTTTCATGAATCATAAGGTCGTAATTGTCGGAGGAGGAAGAGAGAATTGAGAAGTCATTAAAATCGGCAGAGTGAGATGTATTTCTTATATGAGAAAGAACTGCAGATGGTGGTGGACATAAGGAAGGTTTCCCTGTTAAAGGAGAGATTCCCAAGTGTTCCGATATTCTGGTGTGTAATTGACGCGTGGTTTGACCCACATACGATGCAGAGCAGCATCGACACTTAAACGAGTATACAACACCACATCTCAGGAGCTTGGGAACCCTATCTTTAAAAGGAAAAAAAGAGGAGAGACGCCTGGAAGAACGAAAAACAAAGCGAACGTTGATATGAGGAAAAGCAGCAGCATTGTAGAGTCGAGTGATTTGAGTGCGAATCTGAAGACAGTGTAGGACAGTGAAAGGGAGACAGAAGTACATGATTTTCTTAGGAGCAGTGTGAATGGAAACTATCATAGTAAAATAGTCAAAGTTTAGTATGGCAGATTAAGATGATGGTTTTGATACAACACGAAACTCAATTTTACCAATAGCACCTTTTCTCAGCTTGTATGTGTCACTAAGTTCAATATTTTGAGCCACAGCCTTACATTTGACTGTTACTTCTTCAGAATGATTGAAAAGCTGGATTGCAACAATTGGTGTTCTGAAATGTGATTCTCCTCGAAATGGCCAGAAGCTTATTGGAAAGGCTTTCTTGCAATCGGGATAACACTTAATCTAAATTGAATAAATTATACAAATAACAAAAATTCGATTACTCAAAATGGCAATAGTTTAAGAAAAACATGAAATTAACATACATCCTTATGAGGTTCACAACTTATTTCTACAAAATTGCCAGTTTTTGGTTTTGGACTCCATTTATAAATCTACATTTAAATCATAAAAGAAAACCGTTAACAAGCATTGCAATGGCTTTGCCTTGAATGTGATAATAATAAACAGCCAAAAAATTGTTTAGAGCAATAAACCTTTGACAAACGAAGATATAAACATGGTCTTTTGTCATCATATCCATAGTTGGAATTTGAACGAGGGCTACATGGTCCCAAAGAAGTAAAATCAAAACCACATTGTCTCTTTGCATTCTCTGGTCGATAAGTATCACCAGGTTTGCACGGATCCTTTAAATAAGATTGTGTGTCATTGTAACCTACAATTTCATTAATCCTGTTTAGTAAATTATTTTTTATTCAAATGAGAGAGGAGATTTGTACAAGCATTCATGAGTGAAATAATCTTACCATACAAAAAATCATCATAGCTTTTTCTAATATTATTAATTTCAGATTGTTTCCAAGGACTACGCCCATCAGGAAACACCAAAAGTTCTATATGAAGATGAAAATAATGCTTTATCAGAAATGCAAAAGTACATTACAAATTACAGTTTTAGAAACATTTTCAGGATTCAAATGCAAAAAGTTAAAATACTTTTATGCCCAAAAATATTTGAAAAAATAGGTCTGAGGTCATGAGGCTTTATGGTTATTGAACCCAGACTGGTTTGTCTAAAGCACTGTTTGTTTTGGAAAAAAAACAATTATCTGCTTTTACATAAATCATTTGCAATTGTGAAGTGAGCAGTCATCAATTTACAGAGCCATTTAGTTGAATGTCAAATTTTTAGTACTTTATTATTTTTATTATTCTTATAAAGACAGAATCAACTTGTTCAGTCACTAGCCAGCTGGCAAAAATTCAACTAATGCAGTGAAGTGTTAGGATCCAGGATGAAATGTGCAATCTTTGACATGGAAAATGAAATCAAATTGCACATATGAAATGAAAAATTCATGTTGTTTATATTCATCATGAAAACAAATATACCATCTGAAAATAGTTGATTATTACAGTGGCAGTTACATAAGTTAAACCAACACTTCATACCATAACATAGACATTTCAAATGCTATATTATAGTCTCATAAAGAACCATCAGCCTTAACATAAATAAGAACGTGAAAGAAAGTTTGAGAATATTAATTGAAAACCAATTTCTGAACTGGAGTCAACTTACGTGGTTTGTTATAAAGAATCGATTTTGATACAACACGAAACTCAATTTTACCAGTAGCACCTTTTCTATGCTTGTATGTGTCACTAAGTTCAATATTTTGAGCCACAGCCTTACATTTGACTGTTACTGCTTCAGAATGATTGAAAAGCTGGATTGCAACAATTGGTGTTCTGAAATGTGATTCTCCTCGAAATGGCCAGAAGCTTATTGGAAAGGCTTTCTTGCAATCGGGATAACACTTAATCTAAATTGAATAAATTATACAAATAACAAAAATTTGATTACTCAAAATGACAATAGTTTAAGAAAAAACATGAAATTAACATACATCCTTATGAGGTTCACAACTTATTTCTACAAAATTGCCACTTTTTGGTTTTGGACTCCATTTATAAATCTACATTTAAATAATAAAAGAAAACCATTAACAAGCATTACAATGGCTTTGTCTTGAATGTGATAACAATAAACAGCCAAAAAATTGTTTAGAGCAATAAACCTTTGACAAACGAAGATATAAACATGGTCTTTGGTCATCATATCCATAGTTGGAATTTGAACGAGGGCTACATGGTCCCAAAGAATTATAATCAAAACCACATTGTCTCTCTGCATTCTCTGGTCGATAAGTATCATCAGGTTTGCACGGATCCTTTAAATAACATTTTGTGTCATTGTAACCTACAATTTCATTAATCCTGTTTAGTAAATTATTTTTTATTCAAATGAGAGAGGAGATTTGTACAAGCATTCATGAGTGAAATAATCTTACCACGCAAAAAATCATCATAGCTTTTTCTAATATTATTAATTTCAGATTGTTTCCAAGGACTACGCCCATCAGGAAACACCAAAAGTACTATATGAAGATGAAAATAATGTTTTATCAGAAATGCAAAAGTACATTAGAAATTACAGTTTTAGAAACATTTTCAGGATTCAAATGCAAAAAGTTAAAATACTTTTATGCTCAAAAATATTTTAAAAAATAGGTCTGAAGTCATGAGGCTTTATGGTTATTGAACCCAGACTGGTTTGTCTAAAGCACTGTTTGTTTTGGAAAAAAACAATTATCTGTTTTTACATAAATCATTTGCAATTGTGAAGTGAGCAGTCATCAATTTACAGAGCCATTTAGTTGAATGTGAAATTTTTTGTACTTTATTATTTTTATTATTCTTATAAAGACAGAATTAACTTGTTCAGTCACTAGCCAGCTGGCAAAAATTCAACTAATACAGTGAAGTGTTAGGATCCAGGATGAAATGTGCAATCTTTGACATGGAAAATGAAATCAAATTGCACATATGAAATGAAAAATTCATGTTGTTTATATTCATCATGAAAACAAATATACCATCAGAAAATAGTTGATTATTAAAGTGGCAGTTACATAACTTAAACCAACACTTCATATCATAACATAGACATTTCAAATGCTATATTATAGTCTCATAAAGAACCATCAGCCTTAACATAAATAAGAACGTGAAAGAAAGTTTGAGAATATTAATTGAAAACCAATTTCTGAACTGGAGTCAACTTACGTGGTTTGTTATAAAGAATCGAGTTATATTTTGGCCCATCCTTTATGTCTGGCCAAGTTGAATAAGCAATGGCAAACATAGCGGCAAAAAACGAAGCCAGGCATATATAGTAGATCAGGAAAAACAGATTAATCTTAGCTGTAAAAAAAGTTAAAACAAGCTATCAGTAAAACAACAAAGTAAATTTTATGTATTTCTATTCTCTCGTTGCCAACAGCTGCAACGTACCCCAACTTTCGGAAGTTCGTCCCATTATTTCTCCTGTTTCTTTATTGTACATAAACAGTTTAAAACCTGCATACATTGTTGCAAGTTTTTCTTTTGTTGTTGGTTTAGATTTTTCAGCCATTTTTCAAAAAAAGTACAAATTATGCCAACTATGTAGTTCACCACAAGATGTATACGAAAAGTATGAATATAATAAGCAATAGAAACGTCAAATTCCCACAATGCAACAGATACAACAAACCGCAGCAAAAGCATTGAGTTCTATAAGACCTAGAGGGGAAACGTCAACAAAATTACTATAAATTATCAGTGCGCGGCCGCGTGGTCAAAAACATGGCGGATTTTGGTGGTCAAAGTCAGCGGAGAGACGCGGGCTCATGAAATAAAAATTTTGTCACCCACCCAGATTTGACCACCACGATTGCCAGTATAGAAAATATCAAAACTATTTATTTTCCTAACATAAACACTTTATTACAATTTTATTTATTAAACTGCCAACTTCTGTGGTTTTCGGATGATGAAATAGCGACAGAAAAGGAACATTTCTTGACTCCGGTAAGTAGCACAGTAGTAGTTTTACTATTTTGTTTCTAACACGATACTTGAAGTGTGTTTCTACTACTAAGTTTTAATTTAAAGTTATTTTGGTCCAGTCTTGTTTGTTCTTCACTTAATCGCTCGCCAGACGTGGCGAAGCTGTCAATTTTTATCGAGTTTTGCATCCATCTTGTATCATGATCAAGGCATCAAGCTAAACTCTCCTGATTTGAATTGAGTTTACCTCCCAAAATGGGGCATAATTTGTTCATGTTTTTTGAAAGATGAAGGAAAGTTTACAACAGAGTTGTGTTGAAATTGAATGCAGTGCCATGCAAAATTAATGAGAACTATGGTATATGTTGTATAATAAAAATAACTATTAAACTGTTTGCCTGCTCAATTTGACTGACTGTATAGTGTAGACAATTATAATGGGATTGGAAAGTTGGATTTATGCAAACAATTTTAAAGTACTACTTAGCGTTTCTGTAAATGAAGTATTTATTGTTATAGTAAACAGGTTACTACTTCAAAACCAAGATAAAAGTAGTGTGTTGAACAATGTGCTAAGATTTGTTTCTACCTTGAAATTTTTGTTCAACAGTAGCTTATGATTATATCATTAATATGCATGAAAAATTAAACATATTATTGTCTCATCTCATTAAATCCATACTTGGTATGATTCCAGGTGATCCACAAATTCACATCGGATGCATTGGTTACAATGAAGTTGAATGTAGAAGAAGCAAAATAGATGGCAAAGAAATTCTTTGTGTCTTATGAAGAATTAGTAGAAATCAATAAAAGAATTCTTTAAACAAATTGTAAACAAATTTAAATTTGCTCATGGTCAAGCAACCTAGTCAAAGAAGCAAAGTCTGTCTTCAACATGTGACCTTTCCAATTATTTAGTTTCTTTGTACAAAATACTATTTTCGAGAAACTTGATTTGTAAGTCTTTCATTAATATTTTTTACCAAGAGATAAAAGGAACTAATTCAAAGGCTTGATGTAAAATACAAAGATTTAACAAGTTGTTTATCATTTAATTCCCAAATGTTAGTTTGTACATATAAATAATTAGTATTGGTAGCTGTAAGTTGTTTAAGCAAAACAGAAGAGTAGTAGTGCTCGAAGGGGTTAGCATTTTGAAAAATTATATCTTGTTCATGACATATATTACACAATTCCAAAAAACTGTAAGTAATGCACAATAATATCTATAGAACTTGATAAATTTCTTCACCTACACTGTCAAATAACTATTTTGCCTTCATGCAGCAATAGACAGTGTTTTTGTCAGAGAAACCAATGCACTTTAGTTTCCAAATTTGTAATTTCAATGGAAAATTAATGTAGTTCTGTTCAGTAATAGACCCAAGGTTCTGCCAAGCAGTTTACAAAATACAAATTACCAAGCAACAGTGTCATGGTGTTTTGAATTTATTTTTTTTGTAGCTCTACTAGTTCAACATACTTTCTTTATGAGTTTTCAGTAGATTTATCAGGTAATGACAATACACTTATGATACTTATCCATGGTAAATTTTCAGTTGACTTATGTCGTAGAACTGAAGCAAACATTTTCTCGCTTCCTTAGGAGCATTTTAACACAGATTTATCCATTTGAGCAAGAAAAATAGTTGCACCAAACTGTTTACAAACAGTCAAACACACAAGCATGAAATAATGTATAAGTTTGACGAGATTGACAGGTCTAGTAAAGAATGCCGTTTGATTTTCACTTTTAAAAGGCTAAAATGTCATAAAATAACTTAAATGTTACATCCAAAATATGCGTTTCTCTACCGTCGATTTTCTTTATTTGTACTGTGTTTTCACGCAATGCTGAAGCATTATTTTCACATGATATGCTGTCGGTATCGTAATTGTTTTTTCTCACTTGTTTTCGTTCATACAAACAGTATTAGAAATCAGGAGGAGTGAATATTGAAAAAATTTTTAAAGTGGAAGTTTTGACCACCAAAATCCGCCATTACCGCCATGTTTTTGACCACGGGGTCCAGGCCCTGCCCCTCCATATATCTCAATGATAACTACAATACATTTTATAGATATAAAGAAGCCAAAGTCCTAGTCTCTTGCGCGGTTTGTACGTCAGTTCCAGTCCTTCAAAGTCGAATTCATCGGTTTGTACGTCAGTTTCATTCCCTGAGTGCCAAACATACGGCCAATATAAATTTGAATACAAATTGCAAAAGCATAAACATATAAACAACATCACGACAAACAACACACAACTCTCTTCATACAGCTAAAACTTTACTACAGTGAGTTCGTTTGTAACTTACAACTTGTAACGAGGAAAAGCCAACTGAAAATTACACTTTATGCTAAAAGGCAATACAATAAGAAAATATGACGAAAATATTCAAGAATAAATTTTCTTTCGTCGGAAAAATTTTCAAACGGTGTCAGACAGTGTTTGTCTTTGGTCGTTTCAATGGATTTAAAGATCTGTTTTCCGAAGAAAAAGAAACTTGAATATCCAGGTTCATAAAAAATATTGAGTCTATAACTCGCATTTTACTTTTTACAGAGCGATTGTATCTTTCATCGATTTTGATAGTGCTTGAAATACTAAATGGTTGTCATCTCGATATCATAATTGAATATCCTTAAAGACTTTGATATGTTTTAAAGGAAAACCGCAGCGTAAAAGCAGATCGACTAAGTTAAGCTTCTCGATTTATCACTTTGATCACCAAAATTCATTTTATTTCGATCAAGATCCGAACTCTACCATTACCAAGGGACAAATGATTTAAAAATTAAAATGAACACAGCGACTCTGACGTGATGACGAATGATGACGACGTCATTTTGGCTTCACTTTGGCTTCGGTTATCATTCTCCAGTTATTCAAATGTCGGTTCACTGGGTCCGGCAGTGAACTCATTATTTGAATAACTGGAATGATAACCAGCAAATTAAAAAAATATTTGTCGTCATCATCTTCATCACACGTCAGGCTCTAGTCCTTGCGTGTTCATTTTATTTTTTCAAATCATTTGTCCCTTTAGTAATGTAGTAGTTCGATCTTGATCAGAGCGTAAAAATAACGTAGAAATTTTGAATGAAAAGGTCACGGAAAGGAATCAAAGTGATAAATCGAGAAGCAGTGAGCAATAGTTTATTCTTGCTTTTACGCTGCGGTTTTCCTTTAAAACATATCAAAGTCTTTAAGGATATTCAATTACTGATATCGAGATGACAACCATTTAGTATTTCAAGCACTATCAAAATCGATGAAAGATACAATCGCTCTGCAAAGCAAATGCGAGCGACCTAACATTTTTAAACCTGATATTCGCTTCTTCTTCGGAAAACAGATCTTTAAATCCATTGAAACGATTAAAAAAGACAAACACTGCTGACACCGTTTGAACTTATCTTCCGACGAAAGAAAAATCATGCTTGAATATTCTTCGTCATGTTTTCTTTTATATTGCCTTTGAGCATAAAGTGTTTTCAGTTGGCTTTTCCTGCCGCAAGTTGTGCGTTACAACGAACTCACTTTGTGTTTAGCTGTAAAATAACCTTTGCGAGGAGTTGGCCTCGTGTGTTGTTTTGTCGATGTTGTTTATATGTTTATGCTTTGCAATTTGTATTCAAATTTATATTGGCCGTGCGTTTGGCACTCAGGGAATGAAACTGACGTATAAACCGCGTGAATATTCGACTTTGAAGGACTGGAACTGACGCATGCCCAAGAGATTCAGGACTTTGGCTTCAATTTTATATCTATAAAATGTATTGTCGTTATCATTCCAGATATATATATATATATGGAGTTCACTGGGTCCAGACCATTGAGTTCTATAATAACTGGAGCGGCTATCTTTACTGGGGCGAGGCAGTGAACTCGACATTTGAATAACTGGAATGATAACCAAAGCCAAAAATTGAAGCCAAAAAAATATTTGTCGTCATCACTCGTCATCACTCGTGTTTCTCGCGTGTTTATAAACAATTTGTATTTTTTCGTATCCTAGATCTTTAGTTTGACCTCAGTTGATTTCATTTTACTAATCAGTTTTATCTTCACGAAGAAAATATTTTGAAGTATATTTATTTCAATTCTACATCATCCTAAGTGCAAAAGTATTATTACGTTTTTCAAATAAAGTAAGAGGATATGTTGGTATGAATTTTTATTCGACAAATTTTACATATAGAATGAAAACATCTTTAATATAGCTACTAAACATTTTTGTCATACACAGTCGATCTGCTCTTAAGCTGCGGTCTTTAAGGATATCATATTAAACATATCAAAGTCTTTAAGGATATTCAATTATTGATATCGAGATGACAACCATTTAGTATTTCAAGCACTATCACAATCGATGAAAAATACAATCGCTCTGTAAAAAGTAAAAATGCGAGTTATAGACTCAATATTTTTTATGAAACTGGATATTCAAGTTTCTTTTTTCGTCGGAAAAACAGATCTTTAAATCCACTGAAAATCTGAAATGACAAAAAAAGACGAACACTGTCTGACACCGTTTGAAAATTTACCTTTCGATGTAAGAAAAATTTTCGCTTGAATATTTTCTCGTCATATTTTCTTATTGTATTGTCTTTTTAGCATTGAGTGTAATTTTCAGTTGGATTTTCCTTGTTGCAAGTTGTAAGTTACAACGAACTCACTGTAGTAAAGTTTCAGCTGTAAAAAATAACCTTTTGCGAAGATTTGGCCTAGTGTGTTGTTTGTCGTGATGTTGTTCATGTTTATGCTTTTGCAGTTTGTATTCAAATTTATATTGGCCATGTATGTTTGGCACTCAGGGGAATGATACTGACGTACAAACCGCGTGAATATTCGACTTTGAAGAACTGGAACTGACGTACAAACCGCGCAAGAGACTAGGACTTTGGCTTCAATTTTATACCTATAAAATGTATTGTCGTTATCATTCCAGATATATATATATATGGAGTTCACTGGGGCGAGGTCGCCAAAAAAATGGCGGCCAACGGACGTATTTCCGCTGAAATGATCGCTTTGCAGAAAAATAATATTCTCGACCTCCCCCTGGTGTATATAGTAAATTATAAAGAATTTTTCAAAAACCAACACGATATCGTTAGTTCCATATTCTGTGACGATATCTTTTTGGCATTTCTTTATAATGCCAACACTTCAATCGTTCAATTGTTGGATGTCGTAGTTTCCACAAAAGGAACATATCGCTTCTCACAGGTGAGATAGTTGCTTGGTTTTTAGTCCGTCAACGATTGAAAACTGAAAAGCAATTATACATGCACTTTAAAGCCATAAAATACATATTAAAGATCGTATTTTTTAAGACTGACTTGAACGCCAAATATACTGATGTTTTCCTGTTTTTGTTTATAAAATTCTGCATACTTTTCTAAAGTCTGCATGAAGTCGTAAATTTACCCATCTATTTGCAAAATAGTTTCCCTAAAGCAAAAAAGACCCTGCACACATTTTGCTCTGTGAGTAAGTATCAAAACGAAATGATCAGCCCCAAGAGTACCCATGATTTGGAGCAGAGCTTGTTATGTTCTATTTGCTGACAACATGCAGGAAGACCAAGGAGTAAAGATGACTGGAAGATGTTATTGACCAGGCAGAGTCTTAAAAATTATGATGCTGTAAAGATAATTGATTTATCGTCTGCCCTATCCAGAGTTATTTAATTTGATCATGGTCAAATTCTAGGATGGAGACAATGGATTCACTAAGGATGCCTTGAATGCTTTGAAGTTAAAGTTCATGAACCAAAGAAAGATGGCAAGGTTGTGTGTGTTTTGATGCTTAATGAAATGTCAATTCACAAAGATATAAAATGGGAAAGCCATAAAGTCTATGTAAACATTTGTACTGAGATTGATGACTTGATGCAGATGTGAAGCATCAAACTGTATAAGCCATTGGGTTTTATATAACTTATGTTTAAATCAAGTCATATCTTTATCAAAACATTTTAGTTGAGTGTTGTATAAATGTTACTAATATCTAATGCACTACACTGAAGCATTAAAGATTCAGTGATGAAACTTTCAAAGTTACTGTACTGTATATTTCTTCATTATTACAGTTTTGTTTCAAGAAACAGTTTGAGCTTATTTACCTAGTAAAGTACAGAATGGAGATTTATCATATGCATTATTGCTACTTTTTAAAGAAAAGTTTTCACTTTTCAAAGCTTTCCTACAAATTTTTGCTTCTTATTTCTTTTCATGAGATTGATGATATATGGTTAATATAATCCAATAACTTTATAATTTCTAAAAGCTTTTAAGCTTCTAGCATAAAAGTACGCTATAGGTATTTGATTCATTTGGTTATATTGCCTTGCTATGACATATCTACTTGCACTTCATCATTCTTGTATGAACAAAACACCAGATGTGGATACTCAGAGAACAAAATGCACTACCAACTGCTTATGAAATTTATTATTTAGGTGAAAACTGTGTTAATCATTCAAATTGTGTACTTATTTGCAAATATAGGAAAAACAAAACAAAGTGAAAAAGAAGGGTAGAAGTATTAAAACTACAAATGAATTATAAACACCATTGGAAGCATAAGTGTTTTGATGATTATTTGCATTTTGCCCAATTCATGTATCAATACAACAAAATCAAAATGTGCTACAACTTTACAAGTATTTGATGCAGTTGCACTTCAGAACATCACAAAAGGTTACTTAAAGTAATTTCTATACAATATTGTTTGTTTTGATTTACCAAACCTATGCAGACTTGAGTCTTTTGAAATTTAATATGAAACTCAATTACAGAAAATCCGTAAATATCCAGAGATTTAATATTTACTTTTTTAAAGAAACAAGTAAAAATCCAACAATTGTGGCGAAAAAAGCCATTGCCCATTGCATCATGAAAAGAAGCAAAATAGCAATGATAACAAATAAGCTAACTTCTCTCTCGTGAACCGTGGAGATGAACTATGATATACTTTTTTGTATAGACTAAAGAGTTTAATCGATCAAACAAGTTCGACGTTGGTAAAAAAACGACGCACATCTGCATTCATACATGTGTAGCCGACATATAGCTCTTTCGTCGATAGTTATAAATGCATCCTCGTAGTAGCACATAACTGACAAACACAGTTGACTCGTTGTTATGAATTTGAGGTTTTTACCTTGATTTTCATCAAAAAATGCTTGACGAATCCCAAATACACACATACATTTTCTTCACTCTTTCCTCAGGAGGGAGTGGGAAATTGTGAAATTTTCGGAAAAGCGATCAATTTCGGTAAATCTCAGCGGCAACGGACGAAATCCGCCATTTTTTTGGCGTCAGCAGATATCTAAGGCCGCGCTTGAGATAGCCGCTCCAGTTATTATTGAACTCAATGGTCCAGGCCCCTTTGCCCCTCCAGGTTTTATAGAGCTCAATGAGCAAAAGCCACAGTGCAAGCGCATACGGCGCAAATTAATTATTTATATTGCCTTGTATTGATTTATATTGTGTTAATATAAATGTTGAGCAATAGCAAAGTTTTATTTATGTTTATGGTTTATCTTTCCGTTATGAGTTTTCATATTCTTATAAGCCAAACCACATTTTCTGGTCTTTCAAATTCTATTATCGTATAATATCAAATGCATTTATTGAACAGATTTGCTTTTCCTTTTCATGTTCTATTAGGAAAGCTTACAGATAATAAAACAGCGCAGATGAAGGCGAAATAACTTAACTCCTTACCCCAACTTTTTGCAGTACGACCCATAATAACCCGCTGGTTGATCACCTTCCTTTGTGTAGAGAAACTTAGCGAAGTCGGAACGCAACTGCGCCAACTTTTCAGTTTTCGTAGGCTTCTTTTTTTCCTCCATATTTTCGAATTGATCTGACGTCTGTTTCTCTGATTAACTGAGACAAAGTAGCTCCAATGTAAATATGGGTTGCTGTATAACGCACAAAGCCCAGACAAGTCTGGTAATATTCTTACCAAACACCAAATAGACAAGTGAGTTGTACGAACTACGAACTACGAACAGTAATTCAACACCGATAAATATAGGACCCTGAATGACTAAATAATTCATCACTTGGGTTGGGGTTCAAATATTTGAACATGTTGCGCAAGATAATACGCAATAGTATGAGGCCAAACTGGGCCATACTATTCAAGTCATTAGAAGTCATTAGCATTTTTTACAAATTTTTGATCCATCTGCTACCTTTCTGGTCCACAACACAATCTTTTCAAATATCATTGAAGTTTTTTGTTGGATTTTGTGTGAGGGCAAGTTTATGTTAATTTTCCTGTTCTTGCTTGCTACAAACATACATTGATAATTATTTCTGTTAAAAATGACGACCATATTACTAAATACGAAAATATTTTAGAACTAGCATGTTTACTTTTAAATGCAATATTTGTCTATATTTCTATTTATGTCAAACCAGAAAAAGAGAAAGTTGTTGCAGCTCAAGCCTCATGCATGTCAGCATGTGTGTCATTGATCCATTGCGAAAACAATTTCTTTTGTCATTTTCATTCTGTGTATCCCTCTCTGTACGCTCTAATACCTAATTTACCTATGTAATCCTCAGTATAAATTTGCAGCGGGAACTAAAATTTAAAAACGCATTATTTTAAACAAATTACGAAAGAGATCAATATATTTTTCTCAAAAAATGTTGCCTCGAAGGAATGTTGCTTTCCGAATAGATGTTATTCTTCAGAGTGTGAACGAGTTACGTGAAGGTATGAATATTTAGCGATGTAATCTCGGTTTTCCGTCGTCATTTCATTTTCAGCCATGGAAAAATTGTTTATTTACAAGGCGAGTAAGAGTAAACGGCTTCGTTTGTATGTGTTGCAGAGAAGCAAGCTTTGGAGCAAAGATATACAGAGGAAAAGAACCGCTGTAGTGGTCTTGAAATGAAGCTTGAACACGGTAAACACTGAAAAAATTTTCATTTTCTTATCTTTTCATTTTTCTGCTGGACAGCAAAATCTAAATAGCGTTTGTACTCTATATTTATCATTTCACTCCATGATATTTTTCAAGTAATTTAGTCAGGATATTCAACTCATGGACAAACTGTAATTGTGGAGTGAATAATAACACTGGAAAATGTACTTATAGGATGACTAGTTTTGCAATCTGACTTCAAAAGCATTTTAGTACTTCTTGAAATTTTACCAAGTTTGAGCACGATTAAAACCTTACAACTCATAACTAATGACGGGAAGGAGGGGGGGCATTAAAGTTATGTCTAAATGGTGTGGTAGGTTTATAGCTAGTATAGCTTGTAGGTAACATATGTAGTAAAATAGTTTGTACAAGGTTTTAGTTTTTAGGTTTATCAAAATAACTGCAGCTCTTTAAAGTCGCGTTTAGTGTTTGTATGAGCCGAGCATAAAATTCCTTTCAGTAACGTTTACGATTGAGAGTGAATTTGTGCAAATCATATAAATTTCAAATAAGTGATTATAAATTCCGAGTGATTTCTTGTTTTATGGGAATACATTTGCTCCCGAGTAGCTTGAAGAAAAACTGGCGTCATTGATTATTGTGTGGACTTTGTTCCATTTCAGAAAGTCTTAAATTTGGTCAAAGCAGAGATAGAAATTCCAAGATGCAAGGTAGGTGATCATTTCTGTATTGTATCAACCAATAAATGCCATTTGTTTGTATAAAATATAATTGAATGTGTAGAAACGGTAAAGTTGGCAGAGAAAAAGGTTGGACAAACTGAGAATCAGGTTGACAGGTAGCGATTTACAGAAGTGTAAACCTAAGATTGCTACAGTTCAATTGATGCTTTAAATAACATGTTAACGACCCATGGGCTAAATAAAAGTATATTATAAGATGTGAGACAGTTATACTTTTGCTGTTTACTTTAGGAAATTTGTTTGATTTTCTCATGGAAAATCAATATATAACCACCAAAAATATTTCCAAGCCAATAAAAGCGCGCGGTATTCACAGAAGATAACGCTTGCTATAAAATAATATTAAGTGTCAATATAATCATACATATATCTACTCTGGGGCCGCGGAGAGGTTTGAAAAGTGGGGCAAAAGTAGGTCCCAGAATCGGATTGTTGTTCCCAGTATAGCAAAGTTCTTTTAAACAGTTTCATCAGTAATCATTCAATACACAAAATTTGTTTGATTTCGTTTGTAAAGTTTATTTTAGTGCGTTCAGACTGAGTGCCCTGGCACAGTGCTCAGGTACGGGGACCAATATAAACCCAACATTTCGATGTATTAGTGCCCAGGTCTAGGCACCAGGAAAAGAGTTAGTACGCAAGCACGGTGTTCGGACAAGGGCACCAATGTGAACACAACATTTTGATGGTGCCCGTGTATAAGTGCCCAGGTGTGGGCACCAGGAAAAGAGATAGTACCCAAGTACGGTGCTTGGGCAAGGGCACCAATATGAACACAACATCTGAGTGACGTGTACAGAGAGGCACGTATTTAGCGCATGGTTTTAAAACTTGTTTACAAAGAAAAACATGAAATTATAAATAGACGAAGCTAGTGGATACTACGTATTGTAAAGAGCCTGCAGATTTTAGCCCGAACCTGGATATCGTACTCCGGCAATCAGTCTAAACGTGCTATAATTAATCAATCTAACGTCACCTAAAAATGAAAGTGGAACATAAGTGAGACATGAAATACTGTTAAACATCCATACTTATCAAATGTAAGTATTTGTTAAAGCGGATTTTTATACTTTTACACTATACAAAGCAAGAGATTATGAAAAAAGTGGGGGGCAATTGCCCATCTTCCCTCCCTTCTCCGCGGTCCCTGCAGTACTGTATAAGTAAAGGAGTAATGTGTCGAGTTAAAGAAATTATTTTATACATTTTTTTATTTCAGATTAAATGAAATAAATGATGGAAAGCAAAACATAATTTCTGAACTAAATAGAAAAATCAACGAGGAAATAATGCAAGAAGACGCGGACATGTAAGTGTTGGCTAGATATGCACGTGCAGGTATTTTAGTTCATTATGTTTAGCTCATTATGTTATCTTTTGATGAAAAATCTTTGCAGAAGAAAGTTTCAGACAAAAATCACACAGCTAACTCAACATTTCAGAGATGCTAAACGGGCAAACGTAGGTTATTTTGTTTTCATATTTCCTTTATTATGTTCAAGAATTGAATAACCATTTAAACGACCAGCTTTTGTCATTCATCATATCTTTAAAAATAATGGGTATTTTTGGCTGATGGACGTTTTTCAATTCATTAAATAAAACTACAAGAATTCGTATGGCGTATAACTGCACAAGACGCCTGTCGCCTGATTGTATTTAGCATTTAGCAATAGGTGACAACGGCTGAAAAGGAGTGAAGTTTCTTAATTGGTAATATGAACTGAGTATTCAACTACAATGAAACACATGATGCAAACGTTTTTTCCTAATAAATATCATTTCAATTATTCAAATAAAATATGGCCACCATTTTCAATATTCGGAGGATTATCCGACTCTTCGCCATATGAAATTTGAGGTGTTAACTAATAACTGTAATGCATAAACTTATAATTAAAATTCTAAATGAAAAGAAATTTGATAAAATTTTTTTTAGCAAACTATGTGAAATTTAGCAGAATCTGGAAAAACTATCCCAAGGACTTGTTTTCGTTATTTTAAGAAAATAACATTTGCAGTGACAAATTTTAGGATGATGATACTTTGAGAAAGGAAACACAAAATTACAAGGAAAGTATGAAAAATGTTGCAAATGAAGGTATGATATAATATATTTATGGAGCTACACCGAAATTATGATATATTTAGCTGTATAGTTTGAGGAATTTTATTTAGATTTATATCAACAATAACAACTGACATCAAAGACCTATTTTATCTCTTGCTGATAAAAATTGACACAGCTCATATATAGAATGAAAAGTGAGAGTAAAGTCCTCGGAAGGAAAATTACAAAAACAGTTAAAATAGTCTCCTATGATCTATATGTTTATTTGTATACAATTGATGTTATGTGGTTATATTATCACGAAGATTGTCAGTCACGTAAGAAAAACATCAGTTGTAAACACGAATAAATATCACAGTGTTGAGGTTCTTTCTCTTTGTTAAAACAGAAAAAGATTGTTCTCAACCAACTATACATCAAAGTATCAGTCTAAAATGTGCCCACTTCTTAGTGAGCTTCGTTAAAATCAAACGCTCTGAAATTATGCCGCAAAGCCAACAATTCTGTTCTTCTTTCGTAAGTCAGTTTTTCATGATCCTTTTTGTCAATTGAATTTCAGCAAAAAAGAAAAAAAATGAACTCGAAGATGTTACAAAAGCTTTTGAAAATCTTTTGGTCGATACAAATCAAATAAAAGGTAAAACATTTACTTACATCCTGAGAAAGTGAAGAGTTTGCGTTCATCATTATCGAAGTGATTTAAAACAGTTTCCAGGCACGTAGTCTGAACAATAATTGGGGGGGGCGGGGGCTCATGTTCATTTATATGCCTGAAATGCAGCAATAGTTTCTTTTGAAATCCATTGTTTTGTAAGGATTATAAAATGAACATATGATTATATCACACCCTCCCAGTTATCATTCAGGCTACGTGCCTGACAGTTTCTTGTCCTTTTAGTCATTACTAACAAAAAACACACCATTTTAGATCTCGTCGATAAGAAAATTGGATACAATGGATTGACCTTAAAAGAACTGAAAGTTGCTATGTGAGAAATTATCAAAAATATTATGATGTAAAACATGTAGCTACATAGTGTTGTCAGCTAAATTTTCTCTTCTCGTAATGCTTTTAAACTGTAAATTATCGTAAAGAAAAGCTTAAATTATTTTGTTATAGAGACCAGATAAGCAACAAACAAAACCAACTTGAACAATTTTTTCATTTCTTGGAAGCTTGTGAATGTAAAGCAAAAGATAAGTATGTTAAGTAATAAAATATTGTTATATAGCTGTGTTATTAAAAGAACGATCAATGCAGCCTCTTGTATACTTCTCATACTTTTCTTGTCCTGCAAAGTCGCAAACATCATAAAAATTGCATTTGTTTGAATAAGGTTAAACAAAATTACGATAACGTCGGTCGATCGTATCAATTTCATTCACTCCTGTGTTTTCCGCCATCTTGAATTTTTGTATTCGGATTCGTCTGGCTTTCCGTTTACAGTTTACACGAAGATTTTAGGGAGAGGAAAAGTTTTCGGATGCAAGAGTCCCACAAACTTTTTCGGATTCAAAATATCCAGTTTCCTCTTGCATTCAAAATAATTTTGTATCGGATTTATGACTGCAAATGTAAACGGAAAAATTAATCCAACATAAAATATCCCAGATTTGCGATGAATCCGAAAACTTTAGCCCTAGTGTTAAACGGGTCTTAGTGAAGCATTATGCATGTTATTTACATCAAATTTACTCGGTAAAAAACATTACTGTGGTTCTTCTCATTTTCATTGATTATTTTTCCTTTTTAATTGTACAGAGTAAATGATATGGAGAGAATCTGGCAGCAAGAATGTCCAATAGAACTGGTAAGTGAATGATACTTTTCTAAAAAACAATGTGTATTGGTCAGTAGGAACATAGAAACAAATTTTGCACGCGAATGCTGCTTATTTACTATATAGCTTATGCCTTTATGGTTTAATTTAGATAAAAACTATGCCTTTTGATGGAAATAAAGGTTGCTCATTAACAAGGGAGGGTAAGTGGCATTTGCGTTGTATCAAGAACAAATGAAGATGTAAAAATAGTTCGCAATTTTCTTCAGAGGAGCAAGGTTTTGGTGATGAAAAACTTCCTCAACTTGAGACATCGGTTCAATCTTCAACCATACAAACGAAAATAAATGTAGACGAATGTTTTTCTACTCAAACACAAGTTCAGGATATTCAAAGAAACCAAAAAGAATCTTCGAGTCGTCCTTGCAGCTCTACAGTTTACGAACCTTTTCTTTTCACTCCCAATGTCCAACATCGTCCTTTGAATGAGAACATTCACGATTCAAGTGGTGAAGTTCCAAATGAAAATACCATGTCTGGTTATCGTGCTGCATCTCGTCAAATAACTTCAGTCGATTCTCCATTCTTTATATCACTTCCTTTTGCTCGAAGCACTCGTTGAATTTTGATGCAAAATTTTTCATTTTAATCACGTTCATCTCATTCAATTTTAAAAAAGTTCGGTTGAATATTTGTCTATCATCTTTTATACCTAAAATTTCTTTTGTTCAATAAACTGCAATTGCAGTGACGATACATTTTACGATAAAACGAGTATTTATGGTTAAAATATTTTAAAGTACACCAATGCAATCACTAATTCCCTAATGGATTAGAAGTTCATGACGAAAATCTCGAGTTAAATAAAATTGTTGCGGTCGTTCTATAAATTCATTTGTAACAGTTCTCCTGTACTTGGGACTTTGAAAAATTCTCTTCACCATTATACCAATCTTTCTTCCATTTGGTTTCAGCATCGATCCGATGATATTGTGGTATTTCATAAAAGGAAACTCGTGTGTTGTTATAAAACGCAAGAATGATTTCTTTCCACCCACGGCATTCCACTTCATTAACCGTAATAATGATACGGTGCTTCGATATGTTTCTCGTTCTTTAGGAAATGAATACAGTTGTGTCTTTGCATTCTGTTTCTATTCATGTTTCGGTAAGAGGTTTTTGGTGATCTTCATTACTACATTTTTATTAAAATCATTAAACTACACCGGCAACAGTGTATATCGTGCCGTATAAATTCACTCAGTTGTTATTTTAAAATTTAACTAGTTCGCGAGGGAATATTATAACTGTTTTTGATGAACTTTGTGAAATGTATTCTACTTTGTACCATTATAAGTCAAAATGAGGTTGAGAATTATCCATGTTTTAAGCCGTCGAACTATACATTGTAACAAATCTCACTGCATTCGTTTTGTGTCGTCTGTCTTCTCTCCGTGGTACGTTGTTATATTATTGTTCATTTTATTAGCTTTATGTTTTAACTAACTAACATTTGTAGCTATGTATAAATTCACTACTTTAAGTCATGTCGATGTATTTGAATAAGGCTACACCTCTACAGCTCATTCGTCTTGAGACCATACATACATAAATGTAGTTACTATTTTTCGTTTTTATTTGATTTCCTCTATTAATGCACGAATTAGCTTCGTAAAAAATGTTTAGAATTAAAAACAGGAACTCTTTGTTATTTTATGTTCTTACTTTTTTCAATTATGCGCAAGGGATTGTAATTTTGCAATAAAAATTGTACATATATGTGTATATGTATTATACTTACGTAGCTATGCTTTACCACTGATGTCGTGTAGGCTACCCATTGCTAATTTTTTGTGATAAAATAGCGCTACTCGTACTTTAACTTAGAATGATATCTCTAATAAAACATCTTTCTTTCCAGTACGAAACGCGTGAAAAAAAGCCGGAAGGTTAAATCAGCTAATAACAACGAAGTAGGAATTCCTGTCAAATTAAACAGCCACGATGGATTAAATACGAAGGTAAAAGATGGAGTTAAAAAATACAATTGATGAGAACTGTGAAACATACATGTGCACTTTGTGCAGAAAGTTATGGACTTCTTAAAAAAACATGACTTTGTAAAAAGTTGTACACAGCACAAAATAAATTCTTTCCGGTAAAACAGAAATTCTTAACATGACTTTAGTATAAAGGCAACAAGTTTTCTCTTTCTTTTAGGGTGATGTTGAAAAAATAGTTTCATACTTTCCAGAGTTTGCTAAGAAAGAGTTTCCGAAGGGTATCACATGTAATCATACAACAAAAAATTTACGAGAACCACTGCTTGCTTGTACTGATCCGATCGAAATGTAAGTCTTAAAACACGTTGCTTGCTTGTACTGATCAACGATCGAAATGTAAGTCTTAAAACACGTAAATGCTTGCTTGTACTGATCAAGTCGATCGAAATGTAAGTCTTAAAACACGTAAATGCTTGCTTGTACTGATCAACTCGATCGAAATGTAAGTCTTAAAACACGTAAATGCTTGCTTGTACTGATCAAGTCGATCGAAATGTAAGTCTTAAAACACGTAAATGCTTGCTTGTACTGATCAACTCGATCGAAATGTAAGTCTTAAAACACGTAAATGCTTGCTTGTACTGATCAACTCGATCGAAATGTAAGTCTTAAAACACGTAAATGCTTGCTTGTACTGATCAACTCGATCGAAATGTAAGTCTTAAAACACGTAAATGCTTGCTTGTACTGATCAAGTCGATCGAAATGTAAGTCTTAAAACACGTAAATGCTTGCTTGTACTGATCAAGTCGATCGAAATGTAAGTCTTAAAACACGTAAATGCTTGCTTGTACTGATCAAGTCGATCGAAATGTAAGTCTTAAAACACGTAAATGCTTGCTTGTACTGATCAAGTCGATCGAAATGTAAGTCTTAAAACACGTAAATGCTTGCTTGTACTGATCAACTCGATCGAAATGTAAGTCTTAAAACACGTAAATGCTTGCTTGTACTGATCAACTCGATCGAAATGTAAGTCTTAAAACACGTAAATGCTTGCTTGTACTGATCAACTCGATCGAAATGTAAGTCTTAAAACACGTAAATGCTTGCTTGTACTGATCAACTCGATCGAAATGTAAGTCTTAAAACACGTAAATGCTTGCTTGTACTGATCAACTCGATCGAAATGTAAGTCTTAAAACACGTAAATGCTTGCTTGTACTGATCAACTCGATCGAAATGTAAGTCTTAAAACACGTAAATGCTTGCTTGTACTGATCAACTCGATCGAAATGTAAGTCTTAAAACACGTAAATGCTTGCTTGTACTGATAAAGTCGATCGAAATATAAGTCTTAAAACACGTAAATGCTTGCTTGTACTGATCAAGTCGATCGAAATGTAAGTCTTAAAACACGTAAATGCTTGCTTGTACTGATCAAGTCGATCGAAATGTAAGTCTTAAAACACGCAAATGCTTGCTTGTACTGATCAAGTCGATCGAAATGTAAGTCTTAAAACACGTAAATGCTTGCTTGTACTGATCAACTCGATCGAAATGTAAGTCTTAAAACACGTAAATGAGGTAGACAATGGAAAGTAATCTCAAGCGTAGCGTTTCATCGTTATAATCTCATTAGTTTTAATTACGATACACGCGTGAAATGATAAAATTTACTCGGTTATTTCAGGATTTTGGAGACTTCGTTCATTTAATTTTGGGCTTGAAAATTTTTATTATGTAGGTTGCTGTTGTTCTTTGGAATACAATCTTGCGATTTATGGGTGATATGGATGACATTGCTGAAGTATGTAACACATTTCTTGGAACAGATGATTGTTACAATAACTACAATGAACAAAAACAATAGTTGCACCTTCTTTTGTCTTTTTAATAAGCTGCTTTATTTGCGTTATTCTTTAGTTGCATGCTCAAAAGTTTAATTCTTAGTTTCAAAGCACTTTCATTAGTTACACAACAAATTCTTTAGAATGGAGCGACATAAAAACCCCTTCGAAGTTCGAACATTTGTAATTTTTACTTTCATTTATTCTCTTGCATTGCAACGCAATCTATAAATATGATTGTTTACTTTTTGTATATTTTTGAAAATTTCGTTTTGGTTGTTTCATTCTATTTTAATAAATAAATCTGAATTTGCTTCATTAATACCGTTTTGCCCATAAGTAGTATGTGGTCTGTTGGTTTTTTGTGATAAAGTGTGGATTCATTTATACATCACAAAGCTAATTTTTTTACTCAGTTGATCGATAACTTGAAATCGCTTTATTTTTGAAGCCTTCCATGGAGGAAACTATTAAAGGTGAAAGAGCAAGTATGCTTTCATCGAAAAGTTGGATATTGGGATCTGACAGGCTGAGATTTATCGTCGGCTTAGGCATAAATCGTCCACATTTAAGGTTGTTTTACATTTGATGAGTGCTTGTGCATTGTGCATTTTGCAAGTTTTTACTTTAGAGACGAAGTTTACTGTCAACTTTGTAAACAAGTTACTAATAATCCTTCAAAAACCAGTTTGTTAAAGGGCTGGATTTTGATATCGTTGTGTTGTGGATGTTTTCTACCATCGAAAAAGGCAAGTTTTTTTAATAAACTAATATTTACTGTTGTAATTATTGCCAGCAATATTCTTCATTCATGGTAAACGAACTTTGATAAAATAATTAATTGTTTCATTTCAGGTAGAAATGATCCTTATTGAAACAATGAGATGCGGTCCAAGTGACCATGTTAGATATTGTAATGAGAAAATGCTGAGAACAAGAGAAAAAGGAGGAAGAAAACAACCTCCAAATTCTTTAGAAATACAGGTAAACACACGTTTATGTATTTCGTAGAGGACTGAAATATTTACCATGCTTGGTTTGCTTGCTGATCTGAATTTTGGCCTATTATAGCTAACTCAGTGTAAACAAATAGGAAAATAAGAAAGTCATTTTTTTTTGGAGAGAAAGGGTTAAACAAGAACATTAAATACATGTTTTAATTAATATTTGTTAGTTATATAAATTATGTTATGTTAGTCATATACTTATATAAGCAATGTATTATAGGCTTCTCAACAACTTGCACTTCCAGTCGTATTAGTGGAATTGAACGATGGTAAGGAAGTGAGTGTTGAAGTAGATTCGTCGACAACAGCGAGAGAATTGTGTTTTAAAGTCTCAGATGAAACGGGAAACAGTCACAATGCTGACTACGGAATTCAAGTTCATATAATGGGCAAGGTTAGGGATTGCTGTGAATATACTTAAGTTGTTGTATATTTGTGGTCAGGCGTGTATATGTTGTGTAGAAATCAACATCAGAAATATTACTTAGGCGGTCTAAAACATAACTGTAGTAAAATTGAAACAACTTCTAAACATTTCATTTAGGACATTAATATCGGTAATGGTGATGAGAAAGTAATGGATGCTATATGGGTATGTGAGCAAAGTGCTAGAGAACTTGGTTATAAAGAAGACACAATTCCATGGAAAATTTACTATCGAAAAGAAGTGTATTGTCCTTCTGACGAATTTCACATGGACATCAGTTGGACAGATTTTGCATATAAATTCGTAGTTAATAACATCAAAACTCGTGTTAGCACAAAGTTAAAAAAGGTATCAAAAATAAGTAACATACACATCTCATCGTATATTGATAGTCTGATTTGTTTTGCAAAATTACTTTAGCGTAGTCATGCACTATATATTTATAATTCATAATAATTATGATATAGAGGTTCAGTAGTACGGAGAAAATTAATGATGTGAGTACATATTTCAAACGGACACCATCTAATGAAAGCCTGGTTCGCCAAGGAAGCTTTTCGAGTGTTTCATCTGTTGGAGCAACCAACAATTTTGGTGTACGGCGTAGGACCTCGAGAATCAGTGATTTACGTAGTGCCAAACTTGCTGAAGATAAAAATACATTTATTGAAGACAACGAAATGTCCTTGCAAGAAATATGCGAAGACTACGAAGACAGCATCAAAGATGTCCATACTTTAGAAGATTATGGAAAAAAGTTCTTCACTCAAACAAACATTTCAATGAATAGCGCCGTAGAAACATTATGTAATTGGTCTCATCAAACTGTAAGTTGTCGTTACTGAAAATTATATAATTATTGTAAATGTGTGTCTGTATGTATCTCTGAAACAGTTTCATAGTAGCTATATATAGATATATAATAATCTCATTTCTATAGGTACTTTGACTTGCATTTATATGACTGAGACTTTCTACACACAGTTTCTCAGTTATTTAGTATCTCTAATATAGTATCTGCTTTTTGAACTATACTTATTGTCATGTTTCTACCAAGTCTTTTTATTGCCAAATTTCAATAAAAAAAAACACTGCAGTAATATATTTTGAAAGCATGCTAATTTCATTTATGCTTCCGATGGTGTTGTGCTGTCGACACAGGAACCATTAAAATCTCCACTTCTGGCTCGATTGGAAAAGATACAAGAATTATCAAAACTCTCACTGAATATGTTTTTGGATATCCTTTCTGAAAGCATGCAAAAGAATGTACATATTTCACTTTGATATCTCAGTATAACGTAAAGGTTTTCAATTTATCATCTTGCTTTCCTTCACTTTTGATTACCAATACTTGAGTATATGCAGGAAAGTAGATCAAGTGACAGATCTTTAAAGTATCGCAAGAAAGAATTGACAGTCGTAATCTTCAATTTGGCGCTGAAACATGTACGTTTATTCGTGAATAAGTTTATTATTCATAGATGAATTAATCATTGTTTAATTTTTGTAGAACGCTCTTCAAGATGAACTTTACTGTCAACTTATGAAACAGCTCACAAACAACAGAAATGCGTAAGTCATTATAAAGATTATAATATTTTGAAGCAATATATTATTAAACACAAGGACATATTTATAGCTTTGATAACTGTTCGTTTTTACCTACAGTGATAGTCGTCATCGTGGATGGGAGCTGATGTTTCTAACCACTAGTCTATTTTCTTGCAGGTTTGTTCATACAACACAAGCACATGATTACTTTTAACATCTCCACTTCATAATGCACATGTTTATAGTTTTAACAAAATCTCTATTTCATACACATGGTAGTTAGTAAAAAATTCATCATCTATCTACAACTTTCCATTGAAAACACCGGTTTTAACTTTTAAGGTACTTTTAACTCAAATTTATCTCAACACGATGATATTAATATAGTGAACGGAATGTACTTACGGTTGTTTGCTGAAAAAATGTATTATTAAATCAAACATGAAAATTGACTTGTTCAACAAATTTTAGTGAAGATGTTTTAAAAGAAGTGATGTTGTTTTATGCTACCTGGAGTAAGCATGAAAAAATGGCTATGAAATGCTTAACAATTCTACGTGAAACTGTTCTGACTGGTCCAAGAATGTGCCCTCCTCACTTTGTCGAATACACTGCTGCCACGGTATGAAGAGGGTTGATGAGATTTCAACCGCATGCAAAAGCTTACTGTGTAAGAAAGAATCATATTTGTTGAATTGATGATATTGTCTATGAAACTTCATTTTTCAGAAACAGCTTGCAAATGTTTCGCACAAAGTATATTTTCCGGATTCAACATCTAAGGTAGATAATTTTATTATTGTGAAAATTACCATACTATTGTGAATAGTAAGATTTTATTGGATGTCATTCCTTTAATACATCATGTTATTTTTAAAGTGTCAATGTCGTACGTCATCAATGTCATTTTTTATATGTTATACAAATAATAGATACATATTTTTATGAATTATGTTAATTAATTTTGCTCGCACAAGTTATGTAAAGGAATCGTCTCTTGAGTTGGCAAAAAGTTCTTCCTTAGAGGAACGATTGTATTGTTGTTGTGTATACGTTACACAACATGTTATATCATACATAACATCTTTTATCAATAAATCGAACGGATTTTCATCAGTCTCCCATTATGATGAAAAATACTATCACGGTAATTTTTTATTATGGTTTTATAGAATTTTGATGTTAATGCTCGTACTAAAGTCAAGAATCTGGCACAGAGTATTGTACAAAAACTTGGACTTTTAAATGGAATTGGATATTCGTTATTTATTCAAGTGTTTTCAAAAAGTTGGTGAAAATTAAAAAACAATTTTTCACGAACATTGCTATACAGCCTTGTTATCAAAATTATAATTATAATTTTTATACAGCTGCACCGCTTCAACCTGAGCATTTCTTATTCGATGCTATTCAACAGTGGACACAAATTGTAGAGAAAAACTTATCTTTGCCAATGGGTGAGTTACATGGAAGGTGTGTATGTGTGTCGAGAAAAATATGCTTAAAATACAATATGATCACCACTGCATACGATAAAACTTTGAAATCATTTCAAATCATTCATTTGCTTTGACTGTATATTTACATGGATATTTTATTTACTTTTCACAAGAATACGATAAAGCAAAAGGAATCCCATACAAACTGATCTTTTTAAGAAGAGTGTGGACTCAAGTTAATCCTGGAGATGATCCAATTGCTGATGCTGTATTTATCTATCCTCAGGTAATTTGTTGAACACTGTGCTTAAGCGTTAATAATTTTATCGTTTTACTGATCCATCTTTTTAAGGAAGTGTATAAATATCTTCGTGGATATTACAAACTTGGAATTGATGAAGTTGCCTACCTTGCAGCGTTGATTTTAAAATATAAATATAAAAGTGGTTGGAATTGTCCAGAAATCACGTAAATATTATTATTTTTACATTTATCATGGCTTTTTTTACTTTAGTTATTTGGAAACATTTTCATGTTTTTTATTGTTGAATTCAGACAAATGTTAGAAGAAATTTTGCCCTATAACATTATTGAAGATCTTTTTCCTGTAATATGGAGACACGTAAGCTGTTTTATAAAGTAATAATTCATATATGAAGAAGTAAACAGAGTTTCAGTGACAAAAACTGTGTTCAGACTTATTTGACTTACTTCATGCAATCATGTTTGACATAATTTCTTGTATAAAACATAATGAAATTTCTTGTATAAAACATAATGAAAATGCTCATCAATGGATAACTGTATACACATACATTCACGAGAGCGTTGAAATATCATTTTTTGAGTATTGGAAAATTTTGTATTGTTGCAAACTTAATTAAAATGAACGTTCGTGTTTCCTTCCAGTATATTTTGACGAATTGTGAGAAGATTCCATTTGATTCAGAAAAAGAAATTAGACTGTTGTTTTTACACAGTCTTCAGAAAAGCGAGCGCTTTGGAGCAGCTTATTTTAAAGTGTTGGTAAGATTTTCTACATTTATAAAATATAGTAGCGACTGTAGCGTTCAGTGTATAGGAGCAAGTTTAATTCAAATCACGAGTCGTAACGATCATTTTAACTCTGTTCAAAATTGCTTCTGTAATTGTCTGAATGTCTTTAACTTGATTGCGAGAATTGTTTTACGGTTTATTTACCAAACGCTTATTATCTCGTTTAATTTTCCCTTCAAGCAAAATCAATTCAGGGATTCACCTAAAGTTATCATCATTGGCATTAACAGTAAAGGAATTCATGTCATCAATCCTGAAACTATGGTATAAATTGATAATGAAACAGTATAAACAGTAAAACACTTTACATGATTTAGATGTTTTGAGTTTTTATAGATTACAATTGAAATGTTTCCAATGGAAAATGTTTTGAGTCATTACGGTGAAGAGAAAGGCTATACGTTTCAATTTCAAAGTACTCTAGAAACAATTCAACAAATAAAATTTCAAACAACGCAGGTATTTACATAACGTTAAAACGGGAGTTTGGAGTAAAATTTGTCATACCAAACAATTTATACATGCCGCGCAAGATGACAATAGACTCGCATACATACACTAGACTTTTTATTCACTTTTATTATATGGCTGGGATAAATTTGTATTTCTCTTTGTAGCTAGCTGTTTTGAAATGGCTATTCTAATTTAAGTAGCTAAATGGATGAAAATAAATGAATAATAATGTTTTCATTTTTTTAGGGATACGAGATAGCTAGTATGGTTGAAGCTTACATTCCTCAATAGAGCGTTTGATAACCATCATACAAAATGTTAACATGGTACGATTCATTGCAAAATAATGAACACCAGAGGTTTTGGAAGCTTTTGAAATTGATTGGTGTCAAATGCTCACCATATCATCACCCAGAAGAGTTGTTCTAGACATTAAACTGCTTCATGTTAGAGTGAAAGGTCTTTGTGATGATTTGAAAATTTTCTACACTAGTGCCTATCATTCAATATATCCTAAAACGTTTAAGCAAGAAGCAAATTTTATATGTGTCCTTCTTATAAGGGACACCTACACTAAACTATGGGTGTCCAGATACCCAGACACACGTGGCTTCCCAAGCCCCTGATGAACACAATCTTTTGTAAAACGACTGCAGAAAAATATTTGTTTAATTTCATACTTTGTATAAGTTGTTGACTTTGCTCATTTATCAATATCTTAATAATGCACATCGAATGGGTAGTTGCCACTGTAAATTATTTTCTAATTGTTAAATAGAAAAGAGATATTTAGCTCTACATTTTGTATAAATTCATGCGTTTTTAAAAACGCGGGTTCTCACACATTAGCTATATTGTATGATCCAATGCCAAAAACATCTAGATAAACGTCGAGACTTATATTGATGAATGCTTTTTTCTGATAATACCAATGTTTCTGATTGTGTGTCCCGAGAGATTAGAACCTAACCTCAACTTCTGCACGATGGAAAACAGTCGCCGTCTTATATTGCGTGTAAAATAAAGTATTGCATGTACAAATGAATGTAACAGAATGGAAGAGAAACGCTGAACAGAAATGAACTGAAAATGGATCTGGAGGATATGAACATATTACGTCCTCAAATTACGAGAATTGGCAATAGATATTACAGAAAATTGGTGTTTGAAGAGGGAGATAGTACAGGCAACACAGTCAGCAATAATGGTAAGATTTGACAAAAATGAAACGTTAATTAGATCAATCAAGTAAATTTCAAAAAGGGGGGTCAGTCTAAATCAGCGTCAGTTTCTTGTATAATGATGCACATGCACCTCAGTTGTCTCATGATAATCTTATTATTTAGTCCAGCGTGTCTACAAATGTAAAGGGACCTCTCAAAACGTAAAACGATACTTGGCAGCAAATTTTCTTTAGAAGAACTCTTACATATTAAACATGACATTTTTTTTTGTAATTTCACTTGCATGATAACGATTATTTATGTTTGTTGCCTATGCTTCCTTGAATGTAAGGAGAATGTTTCTTTATCAATGATCCTTTGCTCGGGACAGATTATAGTGAAAATTTCCTACAAACAACCTTTAAGCTGGTTATTTCTATAACATATATGTTAATTATCCTAAATGACTGTTTGATATTTACAAAAGTGTTATACATAAACCAGCCTACATCTACTACAATTTATATCATTTCCCACAATGATCCTAGATGTACCATTGTTGACACTTGTGAACCACTTGATGTGGACCAATGTACTGATATTTATAATTTCATTATAAATTCAAAGTAGTATGTACTTAAAATTTTCAATTGAACTATGTTTAATCTCGTTTTATAAATTAAAACAGTTGTAAGTGACGAAGAGGAGTATCAAGACAATGAAAATGATTGTGAAAGTATTGAGAAATCAAGCAATGGATTTAAGAGTATTGTGGATGTACCTGTTGAGCTTGTGAAGTTTATTTGTGGCAAAAAAATGGAGACAAAGACCAGGATTGAAAAAGAAACAAATACTCAGATCAAAATACCCAGAATTGGTGCTGAAGATCCTCTAGGTACTTATGACTATATTGTAGTGGTGGTGTACGTATATATGACTGTATTTAGGGGACCTGTAGGTATGTATGACTATATTGTGAGGGATTGTTAGGTATGTATAACTGTGTTGTAGTGGAGGTGTAGGTATATATGACTGTATTGTAGTGGACCTTTAGGTATATGGGACTGTATTGTAGGGGACCTGTATGTATGTACAGTACCGACCTCGAGTGACTCGCGATGCAGTTGCGGAGAAAGAAATTTTTCCGAGTTATTTCGATATACTCGCAAACAGCAAAATATTTTATCCACTCGCAAACCTCTCACACGCAACTGCATCGCGAGTCACTCGCCATTCGATACTCGCGAGTCAAGTTATGTTACTCGAGGTCGGTACTGTATGACTTTTTTGTGTGTTCAGTTTTTATTTATCTCACAATCTCACCAATATGTTTTTGTCTAGTTATAACTGGTGCAAAGAAAAACAATGTGTCATCATGTCGACGAAAAATTGAAATAATCATTGAAACATCACGACAAAAAATTCCTCCAACACATTTCATCTCGTTTCCTTTGTATAACAAGGATATTATTGGTCGTCTTGTGGAATTTAAAAGTATTGCATTAAAAATGTGTAAACAGGTGAATGATGTAACAATTTCTAACATGAAGTATTCATTGAAAAAGTAAGCAAATAAATTGTGTGCTAAACTCAATGTGAAATTTATATTTGAAAAAAAAATTAATAATGGAAACTTTATTTAAATCTTTTACATTATTTACTGTATATGTCTGTTAGACATCTGAGTTTTGGTTTTTTATTCTGTTTATTGAACATATCTTTTATTTTTTTGTAGTCAAAAGGTCTGGAATCTAGTATTTTTCAAAAGCCTGAAAAACTTCATCTTACAGTTGTTATGTTGACACTTTTAACAAAGAACGAAGTTGTATGTTGTGTTTGTTATTTTTTATTTGTTGTAGCTGAATGTGGCTTGATTGATGTTTAAAAATAATTGTTTTACTCATGTCATATATTATTTATAACGTTTTGGTGTCATATATGTAAGACAGTTGATTCGTTGGTCCTTCAAATAAAATACTGCGACCTTAAGAATAGCTGTATTAAAAATCTGCTAGAATTGTGGAAGAAATTGTATTTTTGGGGCCGGTTTCACGAAGCCTGGACAGTTTTATCCATTGGATAGTAATTTTTCAACTTTTTCATAAAAAGGGTTATATTTTCCTTACGATAATGAAACTATTCAATTCTAGGATTAATAGTGTAATTATTGATTGTCTATTTCAAATTGTAGTTTTTCATTTCAAGAGGTCTTTAAAGCGTTCAAAAAAATTGCTATCCTGTGGACAGCGCTATTCCTGCCCCGCGATCCTGTTTATTTGACTTACTTCACTGTAGTTCAGGGGTGGGCAACTTCTCCAGTCGGCGGGCCAGATTTAGGAAAATGAAGTTATTGGTGGGCCGGATTATTACATGAATAATATTCAATATTCAATGGTCGGATACAGTAGGCGGGCCAGTCAAAATCCCTTCAGGGGCCGGCCCCGGCCCGCGTGCCGTGTGTTGCCCACCCCTGCTGTATTTTGTACGTAGATTTTGTTGATTGTGTGAAAGATTGTGTTATCATATTGTGTATAAAGATTGTTAGTAAAGACAGCTGTGTTTCGTTAAAGGAGTTTTTTCATACATGTTTTTCTTTTCTAGGAGAACGCGATTTCTGCTTTAGAAAATTGTTTTAAAGAAGTTATCAAGTATGTCTGTATTTTCTTATCGTTTTCTCTATTTTTCGTTTTATGATGTATTTATAATCCTTCAATGATGATATTTTAGATTTAAAGTTTTTTGTTGAAAGTTGTATGAAAAGTTTACACTTGAAAGATATAAACTGACAAAAAATTATCATTAAAGGCCGCTATTAGCGGATAAACCAATAAGAATAACACTTGAAGGAGTTGAATACATGAACGATGATCCAAATAAAGTGGATGTTTTATATGCAAAAGTGAACGAAATGGATGAAGGTGAAAGGTAGAGGTCATATTTCTTCTCTTTGTTTTAGATTTTGTTTTACATCAGTACTAAAAGGCAAAAACTAAAGAAGGTGTATAATCACTATTTTCTGTTGTGACATGAAAATATACTACAGTGATTAATATCTTTCATTAAGGTTTCATTTGTTTTTAAGGCTTCAGAGGTTGGCAAATGAAATCATGAAATACTTTGTAACGAAGAATTTAGCAAAAGATGAATTCGACAGTGTAAAACTGCATGCAACTGTTATAAACACGAAATTGCGTGAAATGAAGTCGTTGGCAAAGAGTGGCACGCGAGGGCAATCTGTGAATCGTGTTAGTTTTGATGCAACTCAAATAACAGAGGTGAATTTTGTTGGTTTTTATAGCTTGATAGATATTTTGACCAATGCAATTTCATGATTCGTATTTGTCTTCATCTTAGTTGCATGTTGTATCTGTTTTTGCTTGTCTTTCGGACACACTGTCTTTCTCGTTGTTTTCTCCTGGCATTCAAGTACCATTTAGGATCAAATATTTCATGTTTGTTTTATTGACAATCGTTCGACAGCCAAATCCTGTCACCATTCTCGTGCAAGTCTTTCCCAAGTTCCTTTTCAACGATGGTCATGATATTCATATTTTTGTTTTTAGAATTTTAAAGATTTTTATTTTGGTGAACATCATATTGACAACATCCATCTTTGCCAGCGTGGTGTTTTTGAAGAAAATGGACAATATCATTGCTGTAAATCCCTGGCTTTAACATAAATTCCGAATTTCCTCCATTTAAATTTGAAAATTCATTTTTCCGGAGACAAGCTTCACTGATTAAATAACTACATCAGTACTATATCAAGTTAATTATTGTTTCCATTGCATAATGTTTATGTCATGAAGTTGCGCGGTGTTACTTAGTGAATATTGTCACAAACTTACAGCTCTGTTGCCACAGCAAAATATGAAACTTTGTGAGCTTTGTGTGATATTTCACCAGAAAATTCTATAGGCCTTACACGCGATTCTGCAATAAATTTCTTGAAGAAATTTATTCAGACATATGTTCTACAATATTCTTCGAGCTGAAAATTAAGGAAATGTTGAATGACATTCAGGCATGATCAAAAAAAGTTTCTGGCAAAAACTTCCTGGGTCTGTGTGCTCAAAATTGATATTAAGAAACATTTTACAAATATCATGTACACTTACTCAGGCAAGTACACAACTAATATAATAATACTCCCTTTAAAAATTTTAAAAATTACCATTTCTTAAAGCATCTTGTAAATTTGTTGTTATTTCTTCCCAAGTTAACTTTAAGGGACCACCCAGTGTTTTATACATGTGTAACCTTATACATAGAATTCCGTCGTTTCCGTCACCTAACTAGTAGTGTGTGCGTTTACTTTTGCGACATATTCCCAAATTTCACAGCCAAATGTTGTAAAGATGAACGCGACATTTTTGAACACATTTAGTAATATTTCTGGTTCAGTGGCCATGCTGTCAGATGAAACGATCGCAATTCAGTCAACGGTGATGCTAATTCTTGTCATATCATCGTTGGTGTGTAATGGTCTTGTTCTTTTTACCTTTTACAAGAGCCGCGATCTCTTCACTGTAACATGTAATAAGTTTGTATTGAATATGACATTCGTAAATGTTTTTTCGACGCTTTTTGTGTTGCCATTTGTTACAACGACGAGCATAAATAATGATTGGTTATTCAAACATACTTGGTGTCAAATTAATGGATTTTTGTTGATATTGCTCTCGTGTGCTTTGCTTTTAACACTAGCTGCGTTAAGTTATGATCGTTGTTATTTCATTGTTAAACCTCTACGTTATCCTATTCATATGAGTTCTTCACGAGCGTATATTATGATAATTGTCATATGGTTGTTATCATTATTTACGGCCATATTGCCTGTACTTGGCTGGGGAAAATTTGGATATCAAAGATCGAAGTTATCTTGTACTGTCTTATGGCATTTATATACAAGTGGCTACTCGAAGTTCTTTTGTGTGACTTCAATATTTTTACCTCTCCTTATCATTATTGTATCCTACATTTTATATTGCGCGCAGTACATAAGCAGGTTCGTGGTGGCCGACTTAGTTTGGGAAGTCTTATTTCACCAAGTGAATATATCCAAGCACAAAACCAGCAACGGGCAATGGCCACTAGAGCTGAACATTCACGAATCAAAGCATGGAAGACACTTGTCCTTCATGTTGGAACTAATTTAGTTTGCTGGATACCATATTCTGTGTGTATTTTAGTAGAGGATTTGCGTGGACGTACTGATGTAATACCGCAAGAAATTCAAACAGCATCAGCAATTTTGATCTTCTCTTGCGTACTGTGGTGTCCTATAATATATGCATTTCGAGTGAAATTGGTTCGACGTGAGATAAACACTTTAGTTCGTCGAACTTTTAAAATTGGTGCTAACAGTGTGAGGCCATTTAATCCAGATGAATGTTCATTTATTATAGAAACCTCTGCTGCATTGAAAAATCGCACAGCTTCTCAAATAACAATTAAAGGTTATGACGATCTTTTGAGTACAGATATTGAACAATCTACTGCATTACCATGTATACCTGAACAAATAGAAATACCATGTAATGATGATATTGTAAAAAACTACATTGAATCATCCCATCCAGATACTGAAGTCACCGAAATCACAACAAGTTCACTACCTGGACAAATTACATAATACTTTATTATCTTCACATAATAAGTGTAAAATTTTAAAACAGCGGAATGGAATCAAAAGTCAAATTAAGTTATGGTCAATGACATTGTATCTTTACTATATTTGATTTTGAGTCTAGTCTACAGTCATTCGTCGTCATCTATTGGGCGGCACTTCATGTATTTTGCCATTAGGGTATGATTCAAGTAAATGCGTTTCGACATTTTTGGTTTTCTATTGTTACATTTTTTAGGTGTTTTCTTTAGAAAGTCAACTAATGTCAAGGAAAAAGAGTTTGGTCTTTGAATGAATTGAAAAGCTCATTTTAGACATCTAAATTGCTTTTCATTGAATCGCAGGGTTATATTGAAAATTATCCTTCTCGAACAAGAGTTCGGAATGAGTTTGAGGTGTTGCAAATGCTTGGAAAAAGGAGGGTTTGCTTCAGTTGTCAAGGTAACTTTTATTACATACAACATCGTTTAAATAGAAGGTAATTTGGTCATGTGAAGGAAATTTTGTAGGTGATTTGGAAATGCTTTATATACGCTTAGGTACGTAATAAATTGGACGGGTGTCTCTATGCGATCAAAAGAATTCTTTTGAATCCTTAAAAATGTGCAGTTTAATCGCAACATTACTCGACAAGAGAAGTTACTTTCTATATTGAATCATAAAAAATATTGGAAGGTAAAAAGAAATTTACTATGCAAAAGGCATCAAAATTATATAACATAATGTTTCAAAGCAAGGATGAATTTAGACGATACAATTTGCTTAGCTTATTAAATGTTATCTTTGTAGAAATTATTATAACAAAGTAGATGATCGGTTTTTTCCATGAAGCCCATGGATGCTTTTGTTCATAATGAGAGAGTCATATTGTATAAGGAACCTCTCGTTCATCACGAGAGAGTTATGAGAAAGTTACATTGTAAAAGGTAACAAGTAAATAACGTATAAACAGACTTAGAGTTGGTTTAAATTATAAGTCAAAACGGCAGAAGTTGTTTGAACCTTTGCAGTATCCTTGGATGTTCTAGATTCTTTTATGAGAAGAATTCTTGTAAAGAAAAAAGACAAATTTTAAAAACAAAAAAATCTCGTTTTTGATCCATGCCTCCCGATACCCCGAGATAGTTGAGCACTAGGAGCATACCATGTTTATTAAAGAAACCCAGGAATAATCCTGTCTGCCATGAAGCCTATGAATGATTTGCTCGTGATAAATGAGAAACAGTAAATGAGAGAGTTAAATCAGAAAGATATAAACCAATAAAAATTGTATAAAATATATTTATTATAAATTGTCAATACACATATTTATTATAAGTGTCAGAATAACTTAAGGCACAGTGTCAGAAGAAGCTAATTGAAACAACATTGCTGGGTTTACATTATAAGAAGAACTCTTGTAAACAAAAAAAACAACAAAAACGATAAAATTCGAAAGCAAAAAACCCCGTTTTCGGTCCATGCTTCCCGATACCTTCTTAAGCTCAAGGCACTAGAACGCCGCATGTTAACGTTTCGGTTGGAGATTTCGGCCCCTCCACGCTATCCTACTTGGGAGATGCCAATAGCAAGCTTCCGCCCATCAGACCCTGAGATCACCTGCGATAGGCTTTGCTCAGGGTACGCAGGGAGAGTGCGGTCGCCACCGAAGTGTGAGCCCCTAAGCCACTGCATACTATATCGCACCCAGCTTCCACTGCTAGTTGACATCTACTATTTAATGTATTTACTTTATATATATATACGTAAATTCAAAGGCTTACGAAAGTTGTGGTATAATTGACATCGTTACTGCGCATGCGCAGATGATTTTTTTGATAATTTACGACTAAGTGAGTTATTTGCCTCTAATGTAGTGTAAGTACATATAATTAATCGTTGCCATGACTATGAACAATTAGTCTAGTAGACTGCGCATGTGCTTGAGCATGCGCAGATGATTTCTCTATTAAAATGTTACTAAGCATGCTATTTACTTCAAAATCGGTGCTAGTAGATGCTGTTGGTCGTTGCCATGACCATGAACTTGTGCAGCTGGTCAAGTCGACTGCGCATTCTCAAGCAGACTGCGCATGCGCAGATGATTTCTCTATTAAATTGTTACTAAGCATGCTATTTACTTCAAAATTGGTACTAGTAGATGCAGTTGGTCGTTGCCACGAAAATGAACTTGGGTATCTGGTCAAGTTGATTGCGCATGCTCAAGCAGACTGCGCATGCGCAGATGATTTGTGTTAAAACTTGTGACTGAGCGAGCTAATTACTCCAAAATCGGTACTAGTACATCCAGTTGGTCGTTACCATGAGCTTGGAGAGTTTGTGGTTTGACAACACATGCTCAGATTCTCAATTTATTTGTAACAGAGCGAGCTCTGAAATTGGTGCTTGTAGATGCGCTGAGCAAGTTTTCAATCATATATTTTTGGCACGCTCTTTGTCTTCTTAAGCTTGTTTTGACAAATACATGTCAAACTCATCAACACTTTGTTACGGCACTCGTATTATTGGTGACAAAATAGAGATGTTTTTATTTTTCTCTATAACTTTATATCTTCAAATTGCATTGTCATAGTTAAGCTTTCTTTTGATTCGATGGAAAATTATGTATATTTACTCTTACATCTTCTGCCTTTATAATTAGTGGTTTTGAAATATTAAAATATGATTTACATATGATATAAAATATGATGTCCCAAGTGCATCATTTGTCATTATTCTACATGTACAATACTATGTCCCACCATTTCATTGTCCGAATTTTGTAATTTGATCTCGTACTTTTGACAAGTGTGTTTACCTTCGGAATGGTGGATTATAGCAATTACAGCACTGTAAATTGAGCACAGTAAAACCTGTATTAAGCGGTCACCTGTGTTAATCGGTCATATGGCAAAGTTCTGAAAATTTCATAGCATAAATACTATTAAAGTGACCTTTATTAAACGGTCACCTCTATTAAGCGGACGCGGTCACCTTTTCCAATGTCCCAAACTTAATTTTTCATTGTTTGGAAACTGCATTAAGCGGTCAGGTTAAGTAAATACACCACATCATAAAATATATAATTAAATATTTTTTTGAAACATGTCACTTATATTGTATACATGTCTTTATATTGTATTTATCTTCCGTAATGACTCATAAAGCCAACAATATTTTCTGTTTGTGTGGACGAATTGCACCAGCAATCTGAACTTTCCTTACGTCCCTTCAGCCATTGACAAGAAAATGTATCTCCAAGAAAGGGATATACACACGGAATTTATAAGTTATTCCTGACTTGCAATTCTGCCATGTTTGTGGTATAATACAAATGAATATTTTATCAGTGTTCTTGTTGGCACCAGCCGACGTGGGCGAGCAACATTGTTTGGTAAATCTCAAGAGAATGGTTGAAAGTCAAAAATAATCACCTTCTCAGTTGACACGTCTGCCATTGATTATTTTTCATCAGTTTGTGCCGTGACATGTTTATGTATACTATTTTTAATTTCCATTTCAAACTTAAAAAAAATTGCTTTATGTAGTGTTGTTATTTGGCATATTTGTTAAGCAACAATACCGATTGGCTCAACTTTAGTTGTATGAAACATCACACGTGGCCCGTCTGGTGATTTTCCTAAAGACCTGTATTAAGCGGTCAACCTGTATTAAACGGTTTCACGAGAAATCCCCAAGGGTGACCGCTTAATGCAGGTTCTACTGTACTTGCTTTGGGCTACAAGTAGCTTGCACCGTAATATATGTACCTAATCTGTTGCTCTGTTACTCAGTAACTCGGAGTACTTGTGATATTATAACTGGTTTTATTTAAATTTTATAAAAATACAGTACAAAATATAAATGCATTGTTTTTTTTATGAATTTTCCTGAAATTTAAAATTATTATTTTTATTTCACTATGCGCTTGTCACTTTGTACATTTGGCAAACTTGTCATTTCCCTATGGATAGGATTAGTTGTAGGGTACAAGAAATATTGGCGGTTAATCTGCCACCCCCCTCTCATCTTATCTACCGACCACAGAACACTGTCACTGTACCAGAAAAAGGCGGTTGAATACCATCACCATTTGAAGGATCCACATTTGTAAAGAATATTGGAAATATATGTGACACCGTCACCTCGATATGTCATGAAATTTTCATTATTTCATTAGTTATTACTTTAATCTTTACGAACATGCATCTACTTGCTTTAGATGGATTTTCAATTTGAAGTAGTTAGTCATCATTTTATTCGACAACAATGTCCAAAACCATGTCGAAATATAAACAAGAAATCGAACAACATGGTTCCTCAACATCGAGGATATTCAATCAAATTGATTTGCCGTCAGAAGAACAAGAAGAAATGAATAAAATGGCACATGATGTTTCTGAAACTGTGAGGTATATTTAATACTTACTCATAATTCAAGGTGTTTTGTTAGTTTAACCATTAATATGTCTGGCATCTTTGGCACCTATTTTGATTTTTGATTGACCTCATACTGATCATGGAGACCCATGTCTTACTCTCTAAAACACATGTACGTAAGAGCCTAGGAGATAAAGAATTTACTGAAAATCTTTAAAAACTACCACTAAAAACAAACTAACCAACTCATCCTGAAATTATTTAAAAAAACCATGGTTCTCAAAAAAGCAGTTCAGTTAAAATCAGACCAATGATACCACTGGTTGCAGACCTGATTAGACATCTATCTCTCTATATTATCTCTACTTTAATGTCTTTTTTTGTAGTGAGGAAGTATTTTTGTCATATCAATGTCATTCCTTGCATCACATTAACAAAATTCAAAAACATCCAGGAAACATTGTTGAAGCTGGTTCATTATCTGTAAGTTATTTTTTATATTCACTGTTTGTGGAACAAAAAGACAATCCTTTTTTTTTGACATATAAATAACAACACTGTTTAACGCGATTGAGGAAAGTAAATAGACAGAAACTCTTTGAGATTCAGGTCATTTTCCCTACTTTAATCTAAATTCATGCATATGCTTGACAAAAAGTACAGAAGTGGCACAGATGCTAAAATAAACAAATATAAGATGTCTTCACAACAATAATGCAGTTCAACCTATACGTACTAATTTTAAAGTGTATTAAGTTTGTAACCATTTATTATCTTAAAGGGCTATTGCACATACTTCATTACAAAGAAAGAAAATTTAACTGCTAAAAATATTAATGAATCAAAACAAATGTAATGCAATCAACCCAGTCCCTAACCCTTATCCAACTATTAACCTTTTAAGTTTTGTTAAAGTAAGAATTATATTTGAGGAGTTTGTGCTTGGAATTAATACCAAATACATGCCTTTCCATTGAAAAGTTGCCAAAAGTGCAGCAAAATTAGCTATTTTAAAGTCTGTAAGTATCTTCTGACATCAGTTTTTTTTGGTATTGTTGAATATATAGATGTAAGGTTTTTCATAGGATTCATTGGGAAAAGTGGGTCAGACAATATGTTGTAAGTTGGGAACTTGTATGACATTGATAGCATTTTTTAAGTACGTAGCAGGATAAATTATATAACATGGATTACAGTATATAAGAAGGAATTTAGTAATTATAAGCATAAAAAAGACAAATGAAACACATTTTCAAGTAATTAAATTGGTCTGCAAGATTTTTATGTAGAATGGTACACTTATAATATATAATTAATTTGCTTGATACAAATTTCCAGGCACAAACTTTGCCAGAAGCTGTTTACCCAATATGTGATTCAATAAGTAATGAAATTATTGAAAACGGTAATTATGAAAAAATTGAATTGTTTTTGTGCATTTATACTTAAGGATTACTTCAATAGTTTATATACAAGAATTTGTATTTTAAGTGAATTTAATGGAATAAATGTTCATTAATGCTTCTAAATATCTCCAATATATTATTGTGATGAACTATTTAAAATTATAGGAAAATTGAGTGATCTCCAGCTTGAGGGAGTTGTTTATTGTGTAAGTTGTTTCATGACATATTAGTGTTAATATTTTTCAGTTTCAACATCATATATATCAATGAATTGTTTTGATTTAGGTAAACATGTGTGAAATTTAATCTTTTAATTATCATCTACAAGTTGTAAACATCCTGATATTGACTAAGAAAAAAATTTATTTATTTATACATGTTGTTTTCTTTTAAAGTGTCAAAGGCATCAAGTTATATTAGCTTGTGGTCAGAGAGCTGGATTTTTTATTGGTGATGGAGCAGGTGTTGGTAAAGGCAGACAGGTTACTTCACCATTTTTATCATAAACCATCATAAACATGCAATACGGAAGCCAGTAAAGCTGTTTTGTTTATGATTACGTAGTTTGTTGTCATGGTTTTTAACAATGAAACTTCAAACGTAAAAAATGGGATATTTTATTGTATTTTCGTTGATTAATTAAAGACGACTTAATTTATTCATCCCTTGACATTAAATTCTGCAGCATCAAACTATTTATCGTTTTTTATAATTTTCCCAATGTATGAGCTTCATCTCCAGCTCAACAAATTTTGCAATACTCACGCTTTATAAACGGCAGTGAAGCTTCATGTATTTGCAAACGTAAATCCTAGCTTTCACTGCTTTTGGTTATCTAACTAGCAAATTCAATGTTTTAGTTGTATGTGGTGAAAAAGCATATTTTTTGTTAATAGATAGCGGGAATAATTTTGGACAATTTTGCTCGGGGAAGAACGAAGCATGTTTGGTTTAGCATATCATCGGATCTTCGTCTCGACGCACAAAGGTAAATATCCAATATTTTTTTGTATTTCACCACTGTTGGGCTTGGAAAATATGCATTTTAACAAGATTAAAATAACTTCAAAATGAAAATAAGATTGAGATCAAAACTGCGTTTTGCTGTAAGGCATGAGTTGATAAAATCCAATGTTTGTAGTCACGAAACTTGATGTTGTGTATGACGTACGTAGAATTATGATCTGTTGGATGATGATCCGACAGTTTCATTTATTGGATTATCGAATTTTCGTCCAATGAAATTACTGATCCGTGTTATATTTAGAGATCTTCAAGATATTGGTTGTTACCTTAAAGTAATTGATGGATGTCAACAGCTTGATAAAGAAACAAGGTGTCTACATACATATACATCGTTTACTTCAAAGTTAGAAATAAGAAATTTCTTGTAAATTGTGAATGCTAGTTGAGATCTGTTCATGATTTTATATTCATTGGTAACTGTAGAAATTGTTAATATTTCAATTCTTTTAGCCTGATTCAATCTTTATGACGAATAGTGTTTTCTTAATTTCAGAGTATTTGGCCTTTCCATTGACTTCAAAGAAGGCGTCGTCTTTAGTACATACGCTACACTTGTCTCATGTACACAGCGTGCAGGTAAGTATGTAAGTTCTGTTTTGCATACTCCTGTCACATGTACGTACATAGTCCTGCTAGTATAGTATGCTTTTTCTTACATACTCCTGTCACATGTACGTACATAGCCCTGCTAGTACGCTTTTTCTTACATACTCCTGTCACATGTACACGTACATAGCCCTGCTAGTATGCTTTTTCTTACATACTCCTGTCACATGTACGTACATAGCCTTGCTAGTATGCTTTTTCTTACATACTCCTGTCACTTGTACGTGCATAGTCCTGCTAGTATGCTTTTTCTTACATACTCCTGTCACATGTACGTACATAGTCCTGCTAGTATGCTTTTTCTTACATACTCCTGTCACTTGTACGTACATAGCCCTGCTAGTATGCTTTTTCTTACATACTCCTGTCACATGCCAACAGCCTTCTGCCATGTTCTCCTTACATACTTATTGTTCTCCTTATAGCTACGTATATATGTTATACGGTGAGAGCTCGTGAAAAAGTTAATAAATTTAAAGTTTTATTAAATAATGTGTATTGGTGTAGGAAAAAGTCGAAGTCGACTGCAGCAATTGATTGATTGGTGTGGAGGATCATCGTTTGATGGATGTTTAATATTTGATGAATCACACAAAGCTAAGCATTACATTCCGGTAGAAGGAATTTTTCGCTCAGATCATCGCATTTTTTTGTCTTCAGTGTTTTATAAGCAGATTTTACTTTTCAACTTTTAGGGAAAGGAGAAATCCAGCACAAAAGTAGCCTTAGCTGTTGCAACTTTACAAAGGTGAATTTTAACAGAATGTTTGTGTTTTTGTAGCATCTTTTTCATCGCAATATTGTTTTTTCTTCATCTGTTGATGCAGACTTTTACCAAATGCGAGGGTTATCTACTGCAGCGCAACAGGTGTCACAGATGTTAAAAATATGGTATTTGCTATTTTTTGTTGTTAGGAATGTTATAGTAAAATTTCATTTTCTCAAATCGTATGTATTGTAATTAGTCAACTTATAGGCTCATGACTATTAGGAGTAACTTAAAAATTTATATTTGCTTCCCATGACATGTAACTAATGAGAAGTCAGACGATATGATTTTTCTGTTAAGGCATTCATGGAGAGACTTGGTCTTTGGGGTGATGGAACGCCTTTTAAAACATTTGAAACATTTGTTGATGGCATTATCAAAAGAGGATTAGGTTTGTCTTAAGGAAATAGATATGTTATGAAATGTATTGAAAATCAAATTGTTATCTATTAAAGCATGCCATCTGAATTTGATGTTTAATAGCTTATCTTTTAACTTAGGAGCGTTAGAAATGCTGGCAATGGAAATGAAAGCAGCTGGAATGTATGTTTCCAGAGGATTAAGTTTTCGTGAAGCTGAGGTACATACGTACTTGTTTTGTGCATAAGAATCATTATGTAACTCAAATTGAATTTATTTATAATTGACATTTGAGATTATCTTTTGTCATAAATATTCACTTTATTGTATGTAACTAGACTTTGCTTGTTATTAAAACATTTAGTTTCTTACTGTGCAATCATCTCTTTCCGAAGAGCAAATAATTCTTTTTGACAAAGCTGCCCATCTATGGTAAGCCTGTGTTTGTTGTGTATGTATTTTTTATGGAACTGAATTCTTCAGTTTTGCTCGCATTAGTTGTAACGTTGCCACATGTTGTAAAAAGTTTGCTCACTTGAATTGTGGTATAAAGAAATTATCACTTTAAAATCAACCCTTTCTTATCACGAATGAACTTTAAATTTTATAACTTTCCAGGAATGAGCTGAAAAAATCACTGGAGATAGCGGTTACCAGAACAACAACTTCAAATAATAGGATTTGGTCGACTTTTTGGGCCAATCATCAGAGATTTTTTAAGCAACTTTGGTGAGCTCGCACTTACTTTGATCATGAAATACCCTTCACATAACGTTGTATTTCTTCTATTTATTTTCATTTTTTATTTCGTTTTAAGCATGAGTATGAAAGTTCCATTTATTGTTAAAGAAGCTAAAGAAGCGTTAGCATCTGACCATGCAGTTGTCATTGGCTTGCAGACAACTGGCGAAGTAACGGAATCATTCTATGTTTTTTAGTCAGTGAATTATAACTGAAAGTAAAGGTTTTGTTCCGTGAGCTGTAGTTGTTGGCATAGAAGTAATATGAAATTTGGTTTTATATTTAATATGGATATTTTATTTTAGGCAAGTCTTGAAAGTGAAGTGACACGTCTTGGTGGAAACATCAATAATTTTGTATCAACAACAGCAGAAATATTAAATCGTTTCATTGAACAATATTTTCCAACTCAAATACAACAACCTGTGGGTATTCTAGAAGTTTATGTTTGTATTGTGTGTTTATAGACTGCTCTACGTCTGCTCTATGTTGATCTTAGATTATTTTAACATTAGAGTGGTGAATACGTCTGTGATAAGTGGTGTGTTCAAGCGAAAAAGCTTCTTAAAGAATTTGTTGAGAAAATTAACTTACCAATAAAGTAAGTGAACAAACATATGTGCAGCATTGCATTTTTTTGTTGTTTTTTATTATTTAGGCAGTTTCAAAATATTGAATTCATAATTATTTAAAGTTTTGGACACATAATTATGCTCACAAGGAGAATAGAAATGAATTTTTGCTCAGGCATTCACGCTATTGAAGGAAATGAGCACTATCCCTATTGTGTAAAATGTTTGTATATAAACAACTTGATCTAGAGGTTATTGTATTATCATTTGGATTTTATTGGTACTTATTTTGAAAAAGGAGACTGTATGTTAGGTTTTCTTGATGACCATTAGCATTGTTCACTTTCTTTTGACGTATTTCTTCAATAATAATGTTTATAAATGATTATTACATGTCAGCCCATTAGATGAACTTATTGACAATCTTGGTGGTCCATCGTGTGTTGCTGAAATGACCGGAAGGCGTGGACGAATCGTACGACTAAATAAAGGAAATAAGCCACAGTATCAAGCTAGAGAATATGACAGCACCAATGTGGATAGTTTAAATATACAAGAGGTAGTTACATTCGCATTCAAATCTAACGTACGTAAGAAACAAGTATTTTTACGTTTTAAACGCTTTGTAAGGGAAATTGTTTTATATTATTATACATGGATTATTGTATGAATTGTAGTTGAGTTACTTCATGAGAAGCAATTGAAATGATCTGATCTGATGATCATGTCACGTAAAATACATGTGGAAGGAATTCCTCTGTTTAATAATTTCAGCAAAATAATTTTTCTTGATGTTTTTAAACAGAAAAACAGTTTCATGAATGGTGAAAAGTTTGTTGCGATAATTTCAGATGCTGCCAGCACAGGTTTGTATGTTACATGATAATTATTAATAAGATACATGATAATTTTAATAAGAATGTGATAATTATTAACATAATAGTTTTTAATATATATATGATAATTATAACGCATGCGTAGATTACTAGGGCATTTTGATTGTCAAATTTGTCTCTCATAGGAATATCAATTCATGCGGATATACGTGCTAAAAATCAACGACGTCGTGTTCATATAACAATGGAGTTACCTTGGAGTGCAGATAAAGCTGTTCAACAATTAGGAAGATCTCATCGATCAAATCAAAGCAGGTTTATTGAAAATTTCTATACGATAAATAATCAATTGAATTAATCTTTAATGTTTTCAAGAGTATGGTTTTGCTTTTTGTGATGTTTATAGTTGTCCAATTTATAAACTGGTAACAACGAATCTTGGAGGAGAAAGGCGATTTGCTGCAGCTGTTGCTAAACGACTTCAATCGTTGGGTAAATATTTCTTGTTTTCTTGAACACTAGGAACTTGTCAGTATTGTTAATGTAGTCTGATAGAACTATCTTGGGTATTCTACATTTTCAACATAGCTAAAAATTTGTCTTTTCCGTGCTTACGCATGCTTTCAGATTTCAAAGTTTTCTATCTAAAACGAATTAAAATTTCAAAACGTAAGGGTTGAAGGTGTAGTTCACTTTGAACTATTCAAAAAGGTTGGCTTATTACGTAAATGTTTTCATTGCAAAAACTGTAAAGTGTTGGAATTAATTATTTATTTCAACATCAAATGAGACAAGGAAAGGAAATAATCTTTGTTTGATTGAAGCTCCGTGGATGCTTTCGTTCGTGATACATTAAACAATAAATGAGAGAGTTGTTTTTAAAAAATATCAACTGATTAAAAATGTACAAACATGGACATAAGGTTAGCTTAAATTATAAGTCAAAAAGGCAGTTGTTTGAAACTTTGCAGTATCGGCCTTGGATGTTATAGTTTATTTTATGAGAAGCACACGTGTGCGGGGCAAAAGGAAAAAAAATTGAAAGCAGAAAATTCCGCTGGAACCATACCTCCCGATAATCCGAGACAGAAAGAGCACTTGGGTGTTGCATGTGAAAAAGCATGTGAAAAAGGGTGTTGCATGTGAAAAAGGGTGTTGCACGCCCTTTCTAAGGTAGACAGTGTCGGCAGTTTTTGATTTGGTAAGCTCACATGTGTATGTTGCTTTGTTTTTCAACTCTTAGGTGCTTTAACTAAAGGAGATCGACGTGCAGCAACTGGAGCTGATCTTTCTCAATTTAATTTTGATACGACTTATGGAAGGAGTTCTCTTCGACAGATGTACTCTGCCATTTGTCAGGTAAATCCATCACAATTTTATTCTTCTTGAGGAAATTATTAAGAGTTTCAGTCTAAGATTTTTAATATCACTCCACTTGAATATCACTTTTTGCAAAATATAACTGTCTTCTGTTGATTGTCAAACGTTTGAAAGTATCTTCCCATTTTGTGTTGCATTTTTCTTGTTTTTTAGAATCATCTTTTTCCCGGTGTCAACTTGTCTGCTGTTTTGACATTAGCGAATGCAAATAAAGAATATCAATTTGTAGAATTCAATGACATAATGAAGGTATGAAGTTATAAATTTAATTTTATGTAGTTTGCCTTTGCTATACATTGTATAATTGGACTTCATATAAATTTTACATTGGTTGTTACATTTCAGAATTGCTTGGTGTCAATAGGAGTTCTTATTGACGTGAATATGGTTGCTTCAGGAGTGAAGGAAAATGAGGCGGGAGATGTGAGCCGATTTCTAAATAGAATACTTGGATTGAGTGTTGAAAAACAAAACTTGGTAATGTATATTGTATTATGTCGTTGCAGTCAAAGGTTTATTTTCAACAAAAAGTATTTATTTGTGTGATATATTTTCCTATGATTTCCTGACTTAACAATTGCTCATGGTGGACAAATAACTTTGCATAAGCTGTGAAAATTCTTCATTAACGAACAAAGACATTTATCTTTAGATTTTTAGTTATTTTTGTGAGTGCTTGCACGCCATTGTCGAAGCTGCTAAACGTGAAGGAAGGTATGGCAGCTCAACTATATACATTGAAGCACGCAAATGCTTATTTTGACTTGAAGTTTCAGTTTAAAAAATCATAATAAAGTTCTACGTAGGCCAATCTTTATCTTCTGCCAGAATTCGTTTAATTTTGATTAAATTTGTAATGTACCTGTAGGTACAACCAAGGTGTGACTGACATTCAAGCTACATCCATCAAAATCGTAGGTGAACCAAGAGAGGTATTTACAGAGATACGACGTGGTACTGTTGTAACAAAGTAAGGATATCTTTTTTAAACTTCCGATTTTTTTATCTTCATGTATAGTAGCTACCATACGTTTTACTTGTACAACCTTAGTTTATGCCCATAAAGACATCTTTTTTTTCTTCGCGTATGATAAAGTTATAAAAATTAAGTTTACAAACTTTTCGAAGTCGCACACTGCTTGAAATGAGAGATTTGTCATGATAGTGAAGTAAGAATATTTCTTTCCTGCGTCTACGGTGTAAGGTTGTACACCCCCATGTTAACCTTTTCGTCAAGCGCTAGGCTAACATGGGGCAGCTTTAGTCACCATAATTTTCATTGAAAACTGAGTTTTTTTAACACAGTATTTGGTTACGAAGAACTCGACATTGCTTTGCTAGGCATGTTAAACTTCAAACTGACCGTGGTGTCTCATGGGAAATGGCGTTAAAACGCTTGGAGCATTCGAAAGGAAAGATGAATGGATTTTATTATTCTAAGAAACAGCAGAAAGGAAAACGACTTTATCTTTTAGCTATTCAGAAGAAATCCTCTTCTCATTTGTTCAGCATAACAAGGTTCATTTCTTTAGGACAAAGTTTGCTCGTAAAATTTATTTTATATTAAAGAACAAATATTTTAATTTAGACCGAACACGGGAATATCACCTTTTGATGAAGAGAAAAACAATCTTCTAAACAAATACATCGCAATTTCTCCTGAAGATGCAGGTATTTTCATGAATTGAGATCATTTGTTGATAAAGTTCGAATTTATTGCTTGAGTTTATCTAAGGAAGTTTACAAGGATAAAGCTCCTAATAACGAGAACGAGGCTGTAGTAGGCAATGTACACCATCATGGTGTACACAAGGTTCTGGTCAGCGTTATGTACACCATGATGGTGTACACAAGGTTCTGGTCAGCGGTGTGTACACCATCATGGTGTACACAAGGTTCTGGTCAGCGTTAGAAATGTTCGATAATATGAATAGGGTGTAAAATGTACGCGCCGTATTGAACGCTGTATTTCTGATTTAGAGTTTGGCTGGAAAGCACAATATGAACGTACATTGGATTGTTGTATTCATGGTATAGGCTGTAAATTTGGCAAAACTTGTAAAAGTAAGTTGACAATTTTGCTATTGAAAAATATTTATATATTCATTAATGGATGTTAACTCTATTTTTGTGTCTAGTTGGTTGTCGTACTACAGAAATTCACCTTCTTTGTGGTGGTATTATTCCTTTGTTGTCATTATTGGAGAGTACTGTAGCCAGAAGAACAAGTAGTCTTGAACTCAGGTAACTACAATTTGTATGGCTACAAACAGAGGAGAAACTAGAACGCTAATGGGGTAAATATTCATACATTAAGCTCTGCCCTGCTGATTTCTTTTGTTGGCGATTTTAATTTGAAAAGAAATCAGCAGAGCAGAGCTGAATATACGAATATTCCCCTCCCCAATTAACGTTCTAGTTTCGCCCCTGGGTACAAAATGCCATATTTACCATGCCATACCTACATAATCATACACATACATACTACAGTAAAATGGATTTCTCGAAATAAATGGAACTTTGAATGAGTAAAATAATTTCATGTGAAGACAACCATATTTAAATCAACCAGAACCAATTTACCTATTTAATTATTTGTCTGATTTTATTGTGTTTGTTATTCTTGATTTTTTTTGCAGTAAAGAGCTTCGGTCATTGCGTGTTGTACGAGTTGAATTGGACAATGGTCGTCGTCTTGTTGGTCTTCGCTATCCTGAAGCCCTAATTACTGAAGTGTCTCTCTTAATACAACAACAGAAACTAAACTCTTTGGCGGTTTGTATTTCATATTATGATCAATTGTAGATATTACGTATTTTGGTTTTAATCAAAAATAAAGAATCGATGTAATTTTTGTAGAATAAAGTTAACCTTCGTTTGGGCATTGCACCTGTCATCATGCCAATGTTAACAGACGCAACAAACTTGACGACATTTGAGGAACCAACTATTGTGAATACAACCTTACTAAAGAAAGCTTTGGCTCCACCTGTTAATATAAGAAACTTTTTTAAACCTTGTAAACCTGCCGTTACAGAAAAAACTACTTTAGGTAATTCGAAGAATATGGGAGTCACTTCTACCCATAAATGTGAATCAATGTATTTCGAAACTCGTGCGTTTTGCAAACCTCCAAACGACGCAAAGAACAAAACTAATTCTATGAAGGGAACTGCGTCTATATCAGAGAACAATAAACGACCATCTGAAAGCAGTTTCAACCAAATTGGTATCAAAAGATGTAAAAGGCAAGGAAGTATACTCAACTCATTAAATACGTCGACTGTCGAGAGAAAAAAGTGCCCCATTTGTAAAAAGATTTTTGGTGTAACAACGAACAATAAAGAAGTAAATGATCATATTGATAGTTGTCTTATCAAGTGATCTGAAAAACGACACCATGATAGTTGGCTGGTTGTTGTTGAACATAAGAAATGAGATAATTACGTGGTCGACAAGAAACATCAAGATTCTCTGCGTGAATTAGTGCTCTATCGAAGCATAAAATGTACGTTTGTCTTTGGTTTGAGCATTTACCTTAAATGTCGTGCCTGAAATAAATGTCCCGTGCATTGAATTGAAAAAAATAGTTAATTATTCTTACTATAGGCAGTATACGTAGTTAACTTTTGGTTCATTTATTGTTCCGTTTTACAAAAGAAATTTCAATATTGCAACTAATTGGACACAAAATATTATCATAACTTTGATGAATTTTGACAAACTTAACTTTGCAAATATTTTACACCCACAGTAATGAAAAATTCATCCTCACCAAAGTCTTTGATATAAAAATGTGCTAACTGCTAAGGTAAATTTGGTAAAACCTTCTGTTGTTTACTACTTTTTTAGTCAGTTTACAGTTGGACATTCGATTGTGTGATATCAAAATGCTTGTATTTTAGAAAGTGTGTTCGAACTTGAAGATGGAATTTTAAATTGTAACAATAGCTTTTAGTGTCACCATAATTAAACTTCCGGGTTTTTAATGTCAAGATGAAAGCCATTTGTCTTTTACAAACTTCTTTGACCAAAAATGATGTATTACAGAAAATATATTAGGACATCGCAATATACTTGAGCAAATAATGTCAGATCAGACACCGATAAGAAATGAAATAGCGTGGTTTCATGGAAAACTTTCTCGTGAACAAGCCTACCAAATGTTAATCGAAGCAGGGCAACAAGATGGGTTGTTTCTTGTTCGTGAAAGTCTAAATACGCCAGGAAGCTTTGTTTTATCTTTATGGAGTGATAATTCGGCATTTCACTATCAAATTCGAAATCGTGGTTATGGTCGTTTTAATATTGATGAAGGACCGTTATTTATTGGTCTAGATACTTTAATAAATTATTTCAGAGATCAAGCTGGAGGACTAGCTACAAAGTTAGTTCGAGGAGTTGTTGGTCGACCTCCGCCTTCGTCAATATGTCAAGGACTTGAAATCAATAAAGCTTTATGTCGTGCTTGTGATGTAGGAGATGAAAATGAGGTGAAAAGATTACTGCAAGATCCTAATATTGATACTGAGTGTATTAATGAGGAAGGATTGACGTCGTTACATGTAGCTTGTAGGAAAGGTCATATAGGAATTGCGATGAAATTGATTGAGTCAAAAGCGGATGTCAACTGTAGAGACTATGATGGTCGAACACCACTTATGGTGAGTAATCTTGAAGTTATATATGACATGGAAGAACTATAGCATTTTTTTACTTATTACACCTCCAGGCAGTTAGAAGACCAAGAAATCTTGGTCCATTGGTAAAATGTACTTTTAGATATTCTACATATTGACTTTGTTTTGTTTTCTTGCCTTTCAGTATGCATGCCGTGGTGGTCATCTGCAACTTTGTGAAATTCTTGTATTTCATAGCAATGCTGCAATTCAAGATCGTTCGTATAGAGAAGGTCATGTCGCTTTACATATTGCTGCAATGCAGGGTCACATTGATTGTGTACAACTTTTGCTAAGAGCAGGTGCTCCAGCTCATCCAAGATCAATTAGAGGAAACACTCCTAAAGATTTTGCCAAAGACAATGGTTATAACAATCTGGCTAAATATTTAGGTAGGTATGTAGAACACAAAAGAAACTTGTAATCACTGAAAACACTTTCTATTTGTTTTAGTGACAGGTGCCTAATGAAAACGCTTCAATTTTTATTCCTTAGTCACTTTATTGTCCATGTTGGTTATATTACTTGTTTGTCATTATTGCATTGTGCCTTTCTCTGAGAAAGTATGTAATGTTTGTCATTGGTTTTGAAGAAACATTTGTCCCTCCAACTCCAAAGGCCAATTTGAAGCATTGGCTTCATGAAAATGTTGATCGTGAGGTGTGTATGTAAAACTGTTTACTTACACAAGTTTGAAATATCTCATTGTAACAATTTAAAATAGTTAGTGTTGCTTATTAATACTTATTTTTCAATTTCAGGTTGCTGTTTCTTTGTTATACAAATGGCATTGTACTGATGGCTTGTTTCTTATTAGAACAAGCACGAGAGACTGGGGCGTCTATGTGTTGACAATGGCAGATAGAAATTCACCATATCATTTTCAGATACAAAACAAGGTATACTTTTCTATCAATAGCTTTATTTTGTAAGCCTACAATTCAAACTTGATGGTAAATGGTTGAATAAAAATACCATTGTTAATGAATGTCTAAAGATATTAGTATCAAAATATGACTAATGGCTTTATTTCTAGAGTATTTTGAAATTTAAGTACATTCATTAGTGAACTGGATGAGCCACCACTGATTACAACACATCATGGGTCATTCCAAAGATATCTTTATTATCAACTGCACTTACATAATGTGGATGTCATAACTGCCATAAATATATGAAGTTTATTTATCTAAGCAATATGACCTCATTACTACACTCACATTGTGTTAAATTGATATAAAAAGTTTTGCCTTATAGGGTGATCGATGGTTTTATATTGACGATGGTCCATTATTTGAAACACTTCCTCACTTGGTAGATTATTATGGTGCATTAGCTGATGGTTTACCCCACAAGTTAACTTATGCAATTCAACCATCTGGAAATCAACTAATTCCAATTCAGTGCAATCCACTACCTCTAAAAATTCCTTTACCCATCCCTAATATTAGAACTCAGTCTCCTATCGTTAAGGTGAGATGTCTTAAATTTGGTAAAAAAAGAAAACTTATGTAATGGTGAATGATAGTAGATTCTTCATAAGAGTATCCTTTATGACAGTCTGTTTATCAATTTTGTAAATGAAGAGTTCAGTGGAACATGATATACCATGGGTTGACTTGGGAAAACAAAATTTGTTTGCTATAAAGAATATATTTTTAGTACAGTTCAAAAAGAGTAAAACTATTACTAGTAAATGGAGTTACTCTGGGTTATTTCAATTGACGATTTCAAAAAGTTGTAGCTAATATGCTAAATCATCTGTTGATGATGAAATCTGTTCTAGTTACTGTAATCACGATTAAAACCAAAAAACAAGAAGGTTCTTGCTACTAATTGAATGCCAAATCTTGCCCACGGTGAAAAACTGTTATAAATATGACGTGCTGGCTCTTTTTGAATGGCATTTGATTTTAATTAAATTGTTGTATGCGTCATAATTTATGTGTATTCATCATCTAGCCTAGAAAGCCTTCTTCCAATATTGATTGTATCGATCGTCCTAAAACTCCAGAAGAACCTTTTCATCATCAGACAAACTTTGGTCGACGTCCACCTCCACCACTGCCGGTAAACAGTCAATCTAATTTCAATAGACCTCCACCACCACTTCCAAACGAAGAGGAAGATGAAAAGAAGCCGCAGACAATAATAAACGTGAATGATGTTGAAGCAGGAGCTGAACTTGGGCAAGGAGAGTTTGGTTCTGTTTTACGGGGAATATGGAGAAATCCTGGCGGTAAAGTTGTAAGTATTGAATTCATATTTTGACAAAAACACTGCAACATTATCTTTCGTAATTTTATTTTTATTTTTCAGATGGATGTGGCCCTAAAAACGTTACATCCTGATAAAATAATGCAAGGTGAACAGGTACGATGTTCTATCGTTGTAATCTATACTTAACAAAGTTCGAAAATTGTTAAACTCATTTGATTTACACTAAAGGAATTTTTGCGTGAAGCTCGTGTCATGTCAGGCTTGAATCATCCTTGTGTCGTAAAACTACTTGGTGTCTGTCTCGGACCTCCTCTTATACTCGTAAGTGTTAGAATTTACACTAATTTAAATTTCATAGTTCATTGTTATCATGAGTTAGGACTAAAAACCATGTCCAGATTACAATTTGAAAACATAAATTAAAAAAAAAGAGGATATAATTGTTATTGTTAATATGTTTTTTTTTCAGGTTCAAGAGTTGGTAAGCATGGGTGCTTTGCTTGATTATCTCTACACTTTGGCCGAAGAAATATGTTTAGGTGATCTCAAACTATGGGCAGCGCAAATTGCTTGGGGTATGATGTATTTAGAAGAAAAACGTTTCGTTCATCGTGATCTTGCTACAAGAAATATTCTTCTACAGTCTAGGAATCAGGTAGCTGAAATGTTGCAGTTTTTAGAAAATTAGTAGAGGAAAAGATGGACTTTAATCTTTTTGATAGAAATTAAACCAACATCATTTCGCACATCACTGCCCAATTGTTTTTGTGACATGTGACGTAGGCATAATATTTTCAAAGAAATGTGAAACGTATTATATTTACTTCTCAGATCAAAATTAGTGATTTCGGTCTATCAAGGGCTATTGGTTCAGGTAGCAATTATTACGTTGCATCAAAGGGCGGACGGTGGCCTGTAAAATGGTAAGAAAATTTTGTTATAATAACTATGTATTGTCTAAGAAACAAGTTTCTCATTATTTGCTACATGGTTTGGTTACTTGAAATTTTTATCAATCGTTGATTGTGATTTCACCGCTGTAGGTACGCACCGGAGTCAATAAATTATGGTAGATTTTCACACGAAAGTGATGTTTGGAGTTATGGAGTTACACTTTGGGAAATGTTTTCATTTGGTGAGCAACCGTATGGAGAAATGTCAGGGGCTGAAGTAATGGAACTTGTAGAAATTCAAGGCAAGCGATTAGAGCGTCCAGAGAAATGTCCAGAACACACATATCAGCTGATGTTAAGATGCTGGGATTTACAGCCTGAAAAAAGACCAACTTTTGCAGAACTACATGAAATCTTTAAAACAAATCCACTATATTCAGATGTTGAAATAAACACATGATCGTAAGTATAGGAAAATTTGAAAAAAAATGTTAATAAATTACCATGTAGCAGTCAAACAACTTTTTTAAGCATGTGTGTGTTTTTTTAATTGTTTAATTGGATGATGAAATGATAATGAAAAAATTGTAAAATTGAAAATTCAATGTGTGATTATTTTAGCTAATCATAAAATCCATGTGCAAAATTTAATAGCCATGCCATAATATATTAATCTATGTCAAAATTTTTGTACTTCAACTATAAAATGTCTTGTTGATTCATTGTCATGAATGAAAGCAGAAACGAACACAAGTAAGACTAAAATGCGAAAATGCTTGAATTATAGTTTTTTGTGAAAATGTTAGAAAATGCATGAATTATAGTCTTTTGCATGAAAATGTATGAACATGTTTTTTCACATTTTTACGTAAAGACTATAATTCATACATTTTTACACATTTTCATGCAAAAAATTTAATTATACCATTTTTTCATGAAAATTGGCGAACTATAGTCTCTTGCATGAAAATTGGTGAAGTTTAGTCTTTTGCGTGAAAATTCGTAAACTATAGTATTTTGCATGAAAATTCGTGAACAATAGTGTTTTGCATGAAAATTGGTGAACTATAGACTTTTGCATGAAAATTGGTGAAAAGTAGTCTTTTGCATGAAAATTGGTGAACTATAGTCTTTTGCGTGAAAATTGGTGAACAATAGTCTTTTGAGAGAAAATTGGTGAACAATTGTCTTTTGCATGAAAATTGATGATTTATAGTTTTTTGCATAAAAATTGGTGAACAATAGTCTCTTGCGGGAAAATTGGTGAACTATAGTCTTTTACATGAAAATTGGTAGACAATACTCTTTTGCAAGAAAATTGGTGAACCATAGTCTTTTGCATGAAAATTGGAGAAATATAATTTTTTGCGTGTAAATTGGTGAGCAATACTCTTTTGCATGAAAATTGGTGAACTATAGTCTTTTGCATGAAAATTGGTGAACAATACTCTTGCACGAAAATTGGTGAACAATACTCTTTTGCACGAAAATTTGTGAACTATAGTCTTTGGCATGAAAATTGGTGAACAATACTCTTTTGCATGAAAATTGGTGAACAATACTCTTTTGCACGAAAATTGGTGAACAATACTCTTTTGCACGAAAATTGGTGAACTATAGTCTTTGGCATGAAAATTGGTGAACAATATTCTTTTGCATGAAAATTGGTGAACAATACTCTTTTGCACGAAAATTGGTGAACTATACTCTTTGGCATGAAAATTGGAGAAATATAATTTTTTGTATGAAAATTGGTGAACTATAGTCTTTGGCATAAAAATTGGAGAAATATAATTTTTTGCGTGTAAATTGGTGAACAATACTCTTTTGCACGAAAATTGGTGAACTATAGTCTTTTGCGTGAAAATTGGTGAACAATTGTCTTTTGCATGAAAATTGAGGATTTATAGTTTTTTGCATAAAAATTGGTGAACAATAGTCTCTTGCGGGAAAATTGGTGAACTATAGTCTTTTACATGAAAATTGGTAAACAATACTCTTTTGCAAGAAAGTTGGTGAACCATAGTCTTCGGCATGAAAATTGGAGAAATATAATTTTTTGCGTGTAAATTGGTGAACAATAGTCTTTGGCATGAAAATTGGAGAAATATAATTTTTTGTATGAAAATTGGTGAACAATAGTCTTTGGCATGAAAATTGGAGAAATATAATTTTTTGTATGAAAATTGGTGAACAATAGTCTTTGGCATGAAAATTGGAGAAATATAATTTTTTGTATGAAAATTGGTGAACAATAGTCTTTGGCATGAAAATTGGAGAAATATAATTTTTTGTATGAAAATTGGTGAACAATAGTCTTTGGCATAAAAATTGGAGAAATATAATTTTTTGTATGAAAATTGGTGAACAATAGTCTTTGGCATAAAAATTGGAGAAATATAATTTTTTGCATGAAAATTGGTGAACAATAGTCTTTGGCATGAAAATTGGAGAAATATAATTTTTTGTATGAAAATTGGTGAACTATAGTCTTTGGCATAAAAATTGGAGAAATATAATTTTTTGTATGAAAATTGGTGAACAATACTCTTCGGCATGAAAATTGGAGAAATATAATTTTTTGCATGAAAATTGGTGAACAATAGTCTTTTGCATGAAAATTGGTGAACAATACTCTTTTGCATGAAAATTGGTGAAGTATAGTCTTTGCCATGAAAATTGGAGAAATATAATTTTTTGCGTGAAAATTGGTGAACAATACTCTTTTGCACGAAAATTGGAGAAATATAGTTTTTTTTCGTAAAAATTGGTGAACAAAAGTCTTTTGCATGAAAATTAGTGAACTATAGTCTTTGTCATGAAAATTGGAGAAATATAATTTTTTGCATGAAAATTGGTGAACAATAGTCTTTTGCATGAAAAATCGTTAATTTTAGTCTTTTGCATGAAAAATCGTGAATTATAATCTTTTGCATGAAAAACCGTGAATTATAGTCTTTTACATGAAATATCGTGAATTATAGTCTTTTAGATGAAAAATCGTGAATTTTAGTCTTTTGCATGAAAAATCGTGAATTATAAAGACTATAAGGTGAATGATAGTCTTTTGCATGAAAATTTGTCTATTATAGTCTTTTGCATGAAAAATCGTGAATTATAGTCTTTTGCATGAAAAATCGTGAATTATAGTGAGGTGTAGTCTTTTGCATGAAAATTTGTGAACTTTAGTCTTTTACATGAAAAATTGTGAATTATAGTCTTTAACATGAAAAATAGTGAATTATTGTCTTTTACATGAAATAGTCCATGATTTTTACACTTTTTCATGCCAAAGACTATTTTTCATGATTTTCAGACATTTCCATGCCAAAGACTATAGTCCATGATTTTTACACTTTTTCATGCCAAAGACTATTGTTCATGATTTTCAGACATTTCCATGCCAAAGACTATAATTCATGATTTTCACACATTTTCATGCCAAAGACTATAGTCCATGATTTTCACACTTTTTCATGCCAAAGACTATTGTTCATGATTTTTAGACATTTCCATGCCAAAGACTATAGTCCATGATTTTCAGACATTTCCATACCAAAGACTATAATTCATGATTTTCACATATTTTCATGACAAAGACTATAGTTCATGATTTTTACATATTTTCATGCCAAAGACTATAGTCCATGATTTTTGCCCTTTTTCATGCCAAAGAATATAATTCATGATTTTCACACATTTTCATGCCAAAGACAAGACTATTGTTCATGATTTTCAGACATTTCCATGCCAAAGACTATAGTCCATGACTTTTACACTTTTTCATGCCAAAGACTATTGTTCATGATTTTTAGACATTTCCATGCCAAAGACTATAGTCCATGATTTTTACATATTTTCATGCCAAAGACTATAGTCCATGATTATCACACTTTTTCATGCCAAAGACTATTGTTCATGATTTTCAGACATTTCCATGCCAAAGATTATAATCCATGATTTTCAGACATTTCCATGCCAAAGACTATAATTCATGATTTTTACACATTTTCATGCCAAAGAATATAGTTCATGATTTTCACAAAATCTCATGCCAAAACACTATAGTTCATGATTTTCACATATTTTCATGACAAAGACTATAGTCCATGATTTTCATACTTTTTAATGCCAAAGAATACAATTCATGATTTTCACACTTTTCCATGCCAAGACTATTGTTCATGATTTTCACACTTTTTCATGCCAAAGACTATTGTTCATGATTTCCAGACATTTTCATGCCAAAGACTATAGTCCATGATTTTTACACTTTTTCATGTCAAAGACTATTGTTCATGATTTTCACACTTTTTCATGCCAAAGACTATTGTTCATGATTTTCAGACTTCCATGCCAAAGACTATAGTCCATGATTTTCACACTTTTTCATGCCAAAGAATATAATTCATGATTTTCACACATTTTCATGCCAAAGACTATAGTCCATGATTTTTACACTTTTTCATGGCAAAGACTATTGTTCAAGATTTTCAGACATTTCCATGCCAAAGACTATAATTCATGATTTTCACCCATTTTCATGCCAAAGACTATAGTCCATGATTTTCACACTTTTTCATGTCAAAGACTATTGTTCATGATTTTTAGACATTTCCAGGCCAAAGACTATAGTCTATGATTTTTACAATTTTTCATGCGAAAGACTATTGTTCATGATTTTCAGACAATTCCATGCCAAAGTCTATAGTTCATGATTTTTACATATTTTCATGCCAAAGACTATTGTTCATGATTTTCAGACATTTCTATGCCAAAGACTATAGTCCATGAATTTTACATTTTTTCATGCCAAAGACTATGGTCCATGATTTTCACACTTTTTCATGCCAAAGAATATAATTCATGATTTTCACACATTTTCATGCCAAAGACTATAGTCCATGATTTTCAAACTTTTTCATGCCAAAGACTATTGTTCATGAATTTCAGACATTTCTATGCCAAAGACTATAGTCCATGACTTTTACACTTTTTCATGCCAAACACTATTGTTGATGATTTTCAGACATTTTCATGCCAAAGACTATAGTCTATGATTTTTACACTTTTTCATGGCAAAGACTATTGTCCATGACTTTTACACTTTTTCATGCCAAAGACTATTGTTCATGATTTTCAGACATTTTCATGCCAAAGACTATAATTCATGATTTTCACACATTTTCATGCCAAAGACTACTGTTAATGATTTTCACATATTTTCATGCCAAATACTATAATCCATGACTTTTTGCACTTTTTCATGCCAAAGACTATTGTTCATGATTTTCACACTTTTTCATAACAAAGACTATTGTTCATGATTTTCACTTTTCATGCCAAAGACTATTCATGATTTTCACACTTTTCATGCCAAAGACTATTGTTCATGATTTTCAGATTTTCCATGCCAAAGACTATAGTCCATGATTTTCACACTTTTCATGCCAAAGACTATTCATGATTTTCAAACATTTCATGCCAAAGACTATAGTTCATGATTTTCACACATTTTCATGCCAAAGACTATAGTTCATGATTTTTACATATTTTCATGCCAAATACCATAGTCCATGATTTTCAGACATTTCCATGCCAAAGACTTTAATTCATGATTTTCACATATTTTCATGACAAAGACTACTGTTCATGATTTTTAGAAATTGTGAAAATCTGTGAAAA